ACTATAACTCTTTATTGGAATTGCAGCAGATTTAGTACAAAATATATATGCTAAATCACCACCTCCCTTTAAAGAAGATATTGCTGCATAATAAGGAGCTCCTGTATATTCTAATGATCCACCTATACTTGCAATCTTCCCATTTTATCCCTTATGACGTGATTTCTCAAAATTAGGAATTATCTTACAGAATGAATTTTATTTAAACATAAATTTTATATGTTACTATTTTATAGATAACTTTATCAATCTCCACTAGCACAACCTCTACATCCACATTATTTACATTGTACTAATTTACCTTCCTCTAATTTAGCTTTTGGAACTCTACAAATACAAGCTCCTCCAAAATTATGTTGAGATTTTGAAATACAACGCAAACAACATAATTTTTCATAACCTGTCTTTTTCCATTTTGCTATTAATGATGCATCTCCATATTGCTCTTATAAGCAATGTTCATATAATTCTCTTGATATTTCTTTTTTGTAATAGTACATTTCATAAATATAACGTGATCTTTATATTTAAATATTTATTTACCTTTAGTGATGCAATTTGTAAATTTCCCAGAATTGCTCTGGCTTTTTCTTATCACTATAAGCTTGATTTTCTACATCTCTTATTTGATTTCCAATTTCTGTAATAGTTGGTTCAATCAAGTCCCATCCATCAGGGGCTTTCTTTGTTCGAATAGTTTTAATTTTAGGCATATATATATATATTATTTATATATTTAATATTTATACATTTTCAAAAGTATTTTAAAGTGATAATTCAAAAATAATCATAATTTTAATCACCCAATGCTTCATATAACATTTCTGTCAAATTCTCAGAAGAACAATTATAATCAATCTATAATTTTGGTTATTTCTTAATTGTATTAGAATTTCTAAAACTTGGATAATCTGATTGCTGCTTCTCAAAATCTATTGATTATGATAATGCTGATGAACAATTTCTCTATCTAGAATATTCATGGCATGAATTATTTTGTTCTCTTTAATTATAATTCCGAATTTTCTCCATTAATTCTAAATTAACAGAAACTTATAAAATATCTTTATTCAGTGTACTCTGTACTTTTTTTGAACGATCTAATTTATAAATTTAACTTTATACCATTTATCTTTGGTTTGAATGATGGAGTAGCATCTGTCTTTAATCTCTTGATTTTCTCTTTCTTTTTATCTTCATTTTTATTCATCCTCTAAAAGAAATTTGTTTGATTTGTTGTTTTGATTATTTTCTCTGATACTTTGTTTACCATTGGCTTAAATAAATTCTCTTAACTTAATTAAATCATAGAAGACTCTTTCATTTTATCAATATGATCAGCCTTATCTATTAATAATTAATACTTTTTATTACATCCATTTCATTCCTTATTGATACAAATCATTCTTTTAAGCATTCTAATTTTTAGGTTTAAGAATTTTAGGATGAAATGTAGCTTCTTAAATCTCTTCCTATAGCTTTTTTTATATCGATTTCTCTTTCGATTGTTATAGTCGTTCATTTTTTAATTTTTATTAAGATTACTATCTTTCATAAAAATCAATATGATCTGATTAACTATGTGTTCTTATTAATTATTATGGTTATGGACTATGTTATTTTAATCTAGCTCTTTTTTAATCTTCATAAATCTAAAATCTTATCAACTATTCCTAAAATTTCACTTTTGTAGTATTTTCAGTCATAATTGATTTCAATTGTTTCTCTAACATTTAAAGTAAAACTTTTCTAGTATTTCTGTTTCTCAAGTCCATTACTATAATTTTATTATTAATTTTTATTACTAAATTTAATATCATTTTGATTATATTAAACTTTTGATAGTAAATTCAATTCAAGACTATATTAAAGATAATTATTTTTTATTAAATAAATAGTTATTTCTAGTAGAAAATTTTTAATATTATAAATTGAACAGTTTACTAAATATTTGTATATATATAACACTATTATAAAAGATCTCTATTTAATTGTTTTATAATGTAAATATACACTAAAATCAAAGAGTCTAGGTTAGAGTAATTTCAGGTTTTGTTTCATTTACAAAAAGTATTCTGCAAACAGATCTTATAGATTATTCGTCAATTCTTGTAAATTTTAATTATTTTCTTGGGGCTTCAGGACATTTTTATTGCTTTATTTTTAAGGGTGACTAAGAATTATTCATTTATTTTTATTATTAAGAAGAATTATAAAATGAATATAATTTATAAATTAGTGGCGCATCGATTTAACCGCCTATTAAATATCACTCTTTTGGTACAGTCTTAACTTTTTATTAGTTTCTTAGTTCAAAGAGATTATCAATTTATTTGAAAAAATTAGATTCATAATTATGAATGACTCCTACTACATCTTATAGAAATTATGCTAACATAACCAGATTTTGATAAATTATTCGTTTTTCTTTAGCTTAAGTTCGAGTTAACACAAACATTATAGTTTTACTAACATACTTATATTCATCCAAACTTATAGACTAATCTTTTTTATTAAAACCTTAACCATTAATTAATTTTTGCGATTCTAAGAAAACTATTTAATTAGTATTAGGTGATTGATCATCCAAAGTCACATTTGCTATAAAAGTTAAATTAGAAATAATTACATTTTTTCATTTTCCAAGAATGAGACTCAATATTATCTGGAATAAATCTGTCATTTTTTATTTGATACATAAGACAACTACTATTTGTATCAATAGACTACAAATTGATATCAAAATTTTTAGCTAATAATTAAACACTTTCAGAAAACTTGTTAATAGCTTAAAGACATTCTTAATTACCTGTATCATACAAAGATCTTAAATTTTAACATATTCTCATATTAGTTAATGAAAATAATTCTTCTGAATAATCCCAAGGACCAGCATCTAATCTTTAGAAACTTATTTATCCATCTTCAATACCTATTGAATACCATTTGTTATTTATTTAATGAATCATTTTAAAAAAAGAAGAATCTGAAAGTAATTAATAAGTGAAATAATTTTCTATTAAGTATAAAATTTAAAAGTAATATTTAACATTAGGTCTTGGAAATTTTAAGATACCCATTAATGAGAATATAATTTTACTTTCTACTTTAAATTTACTCTAAAATTTTAATTCTTTTATTCTCTCAAATTTCTTTCCAAATGACATCTTAAAAAATCTATCTTCTTATTATTTAATATAAACTTCAGATGCATCTCTTAAAACTGCACTTTAAATCAACAAATGATGATTAGATATATTAACATTCTTTTTTTGAAATATTTCATCTTTTTTAATTTCATTTCTTAAATGAATCATATAATCATTAGCTACCTAATTTATATCTAAACCATCTGTTTATTATTTAACTAACCATTCTTAATAATCTCTAAAATGTAATTCATAATGTTCAACAATATTAGTACCTAATTTATTTATTTATGTATTTTAAAATCCAATCTATTTACGACCTGAATGATGAAAAGGTAATAAATGAGTTCTAGATCCAGGTTAACTTATAGTAAGATCAGGTTTCTCGTCTTTAATTAATTATTCAGAAATACTCCTTTATGGATTATAAACTTTAGTAAGTGATTTACTCTTTTTATCTGATCTTAATTTTCTCTAAAATTTAATAACATCTGGATTATCATCATTTAAAATAAGAGTTTTCTTTTTTAATTAATTAGCAGCTGTTTCAGGAGTATTTTTAGAATCTATTTATGTTCCTGAAAAAGCATATTAATCTTAATCTTAAGATATTTCTTTCTCTAAAGGAATTTATTCTTCTGATTATCTAAGTTGCATAGAAACTACTGAAAATACTTCCCAAACTAAACCACCTATTAATGCTAAAAGAAATATAGATAAAAATTCAAAAGAACCAACAAATAACATTGCTGATAACATATCCTCTGTATCATATGTTAATTCAAAAACTACTTGATTCCATTCTGCTGCTATAAACATTTATAACATCATTAGATATGATCCTGAAAATGATGTGAAATCCGCATATTTACAACTTCCCCATTGATATTCAAATATATCAGCATTACATTCTGAATTAGCATATGGATTCTCTGGATTTCTTTAAATCTTACCATATAAATACATCCCTACACAAGAATATATGAAAAATATCATTTAAACAGGCAATAATAATCTAAAAATTAATGGAACACAGATAATAATCTTATAAAGTAAATTTTTTATGATATCCAAAAATTCTAATCCAGATAACAAAAAATTTAGTATTTTGATTGATCTAAAAGCTCGAAATAATCTAAAAACTTTTTATATCTTTGCTAATCTTAATAATCTATTTGCTTTAATCGATTAAACTATATTTCCAGATACGATATTAAATAAAATATAATCAAAAATAATCTGTAAGATTACTAATGATATATCAAATATATTCCTAAGATAATTTATATCTAATACCATCCATCCTAAAAATATCGTTTTATACCTAAGGCTATAATTTTAATTATGCATTCAAGACTGTAAAATACTAAGAAAACTGTATCTAATAATGTAAATATATCCAAAATCTCTGAATCTTCAATAATAAATGCTGTTACAATCAATACACAATTAGTAATTGTTATAATAAGCATACTTATACTAAATAACTAAAATATTTAAATATTAATACATTTCCTTCTACGAAACTTATTAAACCCTTAGAATTTAAATAATCTCTCAAAGATTACCAACATTATAATGGTTTACTTTCTGGTAATTTGAAATTAGAACCATCTTAAATTAAATGAAGAAATTTATAGAACTCATCAAATTGAACCTTATCACTAATTATTATTAAATTTTTACTTGAAATCTTAATCAATCAAAGAAAACAAATTAGTCAAATCTTCTTTACTAATTAGATTTTCATAAAAATTTTCTATAAATTCTTAAAATTATGCATGTGTTAAATATCCCTGATCCTATAAATCTAAAGAAATGAAACTAGCCATCATTGCTGATTTCTATTTTATAATATCATTAATTGCTATTTCCATTCTATGACTTCTAAATCCTTCATAAACAACTGCAAGTGGAATAGGAGCAAATAAAAATATAAAGAGTAACAAATAAATTATAAAAAATAGACTGTAAAAAGTACCTTATAACATTGGAGGAATTATAATATCAGGATAAAAATCTAAAGTAGCCACCATAAATAACATTGAAAAAAATTTAAAAAAGTCTCCATAATCCTATGTTTTCATATCTACATTCTCTAAACGTCCAATCAAATTTATACCCACAAATGAAAATATAGATATTATGATTAAGTAAAGTAAAATTAAAATAAATAAATCTCGACTAGCTTTCATTATTCCTTTTAAATTTCTTCTTAAGTCCTTTGAATACATAGGCATTAATAATGTTCTTAATATTCTACTGAATCTCATTGTATTTGGTTCTTTATTATGTATTATGAAATCAATTAAACATGTATAGTAAATTATCAATTTAAATTACCTTTTTGGATTAAATGCTAATCTATTTTCCTTTTTTGTTATCATAAGTATTATTGTAATTATGGAGTCTATTCCCAAAAATGTTAAGATTATCCCTTCTATTATCAATACATTTCCATCTTCTTCCTTTTCCAAATCTGTAAATGGTAATTCAAAGAATGTTATAATCTAATAGATTAGTGATAACAGAAATAGAAAACCAATCCAAAATTGATTATTCTCTAAATACCAAAAGAATTTTAAGTATTTTTTGTTCGCTAAATCAATATCATTCCTTATAGTTCTCAAATAATAAGCATCATAAATATGTCTAATTGCTTTCTTCATTCTTTGCTCTACCGATAACTTTTTAACTATTTTCTATATCTCTGATGCCAATAAATCATTCTTCTCAAGTAATTTCTAAGAGAATTCTTATAAAGCTATAGATTATCTATAAATAGTAGACTGCCTTCTTTTCTTCTAAGGTTTATTCATTAAATTTAATTATTAGACATAAAATAATAAAATATATATTTTAAAAATTTAAGCCTTATTTTATAAAAGATATACGAATTTTATTGAATTCCTGATGTCAAATTAAATTTCTCTCTTTCAGTAGCTTAACAACATTTTTATAAAAATAGAGAAGTTTATTTTAATCTGTATATAAATATATAATTGATTACAATTTAACTTAATTATCTTATAGTTTGAACACTCAACATAAAATAATCAATTATTCTATTTTCTCTTTAAGCTTTTTATTTTTTTGATAAAAAGAATAATTTTGATTTAATATTTCACAATTATATTCTGTTAAAATAAAAAAACAAAAAATTTAAAATCTAAAATTGATGAAACAATTTCAAACACCAAATTCATGTCATTCAAGAAAAGGTAGTGCTAAAGTTAATAGACAACCATTTGCCATTATAAGTAATTGTCCAGAATTCTAATAATGTGCCAATTATTTATAAAGTAAAGTATAAGGATTGGAAATGAGAGTTAAAAATCTTAATAGTCATCATGCAAGTGAAAATAGATCAACTACAGCATCTAAAAATACATAAAATTAATCTCCTTTCAATACACATAAATAAAGCAAGAAATATGGATCTAATAAACAAATTGACACTCAAAGTTATTATGAAACAATTATCAATAAAAGATTAGAAAATATAAGTAAAATTGAATAATCACCAATCAAAACAGAATAATCAATTAATTAAGATAAATATTCAGTTCATAGTTTAGTTAGCCATTAAACAAGATTAAGTTATAATTGTATTCAGAAAATACAAACTTTAACCAAAAGACTAAGATAATTTAAATTAGTTAAAGATTAAAATCAAGATGAATGTGCTCCATCTTTAGCTAAAATTAAATGTTTTTGCCAAGAATTCTCAAATGAATGTTTTGATTTCTATAGATGCACCGATCTAATTACTTTAAAATATTTTATTTATTTACTCTTATAAGAATTGAATAGTAATTCAGAGACATTTAGGGGAAATGAAAATTAAAATTATGAATAATAAATTGAATATTTAAAATCTTAATTGGATAATTAAAATACTGAATAAATGACCTTTAAAGGGTAAATAAAGTTATAAAAAATGGTTTATGATACATAAAATCTTATATAAGAGATAATTTAGTAATTGTAATCTTAAAATAATTAAAATGTATTGACTAATTAAGTTGATATGTTGAATAAATAAATAAAATCACTAAAAGATAATATGAGTCAATAACAATTTTTAAAAAGTTCCTTTGGTGTAAATTTAGCTAATTATGAAACTAATGAAAATAACAATTCTCTTATTAATTAATCAAATTATAAAACTAATGAAGATAGATTCATAACTTAAATGAGTTCTAAATCAAAATCTCCTTATTGCAGAAATACTAGAAAGATATAAATGGAAGGAGATTCATAAAACAATTTGAGGTTATTAGAAGAATAAACAATTATAAATAGATAGTTGATGGAAAAGATTTTTGAATTATAGTCTTCAGATAAATAAAATTATACACTTTAAGAATTGTAAGATTAATTGAATGAAAAAAATAAATAAATCAATGAACTTTAAAAGAATGTAAAGAATTAAGAATGTTATTCTGAACTAAATTAAAGAATTTTAGATATAAGTAATAACTTAGACAATGTGATTCAATAAAATTCTACATTGACTTAAGAAAATGAGTTGCTAAAATTAAAAATTGAATAAATGAAATAATAAGAGATAAAATATTTTGATTTACTCTAAGAGAATAATAAATAATGTTAATAGCTAAATTTAATTATTNTGTATTCAGAAAATACAAACTTTAACCAAAAGACTAAGATAATTTAAATTAGTTAAAGATTAAAATCAAGATGAATGTGCTCCATCTTTAGCTAAAATTAAATGTTTTTGCCAAGAATTCTCAAATGAATGTTTTGATTTCTATAGATGCACCGATCTAATTACTTTAAAATATTTTATTTATTTACTCTTATAAGAATTGAATAGTAATTCAGAGACATTTAGGGGAAATGAAAATTAAAATTATGAATAATAAATTGAATATTTAAAATCTTAATTGGATAATTAAAATACTGAATAAATGACCTTTAAAGGGTAAATAAAGTTATAAAAAATGGTTTATGATACATAAAATCTTATATAAGAGATAATTTAGTAATTGTAATCTTAAAATAATTAAAATGTATTGACTAATTAAGTTGATATGTTGAATAAATAAATAAAATCACTAAAAGATAATATGAGTCAATAACAATTTTTAAAAAGTTCCTTTGGTGTAAATTTAGCTAATTATGAAACTAATGAAAATAACAATTCTCTTATTAATTAATCAAATTATAAAACTAATGAAGATAGATTCATAACTTAAATGAGTTCTAAATCAAAATCTCCTTATTGCAGAAATACTAGAAAGATATAAATGGAAGGAGATTCATAAAACAATTTGAGGTTATTAGAAGAATAAACAATTATAAATAGATAGTTGATGGAAAAGATTTTTGAATTATAGTCTTCAGATAAATAAAATTATACACTTTAAGAATTGTAAGATTAATTGAATGAAAAAAATAAATAAATCAATGAACTTTAAAAGAATGTAAAGAATTAAGAATGTTATTCTGAACTAAATTAAAGAATTTTAGATATAAGTAATAACTTAGACAATGTGATTCAATAAAATTCTACATTGACTTAAGAAAATGAGTTGCTAAAATTAAAAATTGAATAAATGAAATAATAAGAGATAAAATATTTTGATTTACTCTAAGAGAATAATAAATAATGTTAATAGCTAAATTTAATTATTAATGATAATTCTTAATTGAAAAAAATTTAATAATAATTTGAGGCAGAATGTAAGGGATATTAACAATAAATATTAAAATTATAAGAAAAGTGTGAAGTTTTATAAGCCTCATTGTAGGATAAAAATGATTCAAAATTTTTATAATAATAAATAAATGAGTTATTATAATAATAATAAGAGTAAAATAAAATTATTGTAATTATAATTTATATTAAATTAGAGTTTAATAACAGATGAAGCATTGTATTTAGGATAAATGACTTTATATACAAATGATTTACTACAAAAGTAATAAGGTGATATACCAACTTCAATAAAGGTTCTTTAAAAGGATTTAAGTAATAAAAAAACAACAATTTAACAGAAAATGAAAATTTTACAGTAATTTGGAAATAATATGAAAATAAAATAATGCATTTCACATAATAGTTCAATAAGAACGAATTCTGATGTGGATTTACTAGAAAATTTAGAAAACGATGTATAACCAACAAAATATTAATAATAATCAAGTTAACATAATGATTTAATGACGATGTTGGTAGTTTAATGTCATACAATAGAAAGAATGATTGATTTTTGATTAATAGATTTTTATATTAATAGATATTTATAAACAATATAGATATTAAAAGGATTAAAGGAGAAAAAACAGAATTTAATCATTAGGATTAAAACTAAAGAGAAATATTGATTTAAAAATTAATCTAATAAATAATGGATATTCATTCCTTATTTTGTAAAAAAAATAAGATTTAATATTTAAAATATAAAAATGAGGCCTAATTCTGAGATTCTTTTGTGTTAACTGTATTAGCTAGGAATAAATAAATGGAATTATGAAGATATTGGTTATACACATATAAATTCTAAGGTAATTAGTATGGAGATGAAATTTATAGAATGAATTGATTTTATTGTAGAAAGATACAAACCAAGAGGTGATAATTGTTCCTATAAAGTAAGAGAATGAATTTGCTTTTGATTCTGGTAAGTATAATTATAATATATATAAGAAGAAGCAATATAATTTCATTTTAATAAGGATTATACTTTAAGTTTTCAAAGAAGAGAAGGTGCAATGAAAATTTGGGCTAGTATTCAAAATATTTTGAAAGATAATAATGCTGAAGATTCTGATTCAATAGGATTGAGTCCAGTTTCTGAAACGAATTTAGTAGCAATATTAGAAACAATGAATAATATGATATAACATGGTTCTTAAACAAAATAGTTATTATAGAACTATTTAATAAATAAAAAAGTAAAAAAAATAAGGAATTTATGAGGAGTATTTTTAAAAACTTACAAAGTTGTTCTAATAATTAGAAAAGGATAATAATGTTAATTTGTTATAAATAATGTGTTAGATTATAAAGAATGTAATACTATATATATATTATATTATGATTAGATAGTAACTGTAGCAGAACATGAACTATTATAAATGATATTAAGCGATTAAAATTATTTATTTATATTTGGTGCATTAGAATGTAAGAAATATATAATGAAAAATAGATGATTATGAGATGAATAGAAAGAATTTTGTATCCCACCGTTAGTTTTTAGAGAAGGATTTGTAATTCTTGCAAGTAGTCCAAATAAAGAATAAAGAGAGACTTAAAACCATTCATTTCATATATCGACTGTAGTACTTGTGCGATTGTGGTTTAGCCTACTACATTGACGACTATCAGTCGATGTTTATTAAGATAGTTTTAAAGTAATCAAAATCATGATAGATTATAAAGAGTTGTTATGCTGACCTCTTTAAATACATAGAAAGTTCGAAAGATTTTTTGATTGAAGTTATTGACCAATTCAGAAATTTCAATTTCTTAGCTTTACGGTTCCTTATTGAGATATGTTAAGTCTTTAAGGAATTTCCTGATGTATAAATTTGATTCATTTTTTATTAGTTAAATAAATTAGTGATTTATTAAAAATTAAGTGAATATGGTTTATATGATATTATCGAAGATTATATAAATGATTCACTTAAAGGATTTGAGAAATAAAAAGCAAAATTAAAGAAACTTAATTTAAAGATATCTGTAATAGATTAATTATATTTATAAAGGATGATATATTTACTAAAATTCCAAACATGATTCTAGAATTGTTAATTGTTTGTTTATAACATTTTCCTAAAAATTTTAGATAATATCTTATAAGTGAGCATCAATAAGTCCTCAAATATCCATTGTTCAATAACATTGTAGATAATTCATTTCAAAGTGAGTTGTATATGGAAATCCTGAAATTATTGATAGAAAATAATTCAGATGAATAGAATAAAACCATAGATTTTTTTTTATTTTAATTCTATCCAAAAATAGCATCTTAAATTTCAAATATATCAACAAATGAATACAAATAACAATTTTTAGAAATTACTTTAGGTTTGGTTAGAACCTTAAAACCTTAAATAAAGGAAACTGTGAGTTAAAATAAAGTGATATAAAAATTTGGATTTATTCTATAAGAAAATTAGAAGATGTTGCAAATTAAGTGTTTACAAATAATTAAATTATTATGTTTATTTAGAGATGAAGATATTAATAATGAAATCATAATGATCCTCCCTAATTTAATAAATGTTATTTTATCCTATAAAGGTTTAAGAGAGAATTTACTATTTTCTTAATAATTAGAGATAATCAAGATTATTTATGAAGGTCTAAGTTAAAAATTGATAACATCATTAGTAAATATTTATTAATATAAAATATAGGAAGATGAATTGAAAAAGAGAGAAAATCATATAAATTATAAAAGAATTTTTGATATTTTCAAAAATTTAAAAAACAATTGTAATTAATAAACCTCACCTCAAAATCAGATTTAACCTAGATATAATGTAATTGGTGATGAAATAGATTTATTCAAATCAGTTTAAGCACATAACACGAATCATATTATAAAAGCTTAAAAGAAACTAATCGATAAAGAAAAAGAACTTGATTAGATATCCAAAAAAATAAAGATTGATTGAATTAGCTAATATAAAAATACCAAATTAAAATAATATATATATTATGTGTTTATTTGATGTAATCACTGAATTGAACATTTTCCACTTGCATCAGCATTTTCATTCGAGTTTGACTTCCTTTAAGCACCAGCTTAAGGTTTAGAAGTCCCTTAAGTTTGAGATGTTTATTAAGGGAATTTTTTTTTTATAGCTTGTTTGACAGCCTCTTAAAAAATTTATTTTAAATTTGTTCCATTAAGTGCACTACATTCAATATATTTGCAACCATAATCTGAAATAACTTTTTAAGCAATATCATATGTCACGAATTTTTCCAAGTTTACATTTTCTGTTGGTCTCATATCAATTTTATTTCCAATAAAAATTTTAGGAACATTTGGTTAATCTGCTTAAAGTTCAGGATACCACTTAGATAATTTAGATATATTTGGTTACTTTTTTTAAAGCATTTTAAAATGAACTTGGTTCATCTACTGAAAATGTAATTAAAAAGACATCACTTTATGGATAACTAATAGATCTTAATTGTTTATATTCTTCTTGTCCAGCTGTATCCCTTTATTATTAAATAATTATTTGAAAATACCATAAGTTAAGATTTACCATTTTATCCTCATATTATATTTATGTACAATAGTTCTCAAATATAGTTGGTACATAGTCTGTAGGAAACTTATTTTAAGTGAATCTATCATAAACTCAATTATATTTACCTGATTAAAATACAAGTTTTGCCTACACTACCATCACCTACTACTACTAGTTTGATTGAAATTGCTGCATTTAATTAATTATTATTCATTTAATATTATTTATATTACACAAAAATATTTTCTCATAGCCAAGTCTAAATTATCTGTCCTATGTTAACTTTACTCGTTCACTTTATTAACTTTATTCACTCAATCTAACCCAAACTCCATTTCTGCTTCCCATATCTTCCAAAATTAAACCATCATTTGTGTAACTAAATTAAGCATGAATTCCTGATAAATGCTATTCTTATTAATATTTATTATTACTGTATCCATTCTAAATTAATCTAACTATCTACCAAATTTAACGCAATTCTAATTCTTTATTAACTAAAATGAAAACTTTTAATTTATTTATTGCCCTTCAACCACTCTTAATACAACATCACATTATTAATTATTACAAACCATCTATTCTATTTTATATTACATGCTTCCCATATGTAGAATTAATCCCAATCTCATTAAAGAAGGTTGCATCAATAATACAAAAGTTCCAGAAGTACTTCCTGTATCTTTCAAGTAAAAATTTTTTGTTTTCTAATCGAATTCGATTAAACAATGATTTCTACTTACATAATCTTCCACTAATACTAAAGTATTTTCAGGATTTCTTCCAATACTCAATCCTTTCTCTGTAACAATCATCTTCTAATTATCACCTATGCAAACAATTTCCATTGTATGCTTTATTTCTGTCTGCTTAATTGAATTTGGATATGATGGAATCTTTGTAGCTTCTAAATTTTATTTTGGTTGTTTCAAGATTTGAGGAGCTTCAACTACTTTCATTGATTCAACCAATTCAACTTTATGATTATCTTAAAAGCTATCTCTTCTTGGCTTGAAATCATTTAATCTCTAAATTGGTGTGTAATCAAGATTTTCTTTATTGATTATTTATTTGCTTGCAATTGACCATTCACTTTAGCCTACATTATCTCTAACAAATTATTTATATTCTATAAATCCATTTTGAATCCATTATAAAATTTTCTTCTTTTTAACATTAGAATTAATGCCCAATTCATTCAAATCATCTTCATTCAATACTTCTAAACAAGCCCCATCTATGGCATTTCTTTCTATTAATTATTATTATCAAATCTTTACAAAAAACATTTGATAAATCATGTAATCCAATAAATTCCAACCATGATTCAACATCACATTAATTCCATCTTCGAGGTTCTTTAGGAATGACACTAAATAATTTCTGATAATCCATTAAATTTAAATTTAAATTATGTATATATATTTAACAATCATAAAGTTTAATCATTTCATTTTTGTAATATTAATTTTTTCCTTTTTTATATGTTTATTTTTCTTAACAAGAATATTTTATTTCAATAATTTCGATTCCTCCTTATGAGTTCTTGAAATGTGACCCCTAAGTATACTTAGTAAAATCATTACCCCAAAGAGCAAGCTTTTACAAATTTACTATCACAAAATCGACACTTGTATCCTTTAGAAAACTTATTTAAATTCTTATTGAAGGTATAAATTGTCTATTTCTCTTCCTCTTCACCATTCGGTTAAGTTTGTACTTATAATAAATTTTTTTGCATTAGAATATCTTGCAATCTTCCCACTAATCCTGATATATTCTAATTGATATAAACTAACTAATGATCATTTGATTATTTTGTTTGTTTCTAAGATTTTGACTTGTTCATGTTTATTTTCCTTTCCAATGAATCAACACTAGTTTCTAATTGTTACATTTGTTATTAAATAGTCTCCAAATATTTTATTAAAGAAATATCTTATTTAACCTCCTCCTACTTAACTTCAATATTATTCTTTTACAATTATAAAATAAATATACCTCTCTAAACAAAGAACATAAAGATGTATGTATGGGTTTGCCTTTATTACTATTGTTGTTAAAACTATATTAATGAATTTGCATTTATTCATCAAAGTCATGTATTTAGATTATTAAATCCTTCTTTGACTAAAAACTGAAATAAAGATAAAAGCCTACTTTTATAACAATCAATTGTGTTCAACGCAAGATTGCTAAAAGTACTTAATAATTAATCAACCATCTAAGATAAATAAAGATTGAATTCTAATATATGTAGTGTATAAATTATACATGATTTAGATTGCTATTGTAAACTTAAAGCTCTCTCTAATTCAAAATACTCCATTCCTTTCCTTGATTTTTCTGTTAATTCATCAAACTTACTTTTCAAATAATGTTTAGTTAAAATCTAGACATGAGTGAGAGATATTGAATGATCTTAAATAAAGTTATTCTAATCTCCTTCATAATCAAAATCTTTTTGGCAGCATTTACAAAATGCAACCTATTTGGTTTTAAACAAAATCATCTTAAATAATATATTTTTGTTTTTCATAATTAATAAATAAATAAAATAATGAAAGTCTTAAGCTTCCATAGAATTTAAATAGAATTCATGGTGATTTTGAAATCATAAATATTGAATTTAATATAACTAATTTTTCAACATTTCTTTCTTTCCATTTAATGCAAAATTATCTTGAGCACAAATTTAAAAGGATGAATTAATTAATAATCTTATAAAATTTTAAAATTAAGTCATCTAACCTTATTATTTGGAATATAATGTTTTATATTTTTTGAGATTTGCGAATCATATAAATATCTATGCTATTTATCTATTTAAAATATTTTAATTAATTTAAGTAATAGTTAATCCTACAAGAATCAACGTAAATGATCTTTACTAAAATCTAATAAAGCTAATTTTGTTTCTTTTGTGAATAAATAACTTATTTTGGACCAAAAAGCATGTTAAAAATATATAAGCTAGCTAGCATTTAAAAAACCTTAAGCAATTTTTATTAATTCATAAAAAATTTTTAGAGCTTTATAAATTAATCCATATAAACCATTTTATAATCATAAAATATGTTTAGAGATAAATTATAATCTTTAAATAAAAAAGATATTAATAGTAATTTTTAAAGTAAAAACTGATTTTATTTTATTTTTATACCAATTGTTGATATTAGTTTCAATGTCTTTAAGATGACAAGTATATTAACTTAAATTTTTAAGAGCGGCAAATGAGAATAAACGTTCCTTAAATTTTATGAATTAGATTAACCTTTTTCTTGTATTTTTAATATTTCAAATACTAAACTAGATAATACATAACCTTTATGAACTTTTGCATGTTTAGTAGAGTTGTTTGGATATTTTTATATGCTTCTTTTCTGAAAAATCGATTTCGACTTTAAACTAGATTGAATAAACAAGGATGGACTGTAGATCCCATTTGGAGTGATTTATGAAAAAAGATTCTGACGACAGGGAGTATCAAGAGGATAATCAAAAGAATCATCTGTTTCTTTTTGTCTTAACATTATTAATGAACTTCAAATTGAGCTCAGAATCTTTTTGATGGGGAATTAAGAATGTTGCTAAATTTTCAGTCACTTTTTCACTGTAATAAAATAATAAAATAAAATGGGTAATGTATATAAAAAGAAATATGATAAACTTCTACATAATCTAAAATTCATTTCTTGCTAATAAATAAAAGTTCTAAATGTTCAAAAACAATTAACTAAATTATGATTGAAAGTTATATGTGTTCAGCTGTTCATAAAATAATTTCCGTATTAATACAAGGGTCAAAGAAATGTTATTTCAATAAAAAAACTTAAAAGAGCCTGTTCATATAATTTGTTTTACCCTATTTTCATAAAAAGCATCTTCAAATAACTACTCCAATCCCCAAAGAGTCTATTAAATCAACAGGGATATTTTAAGAGTAAATGCATTTTTGTTAAAATTCTGAAGATATATATAATGAATCATTAGTTTTTGGAAATTAAAAGCTTCTAAAATAAACATGAAGTTAAAAAGTGCATAACAAATAAATATCTAAAAATTTATAAATAATCAGACAGAAATATATAATAAACAGCCATTATAAAAATTTAAACAACTCTATTAATTTTAAACCTTCTTTATCTTTTTTGCAATTTGATCTAATATCTTTTATAGTCTATAAAATTTTCTTGAAATATTATTTATTTATTCTTTTTGGATCATTATTTAAAATAATTGAATATTATTATTTTTAAAAGTGATTTTATTTTAAATATGATAAATTATTTATATAAATAGGAAATTAGAAAAGATTTATTTTCTTTTAAAGAACTAATCAACCTTTATAAATTTAAGGTTCTCTATAATTAAATTAATTGAAGATTTTAGGGATTATATTAAATCAAAGATTTTAAAAGTCTTGTAAGATTTTTAAACTGCTCTTTTTAGAATCTTTAAAAAATGATAAAATCTTCAAATGGTTATTTACAATTACAAAATGTTGATTTTCTTTTTCTTTTTTCATTTTTTGGCTTGAAGTACTAATTGACTTTTTCAATTAAAATTTTAAAGAATACGACCAAAAATGTATAAGCTTAAAAATCTATTTGATTAAGATCCTTCATTTAAATATAAAAACTTACAAAAATTTGATCTGTCATTATTAATTATATTGATTTGAGATATTTATTACAATTAAATTATTAAATTAATGTCATTTCTCAATAATTATTCAATGAAAACACTATTGCTAACATACTCTGTTTTATTTTCTGTGGCATTTTCATCAATCTCATATATAACAGGATATTTTGGAGGACGAGTAATAATAGATGAATTTTTATCTTAATCTGAGATTATATATGAGAGAGCTAATACAAACAAATTTAGTTATGCGACCCATTATTATAACTATTTGAATTCTTACTTTTAAATAAGTAACTATCTAATGTTAAATTAGATGCTAATCCCCTTATCACTTTAAATCAACTATATTTAGCTTATTTTAGAAAAATTTTATTGAACAGCTCATTAAACTAAAATAATTTTGGTGGAATTTAATCTTATCCATCAATAATTGAAAGTAAAAAGCATTAGAATTTTTCTGATTCTATATTTTGTTATGCCTTTAAAAATGAATTTAATTCTTCTGATATAAACTAAATAGACTAAGTTACTTTTGGTGATTTTATTGGTTCTCTAGGATAAATTATATATCCTTAATTTGATTCTAATGAAGCTTTTTTATATGGATATATTGAAGAATAACCTAAACCACTTTATTCTTATCCATGCTATGCTTTAGGAAGTGATATCTTAAATTTTTAACCAGAAACTAGACCATGGTATATTTTAGCATAAAATATATCTAAATTTACAAAAATTACAAAAGAGTATCACTATAGCATTTCTGATCCATACTTGTGTAAGTTTTTGAGATAATTATGTAGTTAAATAAGATTACAAAATCGGAATAACTTTAACTCTACCATTAATGGATAAATTTCTTCAATTTTCTGGAGCTTTTTGTATAGATATTTTTTCTAATTATATAATTCAAGTAACTTAAAAAATACTAAATGAATACAAAGAAGTCTATATAATGATTTTAACTAAAGATGGCATTTTAATCAATTAATAAAATAACACACATATATATTTTTATGACCAAAACATTACTGGATTTAATAAGAATAANTGTATAAGCTTAAAAATCTATTTGATTAAGATCCTTCATTTAAATATAAAAACTTACAAAAATTTGATCTGTCATTATTAATTATATTGATTTGAGATATTTATTACAATTAAATTATTAAATTAATGTCATTTCTCAATAATTATTCAATGAAAACACTATTGCTAACATACTCTGTTTTATTTTCTGTGGCATTTTCATCAATCTCATATATAACAGGATATTTTGGAGGACGAGTAATAATAGATGAATTTTTATCTTAATCTGAGATTATATATGAGAGAGCTAATACAAACAAATTTAGTTATGCGACCCATTATTATAACTATTTGAATTCTTACTTTTAAATAAGTAACTATCTAATGTTAAATTAGATGCTAATCCCCTTATCACTTTAAATCAACTATATTTAGCTTATTTTAGAAAAATTTTATTGAACAGCTCATTAAACTAAAATAATTTTGGTGGAATTTAATCTTATCCATCAATAATTGAAAGTAAAAAGCATTAGAATTTTTCTGATTCTATATTTTGTTATGCCTTTAAAAATGAATTTAATTCTTCTGATATAAACTAAATAGACTAAGTTACTTTTGGTGATTTTATTGGTTCTCTAGGATAAATTATATATCCTTAATTTGATTCTAATGAAGCTTTTTTATATGGATATATTGAAGAATAACCTAAACCACTTTATTCTTATCCATGCTATGCTTTAGGAAGTGATATCTTAAATTTTTAACCAGAAACTAGACCATGGTATATTTTAGCATAAAATATATCTAAATTTACAAAAATTACAAAAGAGTATCACTATAGCATTTCTGATCCATACTTGTGTAAGTTTTTGAGATAATTATGTAGTTAAATAAGATTACAAAATCGGAATAACTTTAACTCTACCATTAATGGATAAATTTCTTCAATTTTCTGGAGCTTTTTGTATAGATATTTTTTCTAATTATATAATTCAAGTAACTTAAAAAATACTAAATGAATACAAAGAAGTCTATATAATGATTTTAACTAAAGATGGCATTTTAATCAATTAATAAAATAACACACATATATATTTTTATGACCAAAACATTACTGGATTTAATAAGAATAATTGGGATTAACTAAAAAATAAAGATAATCAATACTTTAAATTTATGAATTAAATAACAAATTCTTAATAAAGTGTTATTAAGTTTTACTTAAGAAAATAATAATTGTATGTTTTATTGTATTTTATTTTTTTATTTAGGTTAGTATTATAGATAATTCTCAATATTAAGATTATCTAACTGAATCTAAAAGAGATTTATAAGAAAAAATTTAACAAACTTTAAATTAAACCATTATACTATTGTTTGTTGCATATTTTTCTCTGATTTTTTGTGTTTATTTAATGATTTCAAAATTAATTAAGTAACCAATAGATGAGATTACCAAATGTTTTAAAATTGCGAGACCAAAAACTTTAAAGGAAAAATATGAAGATTTACTTAGATGGAGATTTCAAATTAAAAGAAAATATTGTATTAGTCCAGCTATTAAAAAATTGTAGAAGGCAGTCTACTATTTAAATAATTTTAATTTTTTAAGAATAAAATAAAAAAATTCTTTATGTTTATTAATGGAAAAGTTTTAATTTCCTAAAAGAGAAAGTTCAGCTAGAATAGAAATTATGAAATTAAAATTGTAAAATTTTAATACTTAATATGATGAGTATTCTGTTAATCGGAATTAAGAGAATTCAAATATAATAAATAAATTGAAATTTCTTGAGATAAATTAATTTCGACTAAATTCGAAATAGAGACTCTGGAACTTATTTCAAACTAAAAATGATCTAAATTAATATTTAAGCAATCAAATTTAATTATATGCCTTTAAATTTGTTAAAAGTTTGTTAACATCAAAATCATAGAACTTAAGTTAATGAATTGGATGAATTTATTTTAAAATCTCTAACTTAAAATCTCGTGAATTATATTCAAACTTAAATGCAATTTTGTCCTAATTCTGAATTCTCTTGAAATCCATGATTTCTTAAATAATATAAAAATAATTAAGAATAAATTCTTATCTTATTGTCAAATTAAATTGTCAAAATAAAATGTTCATATATTCAATTTGAATAGTAATAATAATAATTAAAAAAGTAATTATAATTAATTGGGAATGAAATATAAATACCAAAGTAAATATTATAAATCCAAATCAATATTATTAAATTTTATGATTTTTTAAGTTTTCAAATTTCGATTTGGCACAATATAAACAAATTTTCCAAAACTTTCATTCAAAGTGATAGATTTTTAGACAATGAAGGAAAGAAATGCAACTCTTCTTTCTGATTCTGACATATAAACATTAAGTAAAATGCATTCATTAAATTCAACATGGAAGATAGTAATTAATATAGTAAAATAGACACCATAAAAATTATATAGAGAAATAAAATTCAACAATTTTAAGGAAGCTTTTTCTTTTATGAATTAAGTGGCCATTTTTTCAGAGTAAATTGACCGTAAGATATTTTTTAATGTTAGATCATCCTGATTGGGAAAATGTATATAATTTAGTTAAGATTAATTTGAACACACACGATATAGGAGGAATATCAATAAAAGATATTTTTCTTGCTTATGCAATCGTAATAATATATATTAACATATAGGATACAATAGCAATGAATGTAAGAGTAAAATCTGCAGAATCAACAAATGATACTCGTATTTTGGAAGTGGCAAAGATTGCAGACTCTTGGAATTTAAATTTTGATTAATTCCATAGAATGATTGAAACAGATTCTAGATAAATATGAATATTATTTTTATGAATATGATTATTTCATTCTGATAATTTTTGATTGATGTATTCAATTAATCTATCAACGATATCGATTTCAGTTTATCTATATATATTTGATAGATTACCTACTAACTTTTTGATTACTGTATTCTTGATCTTCTAATTCATTAATTCTAGTTGCGTCTTGAATATTTAATTAGGTGACTTCAACAATAGCATTAGAAATGTTAATTAATCCATCTAATTCATTTAATCTTGATTAAATTTCTTTAAGTCTATTATTTGCAGTAGCCAATGAAACTTATAAAGTTTATTTTTCATTTCTTAAATCATCACCTAATCTGGTTAAATTTTCAATTTAAGTTTTATGATTAGCTTCTAATTAATCTTAACCTTCTTATAATGCAGTAATCAATCTAGCAACTAAACTTAAAACATTATTCAATGTTTCTGGGTTTACTTTTGTGGTCATTTCAGCTAATCCTTCAATAATTGGTTGGAATAATGTTAATGAACTTTTTTTAGTATGAGCTTCTAAGATCTCTTTAATCTTTTAGAAGTTTTCTTTAGTTTAAATTAAATTGCTTTTAGTGTCTTAACTATATATATATTTAAATAAATATAATACGTTAATTGTATTAATGATGCACCTTCACCTCTTAAATTCATTAATAATCTTTAAGCTTCTTTGCAAGCAAGAATTGCATCACTATAATCTTAATATTTAACTGTAAAATCTGTATTTTCAGCATCTAATCTACTTTAAGCATCTCCACTTCCTCTACTATTTCTATCTAATGCAGCCTAATCTATTAAATTATATTCCAATTTATTTACCTTCTTAAACTCTTGTTTACAATGTGCTTAATTCATTATTTAAACTTGATTATTCTTATCTTTAGTTATCAAGATCTTATTAAGCTTATTCAAGTGTTGCTTAAAGTTTTGCCAAATCGACTTAACTTCTTCTTGTGAATGTTGCATTTTCTTAATCTTATAATTATGTCAAAGCAATCAATTCATCCTTTATTTATTATAGGAGCTATTTTAATTCGTTTAATGATCCTCCTGTTTTCATATTCACACTCACTAAATTTATCATTGATGAACTAAAAGGATGATCTCCATATCCTGAAAGTCTTTCTTTCAATTCAGAAACTGTAGTTGCCTAAATACAGACAATCAAAACAACAACCAATAAAGCTGATTTCATATATTATTAATAACTATCACAAAAAAATAGAAAAACGAATATTTTCTCAATCCTTATTATTACTTCATTAATCAATTTTTTAAACTTCTCATCTTCATTTCTCATTTTTATTCTTCAATCATTCTCTCTATTCAACTATAACAATGCATTTTTCCTTTTCAAATATTTTTTCTTTAATATTTAAAATATACTATATTATAACATAATCAATCATTTTTTCAATCTCATCATCTAATAACTCTTTATATATTCTTATAATAATTATTCATCATCAGTTAAATAATCAATCATCTAAATATCTATTTCTTTATAATTATTAATCGGGTATTCTTCATCAATTTTTATAAATTTTATCGAAAATCCAATGAACCTTTCTTTTTAAAATAATACTTACTTTAAAAATACTTTAAAATTTGAATCCTTATTCACTTATTAGAAAATTTTTTAGAAATAATTTTCATACAATTCAATGAAAGAATCATAACTAAATAAATCTCCCTTCTCTACAAATCTTATCAATTCCATTAAATCACTATTATTAATTCTTTTATCAAAAAGGTTTTATAACTCTTAAGATGCTTACTAAATTATTAAAATATATTTTACTGCAGAAATCTCTATTTTTTAACAATAAATTTTATTAATCTCTTTCAATTAAGTTTAATTTTATTCTTAATAATCTAAAATTTTATTTCCCTCAATTTATAAACACAATTATTTTTTTAACTTACTTTAATTCATATTTTAATCATTCATACAAATCAATCTTATATTAGCAATCATTGAGTATTAATACTAACGTAAAAGGTAGTTAAAAATTTCAAACAAAGTTTAGTATTTTTCTAATTATTAATTTGTTCTAATATAAAATAGGTAATTATACTTTAATTTTTAATAAGAGTTAAAGACATTCTCAGCGAACCTAATTTTAGCAAAAATTATCAAAACTATTTTTTTTAAATCAAATGAAGACTAAGTTATTTCAGTTATTTTTATTAGTTTTCTTTTTTATTACATGTTATTTTAAACGCATTAAAAATCATTATTAGTTAATTTTTCTTCTTCATATTATTTTATTAATTTTTGATTATCATTAAATTTATATTCTTAATTTTTGAATTCTGAAGAATTATTTTAATTTTAATTCTTTTTAATTATTACCTATTAATTTTATGGATAAAACTCTTTTTTTGTAAGATTTTGAAATGATTATTGGATGACAGGCTATATACTATCTTTTTATTAATTTTATGCTATTTTTTATTAATTAAATATTTGTTCTTTTTATTCATCCTATTTGGATGGATAATATTATTGGTTATTTTAAATCAAATTCTTGTTTTTAAGATTTATCATTTCATTAAATGATTTTTCTGGTGTCTATATTTCTTAGAAGTTAGTTTTAGACATATTAATTTAGCTTTCTTCCATAAAATTTGAAAAATTAATTGTTTGAGTTTCATCAGGATTTTATTATATTGAAGATTCTTCAAGGTCAGGTTTAAATTATTAGATTGAGTTTTTAAGGCATTCTTATTAATTTTTATACGATATCCTATCACTAGATTTTTATTAAATATTATTTTGTGACTAATCATAAATCTTTTGATTATTTGTTAATTAAGACTTTTGAATATTTTTTCTTGAATTTAAATTTAAATCAGTTTGGGATTCAACTAAAGATACATTGTTAATTATTTAATTAGTTGATTTGTTTTTGAATTATTTATTCTAATATAATATTTAGTTTTCTTCTTCCTGATTTCTATTTTAATATATTCGATTATTATTCTATATATAAGTTTATTTTTAAAATTCTTGAGGATGAAATGAAATGCTCAAATCATTTATAGATTCTTAAATTAAAAATTTTTGCTGATTAACCTTATACTATGAATTATTTTATTTTTCATATTAAAAATCTTAAACTTATTATTGTTAAATTTTATCATAAACATTTTATTAGCCTAATTAAGACTAAGAATTCTAGTTTTTATCTTAAATCCTTTTTTAATCTTATTCATGTTTAAAATCTTAATCTATATCATCAAAAGTTTTAACATAATTATCAGGCTGATAATCTTAAAAATTAGCATTAGATTATTTTTAATAAGATTATTATTATATAATTTGATTTTATTAATTATTATCTTATTGATTTTATTTATTAGTTTTAAATTGATATTATATATTTAGATTATTATTTTTATTATCATTTTCAAATTCCTCTCTAAAATAAATAGATTATTGATTATCAACCTCTTCCTTTATTTATTGATTCATGGCATATGGATATTATATAATATCAGGAGTTTATTTTTTAACTTTTGGTAAATTATAGTAATCATGATTGGAACTTTACATTCCAAACTCGTTTTACTCATTTTTTTTAGTAGTAAAGGTATTAATTTATGGTTTTAGATCTAAATCCTCTAAGATGCTAGTTAATTGATCCCAACCTATTCTATCTTCCTCTAAATAAGTAATAGTCATTTAAAGGATTGATTTGAGTTCATCTGATAATTTTTTATCATCCTAATTCGAAATTTCAGGTATTATGATCCCATTCTATAATTTTTAATATTCTTCCTGTATATCATTTAATGATTTTACACGAAATAATGATGTTTAGAATGTTATATAATAAATCATCATTCCAAACTATATAAAGAATTATTCTTACACTAAAAATATCTGCTTTATTAGAATATTTTCCTTCAAATATTTAAGGTGCTACAAATAAAGGTGTACCCACTTGAGTTTATTTCTAAATAGATTCCAGGTCAAATTAAGTCTTACTTAAACCATAATCACATATCTATATTGTTGAATAATTGAAATACTTTATATTATCCATCATCTCCTATCACTATATTTTCAGGCTTTAGATCTCTGTGAATAATTTTTTTTTTTCTCATCTCATTATATCCTCTACAAATTTATCTTGATATCTCTAAAATTTCTCTAACCGAGAAACTTTTATTTTCCTTTTTGATTTTTTGAAGTTTTTATTCAAGATTTTCAATACATTTCTCCATAAATATATATATTCTTTAATTCTATTCTTCTACATGATAAATTTTGACAATGTTTTGATGAGTAACTTTCTTCATTTCCTCTAAAATAGCAACTTCTCTCTTAATTTTTTCTTTTTTCTCTTCTGTAATGTAGAAAACCTAATTAAAATAAATATACTACCTTAACACATATTATTCTATTCTCACTTATTTTTCTTCCTTCATAAACTTTTCCATGAGCTCCTTATCCAATCAAAGATTTAAAATGAATTTCATAATCATCAATTTCCCGAATATCATAATTTTTTTACATTTTATAAAAATTAGAATAATTTTAGTATTTTTATTATATATAATTATTTTGTCTATCAGATAAAAATCTTTGATTAAATATTTTTTTATTTAAATAAAAAATAAAAAGATTTGAGAGAACTCAATATATATATTTGTTCTTTAATATATATGAGAATATAGATTATAATATTTATTTTAATAAAAATAAAGTACATATCTGAAAGTTAACCCTAATTGTATATAATATATAAATCATGATATAAGTTGAATAAAATGACACTTTGAAAATGATCAGGAAGAATCTCAACAAAAATGTAGATTCCCAAGAATATTAATAGCATTAGATTATAGAATTTGTATTTGTATATAAGTGTGTTTGATAATAAAAAAGAGTTCAAATAATTAATATAATTTAGATAAAAAATAGAAAGAAGTAATTATAAATGATATATAGATATTATTAAATATATTGTTATATTTTCAATCATTACGCATAGGTGTTTGATAAGTTATATAAGGAGATTGATATCCTCTCATAACAGATTGTTAAACACCTTCAAGATCATCCCAAACTCTGGTTGACATACCTGGATGATGTTAAGGTGTTTTTCCAACTTGAAGATGGGAATTAGATGTATCAGATTTAATGAATTCTAATGGCACTTTAACAACAAGATTTTTAGCTGATAATTATATGGTTGCAACTCTGCTATTAACTTCTTGAACCATACCTCTATAAGATTACCATTATCCTTTTCGAATAGTAACCATTTATCCTCTAAGATTTTTCCAATCCTCATTAGATATTTAAGATGTTGTATTTATAACAACAGGTTCTGCTTTTTTGGAAGATGAGACTAAACCACAATTATTAGCTTTTTCTATTATCACACCTTAAGTATTATCAAATTTTCCATTAAAAAGGAATAAATAATCTCTATATACATGAAGTACTGTAGCTTTATTGTCTAAAAAATGAGGATATATATTTACTTTTATAAAAGCCATCAAGAATGACAACTAAATCTTATTATCTAATATCATTACCATACATATTTTTAACTACATTGTTTCTGGTATTGATGAAATTTTTGATGGCCAATTTATTTATATTTTTGATTTAATTTGTAAGATCAAGAATACTAACTTCATTGTTAGAAATGTTGAGTATACATCCAATATCATTATCTATGAGTCCAAATTTAACTAGATCATTTCTCTTAAATCCAGGTTTTTATTATGTAGATCCAATATCAATATTATCTTCAATATCCATTTTTTTGATAACATTACTTTAAGATTATAGATCTGATATCAATGCATCAACAATTCTACCAGCTTCTGTAGAAATTTATGCATTTAAATCATCCATTTTAATAATAGTTCCACTTAAACCAGTATTAGGGCCTGAAACAATTGCAACTTATTAATATAACTTAAATGTTAATTTAGCATCACTAATTTAAAGTTTATATTCATAATTCTTTTTTTCATTTGTATTTTTATTTTTAACAGTTTATGTAACAATAAGTTTATTTTCATCTTATAAAATCTGAGCTACTTTATATCTATTTGGTTTAGCTTAATCTTAATTAAGTGTTATATAATCTCCAATTTATATTTTAGATTTTTATTCAACAACTTATTTTAAACTAGAATGTAATTTTTAAAGAATCAATCTATAATCTTATACATCTGGATAGAAATATTATAAATCTTCTACTGTAGGTTTAATATTTCCAGTTAAAACTTAATGAACAGGAAGTGTAATAATTTCAAATCCATCTTTTTTAGCAGATGTCCATTCATCTCTTATAGAAGTATAAAAAAATTAAGATGTTGGTTCATCATTATCATCATTAATAGACTTTTTAGTCATTTATATTGGGATTTTAGGTCCACGAATATATTTTCTTTATTCTTATAGATATTTGGCTCTTTTTTAGAATTTATATTTGCTTCCTCTTTAAAAAGGTTCATTATCTTCAATAGGAGGTTCTCCTTCTTCTTCTTTCATTTAGAAACGAGATTAATCTGCATTAGTATTATTTTTTTTAGAATTCTTTTTTTTATTTTCTTCATCTTCTTCAAGAGATTTCATTAATAACTTCTATCTAGGTACTACTTTTAATTTAATTAATTTTCTCTCTTAATCTACTTACATAACTCTAGCTAAATCTCCAGAATAAATATTATGTTATCTAACCCTAACCCATTATCCTTCTTCTATATCTATTTATTCTACTTCTGCTGGTTTAAACATATTAGGACACTATTCACATTCAACTAATTCAGGTGGTGATTATCTAACTATAGTTAAACCTTCTATTGCTTTCATAACATGTTATTCAAAATAGGCTTCAAAAAATATTGCTGCAGGAAATTTCTTTAATGCAAACACAGATACTATTTCTAATGGATTTGTATCTATTAAATGACTATGTTTAAACATTATTGATGTCACTGCTTCCTACTCTTTACCCTTATTACATGAAACACGCCAAAACTATTTTATATTTAAATATCTATTTTACTTTTGGATCTCTTAAACCTGGCTTCTCTATTTCATCATCTGATCTCTCAACTTCCTCTACATTTAATCCATCTCCATTTTAGTATCTATTCATGATATCTTCTACTACATTTCTCTCATGTCTTCTCTTTAATTCCATATCTTTATATATCTGTTATTGCTATTTTGTTGTTATCTCTTTTGCTCCTTCATCATCTGAATCATTCTCTGATGTTTCTGATGCCTCTAAATCTATATACGTTTGTTTCTTTCCATTCTTTTTATTCTTTTAATACTTTTTTAACCTTTTATTCTTTCTCTACTTAAACTATTCTGATTCTGATGAATCCCTTATATCTATTGAATCAAGAGATGAATCCTCTTAATCACTTCGATAATCGTCATTCTTTACACTCATTAATTTAATTATTAAATATTTTAAGAATATAAATATTTATGAAGTCTCATTATTTCAAGGTTTTTATTCTTTTTCTAATTTCATTAACTCAATATAATACTATTTCTTCATATATATCTACTCTCAATAACTATAATTAACATTTATTGATATATACCATCTATATATATATATAGATTGTATTTAATCTAATTTCAATTCCATCTTATCATTAACTAAAATTACTTTTAATTATAATAATCTCTTTGATATCTAATACATCTTTTCAACCAATACAATGTTATTCTACTCTAATCTATCCTATTCTTATCATTTAGTTTTTATTTACAGAATTCTCATCTCTACATTGTGACTTCACAAATTCTCCCTCAAACTCGTCTCCTTTAAGACTTTGCTTTATTTTTAGTACACCATTTTATTATAGAATTAATTTAGTCCATTTGCAAAAAATTTTAATATCAATTGAAAGATTTTCAACTTTAATCAATTCTCTCTATCATAACTTTCCTTTTTTATTGTTCTTCACAAAATGTACATTCATATGTTATATTATAATAAAAATCAAAATAGTGTTACACAATCTCTCACTTAATATATAAAATCATAACTTTGTAAAATTGTGTAAAAGAACAATATGATGCTCTTTGTATTTATATATCTGTATGTATTTAGAAGTGATTTGTGTATAATTTATACAAACTTTCTAATAATCATCTTATTTTTTATAAATTGTTTAAGTTGAACAATTAACTCTGGTTCTTTCCTTTTTTATCTCTTAAAACTTCGATGACTGAATTAAACAGTAATTCTCCTTCTATTCTTAAAATTGGTTTGAATCTTATTTAACCAAGTCTTGTCAAATACAAGATCGAAAGTAAGTTCAAAATTTTCTAAAAAGGAGCCTTAAGGTCAAACTCTCATTTAATACACTTAATTGTAAGAGTATTAAAGTGTCTGTTGATTAATAAATCCGTTTATAAGTCTTGAGAGCAGGCAGAAGTAAACATTAATAGTATTTAAGCCTTATTCTTGTTAGCATGTTAAAATATCAATTTGGTTAGAAAATTGGAGAAGGCACTTTTGCATAGGTCTACATCGGAGCATGCAATAATGAATAAGTATAGACCTATTTAATTAACATCAGGTCGCTATCAAGGTGCTCTAGAAAGACTCTCTTAAGACTGATCGTGACAAATTTAGAGTCAATAAGGAAATCGAATTACTAAAAAAGGTCAATCATCCCAATATTGTTAAAATGAAGGAAGTAAAAAATCATTCTAAGAATATAGATTTTAGAAGATGAACAATGCATATATTTGATTACTGAATATGTATCTGGCGGTGAATTGTTCGATTATATTGTGGAATAAGAAATGTAATTTTATACTTATTGTAGACTTCCAGACGGAGAAGCTAGACATATTATCATACAACTTATCAATACTATTGATTATCTGCATAAAATAGGCATTATTCACAGAGATCTTAAACCAGAAAATATTCTAATGAGAGATAATGGAGATATTTGTTTAATCGATTTTGGACTATCTATGGAAGTCACTAAAGGACAACTATTAGTAACACCATGTGGAAGTCCATGTTATGCTGCTCCTGAAATGTTAGAAGGTTAAAACTATGATGGAACAAAAACAGATATTTGGAGTTGTGGTGTAATACTTTATGCTATGCTTTGTGGTTATTTACCATTCGATCAAGAAAATACATAAGTAATTTAATTTCTTTTACATGTAAGGAATTATATGAGAAGATAAAACAATGTTAATATACTATTCCAAATTCATTGCATTAAGATGCCAGAGATCTAATCAGCAAGATATTAGTTTATGAAGATTAGAGAATAAGTATAGAATAGATTAAAAATCATCCATTTTTAAAAAATGATAATGATGAGATTATTAATAACGATGAATTATCTATTGAATAAATTGAGTAGTCATAAGATTTTTAAGAAAATATTGAAGATTAAAATAATTAAGCTTCTCTTAGATAATCATAACATTAAAAAGAAGAAAAAACTGAATATTTTTCACCTATTTAAGAAATTTAGAATAGACCTAGATAACATACCTTAAAAAGAGAATCTATAATGAATGAATTAGAAGTCAATATTAACACTATAAAACCGATAAATAAATTTGAACTTCCAATTCAAAGCAAAGAGAAAAAAAATCTTAAAACAATAGATGAAGCATTTTAAATTATTCAAGAATCTTCAAGATGGAAGGATAGAAAAATGTCAATAGAACAATCATAATCCTCAATTTAATTGCCATATAAACCAGCAATGAAAATAAACACTAATAAACCATATACTAAAATAAAGTATGTACAAACTATTAGATATCGTTAATGATGTGTTTGTTATTAATATCAATTCAATTTTAGAACTAAAATTGTAACTAATACTCCTACAACAATAATTGCCAAAATAGCTATGATAAGCCATTTCTTATTTGCAGATTTTTGAGAATCTTAGGCTTAATCTAATTCGACATTGGCCTTCACTAAATTGTCTTTAGTAGTCTATTGATGAGTATCAACAAGATCAAGAACTTCGTCTGCTTTATGTGCTTCTAATGCCAATTCTCCGACTAATTTATTGAGCATTTAAGCTTCTCGATCCTTTTATTGGAAATAAGTATACTATTCTTTAAATATCTTCCTCTCTTTCTTTTATCATCTAATTATCAACGTCATACTAATCGTGCATTAATTATTCTTGTAATTAATCTACAGGTTTTGGTTTAGGGTCATTCCATTTAACTTATTGATTCATAGCAATTGTCTTTCTTTTTTATTATAACTGTTGTTCCAATTACTTACAAACTGAAGTAAACTTATCGATTTCTTTTTTGTAGAATTACTTGATTTATTTCATTCTTTTATAAATATAATTGTATGATACTTTTATTAACGACCTGGAAGATGACCTGCATTATTATCAAGTCTTTGCATATTACCTTAAAGCTATTTTAACAAGTTTTATATCTAATCTTGTAAATCTATAATATCTTGGCCAACACTTGAATTGATGACATCTTTATGATCTTGCTCAAATTATTCTACATTATCATGTAATTAAGTCAATTAAGATTAAACTTACTAATATTTTGAATTATATTACTTCAACTAATTTATTGAATGTACTATCTTCCATTTATTAATTAATAAAATGAATAATGGATAGGCTTCCCTAAATCAACTTAATTTTCATACTCAATCTTAAAACCCAGCACTTTTATAGAGTCTTTAAGAAGAAAATATGAGATTAAAATAAGAATTATAATAGACTAAGGAAACTCATATTTAAACATGCTTGAGACTGTAAAATGAAAAAAAAGAGATGGGTTCAAAGATATAAGACTTATAAATTTAGGTGGATCAATAAAATAAAGAATTATTAGTTCTAAGGTATCTTTAAAACTATTAATATTTCTAATAGAAATTCATAAAAAGAGTCACAAAATAATATTGAAATTTCATAAAACCTTAAGGATAAATGCATAGAGTTATAATTCACAAACTAGGAATTAACATTATAATTGGATTAATTAAGGTAGAACAAATAGTTAGTTATCATTGAAGTAAAATATTAAACTAATATAAGTGCAAACCTGAAGTTAGTTAATAATATAAATTAGAAATTGTTCATTTAAAATTTACTCAGAATATGAATAATATGCAAGTTGAATATTAAAGGAAAGTCAAGGATATTGAATTTATAGGCTATGGAGAATCATAAGATCAATGTTTTATCTTCCGATGTAAATGTTAATTATCATAAATTCCTAAAGAAGGATAAAATCCATAGATAATTTAAAACAATCATGAGATATTAATAAAGTTCTAAATTTGATATTTGATTTTTAAAAATTAAATTTTTAATTCTGGATGAATAGAATCATTAGATTTGGATTTGCTACTTATGAATCATTGGTATAAAAATTAAGCAGTGCTGATAGTCCTGCATCCATCCTACAAATATTTTAACAAAATAAAGATATCTTTAAACAAGAGCATGTAGTTTTATCATTGAGAATGTTGGGTAGATATAGTAGATAATTGGGACGTGATAACAATTATTCAGAATTAACTAGTAAATTGAATGACATTGTAGATTAATTGTCTGAATATGGTATTAGTGATTAAATAATTTAGATGTAATTGATGTCTTATTTTGGTTGAGGAAATTTAGACAAAATAGAATTCAAACAAATTTCTCATCATAAGCTCAAATAAAGTTATTTTAAAGAATACAATAAATGTCAGAGAATCAAATGTTCTCATTCAGAAATATGTGTAATGTATATTATGATTTATCTATGCTTAATCATTCTAATGATTAATTAGCTAAATAAATTTCTGAATAACTTCTTACTACAAAGTAACTTTCACCATTTTTGATCATCCAATTGTTTAGTTCACTTGTAGTAAAAGTTAATTTTTGTTCAATTTCAAAAAATGATATTTTAGTTCTTAATAATGCTGTTAAAGTAGTTGAGGGTCTTTTGGAAGAATTGGATATTGAATAAGTAAAATTTTATTATTTAATATTTAGAAATCTTAACTTTTCAAATGTTTATCTGAAATACAATTTTAAAATTTATCACCAAAATTTTCACTTCCAAAGTTGTTGAAATAAGTTAAAGATTTACTATTATAAAAAATTGAATTATTACAAGAAGATTCTGTCTTAAATATCTTTAAAGCTTATTCTCATTTACCTAAATATTTTGACCAAGATCTAATCAAAGAATTAAGAGAAATGATTATAACAACTATTGAATAGAATCCAAATAATTTATCATCTAAATTCCTTGTAATTCTAATTGATAGAATATAAAACTATCCAAATTAGAAATAACCTTAAGATTTAATTAAAAAAGTAATTGAAGAATTGACATAAAGGATAATCAAAAAAGAAGTAGAACTTCCACTCATAAATTAATTATGTAATAGTCTTTTGGGATATAAAAAATTTGAAGAGCTTGCAACTGCTTTAAAAGAAAGTGGAGAAGCCAATATTAAAATTCTTAACTATTTATATATGAATGGAATTAATTTGAAAGAATATGTTGATTAATATGCTTCCACTTGTGATGGTAAAAAAGTTAATACTAATAATGCTATACATTATTTAATTTATGCCCAAAGAGATGCCTAAGAACATGTAGAAAAATTCCTAACCTTATGTAATTAAGTAGTTTAAACAAATCCACATTCTATATTAAAAATCACAATTGATATTAGACTTAATTCTTAAATAAAGAATTAAATTTAGGAGGAAGCATTTTTGTAAATCATTGAAGATCTTAAGAATAAAAAATATGATATCTTTAAAGTTCTTAAAGAATTGTTAAGTTCTTGCAGAAATATTAGATGTAGATCGGCTTTATTATAATATAATGATTAATTAGATCATAAATTATAACCTAAACTAATTTTAAGTAAAGTTATTGGAGATGAGGATGAGTTTGAATCTGATAGATTATCAATTATATTATAGCTGTTTTAAAAAGAACCAAAGAATATTCCTATTTTTAGATTAGTTGATTATTTAACTTTGTCAAATAAAAATCTATTTGGTTTAGTAAAAAGCGATCAAATATCATGGGTTTGTTAAGTTTTATTATTAGCTGTTTAAAGTTAACCATAATTTAGATTAAATCATATAGTCAATTTTGTTTAAAGATTTGATAATGCAGGTTACACAAGTAAATCAATTCAATAATTGGTTAAAAAAGTAGCTGAACTTTATAAGACAAATAATCCTAATACTCCATATCCAGATACAAATTTTGTTTAAATCTTAATCAATTTTAATCTCCTTTCATCTGAAGAGGCTATTCTTTAATTGAATAGTGAAAAATCTTATTAATATTTCAAAGTATAATTATGTGGTCTTGGTTTATTATCAGAAAATCCTCCAGAAAATATTATCTAATTAAGTGATAAAATCAAAGCTGAATGTTAACTTGATACTGAAGAAATGAAATACAGATAACTTTTAGATTTATGTACATTATTCAAATTAACACAAAATGAAATTGACAAAATCAAAGATCAACTTAAAAAACATACATCAAAAATAACACCAAGATAATATTATGATTTAGTTATGAATTCTAAAGAATTTTCAATCCTTAAAGAATTAAGCCATCAATTTGCTTAATTTAGTGCTAAATTAGGACTTATTAAAATAATAAAAATTATTGAAAAATTTTAGAAATATCATATCACAAATCAAACCATATATAATGCTCTATTAGAATAATATGGAATATAATTCAATAGCACTTTTAATGAAATGAGAATTTAAGTCTTGATACTTTTAACAAGTGCTAAACTTAAATAAGTAGATGTATTTTAAAAAACCCTTGAAAAAATTAATAGATTCCCTTAAATTTACAAATCTTACTTTAATGAAGTTCTAGAAAGTCTTATTCAATTAGGTATAAATGAAACTTAAATTGTTGAATTAATTAAGTCTATGACTGATAAATAAAATCTCAGTCATTAAACGACTCTTAAATTGATTCATTATTATATTATGTCTGATTAACCTATTGAAGAAATTGAAAAATTAGTTGATTCTTTAGAAAACGTTAAAATAAAAGAGAATAATAGAATTTTTTTAATCTATGAAATATTAAAAAGACTTTACCCAGAATCTAAAGTAACCAAATTACATGAGGCTATAATAAAAGATGAAAAAATGACAACTTCATAAAAGAAAAGTCAATTTTCAACTGAATATGTTTAAAAACTTCTCTAAGCTGTAGGAGTTTAAGTAGAAATCAATCATTAAGTAGATAATGTTCAAATTGAAATGTATCTACCTTAAAGGTATTATCTTTTATTTATTATTATTAGTTAACAATCAATTCTTATTCTAACTGGTTATAATCTAAATTATGATAGATAAACAATAAATGGTTAAGGCATTTTATTAAAGAAGTTATTATAACTTGTTACCAAAGATGTTATTCTTATCAATTTTAAGGAATTACAAGATATAACTAATTATGATGATAAAATTACATATTTATAAAACAAAGGTAAAAAAAATATGATAATCTTAAATTAGGTATTTAAATAAACGTAGACAAAACTTAAGTTGATTTTAGTGCTGTTAAGTAACTAGAGAAGAAAGAAAGCCAAACAAAATAAGTTCAAAAAAAATCATCACATGATGAAGAAACTATAGAACAAATTGAAGTTCCATAATGAGTTCTTAGTATTTCTATTAAATATTCATAAAATAAGATAATCATTCAATTTATGAGATTTAAATTATGTGAATAAATCTCTTAAAATAAATTAAATGGTATCATCTACTAAAGCTCTAAGGTTTCATACAATTCATAAGACAAATTGTTTTACTAAATAATATCAATAATTTCTTCCTATTATTTAATTGCTTATCTTTGTTATTCACTTATATATGTTACAATATATCCATTGTTTTTAGATATTTTTAAAACATCATCTTCTAATACTTATTCAACAATTGCATCATTATATGAAAACCATTTTTATTTTGAAAAGTTATAAATGTAAATAAAATAATGACCTTTATTTGCATTACCTAGATGAACAACTATACTATGAAGGTAATACTTTTAGAAACAAAATTATGATAATTACTAATGTAGCCATCTATAATTTCTTTCTTTTTTTGAAAATTAAGATGAATCTTAAATTTTTAACAAATTCAAATCTGATGTTAATTACTAAATCATATTATGGTTCTGAATAGTTTAATAATATTTAATAACATCTTAAAATGAGTCTATTTATTTTTAAACTAGATATAAATTTAATTTTTACATTGTTAATAATCTAAATTTGATTCAATAGAATAATTCTTACTATCATTGAAATTTTAAAATAACTGATTTACTTCAGGGATATATTTTAGTATAAAATCAATATATATTTCAGTGTGTATAGTAAAATCTGAAGTCAATTTCACAACATTTTAAGTATTTCTATTGAATGAATATCTTGAAATTGAAAAAAAAAGATTTTCTGGAATTTTCAATTCTTTTTATTATTATCCAAACCCATTAAATAAAGTATTGTATATACTAGTAAAATTTAGATCTGCAGGGATAAACAAAATATTTTTCTAAAAATTATCACTTAATAAAAATTATTTCTATAGTATTTAATTCTTAAAAAAAAAATCAGATTCTAGAATAGGTTAAGATTAATAAGGTGAATTTCTTTTCTCCATTAAAGATTAATCTACTCTTTGAAGGAATAATTCACATAATTCTCTAAAATCTTATTACTTTCCGATTAATTCAAGATCTTATTAATTCCAAAACATAAATTAGAGAACTTCGCTTGCATCATAACAAACAGAATTTGAAAGAAGTAAATTAGCAAATAACTTTTATAGTGAATTTAAAAAATTGTCAAATTTCTATTATATATATAATAAAAATTTACATCATTACAAAATTGTACTTGATAATTAAATATTATCTTGACAAATATAGGATTACGTAACATTAACTATAAAAGTGAATTAAAGTAGCATATATTACCACCATTAATCAAACCAACAGGAAGCTAAGAATTTCTGGTCATAATTTTAGTAGAATTTTATTTCTTAATCTAGAAATAAAAAAAGTTTACTTAATTAGAGGAATTATTGCTCTAAAATGGTTAATTTGATTTAAAAGTTTTCTATTAAGGATATACAATTGAATATAATTCATCATAATTATTCTAAGCATATTTTAAGTATTTATTAAATTATGATAAATCATTTTAAGAATTGACTGCTTCAATTGCCAAAAGAATTTAATTTATAGTATATCCTGCTTATTGTAATTGATTTATAGTATTTTCATCGATTTAAATTTGTTAGTTACTCATATATTGTTATAAATAAATTAATTAATAAACTCAATAAAAAATGAATTAGAGTTTGACGATAATGGAAAAGGTTGAAAAAGATAAGATGCAAAATCCTTAAGCATGGATTTAAGATAATATTTTGAATTCACTTTTGGGAAAGCAATGGAGATCAAATTATTTGCAAAGATTAGGAATAAAATAAGAATAAGAGAAAGAGAATACTACAAAAGAATTTTAATTAAATTATATAATAAGAACTAATGATGATGTTCGTAACAATTATATATAGAAATTAATGAATAATAAATTGATGTAATAATAAAAGAAGCATTAAACTTGTAATAAATATATTTGATTAAGTAACAATATTTGATTGGGATGATACATTATTATGCACAACATTTTTAGGAGGATATGGATTTGTAGATTTGCCAATAGATGTATTAGAATAGTTGACTGCATTAAATGAAAGCGCTGTAATTAAAATTAACATATAAAGAGTAGATTGTTAGACAGAGCTTCTTAAGTAGGAGATGTATTTATAATAACAAATGCTGCTTAAGGTTGGGTTGAGTATAGTAGCAAATTGTAGATATTTAATTTAAAGTAGATATATGAATAAGGTGTTTTAAGTCATCTTTGATAAAAAGATTGTTGTAATATCAGCTCGTCATGGTTATGAAGATATGTTTCCTGGAGATTGTGGTAAATGGAAAATAGAAGCATTTAAAGATATAAGATCTAAGTATGAAAATGATGTATTTACAAATCTTATATGTTTGGGAGATTCTAACATCGAAATTGATGCTGCCCATGTCTTAGCTAAGTTTTAATCTAAATTATTTTAGGGAATTCACCGTTGCTTTAATCAAGACTATTAAATTCAGGGAATGTCCGAAACCAGAAGAACTGGTAAGATAGTTAGATTTAGTATCAGATAAATTTGAGTAAATTTATACTACTTTCAAGAGTTTAACAATACGGCTAGAGAAGTAAATGTCTTGTTTTTATTATTAATAGAAAAACATCTAGTAATTGATCGATTTAATTTTATCATTTATAAATATTTGACATTTAGCTCTTTCCTTTTTATTATTTTAAATATAAATATCTGAAAATAATTTAAATTATTTAACATCCATATAAAGTTATATATAGATATTCAAATTTGTTACTTAATGTTGACAAGTTATTTAATCAACATTCATAAGAACTTGAATGTTGTACAGGATCTGTATCTTAAATAACCTTGGTCAATGGTTCAATAAACTCGGGTGATAATTATGAAACAGTAGGATGTTTAAATACATCAGTTAATAATTATCTAAGAGTTTCATTTTCATTCTCAATTATTTTAACCTAAATTTTAAAATATCTTCTATACTTTCTTCTACAATTCTTCGTATGCATCCTTTAATGGACCTATCTTTTCAAGAGCTTCTCTTTTCTTCCTTTAAGATTCCTTAGCAGAATTACGATTTCTTCTGATACATTGACACTTTTTGCAATTGCATTCATCTTCTCCATTATACACACATTTGTTTTTCAATTTCTCTATCATTTTTAAATAGTAATTAGAACTGTTCTTAACTTAAACATTTTCATTATATCTATCCTATTGTATCATATCAATCATATGACTTTCTATTTATAATAACATTGGTAGAATATATAAAATTGAACAATTCATTTATTTATGAATTTTTTAAGTTCTAATATTGAATTCATTTAAATCTATTTCCTCATTTTATTCATCAAAATATACACTAATAGCTTTTTTTAAGAAATCTTATGTAGTTGCCTTAAAACTACCCATTATCAAAAGATACTACATAAATATTTAAAAAAAGTATTACTTCTTAGAAAATAGAATCATTATGCATTTAAGCAGTTTATTTTACAGAGTTTTCTACAACATCAAATATCAAATTAGATTTTTTAAAGAAATTATTCATATAGACTGTGTATTGATTGAATTATACTAAATATTAATCTTTATTTAATTTTTATTGTTATTGGCTTAACATTTTAAAAATAAAGGTTCCCCAAATATCTTCAGGTAATTTTTTAATCATAGAATTAAGTTAAGCAAAACTCAATTATTGACTCACTTATTAATTGGATGATATCTAATATTAATAAAGAGTATTAAAGAAAATATCACAAAAGTCATCTCTGAATAATAAAAATTTGGAAAGGTATTATGTACCTAAAAAAATGATATCAAATTTATATTACCTTTATCATATAATACAAGTTAAGATCTTAATAATAGAGAAAGTGTTTAAAACAAAGAACTACTCATTGTAATTTTGATCGGTTAAGCAATAAATTATGTCTTAAGTAATAATATCTGTTCAGTTTCTCCTTAGATCTAATCCAATCCATGAATGATCAAATTGCCTAAAACATTCAAAAAATAAGGTAAGTGATAATCAATGCAATTTTTTATTGTTACAACTTATTTTTTCAACACTTATTATTAAAAGTATTAGGTAACTCTATTTTGAATGTCAATTAGAGACCAAGCTTTTCTAAATAATTAATATATATCATTACTTTTCCATTATATTATTTGCTTAGAATGATGACATCAATGATAGCAGCTGTTGCTATTTCTAAATCTAAATAATTTATTATAACAGTATACTTCATTATTTTATTTTTAAACTTATTCTTCTTACTTCACCTTTTCTTATTCCTAATGCTTAATTATTGCTTAGAGGTAAAGTTATTGTATTGGATTCATAGCTATTTAAATTTATTTTTGAATCTTGATTTGAGCAATTGCTTTAATTTATCAAATCATACGTAATATTCTTCATATATAGTTATTTACATTCAAACAAAAAATTGGAATTAATTAATTAAAATAGACCGTCATCTTTGTATTCTCTCATTCACTAAATATCAAATAATTATCAATTATTTATTAGATGACCTAATATTTCTAATACATAAATTTAAAGTAAATATTTAATTATAAGAAATATCTTTATCATATATCATAATCATAATCAAATTATTTTGTTGTTTAATTGCAACAAGAATACGTTCCATCACGTATAAAATGTCCGCGAAAATACTTTTTCTGTTTTATCTTTTTTTTTGTTTCTATAAATTCAGTTGGTACTTTTTAACTCTTGATTTTATTTTCCTCTTTTAATTCAACTAAATTCATTACAAATGTTTCTTATTCATTAGATTATTCTTTCAATTTTGATGGTTTAAATAATACACTAAATTGATTCTAATCTAAATCATTAGATTCATTAAATAATTTAAATTTAACTGTGTAGTCATGTTCTTAAAATAATAATTTGTATAATGAAGATTCTTAATTTTTCTTAATTGTTCTAGCTAACATAGGATGTTATGTTAATTATTCATCTTTACAAATTTTAGTCACATTAATTTTTCTAAGTTCTTCAAAATAATGTGCATAACAATGTATTTTTTTATACATTCTTCTTGTTATCATTTGACTAAATAATCCATAAACTTCTGTTCTAGTTTTGATATTGAAATTTAAAGCATACAAATAAAGCAATTACTAGAAAACACTAGCACATTTATAAAAATCCATTATTATAAAATCATCTTAATAGTCTTTCAAATCACAATCTAAAATCTTAAGCATATAAAATGCAGATCTTGGTGGAATATATTAACATTTTGAATAAAATTCATTTTAAGCCCATGATTTGTTTCTTGATGGCAAAAATACATCTCTCATATACTTCAAACCTTATCTCAACCATCCTTTAATATAAGAAGTATATCTTGAAATATAAATATGAATTCCTGTTCTTTGTTCGAATTACTTACTTCCTGCTCTTGAATTTCCTCTACTTTAAATTGCTGATTCAAATAATTCCACCAATTATTCTCTTGTGAATTATTCATCATATTAAGTAAATGATATATAAAGTCTCTTTAATTCATAAGCTTTTCTCACTCTTACTCCTACTTAATTTTCATAAATTCTAGCCACTTAACTCCAACTTGTACAATTGATACCTCCATGTAAATTCACTATTTCTATTAGTTGTTTATCTGATGGCTTTAATTTTCCTTATATTTTCAATCCTACTTATGGTCTCATTTTTAATAATATTATCCATTTTNTATTTACATTCAAACAAAAAATTGGAATTAATTAATTAAAATAGACCGTCATCTTTGTATTCTCTCATTCACTAAATATCAAATAATTATCAATTATTTATTAGATGACCTAATATTTCTAATACATAAATTTAAAGTAAATATTTAATTATAAGAAATATCTTTATCATATATCATAATCATAATCAAATTATTTTGTTGTTTAATTGCAACAAGAATACGTTCCATCACGTATAAAATGTCCGCGAAAATACTTTTTCTGTTTTATCTTTTTTTTTGTTTCTATAAATTCAGTTGGTACTTTTTAACTCTTGATTTTATTTTCCTCTTTTAATTCAACTAAATTCATTACAAATGTTTCTTATTCATTAGATTATTCTTTCAATTTTGATGGTTTAAATAATACACTAAATTGATTCTAATCTAAATCATTAGATTCATTAAATAATTTAAATTTAACTGTGTAGTCATGTTCTTAAAATAATAATTTGTATAATGAAGATTCTTAATTTTTCTTAATTGTTCTAGCTAACATAGGATGTTATGTTAATTATTCATCTTTACAAATTTTAGTCACATTAATTTTTCTAAGTTCTTCAAAATAATGTGCATAACAATGTATTTTTTTATACATTCTTCTTGTTATCATTTGACTAAATAATCCATAAACTTCTGTTCTAGTTTTGATATTGAAATTTAAAGCATACAAATAAAGCAATTACTAGAAAACACTAGCACATTTATAAAAATCCATTATTATAAAATCATCTTAATAGTCTTTCAAATCACAATCTAAAATCTTAAGCATATAAAATGCAGATCTTGGTGGAATATATTAACATTTTGAATAAAATTCATTTTAAGCCCATGATTTGTTTCTTGATGGCAAAAATACATCTCTCATATACTTCAAACCTTATCTCAACCATCCTTTAATATAAGAAGTATATCTTGAAATATAAATATGAATTCCTGTTCTTTGTTCGAATTACTTACTTCCTGCTCTTGAATTTCCTCTACTTTAAATTGCTGATTCAAATAATTCCACCAATTATTCTCTTGTGAATTATTCATCATATTAAGTAAATGATATATAAAGTCTCTTTAATTCATAAGCTTTTCTCACTCTTACTCCTACTTAATTTTCATAAATTCTAGCCACTTAACTCCAACTTGTACAATTGATACCTCCATGTAAATTCACTATTTCTATTAGTTGTTTATCTGATGGCTTTAATTTTCCTTATATTTTCAATCCTACTTATGGTCTCATTTTTAATAATATTATCCATTTTATGGTGGATTTCTCCAAGCTTTAATTATTTATCCTTTGAAAATTTATCAAATTGGATGGTAATTTTTATAAATTTTCTGATTGTTTGATTATATAATATATAAAATGTTCAATTTACAAACTATTAGAAAATATTCTTTAAACTACTAAAAAATCTGATTTTTCCTTATATTTATTAAAATTTTATGATTATCTAAATTAATCTTATAAATTCTTCTTTTAAACATCTCAAACAGTTCAATTTCATCTATATCAAATTTTATTAATTTGTTAAATAACTTCCATTATAACTCTTAGAAGTTTTTCATAAGATAATAATAAAATTTTAGTTTTATATTCTTCTATCTCAAAGCAATTATTTCAATTCATTCATTTAAAAAATCAAATACAATATTCTAATTTGTATTTCTCTAGATTTTTTATAAAATTGATTCTATCCACACATAGATTAATTTAATTTTATTAAAAGAATTTAATATATTAATAATAAATATTTTATTATTTTACTTTATACTTTGAATCATATAAAAGAAATTTTTAATTAATTGACCTAAAAAGTAATAGCTGCTATAAATATCAACTTCTAAAATTGAATGAATACATTCTATCTTATACTTTAACCTTGAAACTGATCAGATCTTACATAAATAATGAGCTAAGTTAATTAAGAATCAAAATTGTGTTTCTGAATTGTGAATAAATATAATAATAACAATTAACATATAGTTTAATTCAAATAGATAGGATTCTATTGTTTTCTTATTTTAATTATTAATTTATGTTAATAAGCTTAATTATTGTTAATTTAAAGATAATAATCATTTAATTAAACCTTCTATAAATTATTTTAAAAATACATTAAAGCTTAGTAGATTTATTTTTTAAAGAGCAAATTAATCAAATTAAGTTAAGTTATAGTGGTAAGAATCAGAATAAATAATAAAAACTTTTTCAGTTAATATATAATAATTTTGTTTCTGATTTATTTGAAAAAGATATTTATTTCTTAAATAACTATCAATTTTACATTTATTAATTGTTAAAATATATGCTATAAATATAATATTTCTAAAAATTTAAACGATTAAGATTGTATTTTTTAAGATTTATCATTTTAGAGTTATATAATTAAATGGATGTATTAGAAAGCGAAAATGAAAAAAACTATAAATCAAATCTTTTTTCAATTTATAGAACTTTTTATCAATATGATTTTATTCTTCATTTAATTAAAATGATTCTTCTTATGCTTAAGATCATTAAAACTCTTATAACTCTAATTGTTAAATTATTTGATAAATAAAAATAAAAGTTTCTTATAATTTAATTATTATTATTATTATTAATATTAACACATATGTAATAAATTTCATATCCTCCAAATTCATTCGCAGTTTATTTTCAACTCTCTAATTCGTCAATAGTATTTATAAGTTTTTCTAACCTTTTTTTCAGTCCTTTTCTATTGTATTAATTACTACTTAGCAGTAAGACAATTTCAGAAATTGAATATTTTGAGTGATATTCAAATATATGACTAACATAATTTAATAATAATCTTAAGAAAAAAAAAAAGATTTAAAATAAACTTATAAGAAAATAATTTAAATGGTTGAACTCATGCTGTGATTTAATTCTCAAATATAAGATTTTTTAATGATGTAATTGATCTTAATTAAGTTTTAATAAATATTAATGATGATTATATCATGAGTGAATGATTTCATTAAAGCATTTTTTAATCTTCATCCATATCTTCATCGTTTATGTTATTTGATTATAATGATTGATTTTCAACAATAACAGGATTATATAAATTATATATCATCAAAAACGAATCTACTATTTAAATCGCCTTTTATATAATTAATATTACTTATTCAGTTTATGTATGAAATACTATAAAAGTAGCTCTATATTTTTAATCTTAATTTCTCCATGTGAATAATTAATCAAATAAGGCATCTGAATTTTCTCTCATTGTTACTTTGTATTAATATTCATTTATCCACATTTAAGGCATTACTACATATTAAATNATTTTAAAAATACATTAAAGCTTAGTAGATTTATTTTTTAAAGAGCAAATTAATCAAATTAAGTTAAGTTATAGTGGTAAGAATCAGAATAAATAATAAAAACTTTTTCAGTTAATATATAATAATTTTGTTTCTGATTTATTTGAAAAAGATATTTATTTCTTAAATAACTATCAATTTTACATTTATTAATTGTTAAAATATATGCTATAAATATAATATTTCTAAAAATTTAAACGATTAAGATTGTATTTTTTAAGATTTATCATTTTAGAGTTATATAATTAAATGGATGTATTAGAAAGCGAAAATGAAAAAAACTATAAATCAAATCTTTTTTCAATTTATAGAACTTTTTATCAATATGATTTTATTCTTCATTTAATTAAAATGATTCTTCTTATGCTTAAGATCATTAAAACTCTTATAACTCTAATTGTTAAATTATTTGATAAATAAAAATAAAAGTTTCTTATAATTTAATTATTATTATTATTATTAATATTAACACATATGTAATAAATTTCATATCCTCCAAATTCATTCGCAGTTTATTTTCAACTCTCTAATTCGTCAATAGTATTTATAAGTTTTTCTAACCTTTTTTTCAGTCCTTTTCTATTGTATTAATTACTACTTAGCAGTAAGACAATTTCAGAAATTGAATATTTTGAGTGATATTCAAATATATGACTAACATAATTTAATAATAATCTTAAGAAAAAAAAAAAGATTTAAAATAAACTTATAAGAAAATAATTTAAATGGTTGAACTCATGCTGTGATTTAATTCTCAAATATAAGATTTTTTAATGATGTAATTGATCTTAATTAAGTTTTAATAAATATTAATGATGATTATATCATGAGTGAATGATTTCATTAAAGCATTTTTTAATCTTCATCCATATCTTCATCGTTTATGTTATTTGATTATAATGATTGATTTTCAACAATAACAGGATTATATAAATTATATATCATCAAAAACGAATCTACTATTTAAATCGCCTTTTATATAATTAATATTACTTATTCAGTTTATGTATGAAATACTATAAAAGTAGCTCTATATTTTTAATCTTAATTTCTCCATGTGAATAATTAATCAAATAAGGCATCTGAATTTTCTCTCATTGTTACTTTGTATTAATATTCATTTATCCACATTTAAGGCATTACTACATATTAAATATTCTTCTATGCTAGTTTTGAAAATCTAAAATAATTGAAAACAAATATTTTACAATTCATTGTATATCTTGATCATATTTTCTTAACTAATCTATTTTTTTATATAATAAAATTTACTTCTGTGTCTATTTTTAGATGAGCAATATAATTAGTATGTTGAAACAATCTCTTTCTAAGTTTCTAAATTTTCCATACTCCTAACTCAAGATCAAGGTTTTCTTATTCCCTTTCACTGATTTCACTAAGATCATCAATATTTGAATCTTTTTATTTTTCCTCTAATAATCTAATTATTCATTTCAATTTTACACTTATTTAATCATTTCGTTTAATTTAGAATTTTAAGGATCAATATCAATATTTACTAAGATAATAAATCTCAATTACTAATGCATTCTGTTTAAGCTAAAATTTAAAGTCCACTTTATAAAGCCTCGATTACCAATTCTTTATAAGTTCTTTTTTCTTTTGGCATCACTGCCCTTTTTTCAAAACATGAGTCTAAATCGAAAATTTAATATTACTTCCCATTATATAAAATAAATAAAAAAATGAAAAAATCATTTAGATTCAAGCTGATTAATTTATTTCCTAAGTTTCAGCATTTAAATAATCAACTTCTTAACTAAAATTAGATTATTAGATAGATTCACTATTTTTCTTAGAAGCAATATTATTATTTTATTACAAAAATTATTAATTAGAATAAAGGCTATTTTAAATTCTAATCGTTGAGTGTTCATCAAGTTCTTGATTTTCTAAATCTGAAATAAATTGTTTTATTGAATCTCTCAAATTATTTTCAATCTTATAAATATAGACTTTATTGTCAATTTTTTTTATTTATTTAAAAGTTTAGATTAGTTCATCTATAAACAAAAATTTTTTAGGTGTAAAGTATTCTTGATTTTGAAAAATTTTTAGTTTACTGTTAGACAGTAGTTATTTATCAGCTTAAGTTATTTCAAATTTATTTATTTCACAGAATTTATAAAACTAATAAAAAGTCTTATTATTTTATTTATCATCCTCTTATTTGTGATTTATTTGAACTATAAAATTGTTTTCAGCTGTTTTAAAATATTGTTTAATACTAGCAAGATCATTTCGTTTTGATAATTCTAAAGCCATTTTTTCCAAGTTTTCCATATATTATACATTATCATTAACATCTTTTTAGTTTTTTTCGGTTTCATACCAACAAGACATCAAATCTCTATAAAAATTAACAAAATAACAATTAGGTATATGTGGTCTTGCACGATTACCACCTAATTAATGATCTGGAAACTTGATAAAATTTGCTTAAAATTCTTCATTTGATATTTAATTGTTCTATGACATTTTTTCAGAGAAAGCCTTACCAATTTAAATAAAAATGGACTTGATTAATTTTTCATAGAGAAATTATGCAAAACCTTAGATTCTATTTGAATTTAAATAGATAACCTATGTAGTTTATGAATAAGTTTCAAACAGTTATTCTATTTTATTATCTTGTTCATTAATGCCCAATTATTCTTTAAAAATTTATTTCAAAAATTTTTGTTTCTCTTCAATTATATTAAAATTACTATCATCAATCTAATTATTATTCAATTCTATATTATCATCTTAATCATCATTCAATAATCCTGAACACTCTGTAGATTCTTCAAAAATTTAACTGAATTACAAACTTTAATTCTAATTATCTGTTAATTTTTTTGATAAAATTATGGCTAAATCATTAATAGAGTTTTGAGTATTAGTTTCTTTAAGATCTTTTTCAGAATAATTTATAAGATAGTTCAATCTAATAATTACAGATATGACTTTCATAATTTCTAGTAGAATTTGAATATATTGGTTTGGGAATAAGCTTTTGAAATTTAGGATTATATTTTTCATATTTTCTTAATCTTCTTGGTTTTAACAAAAAAAAACCTAACCTAATTTTTTATACAATTCTAATAAGTCTTAATTTTACTATTAAAATTCTGAGAAAGCTGACATGAACTCTACTAATTCAGCACCCTCAAAATATACATGGGTTGAAATAATGCTTATGATATAGTAAAATATCTTGAATGTTCCAAAATAAGGAAATGCTACTTGTTTCGATGATGGGATAACGAATATTTTTTCTAGTCCAAATGATTCAATAACAATATTATCAATGTTCCTTAATTTAATTAAGTGGCCAAGACTAAAACCTATTAAATTTTATTCTTTTTTAGATTATTTCACTCTTAAAGTTGTAAAAGACTCTATGATTAATTCAACTACTTCTAAATTATTCTTCAAAAATCTAATTATAAATATAAAGATATACTTATTTATTTTTTTAAATCTTTTCTCTCTTATTTAAGAGCTGTTAAATTTATTTTCTGCACTGTTAAAAATAGGGTTGTCTTAGTCAATTAGTTTGATATTTTTTCTCATAATTAATATTAAATATAGATTCGAGGGCCATCCATTAATTCTATTATTTTATTTTTAAATTCTATTATTTTAACTTCCATTATTCTATTAACATATAATTTTTTTTTTTTCAAATCGAATACCTATGAAAATACTGTGACAAGAACTAAAAAAAACTTTCCAAAAATCAATAATAGGGAAACTACAACTTTTTGAAGATTTAGAATTTTTAATGAATACGAGTTTGTAATATACCTCAAAATGTAAAAAGCACGGATATTTTTTTCAGATTTCAAACTCAATAAAAATATGAATAAATATTATTTTTATCAATATTTTTAAAAGAATCCTGCTTCAAAGACATAAAATAGGAAAATGAGAACTTAAAAATAATGTAGATAGAAGTGATTTAGTTAAATAGTTTTATCGGGAAACAAAAATCTGATATATGTAGTAGGAGAAATAATAGTAAAAAAATTTTAATTTGTTATTTTTCTTTTATTAAAATAACCAACAGATTCACTCAAATTTGTAATTCCTATAGAAAATATATAATAATGCGTTATGCGATTTTGTATATTTGAAGTAATAATAAAGAAAAATTAGCAGAACTATAGAAGGATTAAGAATAATTGCTGAAACTAAAGGGAAAGTTATTTGAAGAAGCAGAAATAAGACATCAGATTTGAATAAAATTTGATAAATAATTAAAACATCTCAAAAAGATTAGCTTCTGAGAAGATCATGATTCATAATAAGAACAAAAAATAATTAATCAAAGAAAATAGCCTAAAGCATGATTTCATAAGTGTTATTTAGTAATCATATATAACTCTTCAATTTTATTAATATAATGATTATGTTTAATTTCGATATCTTCAATTTATCTATGGTATTTGCTGATATTATCTGATGAACTATCTCCATAAAGTCTTTTATAAGTAAATTATTACATTTTTTATGTTTGTACTTGAGATTTGGATAATTTGAAACAATTGTCTGTTTTTTCTTAAGCCTTCTAATTTATTGATGGCAATTTTAAGTAATAGATATCTCTATCTGGAGATTATTGTTTTGTTTATTTCTTAGTTTTACCAGATTACAAAGCCTTGTTGTTCAATCTCTAAATTTATAAATTATGATTATACAAGAAGTTCTTAAGATTTCGATATTTCAGGTAACTAAATTAATCCTTTATTTTGATGAATAGAGATTTTTCTTTCAGAAAGGCAAATCATTAATAATTTATTATATTAATTGAAAACCATAGAATTTGTTTAATTCTAGAGATTTTTTAATTTATTTGTAATAAATTAATTTAATTTTGATTAATAATATGATATCATGTACAAATTGTACCCGACCATGATTTTCCTTATAATCTACACTAAACTTTATTTTTATCACCTACAGTTCCTAATCCGGCTGATATAAAATAATTAATTCCAGTATTTGGAGGTGTTGATGTAATACTAGTAGATACACAATATTTAGCACCTAAATTACAAGTAAAAGTGACTCCAGATTCTTAAGTAATAGATGCTTCTAATGCATCACTAATGGGAAATTGAAATAATTTAAGATTGGCAGCTACAACAGTTAAAGAAGTATCAGTCCATGACCAAGTAATAGTTATTGGTTTAAATAGAATATCAAAATTATTCTCAGATGCACTATAAACAGGTGGATTGATAATAGTTGGTCTTAAACAAATAACATCTGAATAGGCATTTCTAATTCCAAACATTTCAGGAGGGAATGAATACACCATTAAATATCCATTTATAGTATAAGTATAATCTGACCAATCTATTTTTGTGGAATGCTATTGTCCATTAACTGTTAATGAATTCCTTGAATAAGGTATAATGGCAAAGTTGATAAAATAGTAATTAGTTTGATAATAATTAGGCTAAAACTTAACCATTCTATATAATCCAATCAAAGCAACTGACCATATTTTTTTAATTAAATTATCTCTCATAGTGTTTTAAGGAGTTGTTAATAAAACAACAAAATCCTAATATAATTAGTTTATATACTCTTAACAATTATAATGATTAATAAACAGTTCTTTCTATATAAAAAGGATGCGAATCTGGTTAATCTTATAATGCAGTCGCTAATGCTATATATCTATCTAATATATTTCCTAACTATGTTTCAAAATTTGTAAATGTTGGTAAACTAGTAGTAAAGGATGGCATTATTTTCCAAGGATTTACTGTATACAATTAAAACATAGTTGCTGAAGTTTATGCTATTAGAGAACTCAATAAAGTTGTTCCATCACTAGCTTTATCATAAAAACCATCATTTGTTTTACTAAATCTTACAAAAGCATAATTAAGTTTTCCTTCTGATTTATCACAACAAACATTATCATATTGTAAACTAAAAGTTTCTAAAGAATCACATAAATTGGATGCACCTCCAGTTGGTAATCCAGAACCGGTTCTACAAGAAGCTACTTCATCTATCATATAACATGGAAGTGTTTGACAAGTACTTATACATATATTGTGATAAATTACGTTTCCCAATAACAATATCCAATACCAGAAATTATACTTTAAGTGCAGGCAGTACTGATTAATCCAGTGCATGGAGTTTCTCCAACAAATGTGTAAGCAGCAGATGATGTAATCAAATTTACTATTAATAAAATAAGCAACATAAATATTATTTATATATATAATATAAAATTTTATATAATTCATATTCTTGAGCATTTTTATAAATCCTTTATAGAGTTATATTGTAATTTAAATACATGTCTTAATAAAATCATAATTAAATATCATTGATTTATTAAGAGCATCAGTAAGAAAATCAAAAGCTGCAAAAAAAGTAGTAGTTTAACTGCATATACACAAGAACTGATAATAGATTGATGCAAATTCTTTACTAAAGATTTTATAAGAAAATCTCTGTAAATTTAATTTGTACTCTATTTCATAAGTCTTTGTTGTTTGTTACTATTTTCCATCAATTTTAATTAGAAAATTCAAAAATTGAAAAAATAATTTCTTTTTTATAAAATGCTTGATAATTTTAATATCTTTTAATAAGATATTAATCAAATCCCATACGCCTTAATTAATTAAGCAGATCTAGTAGATTCTGTACACTTTATCATTTTAAATTAATTAAATATATATATTTACTCTCCTATTCTGAAATTTCTCAATTATAGCCTTTTCTAGAGTATTTTGGTTGAACAGAACTTGCAATTAATTAATTTTTTCTTGATTAAATGCATCTAAAATAGTAGGGAATTTAGTAGGAGTTGCTAGAAGAATATCTAAAGTAAGTAATTGATAAATATGTTTTTATGGTGGAGTATTTGTCATCAATATATTAATGGGTACCTCAGACAATATGATTTTGCTTATCCTAAAATCTAAGAACTTATTTGGAACATTTGTTTCTCTTGTTTAACACAAACATTTTCATATAAGTTATCTATTGTTAATGGTCCACAATGAAAGTTGTTGTAAATAATTTTAGTAAGCTTTTATAACTGTGAACTGCAAATATGCCTAAAGAATAACTATTCACTTCACAATTTCTTTAGAAAATACATTATGTTGCATTGCTAATTTTATTACAACTTGATAAAAGGAACGCTGCTTTAATTAATTCTAAAAAAAGAAATAAATATCAAAATAAAATCAATTTTATTTAATAATTATAAAATTTTGAGGTATCCATTCTAGCTTGATTTTGTAATCCTTATTTAAACCCTCTAAATGAGATATCTTAATCATTATAAAATAAAAATTGTTCAATAAGCATAACTAATTCCAAATATGATTTTTTAAATTATAGCTCGATTGGTTAATGGCTTGTAATTTTACTTGTAAATGTGATGTTATTTATAGCATACTTTATGAGAATATTTTTCTCTAAAAACGATATAAGAGAATTGATCTTGCGCATTTAAATATTATAGAAATACTTATTTTGATGAGCCAATTTGATTTGGATTTAAAATAAAAAATAACGATATTACAAATTAATGCCAATATTTCAGATTTAAATAATCCTGGATTCTTCGATTGTAAATATTAAACTTATAAATATATCAGTAACCAATATCTATATTCTATATCCTTTCTCGAACTCATTTTATATATACCTTATTTATAGTTTCTGAATAGAACAAAAATTTTAAGATTATTAAAATTATATATGAAATAATATTATATTAATTAGTCATCAAATCATATTACGTATTTAATTATTAATAATAAAAATTATAATTCTATAGCTATTTCTTATGCTATATAATTGGTAATCTTTATGCAATTTTCATTATAATTATTATGATTTATTCTATTGTAAGAAAAACTATTTAAGCTATCAATTCAACATTTAAAGAAGCTATAGACTATACAAGCACTGCATTATATGATTTACTTATTTCTCATCCAATAGATTCATTAACATATGAAAAATTATGTGAAAGACTAACAGGATAATAAAAAAGAATACTTGTTGTAAATGTAGGTACTGGAGTTCCCTTGAATAAAGTTTTGGATAGATTTCCATTGAATTGTGACATTACTGCCATCGATATAAATCAAAATTATTTAAGAAAAGCGAATCAATTATTTAAAGATAAACCTTAAGTCAAATTATACTAGCTAAATTTCAACTAAATAAATCAAGCAACCTTTGGAACCTTTGATGTTATTGTATTCTCTTCATCCTTTTTTTTATTGTAATAGCCAACTGAGATATTATAATAAGCTATATCATTACTTAATCCTGGAGGAAGAATATATTTTATGGTTATCTTATCAGAATATCAATTTTTTGATACCTTTAAGTATATTACTAGCATAGATTTGCATTTATCAGCCGAAAGAGATTTCTAGTAGTTTATAGAATAATCTTAACTAAAAATAAGTCATAAATAACGTTTACAAAAAGTGACGAATATAACTACATTACTTTTAAAACTTTTTATTTATGAAACTCATGTTTGATTTTATATTATTATTGTTAACACTATTTATACATTATAAATTTATAATAAACATTTTTATCTTAAACCTAAATATCTCAGTTAGTTAATTACTTATTTATATTTAATTTCCTGATATCTTAAAATAATATTTTCAGAAATCATAATATTTTTATTTCATAATTCCATATTGTCATTTAAAATATTATTTTTTTTACATTTTGGATGCTACCTCTAAAATTTTTACATTTATAAACTATCATACTCTTTTTAACTTTAATTCTGAAAGATCAAGCAATGAAAAATCCAGATTAATGTTAGAAAATTATCTTAAAAAAAAATGAAAAAATTTGTGGTTTAAATGAGATTAATTCCTATTTCATAGGTTAAAATAGTATTGACTTAACAAACCAAAGTACATATTAAGATTTTGAAGATTTAATTGAAATTTCAAATGGACCTATTTTATATTCCCAGGATGATTTAATCTTTACAATGAAATTTAGGTAACTTATCAATGAAAATGAAATTTGTTCATTAATCTATAAGTCTCATTTCAATGCTTTTTCTATAAATTGTATATCAACATAAACCACTTATATTATCGATAATTAGTTTAAAATACTTATAAATAAATAATATTAGATTGATTTAGAAATTGAAAAAAATTTTAACTGTTCCTCATTTGATTACAATATAGAAGATTTAATTATATTTTGCTATTCATTTGATTCAATTAGACTCTACAAATTATCAAAGGAAGAAGAAAAATTCAAATAATCAATAAGATTTCAATCAGAAATGCAAAAATTTCAATGCCTATTAAAATTCCACTCATCTTTAGATTTGTTTTTTATAATATACCTACAGTGTTAGGAATGGAAAATATAAATTTATGAGAATAATTCATTAAAACTTTAGATAGATGAAATTTTTTTCAAAGAAAAAGCAAATGTTTAAGGAGAACTTCTTGATGTTTTAATATGTTAATAAAATTTAGTAATTTTGCTTTCTTCAGGAGGGTTTTAATTCTTTAATTATAAATTAAAAGAACTATTCATTGTAGAAAACTTAAAATTAAATGAAACTCTAATTGAATTTGATAATTTCTGTTCTATAAAATTTGTTGTCAAGGGTTTATCAAATGAATATTTTCGTTCTTCTTTATCAGATAAATATAAAGATTTACTTCTTAATACAAAAGAGTTTCCAAAAAAAGCATTTTCAATTTAAAATCCAAATAGTTTATTGCTTAAGTATGAAAATTTTTTAATTTTCTATGTAAATAATCATGTTCATTAGAGTTTTAAAATTTAATTAAAAGATATATTTTAACTTTCAAATTAAAACATTTACATAGGAATAGAAGAAGGAAACTAAATTAAATTAGTTTTGATCAAATATTTAAAACAATGCATACCCTATTATGATAAAAATTAATAATTCTCTAAATATTATCTTTAATTTATTTATACAAATTTTCCACCATAAAATGAATTTATTAATTGTTATCTCACCATTATAATTGATAATGATGAATTAATAAAGAAAAATGCTTTATAAATAGATTTAGTAAAGAAAAATAGTTATATAAAAAGAAAAAATTATGAGGAAAATTTTCAAATGAGTTTTAGACGATCTTCTTTTTAATCAATTAAACCTTTCAAAATAAATTTTCACTCTTCATTTAATCAAATTTAATTTTCAATAAAAGATAATTAATTGAAGTGCAAATTTAATTATTATTTAAAAAATTATAAAGGGAAATTTGTTATTAGGACAAATTAGAATCGCATTTATTCTATAATTGTCTAAGTTTCTGGAAATTAAACTAGAGAATATTATTGTGAAGATGAATAAATTTACCTTTAATTGAATATTTTATCTTTAAATGAATAGTCACTAAATTAATTTTTAAGTCCAGAAATTTTTGTGCTATTAGATTAGCAAAAAAGTGTTTATTTAAAGTTTTTTTGTAACATTAAAATTAAATAGAGATAATGAGTAAAATTGCATGCTTTGAAACATAAGTAGAAAACTTATTTTCCACTAATAATGGAATTCTGATAAAATTTAAGGATTAAGAAGTATTCTAAAAAATTATATACTCCTCATTTTAAATAATCATTGAGAAATACAAGTTTCCAAGTGAATTAAGCTTGAACTTCTAAGATTTACTTCATTTAAATCATGAAATAAATATTTTTGTGTATATAAATTAGTTAAAAATAATATACAAATAAAAAATTGTATAAAGTAAGTTTAATATTTATAATAGTTATCAATATTAGGGCAAAGGTACTTGGATTATTACCTAGATTTCAAAGTAAACAAATAAGAAGTCTGATTTTATTAGATATTAATAAAAATGAATTGCAATTTTATTAAGTTTCGATCATTGAGTTTTTTCAAACTACAACTTACGACTTAAAGGATTATGTTCCTATTCAACCTTTGAGTTTCAAAATCTATGAATCTCTGTTAATTATTTCATGTTAACATAAAATTAACTAAAAAATTTACATACTAATATTCAACTGTGCCTTTTCATCCTCTTTATATTTACTTTAATAAGTTATTGAAACATAAAATTATTATTTTTGGGTTTAAGACATTTTTTTATATTATTTTAATAATAAAAATATCTTGTGTGTTTAAGATTTAATTTATATCAACATAGAAATATAATACGATGGATTTAATAATAAAACTAGTCAAGAACTAAGCTTTCAATTGGAAATAGAAATGGAAAATATCGGAATTCCTCCTGTAAAACACGATTTTAATATAACATTTATAAATCCAAGCATTTTATAGATTATAAACAACAATTCTAAATTACTCATATAATAATAGAATCAATAAATCAATTTCAGGAATTTTTTTCTCGGAAAAATTGACAATATTATCTTGAAATCAAATAATGATTTTGAGTTGAAATATCCCTTAGAATAGAAAATGGTTTTGTAATGTTCATATTACAATAATAAGTTTTGTTTTTCTCAAAGTAATAACGAACACCTAATATTTTTCAGAATTGGATTAATTGGCTAAACTTTTTTAGTTTATAATCTTCAGCAGTTTATTTTTAATCTGACATTCATTGAATAAATTTAAGAAGATTAATTTTTGCTTTTAAATTAAATAAATAATATAACTCTTTAACTTTCTTTAGTTTAACTAAAAAATAACTTGTTTACATTGAAAAAGTAATTAAATGCAGAACCGCTTTAAAATTAATATTAAATAGCTTTCAAGTAAAATATATTGCTGATTTAAAAAAATGAATTTAAGGACAAATACTTAGTTGATATAAATGAATGGTTTTATACTAGTTTAAATATGGTTGGCCAAATTTATAGTGTAAATTCAGAAAAATATTTGTAATTATTTTACAATCCTAAAGGGTAAATAATATTAATTAATTTATTTCAAATTAGTAATTAATAAGTAAAATTCTATCAAAAGTTCGAAATATTAATTAGAGATTCTTAAATCAAAGACTACATTTTAAAATAATCATCATATAATTTCACAGGATTCATAAAATAAAATTTAACTTAAAATAACTAGATTGATCTGAGTTTATTGTTAATTAATTATTAATAAGAAGATGTCTATTGTTTAATTCGTTTATATCTTGATGATCAAAAACATGAATTTATTAATATTAAAATTCTCAGATATCCTTAATTTGTATAACCTTGTGAATATCTTTTGTTAACTGATGAGGAGATTATTCTTATGTGTGGATTAATTAAATATTTTTTTAATATGAAAAATTCTGAATTATTTTGTGATCCAATTTTTTCAACAAAAGATCTTGAAAAAATTGAAATATTCAATAGTACACATTTTTTATATTAATACTATTCTTAATAAAATTAGTCTATTGTAATAAATATAGGATAAAGAGGTGGATATTACTTATAAAAATTATCGAAAACCGAGACATAATCTATGTCTCTTGAATTTCAAGCAATTAACATTGAGAAGATGAAAATGAGTAATTAAAATATAATTAACTTTAAGGTTAAGTAGCGCTTCACCTCCAAGTGGTTTAAGCTAAGGTTTAATAAGATGAAAATTTTTCAATAAGTTTTATTTTGTTCTTGATTATTATTTTGTTACTTTTGGCATCTATTCTTTTTCTTTATAAAAAACGTTAAAGAAAATAAATAGAGCTGAAAAAAATATTTACAGCTGAAATTTCTTTAACAGAAACTAGATTGAAAATTAAATCAAATAATTGAATTATAAGAATGAATGATTATTTGTTAGAAAATATATATATTTTCATTATGAAATATCCTCAAAATTATTAAGAATTAAATCAATCTGGCAAATAATATTCCTATCCTAGGCTTAATCCTTAATTAGACTTTGGAGGTTAAGAATATTTTGGGCTCATCTCTTTTTTATTCAATTAATTTATAATATAAATAAATTAGAAGGGTTAAAATTAAATTTTTATTTAATTAAAATATTTCAAATAATTAAAAAATGAATTTGATCTTTTTAAGTTAATTAAGTTAATAAATTTATCAGACTATAAAAATATATATAAATTACAGGTACTTGATATTTTATTATTATAGGTAACAATAAATTAATATTAAGAAATTAAAAATATGATATTTAGTAAAATAGTTTTTATAAAAATGATATCTAAAAAATTCTGTTATTTACTTCAAAAATTCTTTAAAAAGATTTGAAATAAATATGAGGATTGCAAAAGAGTTTAAAAATAATTTTTAAAATTATAAAAGAGAATAGAGAATAAATAATATAATTAAATAATAAATAATATTCTTATTCATGAAAATTTACAACATATTTTGTACAATATTAAAATCTATAGCTAGTTTTAATGAGAGACATTTAGTTGATAAAATGAAATAAAAAGTGAAAGCAAGTGATGTGCGTGGTATTATAGATGAGTTCTAATTATATGAAATAGAGATCGTATACTAGTAACAGGAGTTCAAATGGAGGTGATGAAGGGAAAGGTAAATAAGGAATGAAACTGAAATTTAAAGGGAAAAGAGGTTCTGGTATAACAGAACGTTGGTTTTTTGAGATAAAGTTTTATGATAAAAAGAGTTGATTGGAGATCTTGATGAAAATAATAAAGAGTGTTTAATAGCTAAAGGTGATATTAGAGGAAAGGGAAATGCAAGAAATATAGGGAAGGACAAGATAAGAGATATTATTGGAAGTGAAAACTCAAGCAGATATGGATTTAGTAATCAGCTTTATTAACTGCTGCATCAAGAGCTTAACCAAATATAGCAGATTATCCATTTACAACATTAAATCTTTTAGTTCGTAAAGTGCAATTTGTTGATAATACGGAGATGACAATAACAAATATTGCAAGATTAATAGAAGAAGTTCCTAATGATAAAGGATTAGGACATGAATTTTAAAGACATATTGAAAGTTGCAGAGTAATCATTTAATATTATAATTATTAGTTATTATTATATTTTTTAGATGGATAAGCAGGATATATTGAAGAGTAAATAAATATATTAAAGAATGAAATTAAGGAATATAATGAAGAGATATAAAAACCTTATATTGCTCGTATTAATAAAGCTAATTTGATAAAAAAAGATTATGATTATTTAATGATTAGCGCTAAAAATTGTTAAATGTTGGCTAATTACTTTTGAAATTTAAAGATTAAATAAAAAAATAAGAAATGAAATTCAAATCTTTAAATAAAAAGAAAAATTAAATCAAAAAAATTATCAAATATAAAGATAGTAGCTTGAAAAATAATTATTAGGATCAACAGAAAGATCTAATTGTAATTAATTGATTTATATTTGTTTATAAAGATTTTACATTTGTCTTCATAACTATAAATATTCATATATAAATATCATTTTTTAAGAGTCGTCCCAAACGGCTAAGTATTTTCCATCTTCAGCTAACGTTCCATAACAATAGCAATCTTTACAATCAATAGGTTCACAACATTGAATTAATTAATCATTCAAAGTATAAATATATCTATTATGTTTCAATATTAGTATGTTTTATTGCTTATTATAAATACAAGGAAATAAATTTTCTCCGTCACATTCCTTGTTTAATTATATTTTCTCTTATTTTTCAATATATTTTTCATTTTATTATTCAAATACTTATATTATACCTTCACTCCAAAATAAACAAACCAATTTTTAATTAAGGAAGGACATCCTACATATAAAATCATTGTTTGTATTATTTATTACATATTAAAATTACCATTCCGTATTTTTATTTTTCATCCAAATAATTAATTTTTTATCATTTCCAGATGAACAAAGTATAGTTTCTATCTCATTTAAACAAACGCAATCTATACTACCAGTATGTCCTTTCATAACTTAAATTTAATTTAAATCATAATTCTTCTTTATCTCGCTTATTCTTATAACATTCTCTTTGCTCCAACTAATCAATTAATTCATTTTCTCATCAAATATCATTCCCATAACACATTGTTAATGTAAATCATGACTTGTTGAAGTCCAAACATTGATCCCAACTTTTCTCCAAATCCTTATTGTCTTGTCCTCACTTCCAGATATTATAATTTCTTATTTCATACTTTATGCTAAACAAATTACAGGTTTTTCATGTCCAGTTAATATTGTAGGAGTCACATTTAATTATCCTTAAACAAATTTCCACAACTTAATTTTTTACCCAGCTCCTGTTATTAACATTGAGTTATTTTTATTAAATGTTAAACAACAACAAAATTCTTATTAGTATTTTTTATCTACTAACTTCCATTCCTTTTTTATAAAATTATGGGGATGCATTTTTTCATATTCTTTTAACAACATATTTAACTTTTCTGTTATTCCTTAAACTTTATTATTTAAATCATTTAACACTTCTTCAAATCTAAAACAATTTAAATAACTTTATTTAAAATCCAATTTCTTTTAGTATATTTATTCAGATATTTTTTTCTAAAAATCTCCTTCATCATTTTAGATCTAAAGAGGCTTAAAAGGTATAAATAAAAACAATTCTTTGAAATTTTCTTAAATCTCATCTTTAATTTTATTCAATTTTTGATTTATGTATTGAATTTCTTTTTGTTATCTCTCCGCAATCTATTTAGAGATTTCATTACATTTCTAACAATATAATTCTTGATTCTTGAAATGCATATTAAAAAAAAAGAATATAATAATAATTAAATAAAATATAACTATGGCCTTTTTAGATAATTAAGAATATTAAAATAGAAATGATCCAATTAAAAATTTATAACCTTAAGGCATATCTGGGAATTTATTAAAGAATAATAATGGAACTATAATTCTAAAATATGAACTAAAAACAACAACATCATAATAATAATAACATAAGGAAGTGATAATAAGAGATATTGTATTGCAAAATGTAATGGCTTAATTAAAGGCAGAATATATAAGAATTTTAGATTATACATTTTTAATAGAAAATAACAAAATTGTAGTTTATATGGTAATCTAAAATTAATTTGAAAATCCTGAAAACAATTCTATTATATTTTTTTTTCTCAGATTATTATTAAAAAGGTTCAATTCAAGAAAAATAATAGTTGTTTAATCATTTCCTTGAATTTTCATTAAGGTTAGAATAAGAGAATTCAAAAGTAAATTTAGTTCAAAGAAATTATTTAATTTATTCCAATATTAAATTTTTTATAACAATTTTAGGATGTAGTTAGAAGCTAAATATTTTTGAACTTAATGATCAAAACATCATGAACAAACTAAGAGAGTATAAGAATTAGCAAGTTGAATTAAATTACTTAGATGAATAAAATAAAAGCAGATAAAAACAAAAATTATAGGTATGATATTGATATTGGGCTTTTTATTTTATAATTTATTCTAGGTTAGACAAATAAAAATTAGATTAAGTAAGGTTTAATTAGATATTTTGGAGTAATGGAGGCAAGTTTAAATTAAAAGCTCTTAAACTTTTAAAAAATAGTACTTAAAAACCTGATCCAAATTTAATTTATTACTTAAATGAAGAAGAATTAATTAGGTTGATTAAAGATGAAAATTTGCTCTAAAAATTATTTTATATAAAATTAATAAATATCTTGAAATACTAAAAAAAATGTCCTATGTTCCAGGAAATTTAAATGATTTTATGAAGGAAGTTTTTAAATTTATACCTATTAAATATTGTGAAAACAGTTAAATAATAGAAAAAATGAATATGATCTAAAAAAAAAAGATTTCATTATTTAAGATTTAGAATGTAAAACTAGAGTAGTCTGATTGTTGACAGTCAAAAAAGAAATGCAAAACGCATTAACTAAAGATGATACTAGGTTCAATGAAAGTGAATTGGCAAATCTTAAAGATTAAATTGAACTCTTAAAAAGTTCAACTAATAAAAGATTATAAATTATTAACAAAAAAAGAGAAAAAATAGAAAAAGAACATTGATTTTATTAAAAAAGAAAATCAATAATAAATTGCTTAGGGAGGATTCATATCAGTATTTATTTATATATATTTTATTTCAGGGAAATGTTAAACAATTATAAGATATTTCTGATATGTAGAATAAAAAGAATGTTAGATGGGGAGAAAAACAACAAGAATTCTGAGAAGATAAATTTATGTAAATATAAAATTATATTACAGTTAAATTGCTCGTAATTATAAATTATTTAAGAAAGCCAAGGAACTGGCTGAAGAAATTGAAATCTTAAGAGGTTAACTTACAAAACTTAAAGCTAACACATTTGCTTATTTCTAACAAGTCCATCGTTGACTAAATCAAATTAAGAAATAATTAATTTATTCCAATTTATTCAAAATTCAAAAATAAACTTATATCTTCTTCTATTAAACTAGATAATAGTTAATAAGACGTTTGATATTTTCTTGATTCTTGATATTTTTTATTTTATTTCATCGATTGTATAATTTTTATAACTCTTTTTTTGTAATTGTTATGTCATTTGCTTAAATATATATATTTGAAATTTTAAAAGATCCACATAAAATGCCAAATAAAATATAGTTATCAATTAATTAACTATTATTATTAAATTCTTGCTACTTTTAATTTTTAAATATGCATGTCTTACAACTTTAATAATAGCAATAGAATTGATGAATAAAATAATTACTTGGATAAATATTCAAAATCAGAATTATTATTATAATCCCATAGAACTTAGATCTTTAAGATTTTTTATAAACAGTCATCTCTGATAATTTCAAATTAAATATTTTCCTCATTGTATTTTAATTACAAAAAGCAAACCAAGTTAAAAAAATTCTAAATTACTTTAAAGTTATCTCAGTTATTATTATTATTTCTTCAACTTGTAAGTTCTAGATAATCAATTAATTCAAATATAATAAATTAATATTTTATTCAATAAAATAAACTGAGAACTAATATTGATCAAAAAAAAAATTATTTTAAAGTCTTGAAATTAGAATTAAGAGTTATTGTTTTAAAATTTCCATTTTCTTATGATAAAAAAATACCATATCATAATTTATAAACTTTTCTATTGCTCTAAAAAAATGATTCGAAAATAGTTCATCTCTTTGGAATATTTTGAATTAATTTTATTTAAGTTAAAATTTTGATACATTTAATACTCTAAGTTTAAAAATCTTTTTAGCAAATGATAGGGTTTCTATAATAGTTAAACTGGATTGAGGTTACACTTGTAAGAATTTTTAAATTATCATTTTTCTTACATTTATTAACAATCATATAATTTTTGTTTCGCCTTAATTATTTAATCTATGTTCAAAATTTTTCTTAAACACTTTAGGAACTTAAGAATGGAATTTTAAGTGCTGATCATAAATTTACCAATACTCATTTTAATAATGTTAGTGGTTGGATTATCTCACTATTTGTAATATACAGTTATATTTAATATGCTTAAAAACTAATCAAATGAATTGTTAACAAATTAGGAATACATGGCATTGTCATTAGTTTCAGCTGAATTGCAAAAATATATAAAATATAAACACAATTTTTGTATATGCTATTTATATGATATTAGATATTTAAAGATTAGAACACCTAAATAAAATATTTAGTTTTGTTTAGACTGAATAAGAGAATTATAAGAATATGAATAATTTAAAAAATTGTCTGAAATTAGAAGAAATTCGAGATAACCTTATAGAGTTCGATGCACCTTAATTTTGTTATATCGCATGTGGATCAAATGATAGAATAACATTGCCTATTTAAGATAAAATTATAAATATCTTTAACTAAACAACCTAATTGATAAATCAGTTTACTATAGCTTTGGATGCAACTGAAAATTCAATAATTTCAATGGTTGATTTTACTGACTCAGTTTATTTTGCTGCATATCCTCGTTTGTTATTATTAATGAAATATAATCCTCGTACAAGGCCTTGGTATTTAAAAAATAATTATAAAGGTATAAAAATCATTTGGAAGGAATGAAGACTTAACCTGAAAGAAATTATCATTTCTCTCCAATTTATAAGAATTATGCAAAAAACATTTATTAGATGTCAATAACATATTCTATATCAGGAAAAGCTTTATCAAATATAGGAATACTAACTTAAAATGTTGAATTAAATGATACAAATATTGTAGAAACTCCTTATAATGTTATAGTAACTAGTGAAAATGGTGAAGTTGTTCTTTAAGGAATAGAATCAATCTAAAATTTGGTATATTATCTTATTTTAAAAATAATAGATCTATATAAAAGATTACATTTTATTCATTAATGATACTAATCAAACAGGCTTTAATGATAGTGATTGGCAATAAATGAAAAGAGTTGCATAAGGCAAAGAAATTCAAAACAGATGCAACGAATTCAACACTTATGCATTTTGCTTATACAACAAATACTTTAAAAAATATGTTATTTTTAATGCCACTTTAATTAAAGAGGGAAGCTTTTACATGATTATGTAAATATTCTAAATTTTATTGATTAGCTATTCCAATATCACTTCTTAAATTATTCTTAATAAATAATTAGATATTATCAATGATGATATATAATCATAGCTTTCCTAAAGTCAATATACTCTTCTTATTTCAGGATTAACTTTATTATTATTGGCGGTTTTCATAATTCATTATATATTCCTTCCATTAAAAGATCTTATGAAAACACTTTATTTCTACATTAAATAAAGAGGAAATAATATCAACAAAGAAATTTTTAAATTGTTCAATACTAAAATGAAAGTAAAAAGTAACAATACTTTTTCGGATTTAATGCAAGTATTTTTAAAGTTTGAAGCAAAAATGAATCTCAGCTAATAAATTAAAAATAAAGATTGTATCTTCTTTGAATAAATACAGTATTAAAAATAAGCAAAAAATGAACTTATAAATCCACTAGAAGTTAATTTAAATAGTATCACAAATAATCCTTTGACTTTTAGCTCGATTAAAAATATATTTGATTTATTAAAACTTAAATTATTTAATTTGTGAATTTAAATTATTATGAAAATTAAAAAATCATTAGAAAGTAATAACTTCGAAAGAAATGATACTTTTTAAAAATAAAGATAATTACATATTTCATAAATTAAATTTTTTTCAAAGGCTATTTATTCTGAAATCTATATTTTGAGATTTTATTATTATAATTTCATTGCCAATTAAATATTCAACATCTTGTTATCTAGATTTAAAAATTAAATTTATTGAGTTATGTATTTCATTCAAAAATGTTATACAAAGAATAAAAATCCTATCTTAAACTTTTAATTGCTTAACGAATTGGGAAGATTAGCAGTATTATTTATATTCTTTTTGGGTTTCGATATTCAAAACGATATTCAATTAAATTAATTTTTGTAAAAAATTATCTATGAGTTTGAAAATATGTATGTATGATTGAATTCAACTATTTTAATCGCTTTGTCAANAGGCTTTAATGATAGTGATTGGCAATAAATGAAAAGAGTTGCATAAGGCAAAGAAATTCAAAACAGATGCAACGAATTCAACACTTATGCATTTTGCTTATACAACAAATACTTTAAAAAATATGTTATTTTTAATGCCACTTTAATTAAAGAGGGAAGCTTTTACATGATTATGTAAATATTCTAAATTTTATTGATTAGCTATTCCAATATCACTTCTTAAATTATTCTTAATAAATAATTAGATATTATCAATGATGATATATAATCATAGCTTTCCTAAAGTCAATATACTCTTCTTATTTCAGGATTAACTTTATTATTATTGGCGGTTTTCATAATTCATTATATATTCCTTCCATTAAAAGATCTTATGAAAACACTTTATTTCTACATTAAATAAAGAGGAAATAATATCAACAAAGAAATTTTTAAATTGTTCAATACTAAAATGAAAGTAAAAAGTAACAATACTTTTTCGGATTTAATGCAAGTATTTTTAAAGTTTGAAGCAAAAATGAATCTCAGCTAATAAATTAAAAATAAAGATTGTATCTTCTTTGAATAAATACAGTATTAAAAATAAGCAAAAAATGAACTTATAAATCCACTAGAAGTTAATTTAAATAGTATCACAAATAATCCTTTGACTTTTAGCTCGATTAAAAATATATTTGATTTATTAAAACTTAAATTATTTAATTTGTGAATTTAAATTATTATGAAAATTAAAAAATCATTAGAAAGTAATAACTTCGAAAGAAATGATACTTTTTAAAAATAAAGATAATTACATATTTCATAAATTAAATTTTTTTCAAAGGCTATTTATTCTGAAATCTATATTTTGAGATTTTATTATTATAATTTCATTGCCAATTAAATATTCAACATCTTGTTATCTAGATTTAAAAATTAAATTTATTGAGTTATGTATTTCATTCAAAAATGTTATACAAAGAATAAAAATCCTATCTTAAACTTTTAATTGCTTAACGAATTGGGAAGATTAGCAGTATTATTTATATTCTTTTTGGGTTTCGATATTCAAAACGATATTCAATTAAATTAATTTTTGTAAAAAATTATCTATGAGTTTGAAAATATGTATGTATGATTGAATTCAACTATTTTAATCGCTTTGTCAATTATTATGAATCTAATTTTCATTAAATATTATGAATATTTTTAAAAGAAAATTATACCAGTAATAAATAAAAAGTTCATAAATTTCTAGAATTAGATATTTTTTTTGGATTTAACAGAAATATTTATACGATTACAATTCTAAGTTGAATTAACGTTTTATTACTATTATTTTTTGACATTTTTATTTTCGTTAGATTTAACAATCTAAAATACATTATTTAGATATTTTTTTTTAATTTACAATTTAATTAAGAGTAATTCAAATCTTTATCTTGAAAGTCTGAATAATATTTTAGAAATTTTGATTATTAATTATTAATTTATCAATTAAATAACCAGAAAAGATAAGAAAAAAAAAGTAAAAATTCGATAAAAGCGAAATAATTATGCAGGTTGAGATGAAATAAGATTACACTAGTGTTAAGGAATTTTTTATTAATCATATGAATAAATTGTTAGAGATAAATTGAGTTTTCTTAATAAGGTATCATGAAAAATGAACTAATATAAGATAAGGTGAAATTCTAAGGTGGCCAATAACAATTAATTATAAAATTCATCAATTTTTTCTTACTTTAGTATAGTATTTTTAATGTATAAAATTATTACCAAAATATATATTTCTATAAAAGATTAAAATAGAAGATTGTAGATTTAATAAAAACAGTATGCATGATGAGTATTTATCTGTTCTTAATTGTTCCTAAATATGAAGCTATTTATCTAATGGGGTTTTATTTGGGAAGAAAACTCAAAATAATGAAAAAAGGATGATTTTAAAAGATTATAAGATTGAATTAATGAAATATTAAGTAAATTTTTGGAATTTTTATTGGGTCAGAAGAACACAAAGATTTTAGTCATAAATGATATTTTTAGAATTTATAACAAATATAAAGTTGTAATAAAATATTAGAAATTATAAATTTAAGATGGAAGAATTTCATTGTATAATACATTATCCAGCAGGAGATAAGAAGTTCGATGTGATTTTGGATAATAAAATCACGATAGAAGATTTGGTGGAGGAATTTCTATAATAAATTATAAAAGTTAAAACAGAGAAGATAACATTTATAAAAGATGGAATAATGTTACAACCTAATATTCCTCTATAATAATAAATAAAAAGGAATGATACAATAATTATGAATTCTGAAGCAGTTGGAGGATTAGGACAGTGATCTATTACGATTGAATATTAATTTAAAATTTAAATGTTAAAGTGTTTATCAAGAAAACTAGAGATAACCAACAGTCCTTAAATATATAGATTAAGTAAAGGAAGATATAAAGAAGAAGAATTGATAGATGTAGGAGGATACTCTTAAATTTGGAAATGTGAAGGATTTGCAATAAAAAGAATGTTAATAAATTCCTAGGAAATTTATTTAATGGCAAGATAAGAAATAAATATGATGGTATAGTTATAAGAATGAATAAAAAGAAAAGATTGCCTGAACACCCAAATATAGTGAAATTGATTGATTATGGGGAAGTAAGGATTTAAAATAAGTTGTTTTTTTGTATAGTGATGGAATTATGTGAGATGAATTTATAATTGATGTTATAATAAGAGATATTAACAGAATAAAGAACAATAGAGATATTTAAATAGATAGTAGATGGATTAGAAGTTTTACATGCAGAATAAATTAGTCATAGAGATTTGAAGTTGGAAAACATAATTATAAAACGAGGTACTTGTAAAATTTGTGATTTTGGTTCAGCCTCAAATGAAATAATTGATATTAGTCAATTAAATTAAGATTAATAGAATCAGATGGACGAATTATTTAATAAAATAACTACAATAACTTACAGGCCTCCAGAAATGATCGATGTTTTTAGATAACAAATAGTTGATACCAAAGTTGATATATGGCAATTAGGATGCATCTTATACAGTTTATGTTTTAGGAAGTCTCCTTTCTAAGATATTAATAAACTCTTTATTGTAGAAGCTATTTTTGAATTTCCGGAATCTTAACTTTCTGAGAACACTTTAATACTTATTTAGAAAATGTTACAACAGGATCCAAGAAAGAGACCGAATTTAAAGGAAATAAAATTATTACTTTATGGTGGATGATTATGAGGATTTTTATAAAATAAATTATATTAATTCTCATTATAAATAAATTAATGAATGGTCTTTACAATTAGTTTGATCTTAATAATTACTTACCAACAGCTTATGTAGTGGAAGTTGTCCCGTTATGTTCGATATCAGATAATTAAGTTAGATCTGAAAGAGTAGGGGACCAAGATCCAAGAATTTATAATGTGTATAATCAAATCAAAGATAGAATCACATAATAAACTAACTTAGTAGATAAGATAGCCAGATTTGTTAAAGAAGATGAAGATAAAGAAGAAGATCCTGATTAATCAGTTGAAGTGTAGACCAGATACTTTAATCTTGATAGTATTGATGTACTCTCAAAAGGAGTATGTCGAAGATGCAAACAAGTAATTGCTACTGATAACCAAAGCCTGGCCATTATGAAAAATGGTGTGTTGAAGATGTTGCTGAACCTAAACTGACATGTCGATTTTGCTTAGGAGATCATTATTTCTTAAAATGTCCTAATAGTTTGTGTTTTAAATGCAATCAATTTGGGCATATGGCAAAAGATTGTGATGTTGAAGGCTACAAATGTCATAGATGTAACAAAAAGGGACATAAATCTAAAGATTGTAATGTTATCATTATAGATGATGAAAATATATTTGAAAAAGATAAACAAAGACTTAAAGATCTTTTATGTTTAAATTGTTAGGAAAAAGGACATTTGAATTGTTTCTCTAAAGGGTATAAAAAATATGATTTACTTTATTGTGAAGGAAAAGAGTTAAAAGAAAGAGAAAAAATGAATAAAATAGATCACTCCTCTAAACATAATAATTAACATCATCATTCACATCATCATCATTAACATCATAGTAATTAACATCATCATTAACATCAAAATTAGCATCATCATTAACATTAAAATCCAAATAAATAGAAAAATTTTTAAGAATAAACTTAAAATTTACCACATAAAACTATTAAAACTATCTAAAAATTAAAATATCATGAATAAGAATCATCTTCATAATATTCAATATGGTCAGAAGAATCACCTAATACTAAAAGGATGAATAATAATAAATTAAGAAAAAATAAGAAAAGATAGAAAAAGTAGTCAAAATAATTTTATTGATTTTATTATTATATATTTCATAATCCTTAAGAATATCCCGCACAAAAAAAAGAAGCTTTTCGATCTAAAAATTCGTAGAATGGATAGAGAAAGAATATTTAATTAAAAAATAATTCTAACTTACCAACATAATCAAATAAAACTAAAAGACAATTGGATTAACAAACTTAATACATTAAATTTATTTATTTTTATTAAATTAGAAAGTTTAAGACTTAAAGAAGCTACATTAATTTGTATTTAATTAGTGTTTCCATCAACAAAAGTGTAAAACTTGCTTAGAATAAAGAATTTTTAATTATAAATAATAAATTATAACATAGCATTCCTAATTTAATGATAAAAGAAGTTTAATATGATGTAATTAGAACTCTAGCTAATATCTGTAATCATTCTTTTTATTTTTAACAATAACAATAAGATCTACTTTAATCATTAAAATTTCATAAATCTTGACTTTTTTGAAATTTTTTATAAAAGTCATCGTTTTACTCACATATAATGAAATCTGTAAGTGCAAAAAGAGAACATATTATAAAAATATGATAAAAAACCATACTATATGTATCAACTACTTTTATCATTAACAGATGCATAAGATTAAAGAGATGTTATGACTAATTTTATTTCATAGATTCTTATATACTTAGGTAATATAGCTAATAAATGACCTGAAATCTGTTAATTTTTAGAAAAATGATTCGATCATTTTTTGGAATTATGTTCACAAAATGATATATTTATTTTTGTAAGCATAATATATGTCATGGATAATACATAATTTAAGCATTAAAGATATAAATTCTTAATGATCTTTTAAAGAGAATGAAATACTTGATAATTTTAGAAAAAGGAATCAATAAAAAGAAATGCGATATATTAAAAAATAAATTTATGCAAACACTTAATATCAGCAAAATGAAGAAATCGATAACAATTTGATGAATCTATAAAAGTAAAATATGTTATTTTTTGTTTAAAAGGAGAATATGAAGAAACAAATTTGAAGTATTAAAGTAATTTTCATTAATAGGATATATACCTTTTTGAAAAGCAGGCATTTTAAGATAAAAATAAGTTTTTGATTATTTTAGAAATCTCTTTGGTAGCATTTGTTTTGCATGAAAAATAAAATTGTACAAAAGAGATTTAATATAAGAAAGTACTTGAAGATATAAAGTAGATAAAACTGAAATTAGAATTACAATATAATGAGAACAAAGATCTTAGATCTATTTCGATAATATTTTTAGCTCTTATAATGAAAATTAGTTTATATAATGTAATATAAAAATGGTAAATTTTCTATCCATTTCATAAGAAAATGGAGAGGAATTAATTTAATACGCCCGGATAGCTCAGCTTGGTAGAGCGAGAGACTCTTAATCTCTAGGTCCAGGGATCGAGACCCTGTTCGGGCGTAAATTTTTTATTTTTAATAACCATATAAATATTTAATTTAATATTAAAAAAATCAATAGTAATATTTATTCTTAATTATGAAAAATAAAAAAGAAATGAGAGAGTAATATATATTAAAATAATAATTGATTTTAATGAAATATGAAAATGAAGGAATATCATCTACTTTGTCTATTAATATAAGACTATTAATAAGCTTCTGAATTACCAAGTGTTGATTATTCAAACTAAGCTGATTATTAAAGAACTGGTAAATCCATTGCTGATTATACATACTTTTTAGGTTCTTAATGAAATAATGAAAAACATTCAGTGGCACATAATGTTATTAGTTTACCTGAAATTTCAGAGCATGATTCACATTCTACCATTTCAGTTGGAACTTTCTTACAAACTAAACAAACTAGTTTATTCTATAATTTAGCAGGTGGATTACATTTCCTAGGAATATGGAAATTAATTTTAGGTAATAATTCCATATCTTGAGGATTAAAACTACCCATAATATCAGTCACAATTCCTATAGTAGAAAATCTTGGTTAAGCATTTTAAAGTGTATGATGTGTTTCTGAAACATTAGGAATATTTTTCATTTTTGTTCTTAATAATTATTTAGCTAAAGTAAGTCTAAATTCTAAAAAATTAATTTAAGAATTAACTTTTTAAATACTTTTAAAAGCAACAAAACTATTCCAAATAACAATTTCTTACATTTCAGTATAAATAGCTCCATTAACAGTAGCAGATGAAAATAAACATTTATAAGCATCTGACAAAGCAGGAAATTATTCTACTAATTTAATATATTCTTAATAAATAACAACTGCATAACTCTTTTTATCTTAACTAGTATTTCTATGAAAACCATCAGCTGTAGAAGCAAATACTTTGAAATCTGTTTAATTTGGTGTTAATAATTTAAGAAGCATAACATGATTATTTGTAACTAATCCTTCTTTAAAATCTATCTTTGATGTCTATGTACTTGTTGCTAATATACCACATGAATATATAGCAAAGAATTCTACTAATATTTATACTTATTCAAGAGTTAATAATTCTTACTAAAAATACAATTTGTGATTCTTATGTTTATATGGATCCAACATATTAAATATTGTATTACTGATATTCTCTCTATAACAAAATCTAATTGCTATTATATATTATGTTTAAACATCCATAAGTAATATACATTCTATCGATCTTCCTTATAAATCTTATGCTTCAAATAAATTGTTTTTTATTATTGCTAAACATTATCCTGCATCATGAGATATTCGAAATTTCTTATTCAATTTCTTTGTTAAATAACTATAAACTTCTCCTTCAACTTTGAATTTCTTTTCTACATCTTCTTACTTTAGATTATGATACTTTGCTTAAATCATTACTTCATCTCTTAAATTTGTATTTTATTCTAAAAATTTAAATCTACCAACCTTTATTAATTCTCCTATCTTATTACGAAAAGGTAACTTATCATTAAAATAATCTTCTGGATCAGGCATTCTATTATAACCCATCAATATCTTAACTCCAAAATACTCATAAATCTGATCCAACTTAAACAACCTTTTTTTTACATCTTTCTCATGTTACTCAGAAAAATGATCTTTCATCTAATCATTTATCATTTTTAATATACTTTACACTATCTATCTATGAAACAATGAATAATATATATCTTTTGCATCATTTGTTACTTATGATTTCCAAAAATTATAAGCATTTCTCTCTCCTTAAAATGGTAATTATTTTGTTGTTGTGCTTGATGCATTTATTCCTAGCCATTTACTTTTTTAATAAAAATCTGGATTCTCTGCTAACTTTTTACCAATCTATAATCTCAATTATTCTGATCTTATACTCTACCCTATTGCATGTTCATGTTTTAAAGGCTCTTATTTATCTAATTTTATTGCTGCAGCAGGTAATTAAACTTCACAGTCTATTACACTATGATTTATCTGATTTCCTTCTGTATTTATTTATACTACTCCTTGTTACTCGCTATTATTATTATTATCTATTTATTCTTCATTATTCACATTCGAATCTACAACTTTATCATTTTCTTATTCAATATCCATTTTTTTTATTATCTTTCATTGTAATTTTTCACCCTTTTTAAGGATATTCTTTACCAGGAAAATTTTTTAATTATTGTATACTATATTTTGCACTTTTTTTACCTTCAAATATCTACAATCCTAATACCTATAAAAATTTCTAATTACACTTATATTCAAATTCTTATTGTTCTTTATCATTTATTATCTTATATTAAATTTTATTAATAAAATCCACTCCATTTTTTGTTAATTGTTATTGATCAAATTTCCCAAAATTCTCAATTTCCAGGTTCCCTATATATCAATTTTTATAAGACTTCATAAGAAAATTATTAAAGTAAATAATTATTACAAAAATCTGATTTTTTAAACAATATTATTTTAAAATTGTTTTATAAGATTTTCAAAAAATATTTTCTTTACAATTTTCAAAAAATTATCAATTTTATATATAAAATTCAAGATTACTCTCAATTATAAATATATTTACACATCAAGATAATTAAGATTTAATAAAAAGAAATTTTTTTAATATTGATTAATTAAGGAAAAAAAACTATAATTAAACAGAACTCAACTTAAAAATTATAAGCACAAAAAAATTTAATCATTAATCAAATAGTTATTGATTTAATGATCGATTATTTTGAAATTGTTTATTTATATTTTCTTGATTTATTAAATAATTGAAAATATAAAAACTAATTTATTTTGTCATTAAGTAATTAATTTACCATTTCTGAATTCAACATCTCTTTCAGTTTTATCCTAATTTAACCATTTCCCTTTACCATGTTCTAAATTATTTACAAAGGTCCCCCTGTATTATATATATTTATCTTTCCTATTTTCCTAAAGGGCTATTTTTTAACCATATCCCTCCTTTTTACTATTTTAAAATTCTCCATTATAACTAAATCCTTATTCATAATCTATTTCTTATCCGAAGTTAACTTATTAATCGTCCTAGAAATAACCCTTAGATTTCAGCATTAATCTATAATAATTGACTTTTTTAATTAGTTACGGAAAAAATACTTTTAAAACTCCATCACCCTGTTTTTTATTATTATCAAACTATCCTTTATATAAATAAATCCTTTATTCCTTTTTAACTAGTTCCCAACCCCATAATAATTATCCATATTTAAATATGCCAAACTAAATAAAATTTTCATTTATCTATCTAAACCCTAAACCATGACATTTTTTATTAACTAAAAATCCATTATATTTGCTTGTTATCTAAAAGTCTTCAAATTATTTTAAATACTCTTTATATTTACGATTTATTTTCATTAAATAACCGAAGTTTTGCTATAAAAAATCTGAAATTTGAGGGTCTAATTCTTTTGGTAACATATCTTATTGTATATATACCTTGAAATATTTTCTTTTATCAACTTATTTGACCTTTGGAAAAATTTCATTGATTGCTTTTAAATATTTACTAATATCTCTTTGATTATCATCTAAACAACTATATAATACATTTAAATATTCCCTTTAGACTTTTGTAGTTATAGAATCATATTCTTCTTATTACAACAAACATTCAGGTTTTTTAAATTAAATGAACTCTCTTACTTTAAATCTTGTTTTTAATGACAAATTAAATGGGAATATTTCAAAACCATATATTTTTTTTTCTCTTTACTTAATTTCCAAAATTTCTGTATGATGTGGATTGTTATTTTTATCTAAATAATAAATTGAAGTTATCTTTTATTCTTAATCTTATAAATTGATATTGAAATTGGCATCAATCTTGATTTCCTTTTTTCTTAGTTTTTTTAATTATTTTATCATTTCAGATGAAAAGTATGGCAATAATAATTTGCTTTCTGTTTCAAATTTAATTTAAAACTATTCCATCTACGAAATCATATACAATTCTAATTTATTATAGTAATAAATTATGTTCGGTTCTGGTAATTCTTAATGAATATTGAAGTAATATTCTAATGCCTTCTACCTATTTTCAGCTAGAAATATATTGTTTTTAATCAAAACTTATATTTTTTCTTCATATTAATTACAAATCTTTTAAAGTTCTTCTAAATACAGTTTAATATCACAAAGATCAAGTTGTAATAACTCATGAAAATCCAAAACTCTATAAATTTTTTTATCCAAGGCATTTTCAGCTAAAAAGTCTTTTAATACTGAAATTTTTTATCCCTTTAATAAAAGCATAGATTTATTTAACGATGAAACAAGTTCGTGATGAATAAATATAGTTTTACTGTCTATATTTTCTAAAGGAATGATTGGAACAATAGGTTCAATAACTTCATCTTTTTACTCTATTTTAAGTTTATTTCCAATATCCTTATCAATCATTAAAGAAGACTAAAAAATAATTTTATTATCTTATTTTTGAGAATATTCATAAGTAGGATAAAATAATTCTTTTAATTCAGTACCAATATTACTATCAATTTCTTTAATTATTTTTATTTTTTCATCTAATTTTTCGATATTCATTGCTAAACAGGATTTGATATTTATTTCCCCTTTGAGAATTTCCTCTGGAAAAAATATTTGAATTATGATTACTCCTATAGCCCAAGAATCTAAATAAGAATCACAAAGGGTATCTTCTATTTTTTTTGATTTTTTAGCTTAAGTCATCTTAACTCTTAATTCATTCAATTATACTTCTCTTAGATAATCTATATCATCCAGTATTTCTAATACTGCTTTAGGATTATATTAGCAGTATTCTTATTGCCATATCTTTTCTTTCTATGCTGAAAATTATTTAATGTAATTTTAATAAAATGTTCTATTACTTCCAAAATCTGTTAAGAGAATATCATCCTCAAAATATAGTAAATTATTAGGCTTTATATTCAAGTGGGAAATTTCCCATTAGGATAATGTTTTTTAGATTTCTAATAGTTTAAGACTTAAATTTATTTTTTACTTTAATCCCTTTTCATCATCCTGACAATTCTGTTTTGCATAACATAAAATAGGTTGACATGAATCACCATAAAAATAAGCAATTTTAATGACAATAAAAAACTACTTTTTTTTATATGTAGTAAAATCACTAATTCTCAAAGCTTAATTTGGGTATTTTTCAGCAAACTTATATTAATTTTAGATTTCTTTTCTGATATCTTATTAAAATTAATCTTAATATTTTCCTCCTATCTTTCGTTTTTTTATCCAAAATTAATCTTTATTTATTTAAGAAATAGAATTAGTTGTAAAGATCTTTGAGGATTTTTATTAAAACGGCTTGTACTTCTAGTTAAATTCCTCTTTTTTTAGTTCTCTTTTCATTTAATATTTTAATAAATATTATATGGAAAAAAATATTTATTCTACTTAAAAATGATTCCAAACAATTAGAAAATCTTAAAGATTTTAACAAAAAAAATTAAAAATTATTCATAAAAAAGAAAAAGTAGAAAGAAACTAATTACTCTAAGAGAAAATTTAAAAAATATTTTAGAAAACTATGTAAATTTATTGAAATCTAAATATACCATAAAGGATGAGTTATATTGAATTAATCTTTAAAAAGAGTAATTCAATATATATATAAAAAGGGTAAGATTAATGAACAAAGTTTGTGAAAAAAATAAATTAATAAAAAAATAAATAATTTATTTAAATAAAGAGGAATATATTTAAAAAAGGTTGATAATGTGAAAATAAATGAAAACTATACAACCTAGATATGAGAATATAATCTCATTATAATTATTTTTTAGTTTTAGAAATACCATAATTTCTTTCTAAATAATCTATAGTGGGAGTTGTAAGAAGAGCTTAACAAAAATAAGCTATAATTCTAGCTTACCATCCTGCATATAAACCTGTAAGACCATAATTTTGATAGACAATCTTAAAAGACTAATACAAAGAGATTTTTCTATAATTTTAGTTTTCTTCCATTTAGACTAGAGTTTTGATTGTATCAAAGGGATGAACTAGAATATAGATGATGAATATTACCTGCTAAAATGTTAAGAATACTACTCAAAGATGAAGCAATCAATGAATTAACTATAGAAAGTGGTTATCCAGGTTCTGCTTTTAATGCATAACGGACTTTATGATCCCAATATAAATAATTTGTCCATGAAACCACTTATCTCGTAGTTTGAATTCTGAATCCTACATAAATAGATTCAAAGTAATATATTTAAGATAGCCAAATCCTGTAGCCATAGATGTCATCTTTAGTGTTTTTAGTCTCTCAAATGGTGTAATGATACAACTTTCAAATAATCCAATTGAAGCCCCTGTAATTATTTTATTTATTGATTAGTTATGGATGTAATCATTAAGCATCGAAGGAATGAAAATCATCATAGGCCATCTATAGTATTGCTTCACCATGTTTCTCAAAAAGCTTGGATAAAAGCCATCATACAATCCTATCAATCCTCTTGCTCCTTTTATGTCCAAGTAACTCTATACACTTAATCTATTATTATACTTATATATAAGTTATTCCTTGTTTAGATTACTTATAAGTCTTTATTCTATCAAGTACATGTTCTAAAGGCATTGTTAATGCAACCCTGAATGCTCCTATTACTTAGGTTTCAATTAAGGCTTTAATGTAATCTCCCATTTATGAAAAAAGGTTAATTCTTTAAAAAAAATTTTAACTATGGATTAGATTAATTTAGCTTTTATATGAAACTATATGATTAAATAAGTCACACTTTTTGTATCTCCATATTTCATATTATTCATTATTATTATATACATTGCGTATACTAAATGATTTTCTTATTATTATTTAATAAATTATTAAAATGTTCCTACTCATTTCTTTTTATATTTCATTTGCCCTTTAAGATTGCTTATAATAATATTTAGATTGTTTTAATCAAAATAATTGCATCATAAAAGATTGTGAAGCTTAAGTATTTGTTGAAACAGCATGGAACTTTTAAAATATAACTATGAATAATGTTATCTTTAATATTGGAAATTATTAATCCTCAGTTGAAAAATTTACATTAAAAAGCTTAACGATGAAAATCTAATCTTCATAATTTCAATAAAATAAAGGAGAAAACTTAATTGATTTTGTTTTTTAAGGATAACAAATAATACTTGAAAATATAGAGTTTGTATATTTCGAGAAAGTTATAATTAAAGCAGAAACATTATAATTGTGGAATACTAGAATGAATACCAATATTTTAATGATTTATTCTGATTATGTAAAATTAGAAAACTCTATAATTTATTGTCATTTTTAAAAATGTCTTGGAGCAAATTGTTTATGTAATTAAGGCTATTGTGATACAAGTACGATAGGAGATGTTAAATCATTTTAGAGAAATCCATATAATTTGAATGATAATTTCACTTTAGGAATATCTTCTAATGAAGTACATTTATAAAATACTTCATTATATGGAAGTAGCATAGGTTTATATGCAGATAAATCTAATATAACAATAGATTAAAAATCATTAATTTATGCTACAGGTTTAGGATGCAAAGAATAATAAGGATATGGTTGTGGATTCTATGATTGGATGCTTTCATATACTTTAAAATGTGGATCTTCTGGAGGAAGTCATGGTGGTTTTGGTGGAAGACCAAAATCAGAAGTGAATGATTTTAATGGATAATGTTAAAATTTAGTACCAAGAGAAGCATATGGGAATCCATTTAATCCATTATTTGAAGGTTCTGGTGGAGGTGGAAATTACTTTGGAGGATATGGAGGAGGAGTAATCTATTTATAGAGTGTTAATAATATAATTAATGGAAGAATTGAAGCTAATGGTGGATCTTCTTAAAGAGATGATTCTATTATATATGGCGGAGGCTCTGGTGGATCAATCTAATTAAGAGGAAATCTATTTGGAAATGGAATTGTATTAGCTGAAGGTGGGTAAGGATCAAAAATTAGTGGATAAGGAAGTGGAGGTAGAATATTTTTAGATGATCCTATGAATCATAATTTAATAATAAAAACAGGTTTAGATTCTTCATAAGGTACAATTTATTATAATGGATGTCCTTAAGGTTATGGAATAAATAAATAATAATCTAAATGTTTTTAATGTCCATCAGGATTTTATACTTATTTATATAATGTTGGTGAATGTAAAAAATGTATTAATTATGATGATGATGTTTAAACATATGAATTGTCTTTAAGTCCTATATGCAAAATTTCATCTTGTAAACCTGGAAAAATTCTTGATAAAGAACAATGTGTTGTCTATAATTTTGTTAGGTAATCTGGAGGTGAAATTGTATTATTTGGAATCACTTTCTTTATTGGATTACTTGTCCTTAATTTTATTTTATTCCTTTGTTTATAAGAACGAACTTCCAATAATAAAGTGAACAGTTCTACTATTATATCTTTCACAGATTTATAAGATAATCCAAATTTATATGAAGCAGCATCAGAGGATCCAAAATTCTTACCTGAAGATCTTCCATATTATGTTAAAAGACTTTATGTTTAAGGGAATAATACTCCAAATACTCCATGGCATTTACCTCCTTATACTTAACTAGATTAATATGACATCAATTATATTGTCTAGAATATTAATTTTATTGGGAGATATACTAGATTATAAAGATTTTCCTTATTGTTCTTAAAGATTTGGTATTTCCCATTTTATTTTATATTATTAAAATATTTTTAGAAGAAGAAATCTTTGAAAATCTTAAGTTTTATGCAAAAAAATAATAAATTTAATATTTATTGTCTCAAACTATCATATAGTTCAGATTATACTTTAGCATATATTGATGTCTTAAATTATAACAATAATATATTAGATTGGAATAAATCAACTTAATTTCCAATCTCTTTAGTTTTATAAGGAGATGGAGATTTCTTATTTCCTTGGTAAATCAATCTCAAAGATCCCTTAGTTAAATCAATGAAAATGTCATTTGAAAAATAAAAAATTTTCATGCCAATTGATGATGATGGAGAGTCAGATCAATTACTCTCTGAAAATGATGAAGAAGAAATACGTACCTTTGATGAATTCATTACGAAATTCAACTTATTAATGTTACAGATAGATACTAGAAAAGGAAATGCAGAATTTATAAAAAATTGTTTTTCTTTATTTGAATTTGTAGATGAAAGCAACAGTGAAATTTTTAATAAAAAATAGATTTTATTGGATATTTGTTTTCACATATTAGGAATCCAATAATCATCTTTAATTATTTTGACTACATAGAAAATTCTCGATTTTCAATAAACTTTGAGAGAACTTCATTATATAGTAAATTACAAATCAGAATATCAAATAAAAGTATCTGTAAATTTTGAAAAGTAAGACTTTAACATTAAGAGATATTATGATAATCAAATAGTTATTAATACTATCAATGATATTAATAAACAAATAATGACATATTAAAGATATGAGGAAGATAAAGAAGAGTTGAATAATCTTAAAATGTAAATGCAAAGAAAAATAGAAGCTGATGGAATTCTCACACCATTAATTACTTAAAAATTAGATGTAGAGGAAGAGGAAGATAATAATTTTTAAAAAACAAATTAATGTAATATGTTCTGGTTAAAATTTAAAAGAGTAATAACAATAACTTTTGCTTATTTTCTAAGATATAGAGATTTCAAAAATGAGAGAGCACTAAAATCAGTTTTGGTTGTTTTATGCATAATTTAAATAACTTTTTATGTGATTTACTTATTAGAATTAATCGTTGATGTTTTGGATCAAACAATATTAGATTAAAAATAAATTTATGACATGTAGATTGTTGAAGCAATAATATAATTATCTTTATTTCCATTTTCATCATTAATAACTGAGATAGTATTAGTTGTTTGGGTAAGATTATTAGATATAATTTATAGCTGTTAAATCCACAAAAAAAGAATTTCGGTAAAAATTTTTTAATCTTTAACTTCTGTTCTACAATAAATAACATGATTCTGTCATTGTTTGCTATAATAGAAATAGCTATAATAGCAATATAGAATTTGGAGCCAGAATACTATTTCTTTGCATCAATAAAGTTAATTCTTTTTTTGATCCAAATTGTATAAGGGTATTTGGGTACAAAATTTTTAACACTATGAAAAATTACTTTATGAATGATAAGTAATATCTATTATAAAAATGATATTAATAATAATATTCTAGATAATTTTATAAAGGATGTAATATTTTCATAAATTAAAATTAAAAATAAATGTAAGTAGAACCTTATTTAAATACAATAGTGAAAATAGCAGATAATAGGATTCTAACGAATGCAAAACTGAATAGAAGAAAGCAGTAGAACATTTTATATGATAATGATGGATTGACAATGAGATATTAACCAAACTAAGAAGTTCATGAACTTGCTTGTATTTAAACAGATTAAGCTATCACTTCATCATTTTATTACTTTGAGGTAAAAATCCTAAAATTACCAGAAAAGGATAATGTGAAGAAGTAATAATAGAAATTAATAAAATATTAGATTTTTATCGATAGGATTGGCATATGATAATTATCCTTCAAATAAACCTTTAGGTATAATAGGTGCAAGTATAGGATATTAGTGGGATGGGATAGTAAAATTAAAAAAATAAGAAATTGATTTAAAATTGAATCCATATAAATAAGAGGATATTATAGGATGTGGAATTTATAAATAGGAAATATTCTTTACATTTAATGGAATTCGAAGTTTAAACACAGCTAAAATTGATTTTAAAGAAGCTTTGTATCCAACTGTTGTTTGTGGAGATGGAGTGAATTTAAAATTTAATTTAGGAGCTACTCCTATGATTTATGATTATTAGAAAATATTGTAAAAGGAAAAGAATGAAATAATATAGGAAATTGATAAATAAGATGTTTCTCCATATAGTCTTCATTTAATTATATAAGAATATTTATGGAGTTAAGGATATTTGAATTCATTGAAATAATTTGAAAGAGAAAGTTCTCTTTAAGAAAATGAGAATATGAGATTAGAAAAAAAATAAGATGAAATGATTTATGAAGACGAGTAATAATGTGATGGTGATTTTAAACGAAAATAGAGTCTTTAGATGACTCCTATGTCTGCTTTATAAAGAAAGTTAAGCGGATTATAGAGTCCAAATTTCCAATAAATTTCATCTATTGAGAGAAAAGTAAGTGGATTTTATTTGGATGAATAAGAAAACAATAATGAACTTAATTAAATAGCTGAATAGGCATTCTTAAAAGATTAATTAGTTAATTAGGAAAGAATAAGTAAGTGTCTTATTAAAATTAAGAAATTTAAATATTAATAAGAGAAGGAAAGATAGGTGAAGTAATTGATATACTATAAGATATGATGCCAGGATTCTTGAAAAAAGATGGAATCTAATAAACACTTTATTCCTAATATTTTATTGAATTAAGTATTAATATTAATTATAAGTTTAGTGAAAAAAGATAAAACCTAAGAAGCTATAGTATTAGGTTAAATTCATTTAAGTTAGCATTTGAATTTTTAAGTAGAATGTGTTGATGAAAAGTTAAATCCTATTAAAATGAAGATTGAAAATATTTTAGGATTGATATGTTATGATGACATTTCAACTAGTGCTTTGAGAGGTCTTATCAGTTAATAATAAAGAGAAAGGATTTGTGATTACATTAATAAAAGTTTATTAAGTAATTTTCAAATTATATTATTATAGTTGAATTAGGATATGAGGATGAATCAGCTTTAGAAATATGTTTTAAATAATTAATTTAGGTTTGTGATTAAATTTAATAAAGAGGATTACTAGGAGGACATTCTGTTCAGTTTTTATGATTTATATAATTAAATTTGTTTTTGAATATCAAATACTTATATTATCATATAGAAAATATTCAATTAAACATTGATAGATAAATTGTAAAAAATTAATATAAAGATTCTTCATAATTTTATATGATTAGTTTTGACAGTTAATTAATAATTTAACATAAATATTATTTTATATAACAAAAATTAATAATGGGAGCAAATTGTTAATCTTGTTGTGCAAATAAAGAGAATGATAATACAGAAATTAGATTAACAAAGGAGAAAGTAAGACCAAAGACAGATAATTAAGAAAATGAATAAAAAAAAGAAGAATAAAAAGTATAAGTAAAAGAACATGAAAGATTTACAATTGATTAAGAATAATAAAAATAAAAGAAGGATTAAAAAAAAGAAACAAAAAAAGAATCTGCAAAAGAGGTTCCTAATAAGAACCCTGATGAAAATTCAAAAAAATCATAAGAAATAGATAAATAATTGAATATATCTGCAAACCATTCAGTTAGTATGAATGTAGCAAGTAATTAAGAAGGGAATGATTTAATTAAAAGTACAATGAATTGTGTTGATAGAAAGAAATTACCTCCTATATAATTAGAATCAGGTGCTGTATATGAAGGAGAGTGGAAAAATGGAATGAGAGATGGATAGGGTAAATAGAAATGGCCAGATGGTTCAATATATGAAGGAGAATGGGTAGAAGATAAGTCATCAGGAAGAGTAAAATTAAAATAATATTATATTTAGGGTAAATTAACTCATGCAGATGGTGATGTATATGATGGAGAATGGAAAAATGATAAAGCAAATGGTAAAGGAACATATATTCATGTAAATGGAGCAAAATATGAAGGAGAAGTAAATATTATATTCTATTTCCGAGTGGGAAAATGATAAATAACATGGTAGAGGTGTAGAAAATTGGCCAGATGGAGCTAAATATGAAGGTTAATATTTTGAAGGTAAAAAACATGGTAAAGGTATATTAAACTTTGCTGATGGTTCAAGATATGATGGTATATACTTATTATTCTATTTTTAAGGTGAATTCTTATAAAATGATATACATGGAGAGGGAACTTATATTTGGCCAGATAAAAGAGTTTATAAAGGATAATGGAAAAAAAATAAAATGCATGGCAAAGGATAAATTATATGGCAAGATGGTCGTAAATATACTGGTGTAATCATTCTTATGTATTCTAGGAATATGAAGAAGATAAAAAACATGGTAAAGGTGTCTTTGAATGGTCTGATGGTAGAAAATATATAGGAACCTGGATATAAGGTTTGATATTATTATTATTTTATTTTTTAGGAAGATAACATGGAATTGGAATCTATTACTTATAAAATAAAGAAGTTAAAGTTGGTGAATGGAATGAAGGAAAAAGAATCAAATGGTTTGAAAAAAATGAAATTGATTAGTTAATTGAAGAATCAAAAATTAAAAGAGAAGATCTGCATTAATAAGATTGATACATATCACTAATATTTAATCTCAATTTTTTCGATTTAACTTATTTTACGAAAATATGATTACTCATCTCATACTTTGATTTTTATTATCATTTTTTCTAATATTACTAATTACCAAATTCAAATCGATAATATTCTGATATATTATTATATTAAAATAAGTTCAAAATGAGTAACAGAGAATACGATTATTTGTTCAAATTAGTTATAATCGGCAACAGTGGAGTTGGAAAGTCTGCTCTTTTATTAAGATTTGCTGACGATACATTTAGCGAAAATTACATAACAACAATTGGAGTTGATTTTAGATTCAAAACATTAAAAGTAGATAATAAAGGTTTGAAATTGCAAATTTGGGATACTGCTGGATAAGAAAGATTTAGAACAATAACTAATGCTTATTATAAAGGAGCTGATGCGTATATATTTTATAAATTAATTTTAGTATTGTAATTGTATATGATACAACATGCTAATAATCATTTGATGATATTGAAAAATTTTGGTTGAATGAAATTGAAAGTTATGCTGAGAAAAATGCAGAATTATTATTATTAGGAAACAAATCAGATTTAAGTGCAAAATAAGTATAAAGTGAAAGAATTCAAGAATATGCTTAAAAAAGAAATATGATGTTCTTTGAAACTAGTGCAAAAACTGCTGATGGAGTTGAAGAAGCTTTTAAAAAAATTGCTATTAAATTGATGGCAAAAAGAGATTAATAAGTATTGGATAAAAAAAATAAAAGAAAATAATAAAGAGTATATTATTTAAAATATCAAGTAATCATCTTCATCATAAAGAACAGAAGAAAGTTCAACATCTTCAGATAGAAAGCAAGAAGATGAATAAAAAAATGTTAATTTATGGTCAGGTAAAAGTACAGAGAAAGCAAAAGAAACATAGTAATGCTAATGTTGAATATATAAATCAATTTGTTAAATTTAAAATATATTATTATATTTATCATGTATTCAAATTAATAAAAAATAAAAATTAGAGAATAGTTCATTTAGAAATCTCTTATTATTTTATTGTAATTAAAATAAATTTAATTCAGAGCTTGTCTCATTAATTTGATTAAATATTTCTTAAATTCTTCTTAAATTCAAATTTGAATAATCTCATTGATTAAGATTAATAAAAAATATTGGTTAGTTCGAATGATTTAATTAGTCTAAAAAAAAGAATTCTAAATCTAATTTTAATCTTCTTTTTAATAAATGTAATGAAAAACGATATATATTATTAGGTAAGTTATCAATTGATTGTTATATTTTATAATGATAAGGTTCTTTATGAAATTAGAATTGTAAAGAAAAGTAAAAATATGAATATTAGAATCATTAGTTTTTTTAGATCTATGGATTAACCCATTCAAGATTGGGTCTCTAATTAATCAACTTTTAAACTAGTCTTCCAATAGCAATAACCGGCTCTTTCTGATTAAATTAACAGTGAACAATATTTAGGTTAAACTTAACCTTTTTCTTAGTGCCTTTTTTTATATTACCTTTGTCAATCTAATTTTGAAGAGTTTCTTAAATAGAGTAATTGCTTTATGATAAAAATTTATTTGTAAAGTCATCTGTGCATTAAGTGTCATCAATATCATGATTTTTATAAGAGTCTAGAGGTTACATAAAGATTTGTTTAGGTCCAATGAGGGGGTTTGAATTAAATTAGATCATATTATAATTTCTTATAAAAAAGAACTAAATAACTATTCATATTAAAACATCATATAAGAAGGATTAACCCATTTCAAAGAAGAAATAATTATAAACTGTTTAAAATACTTTTTAAGAATATTTTAAGAGGATATTTTTAAGAAAAACTCAATTCTGCCATAACTTCATTAAATCTAATAGTTTATTTTTCATTTATTGTGATTGATATTTAATGGTATAATTTTAAGATTATTCCATTTAATTATTGACTAAAGTTGTATTGAATAACGATAGAGTAAAAAAATTAATTAATTGTGGCGTTATCACATCATTCATATTTTAATTAATAATTTATTATTTTAACTAATAAAAAGGGAATGTGAAAAATTCAAAATTGTAACAATTAAATAAGTTTGTTCAAAGTATCCTAATAAACATTCCAATCTCCACTTAAATGATGACCTTTTAATAAGTATAAATTATCACAATTATAAATCTAATTTATAGATATTTCAAATTTAATGTTGAGATTAAATTAACATAGAATATCATAAGGATCATGTTACTATAAGATAAGAATATATATTACTTATAATATTTTGATTTGTAATTTGTTCATAGATTTTTTAATATCTTCAACTAATTTATCAGGATCTCTGTTAGTAGCACATTTTAAATTAAATGCACCTTTATGTAGTTTTAATATTGGTTATTTAGGTTTAATAGAAACATTATATTCAGAGATAGCACTGGTAGCCCGATTTCTTCCTGTAAACTAGTCTTTAATAATAGATTACTTTAGTTTTATTTTAATCATTAGAGAAGGAATCTTCAGTTTATTTTCTATTAGTAGAAATAGGAGTATTACCACTAGTACCAACACTAGATATTGAATTATTAACAACTTGAGTAATGATTTTCATTTATGGTGGGACTAAAGGTTTATTAAAAGGTCTCCTTACAATATCTCTTTTTAATAAAAGAATAGTTTATTTAGGTGATTCAGGTCTAGTAATATTTTATTTTAATTATTATGGGGATGGAGATTATTATCTTGTATTATTTATAGATGTGATATGTCTATGCTAAGGAGATTAGCCATTACTTGTATGTTATTTATGTTTTGATTAATTATTATAAATAGAATCAGGATTAGATATATTTAATCCTGAAGATTAAACTAAAGTATCATCAGATTCTTTTTTATAATAATTAAATATTCTATTCCTTTTATTTTTTTAGATCTATAAATAGTAAAGAGTTGTAATATGATCATGTCTATTTTTTTTAACTTTTTTTCTACATATTATTGGATCTACTCCATATAATGTTTTTAATTGTTCAACTAAAATTTCATCAACAATAATATTTTCATGTCCTATAAGATTATATTATTCTTCTATTCTTGCTTATTTTGACCATTTATGATTTTTAATTTAAGGAATTGTAAATCTTTTTTTAGGATCTGTATTTAATATATTTTTGAGTAAATCTTTAGCATCATTAGATAACCATTTTGGAAATGTCAATTCTCCAGCTATAATTTTCTTATATAATTAATTTGTATTCTAATCTTCAAAAGGTAAGAATCCACAAAGCATTGCATATAATACTATACCGCAACTCCAAATATCTATTAAGTAACCTGAATATTTCAATCCTTATATCATCTCTGGAGCAGCATAACAAGGACTTCCACATGCTGTCTATAATAATTCATTTGGTTTATAAGTATTTGATAATCCAAAATCTACTATTTTTATATTCTAGTTTTAGTCAAATAAAAGGTTTTCTGGTTTCAAATCTCTATGTACTATTCCTATCTTATGTATATACTCAACTCCTGACAGAATCTATAGTAGAAATTTACATGCTTATTTCTCTGGCACTTTACGATTCTTTACTATATATTCAAATAATTCTCCTCCACTTGCATATTCCATTATTAAATATATATCTTTTGCTGTATCTATTATTTCATAAATCTATATTATATGTGGATGCCGTATTTTCTTAAGAATATCAATCTCTTTTGCAATACGACAAACATCGCTTTCATCTTAAACTCTTGCTTTCTCCAATATTTTCACTGCTACCTAATTGTATGAAATATTTTTAAACTTTTTCACCAGTCTACAATTGAGTGCCTATTTTTACTTTTCCAAATGTACCTTCTCCTATTGTATTTCCTAAAGTATAATTCACAAGAGTTTATTCCTACATTTTTATATATTTTTATTATTAATATAATATATTCTTATAATTAATGTCCATTATGATTAAGAACAATCTAATCCAGAATTTAAAAAAATTAAACTCATCCTTAATAATCAATTTTATCAAGTTTAAGAAAGCTATGATAATATTTATAAATTATTTCTGATTACTTAAATCAAGTTATTATATCTCTGAAGAACAAATTAAGATAGCATAAGATTATCTAAAAAAAATTAACTGGATTAACTAAACTTAAAACTAAGTATTCTGAAATAATATTATTTGAAAAAAACTTAATTCATTATCCGTCCTATATTTTATTAAATCAAATAAATTATTTGCTCATTCTATTTTGAATAGTAAGAATATAAATTAAAAAATAAAAATCAATAATTTAATATAAAATTGAACTCATATAATTTAGAAATTCAATCAATTCTAGAATTTAATCAATAAATTTCTTAATAAACATTTATTCTATCTGCATTAATTTAAAATCATAAAGATATTAATATTAAAAGTTTAATCTTTAAATTTCAATAATCATTGATTTTTTTACTTCATGAAAATGAGCATAAAATTTAAAGAATATGAAAAGTTCTTACCTAAATAAAATTCAGAGAATATTTATCCTTCTTATAATAATTGATATTAACTATTTATTAAGTAAAATTAATTCCAATCATTAAAACTTATTGATTTTGATTTTCTAAATTATTTTAATACAATAACTTTGAGAGGGTTAGGTTTTAGGATTTAAAAAATATAAAATAATAAGCTAAGTATAATAAAGAATGATCTTAAAGTAGAGTAGAGTCTAAAATGCAAAATATAAATACAAATATAATTAAAATATTTAGAAGGATATAGACATTCTAAAGGAATAATTATGAAAGCATAAAGAAAGGCAAATATTTTTCCAATCTTGAGATTTTTACAATCTTTTTAGAACTCTGAAAATATTAGATTTTTTGAAGATTTAATTAAATTAGAGAGTTTATCGAAAATTAATAAAGAAAATGCAATAAAATATATTATGACGATTATAAACTAAAGACAATTTAATGCAGTAGTTCTTTAAAATTTGATGAATAAAAAAGGAAATTATATTTTAGAAGTGGGGAAATCAAACTTTAAGGAAATTCTAGTTAAGATAATAGTGCTTTAGTAAAAGAGAAAAGGCTTTTGAAAGGATTATGAAGGCAATCATTTAAAATGGGCAGTAAAATAAATAATTTACATTTAGAAAATATACTTAATACTTAACGAATACGAGTGAATTTATGGGTTTATTCGAAAATTAGCTTTCAAATAGAAAGTTTGTACTATAAATAGTTATTATAAAACAATAAATCATAAAAAACTTAATTAAATATAATTTATGAATTTCTATGTTGTTTTTCAATTTTTTCCAAATCTTGATTAGACAGATGAATATAATTGTGTATGTTTTAAATTAAATCTTATAATTTAGTATTTAATTTTTCTAGAATATTGAGTATTGTATATCTTTATTGTTTTAATTGAATAATATATTTAATAAATACTAATTTAATAATTAATAAATAATATATTTAATTTAGCAGTTTCTATAAATTAGAAACATAATACAAATTTCAACTCAATTAGCTAATTTTTCCCATTTTTCAAAGTCTTTGTATCTAACAACGAAATCATTTTAATTTCTTTTTGATAAAGAAACACTCTATAGCTAGATCAAATTGATACAGTAATAAATGATTTACCATCATCTCCAGCATTCTCGAATAATTAACAAAATTCATCGAAATCTAGTTATGTTCCATGAAAATCTCCTAAGATTGAATCTAATTCAAAGTTTAATTCGAATTCCTTTTAGATTGTTTCAATTATAGTAGATTTTAAAACAAATCCTGATTTATCAAGTTAGCCTCCTAAAGCACAGAAGGCATCAACTTAAAGATTAAATTAAGATATTACTATATTCTTGAGTAATAGTTTCTTCTTCATTTATTTGTTACTAATATTGTTTTAATTTACAATATAAATCACAAACCTATTTAAAGTCTAGAAACTTGACATTCATTATTTTCAATTCCTCATTAAACTTAGCTATCAATTTTTCATTATCTAAAAGTTTAAGATCTTAATTAATATTATGTAAATACCTCTTAAAACATCATCAACTTCGTGTTTTCCTACATATCCAGTTGCTTTCGTATCAAATTTTTTCATCTCAACTAGAATTTCATTTATCTCATCTTAACTTAAATTAAACATGCTCTTTGCTTATTGAATCATATCTTAATAATCGACATTTATTGTTTGTTTTCTTTTCATTTTTATAAATTTTTATTAATAATTAATATAACTAAAATGTCATTATCAGATTATATAGAGGATGGTTAAACATATTAATTTACAAAGTACATCAATCTAATTAAAGTATTAATATTATTCATACAAATAGACTGAAGAAGATAAAAAACTTTTTGATCTATTTGCATATGGAGTTTTTGATCCTAAAATTAAGTATCAAAATGAAAAATAGAAAAAGAAAATGATTATCCTAACTATCCTAAAATTATGTTAAAGGTTATAATTAATAATAATATAGTAATAAATGTGTGACTTTTGATTAAATATAACAAGCTTGTTGTTTAAATTCAAGAGCAGAAATTGAATAATTATTAATTGATCTCATCCAAAAAGATTTAATTATTGCCACTATAGATGATCAAAAAGGATGTTTAAATATACAAAGATGCATTAGTAGAGATGTTCATAAATCTCATATTCCAGCCATGAAAAATTAGATTGAATCTATGTACGAAAGAGTTAAACATTTGAAAGAATAGTTAAAAAAATAATGAACGCAATTTATTTAATAATTAAATAAATTGTGAATGTGGCATATTATTTTCGATTTATTATTAAATGTACGGTAATATAATCGTAAACAAATCAATTGATGTTAAGCTTAGTTCTTCTCCAATGTCTACGTTTTGAATTATATCTATAATGAGACTAAAATTCATTTAATACCTAATTGTGTTATCAGTTCTATATCTAAACCAATTTGGAAGAGGTCTATTTTGCTTATTTGCTTTAATCAATCTCTTCTTCATTCTCAATGATTTGTGTGCTCCCTAAAATAAACATAAGCGAAACTCATTACCATTTTAAATCTTTTTTTTAATTTATTTAATAATTATTTTCTATACAAAATTCAATTATTATAATTAAAATATGGATTTCATGTACTAAAACATATCAAAAGGTTCTAGATTCATTATTTCCGGATACTGCAAATTATTCTAATTGTGATATCAAAATAAGATAAACATTATTATAATAAAATTTCAAAAAAGGTAATTTTCTTTATAAAATGTTGCTTTTGATTATATAATATTAATTTTTATTCTTTAAGGTAAAATCAAAAAAAGCATCTGGTTATTTATATGAAATTTACAATTTTTCTTAAAATTTGAAATCACTTTAGATGTATATTTGCAAGATTTATTAATAAGTATTTTTAAAATGACCAAAAAGTTCAGATTTTGCCATTTGCCATACTGATAGATTATTTTTAAACTTTGAAATATTAATTTTATAGAATAATTAAGAAGCTTTAAATAATTAATTTAAATCAATCTATTTTATAAATCCAAGAGATTAGATAAATTTATAGTTGAAAAAATAGGGAAATTTTTATTATTAAATTACATTAGATTAGTTTATAAACCTAAATTAAGTTAAACATTTATAATAAAACCTATTTAACTTGAAAAATATGATAACTTCCATATGAAATAATGATAGAAATATATATCTGTTGCATTAGATGTTTAAAATTGAATTTTATTTAAAAATTGCAAATACGAAATTACAATTTTTGGTTGGATAAATCTTTAAGAGTTGAGATTATTATTATTAATATTATACTTCTTTATAATAATTCATAATTTGCAATTTACTTATTGAAGTTTATATTATTTTTTTCATTTTAAATATAAACCCGTTTCATAGGAATTAATTATGTAAATCTTAGAAAATTCGGATTCAATAGTTAGTGATGATCAATCTTTAGAATTAGATTGTAGAATTATAGTACCAAAGTTTAAGAAAGAGGAATATGATACTTTTTAAACTGAGACCTATACTTCTGTGATTTCTAGAGTGATGCAAATGAGATCAAATTCATAAGAATTCAGATTTAAGCAGCCTAATTAATTTAGCCCTTAAGGTTCTCTAAATTGCACTTAAAAACAAATATAATGCTCATTACTCAATGAGGATGAGTATTCAAATAAACTTAAAGTCAAGTTACACATTTAACCTGAATAGGTTAAAAGAAATACACATAAAATGAAAAAGAAAGACAAAGCTCCTTAAAGTCCTGCTAGTTCAGTAGATCGTAATAATGATTCTCAGACACCAAAAAAATAAAATTAGAATACAATTAGAATGTTAAACCAATAAATTTAACCTAACTAGAAGCATACTATAATTAGATAAAATAAAAGATAATTAAGCTAAACCTTTAAAAGTTGTTCTGTTGAAGCATCCCCACTTAAAATCACCAGATTTTCATAAAGATAAATTTATGTAACATAATTGGTCAATAATTATGAAGAAGCTTTATAAGAAAAATTAAGTCTTGTATAATTAGAAAACAATGAAAAACTAAATAAAGGAACTTTAAGTCCATATATGAGTAAAGCAAAAACATTAAAGAATATTGTTCCTACAACTTAATTAAAAGGTATTCTTAAAAGTAAATCCTGTAATAGTGAGGGAGGTAAAAGAAGCAAAAATTCATCTTAAGAATCACAAAATAAAAAATCATGTTTTTTTAAAAAGGTTACGTTTAATTCAAGTAAATTATCTAAAAATATATCATTAACCAATAAGAAAGATGTACTTCATTAGCATTTAATAATAATATAATGAAATTGAAATAATGAATTTTTTTTTACTCATAATGCAAGTTATTATATTTAGTTATTTTATTTGAATGTAATCGTTATTTTTAAATTATGAATTTAAGACTGAAAAACTCTAGCTATTTGGCTGGTAACAATGATATCACAAGATTAAGAAGAGCAAGACTTATTTAGCCAAATTAACCTGAATCAAAGTCATTAGCTAATGTTAAAATGAATTTATCTCCAGAACTTAAACCAAAAAAATAAAAGACAATTCATCATGATATTGCTTATGATGAAAACTTAATGAATTAAAAACAAAATGAAAAAAACAAATTTTGTAAAGCAAAATTGTAAGAGTTATTAAGTCTAAGAAAAAGTATAACATAATTAAATAATATAGGTAGCCTAACTCCATTATTAAAATAACAAATTAATCGATAGTAAGCAATCATTAAATATTAACCTGAATTTTAATAAGATCAAGATCTATATATTAGAATTAGAAGATAAAGCATTGAAAATCTTTAAACTCAAGAAAAATAAAAGCATTTTATATTGAAATCTTCTTAGGAATGCACTCAAAAAAAAAGGTTGTAGAATAATAATCTTAAATCAACTAATTATTTTAATGGTGCTCCAATCTTAAATAAAAGTGTTTCATAATTTAACTGTCTTACACCAAAAAAAAATGATATAACTTCCTAAAATTATTAATAAAAAGAAAGTGTTAAAAGGTAAAAGTTAGAAAGTTTAATCAATTTATTAATCAATATCAATATTGAAAATATAGTTATAGGTTTTAGTTCAATCAAAAAGTAAGCACCAATGTTACCATTCATTAAGGAACTTGAAAGAAGAAAAGAAGATTTTTAGTAAAAAAGGTTTTTTATTTAATTAGTTAAAGCTTAGTGATGAATTATTTGTCATTTATAAACAGATAGATAATAATAATAAAATCATTAAATGTGGCTTTCTAGTAGATTAGGACATTGCCAAAAGACAAGGTCAACTAATTTTTATATTTAGTGACTATTAAAATTGTCCAATAATTCTTTTTGGTTGATTTATTTCTACAGACAAGATTCAATCTAATCAATATTCTGCATTATTTCAATATATAATTGTTGAAATAATTATAAAATTGTTTATATTTTTGTTACATTGATTTGAATTTTTTATAAATTGATTGGTGATATAATAGTTAGTGGTTGATTTGATTATTCGTCTTCAATATTATAAAAATTATTTTAACCTTTTTCATCTAAATAGATGGCCCATTTATTGGGATCAAAATTACATCCATATTTATGTAAGAAATTAATAAGTTTTTAACCTATACTATGATCTTATCCTATTGCAGCCAACATTATAGTTAAACAGAATGAACTAATACCACCAGTATATGAATCATTAAGATCTTTAATCTTGAGTAATTTTTTTAGATATATTGCTACTTCTGAAAACCCTTATATTTTTTCACAAATATCAATCGTATATTGTGTAGATTAAAGACCAATATTAAATGCTTAAATATATGGATTATATATAGCATATGGAGGAGCCAATTCAAAAGTAATATCAATGAAGATATGTTAACCTAAAGTCAGACTCAAAATTACTTGAATCTCCATATTTTAAATTGAGATCTAGATTTCTGCATTGCATAATAACATACTTTGGCTCTCCTTTGAAGGAAAGAAAGTCTATAGAAGGATCCACTAAAACCTTTATAAGAGGTACTGAAGCTTAAAAGATATGTCTATTACATATTAATTTAAATAATATACTTGCATTATACAGCCCATTTCAATTCAGTAAATATCTCAATCAATCTTCTCATAGGTTCAAACAATTACTATTTTGTAAATACTTGTAAACCATAAACAACCATATCTACATCACTATCTTTTAAAGCTAAACCAGTTGTAGATGATCCAAAGATTTCAGTGTCACAATTTTTAAAATATGATTTTATTACATGTTAAACTCTTTAAATCGAAATATCTCTTGCTGCTTTATATCTATTAAATTAATCTATTTCTTTTTAATATATTTATTTAACATCATTTGTTATTTTTTATTCCAAAATTGTTTTATAAATCTTTTACAACTAAGTTTAATCTAAATCATATGTATATAATTTTTATTCTTTTTGTTAAGCTTTTGATTTAACTAAACCTGATCTTTATATTTTATTTATTCCATTTTCTTTTTTCTATAAAATCATTCTACTTTACTATTAAGATTGCATTCTCTCTAACTTAATCTCGACATATTAATGATGATTATTTTTTTAAACTGATTAAGAAGTAGATTTTTTTAAGGCTGGAATATATTGTTATTCATCAGGTAATGATTAATTATCTTAAAATTCTTTATCCTTCTTGCTTACTTATTTTTTGTTTCTTGATGACTTTGGTTTGCTTTATTTCTTTTATTGCTTTTTATTTTAAACTTCAATGTATTCACTTTCATCATCAGGTATAGATAGATTACTATTTGTTGGAATTTCTTAAGAAATCTTCTCAATAATTTCAATCTTCTACTATTATTACTCAATCATAAATTCCTCATTATTTTCATTATTCTCAGTATCATCATCATCCTTATTTGAAGATTTTGAAGATTTCTCTAATTTCTCATCTTATTATGTACTTTATTATTAACTTTAATTCATTTATTTTTATTTCTTTCTTTCTAAATTACTATAAATATGATTTAATAATTTTACTCTTTTTTTCTTTATTTTTCCAGTTGCTTTTTTCTTTATTTTTTAGATTTAGGTTTATCTGTCCATTCATCATCTTTTATAATGTCTTGATTTACTAAAACAGTAGGTTCTGGTTATACAATTTCCACTTATTATTTTTTAGCATTTTTAACTTTCTTAAGTTTCTTTTTATGTTATTTATAATTTTCTAATTCGGTTAGAACTGTTTCAATCAATTTTTTCATAAAACCTGTTGAATGTTCATAAATTTATTATTCTTTTTCTTCTAAATTTGTACTAAATAACCTTTATTCATTTTCAGGTAATATTTTAGATTTTTCAGAACTTGTAAAATAAGAATTGATTTATTTTAAAGAATCAGTTTTACCTTAGAATAATTTCAAATCAGATAGCTTTTATTTTGGTTTTTTTTTTTCTTTGAGTATCTCCTCAACTGGTTTCTTTAATGGATATAAACTTTTTAATTATTTACAAATTAAATATTTACAAAACAATAAAGATTCCATAACTATAAAATTTATTCAATTATTACTTACTTGTTAATTTAAGAGGAGATTGAAATATCAAATCTTTATTTTATACAAATTGATGAATTTATTGTTCAATATTAATAAAATTTAAATTCTCGCATTTAATATGCTAAAACCAACTTTATAAGAGAACTTTTTCATCTATAAATTACATTTCTACTTGAGATTATTCTAAAACTTTCTGAAATTCTTGAGTTTCTATTTCATAATTAAAATCATTGAAATTTAATACAATTTAATGAAAGTTAAATAATTAATCCTATTTAGTATAAGTACATTTCTGTTCAAATTATTAGAATCTTAAGTTGTATTTACAATATGTTACTTAATTAAGATGGCCTTTTCAATTTCGTTTACAATATGTTCTGATAAGGTCCAGAACATTTTTTGATTTTATTATGAATCAAAATTAATTTCTGAGTATTCCTCATCCTCATTAGTCTCGATTCTCCAATTTTTAGTGAATATTTGTTGTTTGGATAGAATTTCAAAAGATGAAATAATTTCCTCAATATTGCCTTTAATAGTAATAGTATCAAAGAGCCATTCATAATCTGAAATGTAAGTATGATCAAGTATATACTAAGTTTAAATTGCTATAAATACTTGTTAAGCAGATCTCCATGATTTATTCATATCTATACGATTGCATTCTCTTACATAATAATATTGATGTAATTAGATTTTAACATTAACTTCATATGGGCATTAAGTCAATTCTAGATATTCATGAAGCAAATTTTAATCTTATTTAAACATTTTTAGAAAGGAATGAACTCTGTAATAAGAGGTGAAGGATAATACTTGCTCTAATTGGTAAGTAGGTAAATTTCTCAACCTTGATTAATTTGTCTCACTTACCATTTATATATTTGGTTTTTCTTTTCCAGCCCATCCTTGTCTGGTGGATTTAAAGATTAACAATAGTAGGTAACCTTGTTAATTTGGCGAGAAGAGTATCTTTGGAATTAAGTTTAAGGATAGGCAATCTCGTTCATAAATAAATAATTTTATGTGGTGTTGTTTTTGTTAATTTGTACTTGAGTATATGCAAAATAAAAAACATCATCTAAATCTTCTGAGGGAAATTCTATTTCTTCTGGCATAATTAGCTCTTCTAGAGGGTCTAGTTTAATTATTACGATGTCCCTTAACTCTAAGTCCTCTACTCTTTCTGCCAGCAGATGTTAAACCTTTTAATATTATTTTTATTCAAACCTCTCAATTCTCTATGCTTATGCACTGGTTAGGTAATCCAATTTATTCTTGGATCTCCTCTAATTGCTGGATGGAATGGATCAACTGTGATAACTTCATAATATTTATATGTTCCATCTTAAGCAACCCAATAAGAGTTCAAAACTCTAAGTGCTCCTATCTTTCTGCCTACTCTTTCCTCAGCAACTGATCTAAGGTTTCTAGTTGGCTTTAATTAATTGACTCCTTGACTCTTAGGTTTACCCTTAACAAGTCCTTTTCTGATTAACAATTTTCTGCCTCCTCTTCTAACTCTGACTCTATAAATTACATAGCCTAACATTATTATTATCTTCTTTACCTTGTTTAGCCTTGTATCCTAATCTTCTAGCTTTATCAGGTCTGCTTGGTCTGGTAGCTCTATGAATGACTGGTAATTGTCTATATTCCCATGTTCTGATTCTCATAATGAAGCTCAACACATCTGATTGCTTCTTTTTCCAGAGCTCTTGTAAATACTTATATGCGCCCATTCTCTAAGAGAAAAAAGATTTTTATTTATGAAAAATTTTCAAATCAATATAAAGCAACCACAATATATAAATTTAATCATTATTATATTTTTTAGTATTAATTCATCAATTTTACTTTTACATCAATTATTTCAACCAATATTCCCATATTCAACTATTTAATGTATTATTAGAAACCTTATGCTTTTAATAATAGGATACTTATTATTATTTAAAAATAAGACCACAAAAATATTTACTCAAATCAAATAGTCAATCGTACTCAAAATCAGAATAATCCCATTTAGCAACAGGTATTGACGATTTTTTCTTTAAACCAACTTGTTTAATTATTGGTTTTTATATCACTATCTTTTACTATTTATCTCCAATGCTATTATTTTTTTAATTCTTCCTCTTAAGAGAATTTCTATCTTAAAATGGTGAGTGATTTAACCTTTCTACTATTTTACATTTTTCAATTCTTAATCCCAAAGATAATGGCATAGCTTAAAAAGTATTTATTTTTTAATTTTTCTAAAATAATAATCCTCTTGATTAAAAAGGCCTATATGTCTAAATCTCTTAGTTTTTCTTAGATATTTTATTTGATTAAACAAACAAATCATTTTGTAATTTTTATGTTTAACAAGCTTCTTCTGTTTTCTCTGTTTTAAATTTTTAAGTTTTGCAATTATCTTTGACAAGATAAAGCTTCTCTAGCATTATTTTTTTTAACTCAATTGTTTTTTAAATTTCATTATAATTGAATTCATTTAAAGGAAGGGTCTTACATTTAGTCCCCTATTATTTACTAAAATTATTTTTTCTTGAATTCGTTGACTTTGAAGTATGTTATTATTAATTTAATAATTATATTTACAGACTAGGTGGGGATCGAGTTGGAATATAAGTTTAATAGCAATAGTCTCTTAAAGTTACATATTATAAGGATCTTCCAGATTATCTTTGATTTCTTTTTTTATTTTGATTTGCAAATAATTATGAAAGATTGCTAAATTTTTATGGACTATTTTCATCTATGTAACTAATTGTAAATGGTCTTTCATGTATTATTAAATTATCTGTTCTATTTATCGAAAAAATATATTCTACCCAAAACAATCCATTGTTTAGTTCATGTTCAATATATAATATAAATTATTAATTTAATATAATTAATTTATGATGTATCAAGAAACCTAAGAAAAGTTAAAACAAGAGTTTATTATGTGGACATATACTTTAAATCATTTTTTTGGTTTTGCTTTATTTTATTATTAATCTAATTAAAAGTCTTCAGGGGGTTCTTAGTCTTATCTTTAAACTTTTTCGACTGAATCCTCAGCTGTCGACAATTTCCTAAATCTAAATATTATTTAGTTGACAGTTTGAAATTTTAATTCTACCTTTTCTTTTGCTAAGACTCTAGTGGTAAATTTCTAAATTTTTAAATAAATAATTACTTTTTATAATTCTTCTGCACCTTACATATTAAGGAAAGGAGGAGTTTAGATTTGTTCATCTTATTTACAATTTTTAATTTTTAAAAATTAACCAACATCTTCATATTCATTTACAATAAAGTTTTAACCTTCATAAGTAAAACAGACTTTTTTAATTTTAATTATTGCAAATTCAGGATGAGCTAATTTTCTAAAGATTTCATAATCTTTTTTTTGAAGTTTGACTATATTAGCCTTAACCATTTTATCTTTTTCAAAAAACTTTTCTTTTATATATAATTAGGATTGTCCTTCATGTGTTCTTTAAACTAAAAGAAGAGTAGAATTCTCTTATTATGGAATTAAATAAGTTTTATTAATTTCAACAATTTAATGATCCTATATAAATAAATAAGAAATATTCATACCTCCTTCAATTAATTAAAATTGATATCTTCTGCTAAAATAAATTATCTAGTTTTTCCAATAACTTTTTATGGAATTGGATGGCCTAAAACTCTTAAGACTTCATGAAGCAACCAATCTAATTTTTCATTAAAAGATTAAACACTATGATTATCAATTTTAATTAAATTTGGATGTCCAGTCCAAGCTTTTTGAGTTCTATGATCCATTTATAAAGCTTATTATTAAGTTTCATGACGAGCTTTATTATTAAGAGTACTATAACAATCAGTGTTATCTGCTGCTGTCACCATATGTACAACTGCATCATACCTTAAATCCCTCATTTAGAATTCATCTAAATTATATTTCCCAATCATTTCATACCATTCAGTTTAATCCATATATGCCTTACCATCCATTAAGCCTCTATCACATAATAATACAGGAGTCTTATTTGCTGGACATAACATTGCAAGTACGTTAAAACTATGTTCTAACTTCATTTATAAATTTAGTAAATTCATTTAAAATGTCATTTTACCTTCACTTGAATAATTATCTAAATCTAACATACCACCACCCATAAATAATGTTGTTGCTGCTTCAGGTACTAAAAATACAGCAAATCCTCTCTCTTTCAGTTTCTCTGCTAAGTAATTGAGTCCTGTCGTTTTACCTGCACAAGGACCTCCTGTTAAACATATTTTTCTGACTCTAGATTTATTATTTTTTATTAATGAATTCATTAAATTATATTCTATGGTCTCACCTAATTCGGCTTCACTTTTCAAATTCTTTTGCTATTATTCTGTCTTTTTTTATTGCAACTCATTTGAGTTTAACAACATTTTTCTATATAATTACTCTTTCATTAGAAATTTCTTCTCGTCCAATTTCAACTTAGTGAAAGCAATCAGACATGGAATTATACTGAAACAAAGACCATAAATTAGATGATCTTTATTCATAAATTAAATTTTAATATTTATATATATATATATCGTTTAGTTTTTGTCTCTCTAATTTATTCTATAATTTACAAATACATTTTACTTATTTCTTTTAGGTATTATTTGATTATTATATTTTTTGTTTAAAAATAATTGTTCACTTATTTAATAAAGTTCATAAAAAATTTAATAGAAATAAATGATGTTACAAAACTAGCTTTCTATTTTTACCAATTAAAATTAATTATAAACTAGAGTTCTTGTTAATTTTAAAATTCTATTTCAATTCTTAACTGTGCATAATTTTTTGAAATCTCAATTTTTTTAGATCCCTTTTTTAAAGAATATCTTTGAATAATCATTAAAATAACAAGAAATCTAGAGAACTCTATTAAGATAAATTCTTTTATTCAATATTTTAGTGGTAGATAATAAAAAATCTCTATCCACTTTAACTCAATCATATAATAAGATTATTAAAATCAACTAAGTATAAATTTTCGTAAATGGAAAATTTGTAATATCAATTATATCTGCACACTGGGCATTCCTAACTTTTTTTTTGCCAATCATTAAGACAGGCTTAATGGAATATATGACAACATTATAAAACTCCTTTTTAATCCATAGGCCCAATATCTATTAAGCAAATAGGACATTCTTGTGCTTTGTATGATTAATAAGCATCAGCTACTTATTTTAATGGGCAATCTAAATAATGCTCCTATTTAAATTCCTGAAATATTTTCTCTTAACAATATTCACAAAAACCGTCCTCAGATTCCTACAAAGCAAATGCTTTACAAACTTTTTAATGATCTTCCATTTACTATTCAAATGTAGCTTCCCCACAAAATCTACAATTAACATCAACTTATTATTTTTCAGAAAGACAACTTTACAGATGTTCAGATATGAAACAAAAAGGGTATTATTCCCCACAATTATCACATGGATAAAGTCTCATATCATCTTCTTATTGCCCATTCATTGAATTAATATTAATTATGTCAGATATATATTCTAATATAAATTCCCAGCTTCATTCCAATTAGAATTTATCCCTATATGCAAGACACTAAAAAGAAGCAAGAATAGAGCAATCAAAACTTACACCTGAAGAATAGAAAGAAAAATTACTTCAAGTTTATAATAACCGACCACCTGTATTTTCAGATGAAGTTAAAGTACCACCAAAACAAATCACAGCTACTCAAGGATCATAAAGATAAAAACTTTAAATGGGAATTATAAATCCAATTCATTAATTTGAAGATCCTAGAATCATAAAAAATGAAGCCAAACAAAAAGAATAGGAATGGTATGCTTAAAGGATGAAATAAAAGTAGAGACCTAAACCAGAAGATCCATTAATTGAACCTCAAGCAGATTTAGTATTATAAGCAAATAAAATTGATTTAAAGTATGGAAAATTTTTTAAATTAGACCTCCTCCCATGTTAGAAAAGGAGAAACCATTAATGTAAGATCATCTAGCTAATCCTTATATATATATAAAGAAGATTTTTAAAAAGAATTCCGTTGAATCTTAAATGAAACATCCAGATATATGGGATAAGAGTACTCATGTTGAATCTTTGAGAATTAATAAAGTTATGAAATAAGAAGGCAAGAAAAGACCTTAATCAGCTAAAGTTATTTAATAATAACAATAAATTTAACCTTAAGATAAATAAAAAGAAAAATTGAATAAAAAAGAAAGAGAAGAATTTTATTTGAAAAATCTAGTAAATATGTACAATATTTTATTAGAAAATGAAAGAATTTTTATTTAAATTTTTTAAGACAATGAATCATTTGCTAAAAGCTAGGAAATATAATAAAATAATTTATAAAGGGGATCAATAGAATTATGATTTAAATACTTTATTCAGTTTATGGGCAGAACATAAAAAGTTTAATTTTAAATCTAATCCTGAGAAATATAGTAAAATTGATTATAATTATAAATTTTAGTAACCAAAGAATAGTTTGTAGACTTTTTATTGTTAATTGGGCTTGATCCAGATCGATCTAATGAGGCTGAAAGATTTTTTGATTATTGTCATGATGATGTTGTAAAAGCTCCGGGGATAACTCAATAGGAATTAAATACTTAAGCTTAATAAGATTCTAAATGGTTTAGATTATTTAAAGATTGAGAATAAAATTTTGAAGAAATTATCAAATTTTATATAATGTACTATTGATTATGAAATCAAAATAAAACAAATTGCTTTCTAACGTTACCAATAATTTCATTAGGGATGACTTTCAAAACATTGAATCTAACAGTTTTAGATAATGGTCTGAATAAATTGAATAAATAAGATACCTGCATTATCCGCAAACAACAATATCTCCTTCTTTAACAGGTCCAAAAGCTGGTGAAATATGAACAGGAACATTTCTATGTCTTTTTTCATATCTATTGTATTTGGCAACATAATGTAGATAATCTCTTCTAATAATAATTGTTCTGGTCATTTTGGTTGAGATGACAATTCCTCTGATTTAATTATTTAATTAATATGATACTTTAAGATAGCTCCTCTGACACTAACATTTCCTGTAAATGGACATTTCTTATCAATATAATGTCCTTCAATAGCTTCCTTTGGTACTTTGAATCCAAGTCCAACTTCTTTCCAATATCTAACTCCTTTTGATGTCTTCTTAGCCAAAAGCTTTTTTGAGTTTTGGAAGATACCTTCTTGCTTTTGAAAAGCTCTTTATGTTTAGACGTCTGCCATTATATATTTTTTAAAAAAGATATAAATTTTAATGTAATAAATAATAAGGAAATATGTTTGAACAAAAAAATAGATTAAATTTGCTTGAAAAAAAAAACAATCCAAAAATCATAATAACTACACAGTTCTTTTTTTATCATCAAATTAAACTTTTTCTTATTTATCTAATTCTAAGAGGCATTTTAAGAATTATAGATAATCAGCGATAATGATTCTACTTTAACTTTAAAGTTCTCCCCAAATAATATCTATATCAACGACATCTTAATGAAGCTAAAAATATCAATATAATAGATTACTTTTTCTTTGAAATCTCTTAAGACTTTATGAACAGCCTTTAATTAATCTCTAGTAATACTTTAGGAATGAGCTTATTATAAGAATAAATGAAATTCAGCTTCTTTATTTTTAGGATCATCCTATTTTTATTTTTTCTTATCGCTTTTAACAATAAGCTAATTCTCTTATTCTTCTTATTTAGGTTATTCAGATTCAACTTTTTATCTTCCAAGAGATAATGGTTATTCACTTTTAAGTTTTTATTGACTTGATTTTCTACCACTAACTTTTCTATTTTCTTCAATTTCTTCTTCTAAATCCATTTATAAAGAGATTTTCATTAATTTTGCTCCAATTTTAACATCTTATTTAGTGACAATATTAGATAATCTTAATTTAGCATGAGCAGAAGCCAATCTAATAAGAGATTCTAATGATCTTATAGTAATAGGTTATGTTCTAATTTATTTTTCTAATAAATCGTTTTATCTCATTTTAGTCCATTATTTAGTAACTTCTTCTGCTGCTTCATCATCTAAGATAACATTAGAATGATTTTCTTTGGCATACATAATATATTTTTTAAGGAATGTTTAAGTTAATAATTCTTTTTAATCTGAAGAATGATAGACAGCAGATTATTAAACAAAAGGTGAAATTTCTTATTTAATACTCATTTAAGCCATAGGTTGAATAATATCACCAATATTTTCTTCTTCATCATATTATCCTTTGTATCTATGATTTTTAGTAACTCTTTCAGCTACTCTTCTATCATGATCTTTAGACTTTTAATCTAAGATAATAAACAATAGATCAAATCTACTAAGTAATGAATCAGGTAAACCAATATTCTTAGTAGGTGCCATATCTAATTAATATTCACCATAAAGTGGATTAGCAGCAGCTAATACAGAACATCTAGCATTCAAAGAACAATGTATTCCTGCTTTAGCAATAGTAACTGTTTATTATTCCATAACTTCATGTATAGCTACTCTATCTATTTCATTCATTTTATCAAATTCATCAATTAAAATAACTCCACCATCAGCCAAAACCATTGCTCCAGCTTCTAAATTATTTTCTCCTGTTTCATTATCTCTTTTAACTGCAGCTGTTAAACCAACACTTGATGTTCCTCTACCTGTTGTTGTTACTACTAAAGGAGCAGTTCCCATTACATATCTAAGTAATTATGATTTAGCTGTTGAAGGATCTCCTATTAATAAAATGTTTATATCTCCTCTTAAATGAGTTCCTGTTTCCAAATTCTTCTCTGTACCTCCTAACAATTGCAACAATATCGACTACTTTACATTCTCATGTCCAAATATTGATGGAGCTATTGATTTTGACATATATTCCAAAAGATCTTATTATATTTTTATATTTATACTTGGTTTCTTTGCTATTTCCCTTATATGTTTAATATCCACATCAGAAATCTTTGTCTCTTATACTGCATTCATCACTTTTATATTTTATGCTATCAATGTTGTTCTAAATGTTCCATTTGCTTTTGTTTATGAATTTGGAATACATTTATATACTCCTGTAATCTATCAATTATTATTCATTTATTACTTCTACTCTATCTCCTGGTTTAACTCTATCTACTAAATCTTAATCCAATATCACCTCTAATGATCTAGGTAACATTCCTGTTGGAGTTCTCTCTGGCAATTCTTATACTACCAATGTCTACATATCATTTAAATCACTTAATCCAAATTCAAATATCATTGGATTACCCTCTTCATCTTTCTTTTGTACTACTTTAACTTATCTTGATGATGTCCTTACACTTGGATCCATATTATTAAAATATTCCACTTATTTGAATTAGTTTTTCTTCTCAATATAATGAACTGATTTCTAAAGTTTCAATAATACCAATGACATCTTTGTCACTATTGCCTATGTACATACTAATTAATTTATTTATCCTGCTCCCAAACCTCTTGGAGTCACATAATTCTTCCCCAATTTACCTTCAAAATATATTTTATATGTCTTCTCTGTCTATAATCCCTTTTTATCATCATCCTCCTATTATTCTTGTAATTGCTTGCATATTTAACTTAATTTCTGTTAGAATACTCTTATAAAATCTGTTGGATGTCTTATCAAATCATCAACTCTAATATTTATATTAATAACATTCACTTACAAATTTGGATATTGTTATCGTGATTCCTATCTCAACATGTCTAAGTTTATAGGAAATCTTATTTTGTTTTGTTATCTCATAGCCTCGATCTAAGCTATGTCTATATTACTCAGAAATCTTTCAAGATAGTCTCTGTAAATTAAATCTTGTTATGGCGCTTCTTATGTGTTCATTTTATTTATTTTATTATTAACAAACTTTATGTATGAACTTTGCCACAATTTATACTTTTGGCGCAAAAAAAAACTAATTATTTTTGAATTTATTAAATAAATTCATATACAGTATTTATGACTTGAAAACGATAGAGTTCAAAGGTCTAACCGAAAGAATTAACTATCAAAAATATTTATAAGAACCGTATAATATGAAACATTTCTAAAAAAACTTTAAATAAAAAGTTACTTTTTTGAATAGTAATTGAATATTGAATATAAATAAGTTTTAATCATGCTTTCACTAATTCAAAATAGTTAATAACATTATTATCATCGTTTTGTTAAATTATTTGTAACTTTCTTAATATAATTTGTAAAATGCATTAAGTCAACTTTGATTTGAAATTTAGATTCTAATTACCTTGTTTGAATATAGCAAATAATGAAAAGCGGATTATTGGTATTTAGTTTATAGAAATATTTTTCAGGAATTTAAATAGAAGAGAGAGAATAATTAGAAAAAAAATTAATAAAAGAATAAATTGATTGTTAAATAAGTAAAATGTATATATTTGAGTGATTTGTGATTGATATTTATATATTCCTAATCATCTTAGTTTATAAAGATACTTGATATCCATAATTAAATAATGGTGATGTTTTAATATTAAAAAAATAAATTTAATGAGCTTTCCATAACATATTCCTAGCACATCACTTAGTTTTTTGGATGCTAGTTTATTGATTGGGAATTTAGATTGGTTATATTTGTTATCAATGAAAGAAACAGATGGATTATCAGAAAAGTCTTTAACAAAAAGTGAAGAAGTTTAAGGGTTTGATGCATTTCTAGAGCAAGTTGAGTTTACAAGATCAGCATATATTAAATTAAGGTAGTGAAGTATTGTTATTTAAGCAGATAGGATTATTTTAATTTAATATAGCATTCATCTAGACAATTGACAGAGAGTCTGTTGAACTCTAAGAACGAATACTTTAGTAGAGCTAGTATGATGCTAAATAAGATCAATAAAAGTAAAATAGAGAAACCAATTGTAATGGCATAATGTAAGACACAGCATATGTAATTTTAGATCATGAATGTACATATGAAGTATTTAAATAATGTTAAGGAGTGACAAATAGTTCTGCTCTTTAATCCAATCCACCAAAATGGCCTTGGGGATTAGAAGATTTTCATAAATCACTATGCAAATAAGAACTATTGTCTCTCTTTTATGAACCAGATTATGATAGACAAAGCATAGATAAAAATTTATAGAGATTAGTAAAGGAAATAGATCATAAATTATTATCAAAGGTTTTTATAGATTATGCATTGAGAGTTGGAACATTTAAGTATATGTTGAGTCTTTGCGATTTAAATTTGAAAGAAATAATTAAGTTGCCAAAATTCTAATAAAAGAGTAGACATCTTCACTATATGAGATCTTTATGTGATCAAGGAGGATTTACTATAACTTAATTGTAGCAATTTACAAAGTTAAATTATCATTAAATGACTATGACATCCTCCCAATCTTATTTGTACATATTAGTGAGTTCTCCTGTAGGTGGAATGTATAAAATAGGTACAGGCGAAGGTGGTACTGTTGCTGGTAAAGTATATCTACATCAACCTATTAAAAAATAAGACGATGTCTAATGGGTATTTCTACAAAATAAATTATATCTCAAATAATAAAATGGAACTTTAGATATAATTTGTCCTGATACTTTTTAAATTTTAAGTTAAATGACTCTACATTGTCCAGAATTATTTTAACATCCATAAATGTAAGCTATAAATAAAAACTATCCACTTATTACAGATGGAGAAAAATTATTTATTATTGGAAGAAAGCTCAATATTACAAAAATTGAAGGAACACCAGCAAAAACTAGAGAACCAACACCTTCAAATGCAAGATCATCAAAAAAGAAAGACGCTGAACATTAACCTGCTGATAACACTGTTAAAATTATGGATTTTATCCTTTTTGAATTTGATTTGAATAAACCAACTGGAAATGTTTAAAATGAAGAAGAATCTGATAAAAAACTTTTGGCTGAATTATATGAATCTTTTTAAGGATATTTTAGTAAAGCTGAAATAAGCAAAGCTTTGAATCTTAATAAAAATGATATGCAAAATGCAGCTTAATGGTTGGTTGAAGAAGGAGAAAAAGAAAGAAACAAAACTACTGTCTCTGTTTCAAAATAAACATTACTTTGCCAAGCTGAAATTACTACTGATATTTCAGCCAAATAAGTAAAGAGTAGTGCTGATATTGGATGTAAGGAAGGATCAATCCTTCAACCTTAAATTATTAGTAATATCATTTGGACTATGGATAAAAAATATGTGACAGCTTATTTTGAATCTGGAATCAAGATTTTCTCTAAAGATCCAGCATAAGAAAAAGAACTTGATCAAGCTAAAGATGATTTCAATCTTAGAGATCATTATTCATCCAAAAAACCTCCTGCTTCTAATCTACCTCTAAAAGGTACTTATATCACAACTGTCAATAAATACTTTAATGAATTCTATTAAAATCCTAATTATATTGTTTCTTATGAACATAATACTAAAAGATTTTATGTTATGCATATTTAATGGAACTCTACAGATTTATAATTTCCTGCTTTAGTTACTATAGGATCTGATTTTGTTCATCGACCTTTAAATCTGAATTTAAGTCCAGCAACAACTTTTGATGAAGAAGTAGTTAATTTTCTACTTTAATAATAAGAATATCGTTACGATTAAGAATGGAGATTGAATGATTGGTATGTGGCTTATTAAATAATGTTAAAGAATTTAAAAAGTATTAGTGAGCATTTCTCTGAAGATGAAGTTAAGAAATTGAAAAGTGAAAAATCTAAATGCATCTAAAGAATAAATAAATCACTTCGATCGATCAATGATAGTAGAACAGAGGTAGAATTAAAAAAGGTTTATGCATTTTGTGTAGAAGGTACTTACGAAGAATTGAAATAGATTTGGTAATTGTTCAAGAGATTTCATAAAGTTCAATATCTTTAACTTTTATAATATTGGGTTTAATATAGTGAAATATCAATTTTATTAAATGTAGGAGTTTATGATATATTAAAAGAGATAGGAGAATATTTGATATAAAATTGGTAAAATGAATTACACAGGAATATTTTTATAAAAGGATGGACATTATTTATGTGTTCAAATTCCCTTTAGTTGTAATATCTAAAATTAGGAGATACTCAATTATTATAAAATATTATATCGACATATTCAAGCATATAAACAGAAACAGAATCTGCAATATTAAAATTAAAATCTAAAAATGTAAACTTAGATGGAGATTTTAAATCATTTATCCATAAAAAAGGAGCTTAACATTTTTTGATAGAACCATTACCTAGATTATTAATTGATGTAGTTTAAAGTGTTAAGCTATTTAAAAAGGTTTATCCAAAAGGATATTTTGTAGATTGTGATATATCAAAAATAAATCAATAATTTTGGATTTTAGCAAAAGAATGGGCAATATAATGTGATATAACAAAATGGTAATTTTTAAATATGATATTTAATATGGCATTTAACGAAAATAATGAATGGGAAGTATAACATAAATTAGCATTTAATATATTATAAGTTTTCGAATTAGGAGTAAGCAATAAAGAAGTAAAAGAATTAATAATTAAACATAATTTTCTGACTCATTTTTTACTTTAATTATTTTTATCTCCAGTTTTATAATGTCCTATAGATTGTAGTCTTTTATAAATATTAATGTAAATAAATTAAAATATAGAAATGCCTACAACTCCATATAGAAGTTAAGGCATAGATCCTATAGGATATAAAGTATTTGAAACTAGTCATCCTTATGAAAGATAGAAAGTCTAAACTTTTGAAGATACCTATTTTCCAGGTGCTTTAGCTTTAGCAGTAGAATTTGATCCAAGATGTTCTAGTGATTAAGCTCATGATTTCTTAACAATTAATTCTTGGTATTCTCCTCATAGTGGTCCTTTTGGATTATAAACTAAATTAAAAGATCCTATGGGAGTATCATATAGAATTTCTGGAAAATTAAGTACAAAAAGACCAATTTTAATGCTTGGAAATGTTATCTAAGCTGATTTTAGTCCAAGTGGATAAGTTAGAAATGAACATTCACTTAGTAGATGGGGATTTAAAATTACTATTCGTCCAGTTTATGGAGATACTTATCATGTTAGCAATGTTTTACATATGGTTATTATAGAAAACATTTAATCTCTATTAGGTTTAAATGAAAATAGAACTTAATCTGAAGAAAACAATAATCATTTATTAAAATGGAATATTTTGAAAAATGGAAGAGCAGGATTTTAATATGATAAACATCTTATCAAAGTTTTAGGCTAATTATCTATTTCAAATATGAATTATGATGATGCAACATTATTACATGAAAATGCTGGAGCAAATCCTATACTTAAAAATAAATATTAATAATTGAAGAGAGATCTAATCAAAATCAATTATAAAAGTAGAGAAATTTAGAAAATTAATATTGATCTTCTTTAATTAGCTCAATAATAAAATAAATATCTTTCCTAAATCTTAGACAAAAAAGGAGAATTCTACAAAGTTATTTCTGATGTTGTTAGTTAATTTACGGATTCATTTTAATATAGAACTGCTAAATAAAAATCTGCGATGAAAGCACACATTGAAGAATTTAAACAAATTGAAATGCTAGTTATTTTGGTCACTTTATATCATAGTGGATTATTAGATGAAATTAATCTCTTAAACTTAGAAAATCATATCGATATGTTATAAGAAGCTAGAAATGATGTCATCAATTATATGCTTAAAGAAGTAGAGACTATGATTGAATACTAATAAAATTATGAAGGAATGTCATTATAAGCTACTGAACTTATGGAATAATAAAAATTAAAATAAATTAATGAATCTATTGAAAATATACTTTGGGATATGCTTTAAAAAAGATTGGAAGGAAATAGTGATATGATTTATAAAATATGCACTTAATAAAATTTGACAATTATTGAAAACAATCCAAATTTATCATTACGATAAATATATAATAATATTTTAGGAAAAATTAGAGATTCTAAATTAGATCTAGTAAATCCATATCAATATATTGTTTAAATCATTAAAAAAAGAATTTTAATCCTATTCAATATCAGTAATGTTTAATTAGTAGGTTAATAATAATAGATCTAAATTAAATCTTAACAATCTGTTGATTCTGGCAGTATTAAATAATTAAAACCTCTTGGTATTGAAAGATCAATATCCCATTAAATAGATGATAAACACATTGACAGTTAAAAGTTATTAAAATTCAGATAATGGCTAGATAGTTATTAGAAATGGAAAGTTCTTCATAATGTTAATTTAAACTAAATTTCTGCTGAATCCTTTGATATTCCTCCTGTTAAATCTGTCATACTATTTCTATAATAAAATGTTAATGAATCTTTAATTTAAGTCATGGATTTACATAATAGAAGATGTATAAGAAGAATTGCTTCTCTTAAATTTCTCAATGAATTCTAAGGATAAAGCGGAGGAATCTTATGTTAAGACATTATGAATTATAAAATTGAATTTGCCAGTTCTAATATAAAAGAGATTCTACTGTAAGAAGTAGTAAAAAGATTAAATTATCTAATGTAATCTATAAAAAATGATTATGCTACATATTTAAATCAAGCAATCACCTAATAAATTGATGGAAATTTGCTTGAATAATTAAAAATCATATGTATGACTCTTTGTGAAATTAATCAATTATTTTAAGTTGATAATAATATTTTATGGAAGAGTAGAGAACATGATTACAATCCTCATTTTAATCCTATTTTTAAGTAATTTTTAAATAATATTATCATAACTGGATTATTAAGTTTGGCTTTTGTTAATTTAGATCAATAATATTAATCTGTTGCTATTTTGAGTTAAAACATCTTAAATAATGTCAAAGAGACATTGTACATAATAACTGACAATTTGATGACTGATGATATTCTTTAATAATTAATATAAATTTTGTCATAAGAATTAGGAATATAATTATAGGGAGATGAAGTAAATTGTAGACTTCTAACAAAATTGAACGATTTAATAGGAGTAAAGAGAGTGAATTTTTTGCTAACAAATATTTTAGATTATTTGATAATTCATTAAAATTAAGATGTTCCATCATCGTTAATAAAATTGATTTTTTTTATCTTACATCATACAAATACTCCATCAACGATGAGATTAGCAATAAGGATTTCTAAGTATTTTAGTAGTATTAATTTGAACAAGATGAAGTATACTCCAAAATATGTATGGTTTTATTATGAGAATTGTAATTAATAATAGGTGAAGGTGTTACAGGAGAATAAAGAGTTATATTTTAGTTAGACATTAATTGAACGTGTAGGTTAATTAGTGAATTAAGATGAAGATACAAGTAATTAAAATATTAATATATAATTGTAAAATGAATTAGTAAATGTATAAAAAAAGATGAATTAATCAAATACAAATTATGATTAGAATAATCCATAATAGTATAGAGTAATATTGCATTTGTGTTAAGAGGAAGAAATATCTATTTTATTAAAGATATTATATTGGTGGGAGGAATTGTATCCAAATTTGAAATTGAAATTGCCATAAACATATTAAGAATATTTGGAAATGAAAGAGAAAGAGAAGAAGAGAGAAGAATAAAAGACATAATAACAAGAGGTAATTGCATAATAGACAGAGTTTTAATCATAAAGATAACAATAACAACAATAATATAAATTATTAGAGAGAGTATTAATGACTTAGCCTGAAATTTAATAAAATGATTATTTATTAGGATGGGGATTTAATTATAGCAATTTATATAGTGATATGAAGAGTGGACCATCAGATAATAAAAAACATTCATCTGGTAGAGTAAAGAAATAGATAAAAAAGTATTGGAGACCTTTAAATTTTTAGGAATTGGAAAGATTATATGAAGAATTATACAAATAAAATGAAGATATAAAGGCATTTCCAGATGAATAAGCATTTTTGCGATAAAGGAATTTTATAACAAGGATTCATTCTCATATAAAGGAAATAAAGAATTATGGTAGTTTATTAACAGTTTATGGTTGTATAGCATTTAGTGAGATATTTACATATTAAAAAGCATAAGTATTAATAGAGTTGATTTAATCAGCATTAAATGGAACATTACCAAATATACCTATGAATGATTTATCAGAGGAATTCAAAAATAAAGCAGATCCAAATAAATATATATTGATAGGAGCGATTAAAGAGATAGCACCTCCAAAGAGTAAATCATAACCATAGAAAGCACCTGCTTAAATACCACCTTAACCAACAAATGGAAAATCTTAGATGACAGTGAGTGTTTGTGATGTATATACGTTTTAGTCTTATGAGTTTAGAATGGATTATATTACATTATTACCATATGGAAATACAAGTGTTAATTTTTATAATGAAATTAATCGAAGTTCATCATTCACATAATAATTAGTGAATGGATAAATAGTAGGTTAATTAATTTATGAATTAAGTCAATTGTTATGTCACTCATAAATTGATGTTACAAATTAAAATAAATATTATAAATTAGGATATACAACTATTCTGTCATAATAATTAATATAAATAGCTCCAGGAATACCGGTTTAAATTAAAAAACATAAATCACATGATAAACAATATATTGTTTCTGGAGGAGATTATTGTGGATAAAAGGAATTAAGACTGCTTTCTAATAATGATGATAAACTTAATCTTTAGATAGTTAAATTGGATGAAATTGAACTAATACAATAAGATATTCCATAAATGATATCTTAAGAATAAATCATAGAATTAATAGAAAAAGAGAATGATAAATTTATACTCAGGAATCTTTTAATAATAGCAAGTAAATTATAATGGAGAGGATTTAATGTAGAGAGAATAATAAATAAAATATTAAATTTAGCTACACTCTATTAAGGAGATAATAAATTCATTCAAGCTTGGGAAAGATTAATTGATAGCAAATTATAACCTAATTATTTCTTTCCTATAGAAATAACTAAATCTATCAAATTCTTATAATAACCTTAATAAGTTGAATAAGAAGAATAAAAGATTGAACCTTTTGTAGAGAATGTTGATAACACTATTATAGTAGGTAGTACTTATATGTAATCATTGCCTGAAGCTTGTATCGTATCAAATGAACTTAAATTAGTGCAATATTGGGAGAAAAATATATTACCTAAAATATACGATTATGTTAAGGGTTCTTTAAGACCATATGAAATAGAGGACTTCTTTGAATAAATACGTTAATAATTAAGAAAAGGAGAATAACATAGAGCATTGGAAATAGCATACATAGTATGCGATTAAAGAATGCCTAATGGTGTTGTAATTCCTGAATCTAATCATGATTGGAGTACTTTGACAATTGAAGAAGTCTAAGCTGGATAATATGTGTTATGTAGACTTATTGATAAAACATCAGAATAATTATACTCTAAAGAATATTTACATTATAAAAAGCAAGGTTAAACCTTTATTTGTGGATAAATTATTGGTGTTGATTAAAGATCGTCCTCTATTCTAATTACACATATGGATATTAATAATTCTTAACTGTATGCTACTTGGTTCCCAGTAAGTGCTCTCAAATAAGTCTAATTATACATTCCACCTAATGCTAATGCATATTAATCAGAAACTATTTTAAAAGAATATAATAAAGAATTAGACTTAGAACTTAGTAAATAAGCCAGATTATTATATATATTAATGAGTTAAACTGTTAATGTAGACCCTATTACATATTTATAACTGGCCATGTAATTTGAAGGTTCATGTATTAATGGTTGGCTTACTGAATAATTAATTGATGATAACACCAAAACTAATTAAAAATTAAATCAATTTCTTTCTAATCCAGAATTAATATTCACTTGGTTATCTAAATCATTTGATTCTATTTAATAATTTGTTAATAATAACAAATTAATTCTAGATTTAGTTAAATCTCATAAAAAACCTTTAGAACTTAACTCAGATCTTGATATTGCTGGTTTAGCTATTGTTTTTAAAAATGATGCTACTTTATGTACTTGTTCTGGAATCAATTTCTTTAAAGATAGATTGGGCATCAATGATTTTTATACTATAAGTAGTGGTAAAGAAACTAGAGGTAGATTATCACCTATTATTTTAAATTAAAAAACTGTTTATTGTGAATATTATTTTAATGGAGAAGCTTTACCTATTTATTAATAAAAATAATGTGTTTCTCGTTTACCTTGTGTTGTTTACAAGATTCCTACTTTATGGAATACTGTATGTTATGTTATTGATTAAATGAGTACGATCTTTATTAAAAATAAAGATATTTAAAATATAAAAACCATTAATTAACTTTTAGAAAAAGTATATCATACACAACCTCATATTTTAAATCAATCCATTATTAAATTATTAATCAGAAATGTTCGAAAAATGTAAACAATGACAGATGAAACTTTAAAAGATGAATTTCTATCCTATTTAGTTAATGATGCTGTCAAAATATATAATATTTAAAAAGCAGAACCAAATGTTTTATATTCATCTTATCTATAAGATATTACTGAATTATTAGCTTTAGCTATTCCTAATAAAACTAAAATTTAGATTCCAGATTGGTTAAATTCTTATAGATATATTATCTAAATTGCAGAATTTATTAAATGTGGTAAATCTTTATACAATGAATAAATTGAACAAATTAATGGCATGTTATAAATAAATCAATGGAATCATTTAATTTATATGAATGAATTACCATGTGATATACAAGATGTATTACAAGAACAATAAGTTAGAATTTTAAATCCTTCTATAGACATTTTTAAAAAGTCAAAATAAACTATCATTCTAATTGATGGATTTTAATTATTAAATTTAGAAAATGTTGAAATATAACTCCCTCCTGAACCTCTCTAAGAATCTGTTAAATTATGGGAATGTGAAATGTGTACTTTCGCTGAAAATGTCTGGGATTCTTAATAATGTGCTATGTGTGAAAATCCAGCACCTGCTAATAAAATTCCTTATAAAGGACCTGAAGATTCATCTTAATAAAAAGAATAATAATAAACTTAAATTAATGTTGATGAGGAAGATGAAAAAGCTGATAAAAGAGAAGGATAATTCTTTGATGATCTTATTGAAAAAATTAAAGATAAAATTAAAAACTATTATACTGATTAATAAAATTAAAAGTAATAAAAACTTTAATAAATTAATTCAGCTATTGAAGTTTAATAAAATCTCTTAAAATAACTCAATAAATAATTAGAAAAAAAATAAAAATAATTAATATCAAAATATAATCCTAAATCAATTAAATAACCATTATAATAGTAACAATAATAAAAAATTTAGGATTGTTAATTAAAACTTCAAGAACTCAATAAAGAATTGTAATAAATCTAAGAAAGTAAACTTGAAAACAATTTCTAAATTTATTTTGGCAAATAAGTCTTAGAAAAAGCATAAGGAAATTGTTAATCTGCTAAGTAATCTAATAATAATAATAATCTTAAAAATAATCAATCTATATCAATACTACATGAATTCTTATAAAATAGATTAGAATATTACAGAAAAAAAATAAATCCTAAATACTTAGAAGAAATGAATAGCATGGATTCATTAGAAAGTTGGTAATATTTAGAATCTTTAGGTTATGATCTTCATTATTAATAAGTCACTAGCCCAAAGAATATTTAAATTCTACCAATATAATAAATGAAACATCTTCTTAAATTGATTGAATTTGATATTTGCAAAGAAACAAAGGCTGTAAGAGTTTACAACCCAAAAAATATAAGAAATTAAATAGATGAATAGGCTATTAACTATTAAGATTATATTAATTGTTTAACTAAATATTAGGATATTATAAATGCTCCAATATTAATAATAAGATAATCATGGGCTATAATAAAATTATTCAATCGCTATTTAGAAGCTTGTGGATAATTTATTAATATGGATGTTCCAATAGGTACATCTTAATAATTCCATTAAAATACAATATTTTTATCAATGGGAAACTATATGTAAGTTTTAAGGTAATTGTGTATGACACCAACAAAAGTGGATATTGTTTAAAGAGTTTTAAATAAAACAAGTATTAGTAGAGATTCTCCACCTAAAATAAATGTTGAACGTATCCGTTTAGCAAACCGTAACGGAAGAACAAATTAATAGGATTTCTTATTTACAATGGCATATGAATAAATGAAAAATATACCACCAACTTTATTGAGACCAATAAAACCATAAGGAACCGATCCATTTTTGGCATTTGAAGTAAATTTTAAAGGTGAAGATGTTTAAGGTGAAAGTGGTCCATATAGATAATTTTTTGCAGATATTAGTAAGGAATTATAATCATCTTAATTATTATTATATCCATCAACAAATAATCAAGCAAAATTAGGTAATCATAAGGATAAGTTTGTTTTAAATCCAAGTGCTAAATCTAATTATTATTTACATTTATATGAATTCTTAGGAGTATTGATGGCAATTGCTATAAGAACTGCTACTCATTTCTCTTTAGATTTACCATCAATATTTTGGAAACAAATTGTTGGTGAGAAAATCACATTTGAAGATATAGAATAAATTGATGCAACAATGTGCAACTTAATTAATTTTATGTAAGAATGTCCTGAATCAACATTTGAAGAGAATATTTTTGAAAATTGGGTAACTCTAAGAACAGATAAAAGTGTTTAAGAATTAAAAGAAGTAATTTATATAGATATATTAAATTATAGAATGGTAGTAAAATACCAGTAAAATATGAAGAAAGACTTGAATACATAAATAAATTGATAGAAGTTAAATGTACTGAAAGTGAATTATAATGTGAAAACCTAATCAAAGGATTAGTTAAAATAATTCCTTCACCTTTATTAAATTGTAATTTTTTATTTATATTTAAAATAGGGGTTTCAGCAGAAGATTTAGAATTATGGGTATGTGGAAGACCTATTGTAGATGTAGATCTATTAAAAAGGCATACTAGATACTCTGGTGATTTAAATGAAAATAGTGAAAGAGTCAAATACTTTTGGGAAGCCCTCTATGAGTTATCAGAATAAGAAAAGTTGAGATTTATAAAGTTTTGTTGGGGTCAAGAAAGATTACCAGCTAATGATGAAGAATTTGATCGAAACTAAATAAGATTCATGATTAAACCTTCAACTGTTAATACTAAATAACCAAATAAAGCTCTACCAAAAGCAGATACATGTTTCTTTAATTTAGAATTACCAAACTATTCTAGTAAAGATGTATTAAATTATATTTATTATTTAGATTTTAAAAAAGTAATTACTAACAGCAATTAATTTCGATTGTGATAGTATGAATGCTGATCCTAGAGTAAATCTAGATCCGAATGCTCGACATAGAAGAAATAGAGAAGATGATGAAGATGATAGTTTATTTGAAGAGGGGGAGTGGTGAAATTATATATATAAAAAGTATATTAATTTATGTTGAAATTCATTTTATTTTATTAAATAAAAATTAAAAATTTTTTTAGTGTTTTTATAATAATCATAGGTTTTATTTTAAAATAAAAAATTTAAAGGTTTGATTTTCTGTTTAGTGAAAAAATTTTAATTTCATTATTCAAAAAGGGTTATATATTTAAAAATCAGATTTGATTTAAAATCAGTACATGTTATTGTAAGATTCGTAATCTTATTCACATTTAATTTCTAATTTAATTTCTGAATTTGTTTATATGTCTTCCTCTTCTTTTTTAACACTAATTTTATTATCATCAAAATCTGTGTGTTCTTTTTTTATTTCTAAGTTCCCTTTTTACATTTATTATTTCTAGATCAAAGCAGCCTTTTTAATCTTAGCTTTATTTTTTCTTATGAAGGCTCTTAAAAATCCCATTCTCTTATTAGAAAATTCCTCAATTTAACTTATCAAACGAACTTTCTTAAATATCTAAACATAGTCTTCTAGTGTTTTTTTTGGAATCTGAACTAGTTTTGCAGCTTCTTCAAGAGTGATTCTTTATTTTTTTTTATTCTCTTAAGTTATACCTTGTTCATATAATCTTCTCCACTCATTCACTCTGTATAAAGCATCATCTACACTTCTTTCTTTTACTCTTTTTTCAGGGAAGGGAAAATAATAGTTTTAATAGTCTTTGAGCATAAAGGAATATATAATTATTATTTATATATCTCTTAAATTTTTTTTGAATTTAAATAGTCCTTAAATGGATATTTAAATACTATAAGAATTCTATTTGATTTCATATTCTTTTGATTAATTATTTGGAACTATTGAATGCGACAATTCAATTTAAAGTCATTAATAAATTGTAATATCAATTCTAAAAGTAAATTAGAATTAAATAAGCAAATTCTAAATAAAAATTCATACAATCCTATCATTTAATCGTATTAATATAGTTTTAATTATGAATCATGATTTAATAAAAAAAAATAATTTATCATTATTTCAAATTATAATTATCGATTTTTCTAGAACAAATTATATATATTTGAATAATATTAATAATACAATAAAAATTAGGAAAGTATTTAATTGAAAATAAGGCAAGATATAATCGAATTATATATTATACTTATGCTTTCATTTAGCAAATTTTTAGGTTTCTTATCTAACTGTTGCTTCAAATTTGTTTTTATCACTTTTATATAATTCCATTGCTTTAGGGTTAAGTGCTTAATCAGTATTAACTTATCCCATAATATTTAAGATTTTTTCTAAAACTTATTTTACAGTTTTAGTAGGTTGCCATTATTCCTATTTTATGTATTACAATATACTTTAGTTTCAATCATATCTTCACAAAATTCTCCCTTTTCTGTAATATTTGGATGGAAAATTTTAGTTGTAAATAAAAATTATGGGGCTTTAAAGGGATAGTTTTCTGGAAAAGTAATTGTTAGTTTAAATTAGCCTCCTTAATATGCTGTACCCTCTGGTCCTGCAATAAAAGCTGTCCATCTTTAATAAATATAATTTCTATACAATAATCTATTATTTAGGTCAGGAGAAATAATTACACCATGAAGTGGACTGGTTGATGTTAAATCTGTTAATTCCTTATTCAATCTATTTTGCATTTTCTATAAATAAATAATTTATAATTTAAATCTTTTAAAATTTGAGCTTGTTTAATACAAAAAAATAGCGAATTATTATGTATCTTATTATTTATCGCTTAGCTCTTGTTATAAGGTTTATGATAATTTTACTATTAACTTTTATCACTCTCTTTTATTTTGAACCATAAATAATCTTAATATTCTAACACTATTTATCTTTCTCTATAAATCAAATATTTTATTATTTATTATCTATCTTATAAAAGTTTTTATTGTTCACCATTCTTAAATATATTATAATTAATTTATGATATCTTTTTCACTCTAGATTTCATTAATACTAAAAATAGATATATTTTAGTTTTATAATCCCTTAGAGATTTTTAAATTAATAAGAGTAATAATTCTTTAAAGGAGAACAAATTATGTTTTGAAACCTCAATCAATAATCTTAAGCTCCTTACTATTTCATTATAAAAATACAACTATTTAACTCTATAAACTAAAGTTCCAACTAAACTTGAATTGTAAAACTCATAAAATAAATATTTGAAAATGATTATGATTTTTTGTATAATAATTCTATATTTATCTTGTAGATTTTATATTAAAATCAAATCATCAATCCAATTTTATTTTGTAAAAATTTTATCTATGAAATAATCATAAATGATTGAGAAGTTAAATGAGGTTATGAAATAATCTTAAGATAATTATGGTAAGGAGGAGGAATATAGAAATACAAGATAAACAGGATGTACTGAATATTCTCAAACTTAATCAATATTTTTTGATCAACAATTTTTGGGATAAAGCTAAATATTAGTTACCTAAGATGAAATTTTAGATGAATAGTAATCAATGACGATGTATTAAATATTTAATAAGAATAGGAAAAAGCTTAATTTGATTTATTTCAGAATGAAGGGTCTAGTAGAAAGAAAAAAATATATATATATGAAAAAATGGGCAAAATATAGAAAGCATGTTTATTAAGAGTTAATGATGACTGAATAGGATTACTTAAATGATTTAAAATTAGTTATTTATAATGTTGTACGAGCATCTGAATAATTTAAACTATTACCAGAAAATGAGATACAAATAACTTTTAGTAATATATGTCATATTTACGAATTCAATTAGAAATTTTATGAAGAACTTAAATGTAAGAATCTAATATTTATTTAAATTTAGAAGTATTTGATAATTATCATCCAAATTCTTGTTTTGGCAATATATTTCAAAAATTTATTCCATTTTTTAAAATATATTTCTAATATTATACAGATTACAAGGATTATCAAATAAATTATTTAAGATAAACTTATCCAGCGTTTAATGAACATTTATTAATTTTAGAATAAACAAATATATTTAGAGGAATTGATTTAAACTCTTTCTTAGTAAAACCAATCTAAAGATTACCAAAATATGCTTTACTAGTAAAAGACTTAGTTAAGCACACTTGGAAAAGTCATCCTGATTATTAAAATCTTGAATAGACTCTAATTGCATTTCTTTAAGTAACAAAAAAAATAGATCATTAAATGGGAAAGTATTAATTTCTATAAAATTGTAGTATTTTAAAAAATCAAGCTCTTTTTGATTTATAAAAAAAGTTTTTTGATGTTTTAAATATTAACATAGTTGAATCAACAAGAAATTTTATTTTATCAGAAACAGTTTACTTAAAATAGTTATAAGAAGAGCCAGTTAATTTATATTTATGTAGTGATATGATAATTTTATCAAAAAAAATAGATTTTCATGAAAAAAATATAAATGAAAGATTAATAACTTATGGTTACATTGATGAGAATTCAAATTTATAGAATGCTTCATCAAATCATTTATAATTAATATTAAAAACACAAGATTAACAAATAATATTTATTTGCCAAGATTTGGAATAATAATAAAAATTATCATCCTATCTAAATAATATCATCAAAGCAAAACACTAAACTATATATCCTAAAACAAATTCTATTAAAAATATATAAGTTGAACCTATAAGAGTTTTTGTTACTGAAATATCACGAGGATAATCAAGAATACCATTTAAAAAATTTGCAAAATATGATATTAAAGTATAAATATTTCATAATTATAGGTTGTTTATGATAAGAAAGAGTATCAAATATGGACTAGACATAAAATATTGTTGAAGATTCAAAAAAATCTTAAAAAACAATATAAAAAACTTTATGAATCTTTGAGAGAAAAATGTATTTTATTTTAAGATTGGATTGATAATAAATTAAACAAATAAAAAAATGACGGGAGAAAAATTATTGTTGAAACATTTTTAGAAACTCTTTTAAATTCTGAATTCGTGAAATTAACACCTGAATATTATCTTTAGCTTCTTGGGCTTCCTTAAAATTTTTATGATCATACTATTGTTAAATCCTTTTCTATTTTAGATTCTTCAGATGAATCAAAGTCTAGTTAAGATTCATGAATAAAATTGATAATTCTTTATTTATATAATAATAATTATATTTTTTACAAATTAAAATAAAATTTGTTTAATAAAGACATTATTTGTTTAATTAAAATGTAAATAAAAAAGGGAATTGAATTATGTGTAATATATAAAAATAATGATCTATTTTTTCATTTTCAAGTATGCTCTCATTTTTTAAAGGAGAAGAGTTTGCCTAGAAAACCTGTATTGCTATTAAAATAAAACATTCCTCCCATAACCAATAATAGAACTAACATCTAATAAAAAAATAGAGTGAAAGTATACTTGCATCCAAAACTCTGTTGAAAATAATGTTTTCTTCAAGAATGATGACTCTTAACGAGGTTTTACAGGTTCAGGATGTTATTTTAAGTATTCTTCTCTTTCTTTTTCTTCTTATTCTCTTTTTTTCTTAAAGTAATCTGTCATAGCATATTCAAAGACCTGAAATAATTAAAATCAAATATACTTCGAAATTGAATTTACCTTAACCAAAGATTTCAGTAACATTTTCTCTACAAAGTCGTATAAGTCTTCTGACATACTTTTTGTCAGTAAAATTCAATTGATGTTTTATAACAAGTTCTTTTAGTATATCATCATTTTCATAATCAATGAGATCTAAATTCATATAGAATGACATTGTTTGCACAGTTTCTAATAATCTTTATAATTCCTATTTTGCAATTTTTACTTAATCATATTTCTTTTATTCCTATTATTAATATAGAGAAAAGAATTTACAGCATAAAATTCAATAATCCTATAATATTTATTGACCATTTCTTTAACAATTTCATATTCTTAATGTTCTTGGGTTAATTGTGGTAGACATACTCTATATAAGAATTATTTGTCTGTTTCATTTTGTTATTGAACTAAATCTTCTGGATCAACTACATCTGTAACACCTTCTTCATATGGTACTTTCCCATCTTCAATCATTTCTTATTCAATTTCATCAATTTCTTTAGCTCTTAAAAATAATGGTTCAACAATATCTTAAACCCATTATTTTTTTCTTTTTAATGTTTCCATAACTCTATGTGCATGTTCAACATAAATTTCTTTAGCATTCTCTAAACCCATTAATTTTAAAATTCCAGGACCTTATTTGAAAATATTTTCAACATTTGATAAATTGATAGCTTTTTCAATAAGTTCTTTAGCTTTTATTAAATCTTTATAGGTAGACCATTTATCATATAAAATAGCTTAAGAATATCTAAATAAATATTATGAATTCTCTTTTTAAATAACACCTGCATCATCTAAAATCTTTTTAGCTAAATCAAAATGTGACATCTTCATATAACAAACAGACATATTAAGATATAGACCATACATAATAGAATTACACATTTCTTTATCAGCTTCATCCTTTATAGATTGAAATAAATATAATACTTGAATGTGTTCTACTCCATTGTACTTGACATTCTCATCAGTGTAAATTGTCATTAATGATTTATATTATTTTTTAAATTCTTTTTATTCTTTCCTATATTATTTTGCTGATTTTTTCATATCTTCTAATTCTTTTTTTTCTTTTTCAGTCATATTTGAAGTATCTTATTACTAATTTGTTTCATCTTCATCAGAATCTACTTCAGGAGGTTCTACAACTTCTAAATAACGGAAACAACCAAGAGCTCTTTCATAATATCTAATAGCCTCATCATATTCTTATTTTTATAATAGTTTATTTCCTGATTATGAAATATAAGTAATACCTTTTTCTCTAAACTTATCATAAACAAAAAATCTTTAAGCCACTTCACATTATCTAAGTTTTTTAGTATTTTCATCATCATGAAACAATGTACTTTTTAAATATGTTGGATATGTATCAAATACTTTTCTTCTATCCTTTATTGGACCTATTAATTCAATAATAATAAGCCTTACCTTTTTTAACTTCTTTAGAATCAAAAGCCAACATCCATAAACCTCGTGTATCTAGTAGATAATTCAAAGGACTGATATAATAAGTGTCATATTATTCTTCAAGATGAGCAAGTGGCGGATTTCGTTTTTTTTCACTTGACATGAATGGACATCCTCCTTTAGGTTACTTCTCTTTTTTCTCTTTTTTCTTCTCAGCACTTCCATCTGCAATTTTTATCTCTGGTTGCTGTTGCATTTACTGGAAAGGACATTTGGATTTATCTGTATAATTTTCATGGCCTTTTGGTGGTTTCATTGCTTCAGAAAAAGGGCATGAACCAAATTCTATATCTTTCTTCTAAGAACCTTGATTACCTTGCATTGATTTCAAATATATTTTTAATTATGTATAATTGTTTTCTAAAGAGGAGTTCTTAAATTATATAAAATATATTTATTCACTGGTCCATGTCAATCATTTTCAAAACTGTTCTAACATGCTCATTATCTTCATTATTTTATTTATCTTCAATAACTGAATTTGATTTCTTTCTCATTAAGTCTTTTAAATCTTTTAATTCATCAGAATCTTCATATTCTAATCATATATATTTACCTGTTCTTTCTTAAATCGAAATTAATGTTGTCTAATAATGTTATCCTTTATTATTTTATTTTCCTTCATCTGAATCCTAATCATATTAAAAACTATTCTGTAAATTATGTCCAAGCCATTACTAATCACTTGTACTGCAATATTTCTAATAACTCAACGTTAAATCCTAAGACTTATTACTTACATTTCTCTATGAATTTAAAAGACTCTAATCTCTAACCTTAAACGTATTCTATACAATTCTATTTCTAGGAACTATCTTAAATACTCTAAATTGAGATAATTAATCAATGCATCTAATAATTATTTTAATCCTTTTTTACCTTTTCTCTTAATTATTATGATAAAATGAACAATCACTCTTTTAACAATGTTAATTTATACATTATTTTGTTCTAAACAACATTGGATGATATTCTAATTCTTTCCAACCATGACATTTACTACAATTAAAACCTTCCTAACATCCATTGTAATATTCTAAGATATATTCTCCAGTATTCCAACTTTAACATGGAATTGGATTATATTAATAAATTTATGGTTTTCTTCGAAAATCTTACCAATTATGAGCATATACACATAAAGCTTTATCATGTTGTGTAAGATTGAAAGGACACCATACACTCTTATAATAAAACATAAAGAAATCATCATCATATTCTAAATTATGAATTAATTCTATAACTATATCTGCTTCAGAGTGTGCAAAAGAACAAAATTTTCCATAATCACATTAAGATATATTATTTGGATAAAATGAACAGAATTTAGTCTTATAATTGTCCGCTCTATATAGTTATTCAACTCTATTATGTGCTTTATTGCAATTATCACCATAAGGACATTATTGATTATTTTCTACATTTGTACATAATTCCGATGAATATTAAGTATTATTTCTAATTTTGTTAATTTGTATACCTTTTTCTATCTTTAGCATTGTGATAAAATGGGCAATGTTTATGGCTATGGCTACCTGGAATTTTGCAAAGTTAAATTTTAAAGAAGTTTAGGTCCAAATGTTCAACTTAATTTGAGGATTGAATTGGTTATGAAAAATTGAGATTATAATGAGTGACATCAGTTGTATCTAAAATATAATTATCTTTTACCTGTATCACTTAATTTAGCATTTCGTTCAGACTTTAATGCGCTATTCATGCTTAGCATTCCTTTTGGAACTTAAGGCATTTAAAGTTATTAAGATCTACAATTGCGATTATTATTGGCCTTATCTGGATTGTTATATCTTTTTAATGCTTTTTTTAATTGGTCTTATGGGTTGTGCATTTATTAATAATTTAATATTAAATTTAATGATACCAAAACCAAACCATGTTTTTTGAATTCCTATTGGCTAACATTTGGAATATTTATAATAATTTTTAATTTGTTTTAATTTACTTAGATTTTAAATATTTTCAATTCTCCATTTTATCATCAAAATCAGATATAAAATTTAATTTGAAAATTAATAAATTTAAACAATGAAAAATTGTATCAATGTCTAAAATTAAAAAGAAAAAAAGATCAACAAATAAAATAAATAATGAGAGATTAAATTAATTTGATGAGAAACAAGGATTAGATAATAAAAATAAGTTGAAGAATTATGATATATAGCAGTTAGTTATTTATTTATAAAATTCATTAATTTTAAATTCAAATTTTACACAAAATGAAGAAATCATTCAAAGATGAAGCAATGCCTCTTATTTTTTATTAATAAGAAACTCAAAGTAAATATTTGCTAAATCAAAACAGCTTATCAAGTAAACCCAGATGCAATAGAAATAATAAAAAATATTCCTTAACCAATAGGAATAGTTGGTGTAGCAGGTATGTATAGAACAGGAAAATCATACCTTCTAAATAGAATGCTTTTAAATAGATCTGATGGTTTTGGAGTAGGTCCAACAGTATTACCATGTACTAAAGGATTATGGATGTGGGGCAAACCATTATTAGGTTAAACAAATGATGGAGAAAGTTGTTCAATATTAGTTGTTGATAGCGAAGGATTAGGTGCTCCAGATGAAGACTCTACCCATGACATTAGAATATTCTCTTTAACAATCTTATTAACATCTTGTTTTATCTACAATTCTGTTGGAAGTATAGATGAAAATGCCCTCCAAAATCTTAGTCTAGTAGTTAATCTAACCAAAAATATATAATTAAAGAGGTAAATATTAATTTTTAATTTTTAGTGGGTAATCACTTTAAGATCTTGAAGATTTATCTTAATACTTTCCATAATTTTATTGGGTTGTTAGAGATTTTACACTTCAATTAGTAGATAAGAATAGAGAATAAATTACTTCAAAAGATTATTTAGAAAATGCCCTTTTAATTTAAAAAGGATCATCTGATGGAATTGATTAAAAAAATAAAATTAGAAGATTATTGACAACTTTTTTTAAAGATAGAGATTGTATTACATTAGTGAGACCTTTGACTGAAGAAAGTAGTTTATAGAATTTAGAGAATCTTGATTTTGATAAATTGAGACCTGAATTTTTTGAATAAGTTATAAATTTAAGAAAGAAAATACTAAATAGAATCAGACCAAAAATAATGAATGGTAAGACACTTTCAGGTTAAATGTATTGTGATTTAATACGTTCATATGTTACAGCTATTAATAATGGAGCTGTACCTGCTATTGAATCTGCTTGGACTTATATTTGTAAAAATGAATGTTAGAAAGCTGTTTCAGAAGCTTTTGATACTTATGAATAAATTCTTAAAGAAAATCTTCATAATAGATTTCCAATATCAAATGAAGATTTAAAAGCATTTAATAGAAGTCTAAGAGAATAAGCATTTGCCTTATTTAAGAAGAAATGTGTTGGAGATGCTGAAGAATTTAAATTAGAATTATCAAGAAGAATTAAATAAAGATTTGCTTCAGTAAAATTGGAAAATGATAGAGAAGGATCTAGGATGTGCACCTAATTTATTTAATAAGAATTTTAACCTATAGATAGAAAACTTAAATTAGGGGAATATAAATCTTTTGGAGAATATGAAAAAGATATTAAAATGTTTTATAACTTTTTTATTGAAAATGGACCTAGAGTTGGAAATAGAAATTAAATCATTTTAGAGTTTCTTTAAAGAGCTTTAATTGAAGGATCTAATCTTTTTATAAGATAATATGCTTAAGAAACAGATATGACAAAGAATGTTGCATTTGAAACATAAAAGAAATTAGAATAAGAATTAAAAGAAGTAAGATAAGATAGTTTAAAAGATAAAAATAATCTTTTAATGAAATTAGCACAAATAGAAAGTGAAAAAAATGAAATTGAACTTAGAGAATAAGTTGCTAGAGATAATTTAGAAGAACTTAAAATTTAAAAGGATTAAGTAGAAAGAGATTTAAAATTAGAATCTGAAAATGAAAAAATTGAATTAACAAGATAAATTTAAGAATTAAAAGGTTAAGTATTAAAAGCAGAAGAATTCAATAAAGATTTAGAAAGAAATACTCTATTTGGTAATTCTGAATTTGAAAAAGAAAGAGCATTATTAGAATAAAAAATAACATTCTTTGAGAAATTAGTAAATGAAATGAATACTAAAGAAGTTGAATATTAAAATGAAATTAAGAATCTTAGAAAAGAACATAGTTTATAATCGAAGGATTAATAAACAAAATCAGATTCTATGGTTAGATAATTATAATAGAAATTAAACGATTTATAAGAAAAACTTAATGAAATGGAAAATGAATTAATTGAAAAGGAATCAAATTTTGAAAATGATTTTAAAAAGTTTGAATTCAAAGAAAAAAGTTTAACTAAATAAAATTTCGAATTAAATGAACAGATTTAAACATTGAGTAGAGAACTTAGAGAATATAGAAGAAATGAGGAATAAATGTAATAAATTTTAAAGTAAGATGCTAATAATTAAGTGAATGAATTATTAGAAAAAGTGTAAGGATAAGAAGATTTAATAAAATCTAAAGATGATTAATTAAAATAAATAAAGAGCCTTAGTGAAAAAGATAAAGCATTAATGTAATAAAAGATGGAATTTATGGAAGTTTAATTGGATGAATATAAAAAATAAATAGAAGAAAATAAAAAATCTCATGAAGCTATAATGAAAGCTTTTGAGAATTCAAGTAATGAATCAACTTATAAAATTGATGCTGCAAAAATGAATGATTTAAGAGAATAACATAAGAGAGATCTTAAAAATATAGAGAACGAATATGAGAATGTTAAAAAGAGATTATAATAATAAGTAGATTAATTAAATGAGAAGAATAGTGAATTAGAACTAAAGGTTAAATTTGAAACTGGAGATCTCATTAAAGAAATTGAGAATCTTAAAGAATAGTTATAAACAACAGAAGAATAAAGAAATAAATTACTTGAGTAAAATAAAACATTAGATGGATAAAAATTATCAATTTTAAAAGATTAAGAATTAAGATATTAAAAGAAGATTAAAACCTTAGAATAAGCTATGGATGAAGCAGATACAAAAACAGCAAGAGAAGTTAATTTAGCATAAGCAAAGGCAGAAGAATCTTTAACTTAATTGAAAAATTTTTATGAAATTGAAAGGGAAAGATTAGAAAGAAGAATATGTGAAGAAAAAGAAAAAAGCGATAAGAAATTTTAAGCAGCTTAAGAAGAATTTTATCATAAATTAAGAGAAACTGAGTAAAATTATGAAGAAGAAATAGAAACTCTAAAGGATGATTTAAGAGATTAAGTTTAATAATATACTAATACAATTTAATAATATGATCATGAAATAGCTTTAAAATAATAAACTATTGAAATCATTGAAAAACATATAAAAGAAACTAAAGAGTAACTGATATCTCTTTAAAATAATAATAATGTAACATTAGAATAATAAATGAATTCTTTTACTACAGAAAGAAAAGGTTTAATTTCTAAAATAGATATTCTATCAAGTTAATTAAATAATCTCTAAAAAGAACATATGGCATTATAACAAAAGAAAGATCTTTTAGAAAATGAAAAAACAAGAAAAGAATAACAATTTGAATAATCTAGAAAAGAATGGTAAGAAGAAAAGAGAGAATCAATAGAGAGATTAGAAGAAACTAAATTAAGACTTCAAAAAATGAATGATGAATTTTTAGAAAAAAAAATTGAATATGGTAGAGAAACAGCATTAATATAACAATAAAATGAATTTTTATAAAAGAAGATTGAAGATTTATAAAAATAAATTGATACTTAATAATCAAGATTTGATGAAAAAATAAAATAATAAAAGAATGAATATTCTGTTGAATTAGAATAAAAATTAGAAAGAGCTTAAGAAGAAAAGACAGCTATAGAAAATAAGTATGAAAAGATTAAGAAATAATTAAAAGAGAGTGAATATTAATATAATAAATAAGCTTCAACTTTAGAAAGAGAGAAAGCAATTTTGAATGAAAAGTTAGGACATTTAGAATCAAGAAAAAATGAATTGGAATCTAAAATAAAAGATGAATCTCTAAATGTAGCTTAATAATAAGCTGCTTTAAGAGAATAAATAGCTATAGATAAGAAATAATTATAATAAGAATTAGAGAAATATAAATTATATAATCTTTAATTAGAATAAGAAAAAAATGAGATATATACTAGTTATGAAAGAGATAAAGCTTTATGGGAAGGTAAATTTTAATTTTTAGAATAACAAAAAGAATAAGCAAAATAAGATTTAGTTGATGCATTAAAAAAATTTGAGATGACATTGATGCATTTATAAAGAGCAAGATCAAATGAAAAAGATGAGTAAGAAAATAATTTAAATGAATTATTATAAAGTGTTGAAAGAAAATATTAATCATAAATTGAAGAAGCGAATCAAACTCATTAAAGAATAGTTTAAGATTATGAAGATAAAATAAGAAGATTATAGAAGGAGGTTAAAACTCATAAGGATAAGATTTTAATAGATTAACATGGTAAAATTGGGAATTAATTACTGTCAGAGAAAAAGTTTGCAGAAATGTTAGATAATGAAAAAAAATTATAATAAGAAATTGAATATATTAAATAAGATAGAGATTAAAAGATATTTGAATATTAAAAGATGTTAGAATAAGAAAGAGAAAATTTAAAGGCTAAGATAGGTGAATTAGAAATTAAATATAAGTAAGTTGAAAGTAAAAGATCAACACTTATTTTTGAATTTGAAAAAGAGAGAGCTAAATGGAATTTAGATAGAGATCATCTAAATAATATTAAAAATGAATTGTCAGATTAATTAGAAAAATTAGGAGAAAAAAAAGAATAATTATTAAGAGAAAATGAAAAATTAAAAAATGAGTAAAGAGCTACTAGACGTAGTGTTGCTGCACATAATATGACAAGTAATAATATAAAGACAGGCAATACATATAGAAATCCAATTAATAATATATCAAGTATTTATTATAAACATTATTTAAGCTATTGGTCTATAAAAATTAAGCCCAACTCATTCTAATAATACCTCTACTTCTTCTGCCAATATATCAGTTCTAAAGAAAAATAATTTAGCTGATATAACTAATTATGAAAAAACTGCTCCTTTGACATAGTAATCATTTTAAAATAGCAAATATTACTATTATGGAAACCAATAAGTATAGAATGATGATTCTATGATTGGGTAGAGTGATTTTCAAAAATGATATAATTAATATATATAAATTTTAATAATTATCAAAATTTAAATCATTATCAGATCCTGTTATTACAGTATCAATATATTATAATTTACAAAAACTTTAATATGAGAAAAATGCAACATAAAAAACTTTTATTTTTATTTTCTTCAAAACTAAAAAAACATATATGGTAATATGTTCAAAATAATATAAGACCCTAAAATTTTTATTTATTGATTAATAAAAATTTATATCGTTATTAAAAATAAAAAAATTTACGCCCGAACAGGGTCTCGATCCCTGGACCTAGAGATTAAGAGTCTCTCGCTCTACCAAGCTGAGCTATCCGGGCGTATTAATATTTTTAATTATTTATATTTATATAAGTACCTTCAAATTAATCATAACATTTAATATATTTTTATTTTTCTCATTTTATTTATTTTTAAGATCTCATAATATTAATTTAACTTAAAATACATACAAACTCTATCACAATATATATCGATATAAACTTTTTTAAAAGATTAAATAAAGAAAATACAATATAATTTTTAGCCTATGTTATCAGTAGATTAGTTTTATTGATATGAAGGTATAAAGATGAAATTAATTAGTTAAAATAGTAAGGAATCATTAATTTCTGATTTAAATGGAAAGTCTTTTTATATTTAATTATGAAACCTTGGTTTCACATAGTTAATGAGTGGGATTAATTTACAAATTTTCTAGAGTCTCAAGAAAAGGAAGAAATAGAATAAGAAGAAGTAGGTATCAATAGAATTGGAAATAGATATATTTTGATATTAGTAAAATCTTATAAGAGTCATAGTTTAAGATAAACTAAATTTATACAGAATTAGCTACAGCAAAGTACAAATGGATGAAAAAAAGATGATGAATTTATGGATGAGATGGAAATCTAATCATAAAAAAATAATAGGTAGATAAAGAATTAGAAGATAATGATGAAGATCATGAAGATTTAGATGATAATTAAGAAGATAAATAAGATAATTATTTTGTTAATTTAAAAAATAATTAAGAAAATAATTGATTTTTCATTTCAATATAATTTCATCAACACAAGATTCTATTCCCATTAATTATTGAACATCTTTATTGTTTACAAGTTCAAATTATTTGAATCTAGGAACAATAAAGCTTTTAAATTTAAATTCTGTTTCCAAATTTTGTCCATCTCCTTCTTTACAAATTTTAATTGTTTTTCCCTAGAAATAACATTATTCAAATAATTCAACGCAATTCTTGTCTGATAAAATCAAATCTTCATCAACAACATATGCCAATATTGAAACTTAGGCTTAAATTAATTATGCATCATTCCCTAAATATCAGATAATTATAATACAAGTTCCTATTTCTGCTAATACTTTATCATCATACTTTAAGTTTTATAATTGAATTTTTATAGATTAACTCTTGAAAATAAATTCAGTAATACCACCTATCAATATCGGTTTATCAATATTCAAATCATATGAAAAACTAATAAATGCCTTACCTTTCTATTCTTTTACCCAAGGATGATTATTAGATACAGAAAATGGGATAAATTTAGGATATAAAGCATTCTTTGATCCAGATATTATACATAATTTTATCATCTTTACAGAATTTGTTACTTACAAATAAGCATTTCCATTATCTATTTTTTCTACTTAAATTCCAACTTAATTTGAACTACCTTAAACACCAATAATTGAATATGCAAAATTATCTTCATATACTGGAACAATCAATTATTATTTGAAAGATGTATAATAAGCCACTTCAACCCTAGGATCAAATAATGCTAACCATTAAACTTATAGTGTAATTGGATCTTCAATATATTTTTTATAAATTATTTTAAATCCTTTTGTATTTACCTCGGCTACATCAATTTCAAATCCATATTTTTAACTGGCCATTGATAATTTATTTAAAGTGATATAAATTACAGGTGCTTCCAAAAATGGTTCTTAAAATGTTATATCTTAAATAAATTTGTCATTCTCTAATGTAATACTTTTCTCTATTTATTACTCAGCTTTCACTCTATCATAAGCAAAAGCTATTGTTATTAGAAGTATTAAAAAACGTAAATTCATTTAATAATTAGATTATTAATAATTTATAAAGGATTACTAGATTATGTTATCGGAGCTTTTTCCATTTTATAAGGATAAGAAAGACAATTCCTACATGCTTTTTGGGAAATAGAATAATAAAGAACATGCAGATATGTTTAGAACATTTAAATAATAATAAAGAGCTGAGTTCAGAAAAATCATCTAACATTTTCTAAATAAATTAGAATTCAAATAAGATGCTGAATTAATTATAAAAAAAAACTTAAGCAGTTTTTATATATGGAAAAACCAAAATAAAGACTTAGAGGTATATTTTATTGATGAAGCATTAACATCAGAAATAAAATATAAAAATTAAATTTCAAAAGAGACTTTTAAATAATTTTATCAAATCTTATTGAGTTTAAGTAATTTGAATATTTAAGATGATTAATAATAGATTGAAACATTAGAATAATTCAATAAAGAAATTGATTAATTATATTTTAATATTGCATAGATTATTGAGAAAGAATAAAAAAAAGGAAATACAGATTAATAATTTAAATCATTGAAAATCAGAACAAATAATACCTTTTTATAAAGGCCAAGTGGAGATATGTAATTAAATTATAATAAATAGAATTAAATTGTCGAAAATTAGCAATGAAATTTATAATTATAATCATGTCAATATCTACATATCCACAAGAAAACCATTTTATAATCCTGTGTAAGAAGACTTTAACTAAACAGCGTTTAAATACATAGGATAAATAGAATAATAAACATTTTTACCAAATGGATAAGGAATTTTGATTTGTGATGGAGCATTTGAATTTAAGGGCTAATTTATAGATGGATTAGCAACAGGAAAAGGTTTTTTAGACTTTAAAATCTAAAAATAAAAGTTTGAAGGTAATTTTTAGAATGGATTAAAACATGGAGAATCAATTACAACAAATCCTAATTAAACTATTACAACTGGATATTATTAGAATAATATGAAATAAGGACCATTTATTACAAAAAAGTAGAATGGATCCTAACTATAAGAAATCTATTATATGAATGATTAAGTAGTGAAAAAGAATGAATATAAATTGGATTTAAATATAAATTCTACTAGATATTTAGCTAATCATAAAGATATTTCAATTAATAATTATTTTTTCTCTGGATTGACTGAAGATAAATGGATAAATTAATTATTAGTTGATTATTATCTAAGAATCTTAAGTGATTATTATAAAAATGTCTTAAAAGAATAGATATATCTATTTAATACATCTTAATCATAAGATATATTTACAAGTTAGATAAGTTAAATAGATCCTAAAGATCTAAAGATATCATTAAAATATTAGTAAATAATCAATTAATACTAAAAATATCGTAAGATTATATTTATTTTGAATGCTGATTAAGTACATTTTTTAGTAGTAGTATACTAAAATGAAACATTATATATGCTTAATTCTTATGCCACTAAAAATGATTAATAAATATTATCTGCTGTAGCTTCAATATTCCCTAACAAATTAAATTTATAATGCCTTGAAGTAGAATAACAAAAGAATACACATGACTGTTCTTTATATTCAATTTATAATGTGATGTTACAATATAAATATCATAATAAGGATGTCCATAAGATTGATTATAAAGTCCCTTTTAAGTACATTAAGAGATTAAGATTTCATTTAAAAAATGTCATATGTAATGATTATGCTCACATAATCCTTCATTAAGAATGATTATTAAGTTTATAAATTATATTTTAATAATTTCAAAATAAAGAATGTAATATAAGATAAAAATAAAAATAATCAATAATTGTTGGGATTAGGTCTCTATTCATGGCCAGAATACCTTTTTTTAATATCATCTATTTTAATTTAATTAACAGAAATTACTTCTTTTTTTCAATCTATCTTCTAATACATTTTTTTAATTATCAAGATCCTTTTACATCATTTCATCAAATTAGGCAACATGATCATCATAATCTTATAAAATCTACTAAGCTTTGTCATACTCTTTTTCTAATCTATCATGCATAGTTAAAAAAGTAGCTAAAGAATTTCTGACTTAAGGTTTATTCATATTCATATATGCTTCCATTTCTTCCATATTTGATTATTTGCAATAAGATTGTTAACTTTTTTCTAGCATTTATTGTAATTATATGTTATCGCTGTTTTAAATGCATTATCTAACTTAGGGTTATTCTAATAAACTGTTAATTTTATCCTTAAAATAAATCATCAATCCATCTTGTCCTTGAAGTTATTCAATAATAATTAGATAGCTATCAACTAAAGTTCGTATTAAATCAATATTTGGGTTATGTAATAAAGATTGTTTCGGCTCTAATGATAATAAAGATATATAGAATTCAGGAGGCAAAACCTATTTGTTGAGACTTATTTATTAGTGCTCTTTTTTCATTTCTGTAAAATAATTCATAGCAGCTCTACTATTAACTTAATTCTATTTTTATTTTGGGAATATCAATAGACGAGGAGACTTTTGCTCAACTTATAGTTTCTTTTAATTCATATAATTATTCATAAATTTTTATTTGATTAATATTATTAGTAATCTAAAAAACTAGTAATCATTTAATAGTTTCTAATATTGTACAATGCTAAATAAAATATCATTTTTTAGCCTATTAAGCAGCTAAATCTTCGTCCATTTATTTAAGTTGAGCACCTCCTCTAAGTAATCCTGATCTTCTAGCAGCTACAAGACCTACCTTTTGACCTGGTGGAGCATATCTTGATAGAGTTGATGGATGTCCAATATGTTATTGATTACCACCACCCTGTATAAGAATTAATAAATAAAAAATACATGTGGATGATCGACTGGATTCATAGCTACACCTCTAACTCTAGGCCATACTTTTCTTAATCTTCTATATTTATGGAATTATCTTCCAGCCTTAAGTATAGGTTTTTCAGTTCTTCCTCCACCAGAAATCAAACCAACTGTGGCTCTGCAAAGTGAACTAAGTGTTTTTCTTGTACCAGATGGTAATCTAACTCTAGTTTATGCTCCATCATCAGAATGACCTATAATAGTTGCATAACATCCTGTAGCTCTTCCTAAAGCACCTTTATCTCCAGGATGCTCTTCCAAATTACATACAACAGTACCTTCTGGAATAGATCCAATAGGTAAAACATTTCCTGTTGCTAATTATGCTAGATTATGGTAATTATATTAAATTACCCTTAGAACCACAATAAATATATTATCCAGTATAAGCACCTTCTGGAGCAATAAAAAGTTTAGTTTATTTTTTGTATTTGTAAGGATCATTAAATTCAACTTTAGCTAATGGAGCTCCTCTTCCTGGATCATGTATAATTTGAGAGATTACACCTCTAACATAACCATGTCTTTCAGCATAATCAAGATGTCTATATTAAGGACTTCCAACTCTTTAATTTTAATGTGCTTTAAAAACACTGTTTGATTTACCCTTTCTTTATGCTATAATGATATAAGTTAGAAAACTTACTTCGAATTCTCTTGCCCATATTTAAAATTAAATTTTAAATTTTAATATTAATGATTAATCATTTTCCAACTCTTAGATTATCCCAATATTATTTATATTTTTTATTATGCAATTCAGTCATAGTTTAATGTAATCTCTCTTTTCTTTAATTGTTATATTCCAATAAATCAAGATTTTAAACATGTTTCTAATTTATTTCTTGAATAGATTCTACTCTTGTTTCAGTATCCTTTGTTTCCATTGCTTTTAATAATTCATTGGCTAAATTTTCATTTTTCTATTTTCCTTTTTCAAAATTAGGAATAAATTATGCTTTCTCATTAAATTTATCATATTTTGTAATCATTCTTTCTATTTTAGCCTCCTAAAACATTAAATAATTAATCTTCCTCGTTTTGATTTCATCATCTTTAGGCTTGAAGACTACTCAAATTAAAATAAATTACACATATTTCCAGACATTGAAAGATTCTGACTATTCCAATATCCATCATTATATTTAGTTTTTAAATGTTAGATTTATCTAAAATCTAAAGAAGGTAAAGAATGATTAGATCTAGATTAAGAATTTCCATAATTATAAATCTTCTAACTCACTTTATCAACTTCATTTTGTATAAATTTTGGCTAGTTATTAAATCTCTGATTCAAAAACACCTTTATTTTCTCTGGAGAATTCAATCTTTATTCCAAAAGATTAATATATCCATCGAATTACTCCTTATTAATATTCTATCTCTTCAATAGATCTCTAGAATTATATATTCCAATACTATTGATCAAATAAAACTTGTTAATTTTCTACCTTCAGAATCTTCTAATTTTTCTTTAGAGTCTCCTTTAATTACTCTTACAATTCCACTCCTCTTTTTGTTACAGTAATTCGTTAACAAGACATATATAATTAATTAAATTAATGTTTTCTAAATTTAAGAACAACTTACAATAACGTATATATCATTCAACCAAATTACTCCACCTAAACTATTATATTAATAACTACCTCTAAAGAATCCATTTTCAAGAAACTCTTAAAGTTAACACTCTTTTTTAAATTCAATCATAATAAAAATCTAATGAATTATTGATGAATCAACATCTACCATCATATACTACAAATCTTATTCTATCTATTAATCATTCTGTTCATAATACTCATTTTATATAGTTTTCCTTTAATTAAAATAATGTAAACTCAAATTATGATATCAAACATCATGATGATACAATTATTAATAAATAAACTTCTTTGTTTAGTTTTCTTTAAAAATCTCAGTAAGAAACATTATAATCTACAAATGAATCCCCAATAAAATTAAAATTAAAGTATTATTGCATATGGAATTAAAACTCCACAAATTCTATGTAAATAAATTCTTTGGATTAAACTGGTTTTACTTTTTAAACTTCACTTCCTTACTCAATATAATTAAATCTTAACATTTCACTAATAATAATGAATAATATTATTAAGAAATCCCTTATTAATAGATCCAGACAGGTTCTACCACTATTCAAATATCCAAAACTATTTAATTCCTGAATCACAAAACAAAATTTTTGGAATTTTGTTGGAAGATGCTTATTTTATAATAACCTAATTTAAATTAGAAATGAATGTTTTTTTTTCAAGATTTTAATAATCCAAAAAATTCAGTTTAGAATCATAATAATAATTAAAATAAGTCTAGAGATAAATTGATGGATTAAATTAACAAAGAAGTATTAGTTAATAATACTTAAAGAAATTTAAAAGTATAATTCTTTATGAAAATAATATCGCTCAGAACTAATCAAAGAAACTCAGCATCTTCAATCAAATGATGATATTTGAAGAGACTTTGTTAAAGAAATAATAAAAGTTTAATCAGATGAATGATATTACAGAAATATTAAGATGTTAATATTACGATTTAAAGTTTTAATAAATCTTATAAATAAATTATTAAGAATATTCTACATTAATTTAAGATTTATTTTAGTTTTATTTTTAGATTAAAGATGAATTAAATTTATTATCTAATAAATACTAGCAATTCCTCGATATATCAAAAGTTTAACCATAAGATAAGATTTAACATAAAATATTCCATTCATATTAAGTAAACAGTAGCATCTAGATTTTTTCAAATAAAATAATCAAAAAGAAGAAAAAGATGTTATTGATAAATAAAATCCCACCAATTAAAATAATAATTGTTTTGAAATACAAATAATTTTAAATAAATTATAAATGAAAAAAGCAATATAATTTTTGTGAAATTTTATTCTTCAAATTAAATCATACACATCTATTTTATTTTTATTATTGCTTTAATTATTATTAGAAGCAGGTTCTTCAAAATTTAATAGATCCAAATCTTAATTTTGTTATGGTGGTTAATTTTATTGATCATTTTTAATCTATTATTCCTTTGATGGTGATTCCAATTTATCATCAACCTTATATATTTTCGCTTCTTTTTAATGACTTAATTAAAATATAAGTATACTTATTTCTAACTTTAATATTTTTATAGAGTTAATTTGGTAGTTTGTGAAATAAATTGCTTATACTTCCCATGTTTTCTAAAGCTATAATTAAATCCTTAGTTTCCCATAATCGGATATCTTTTTAAAATTATTATGAACCCTTAACTTAATAGCAAACTAAATTTTTAACTAATTCTGGATCAGTGGACAATAATCTCCAATAAATATAAGTTCTATCTCTAACATCAGGATTAAAAGAATCTTTGGCAGAATTAATTAGTTATTAAATAAGTGCAGAACATAATGAGGGATATTTAATATAAAGTTTAACTCCTGATGTTAAAAGTTAAAGTTATACTAATCGATCTTCCAATAAAAAGTGATCTATATATTCTTACATTTTTTCAACAGATTTTGGAATGAATTCTGCAAATTCTCCAACTATCCAAGCACATGCACTCTAAAGATAATTTATTATTTATATACCTTTGCTTCTGGTTCATTAGCATATTCAAGTATATTAAATAATATTTTGAGACTATCATTACTCTTGTACAAATATCTATTTTTTCTATAAAGAATTTGCATTTAAATAAATAATTCTTGAACAGGTTCATTAGCTTATTAGACATTTTTAGCAAATTCAATTAAAATAGTAACAGCTCTAAGGAATTAATTAATTATTACTCTTAAAGTGCTTTATCATACATTATAGCAATTTTACCAATAGATTTAATTGTTTTTCTGACAAAATGAGGATCTGCTTCATTGATATATATCTTTAATTCATTTAATACTTAAAGAAAATTTTTAGAATCACAAATTCTAACCATGATTTCTAATTTTTCATATTTGATATAATAAGGTTCATTGAAAGAACAAAAAAAGACTTTGACTTCATTTTCAAATAGAATAGGGAATTTTTAAAGAATTAATGAAATATTTCTGAGAATGGTATATTAGATTTCAGGTTAATTCCAAGATAATAAAGATATAATTGAAGGTGAAATCTTTTTACATAGATTTTTGACTAGATCACCATTATCAAGATAATCTAAATATTTAAGAATGAGTTTAACAGCACAAAATGTTACAGTAGGATTGATATGACTTAATCTAGGTAAACTTCTTTCAATAATAGTTTCAGCTTATTTAGAATCAACTGGATCATGTGTAGCTAAATAATCTAGAATAAAGATTTATCCCCATTCTATGCATTCATCAACAGCTAATAACAATTTTTATATAATTTTTGGATTGAGTATAATTAATTATTTACCATAGAGAACTTCAATTTCTCTCATGGATTAAATTAAATTAGCTAAAACCAATGCATTTGATTCTTTCTCTAATAATTTCTATAATTATTCTAATATGGCTGGACATAATTCAGGTGATACTTCAAATACCTAATGAAATTTAAAGTAGATTACTTTAGGAACACATAAAACAGCTGTTTTGCGTACATAAGGATCATCATCTTAAATACAATCTTTAAGAGGTTCAATTAAATATTCATTCAATTTTGGAACTCTTAAACAACCAAATGTTCGAATAGCCAAAGCTCTTACTAATGGATTTTCTGATTTACGAACATCTTTTCTAAAATTCTAAATCACCATTATAGCATCATCTGGTTTTTAACGAGAATAGTTCACTATATATAAGTAAATCTATTAAATAACCAATATTATTACTAGCTTTTTCATTTCAATATCTTAAAATTCAAGACATTTGATAACCGATTAAAATAATTGTGATACATCTTTACCCACTGTCATATATGCAATAACTTTCTTTATAGCCTTTATTGTACATATATATATCTATTACTTCTTTCTTTTTCTCAAAATTTAGATCATTCAAATCAATATATAACTCTTATAACTCCCCACGCTATTGATTATTTCCAAAATAAGCCATATAAAATTTTATATTTATATAAATTCATAAGTAATTCAATGACTTTATTCCTTCTAAACCTCCTTTCTTAATACTATAATATTTCTTATTTTCTTCAGCATCATTTTCTGAAGGATTAATTCTAATCAAAATAGAATCTTTAATATCATTTAAAATTCTATCTCCTTTTAATCTAATACTTGGTATTGCTGTTCCTGCTCCAATTTCAATTACACAAACCTTTTTATTATTATATTTCTTGATAAATTCATTAAAATATTCTTCCTATTTAATATAAATTGTAGATATCCAATCCCAATCATTAAACATTAAAATATTGGGTCTTAATATATGATTAAATTCACATTTAGGTAATGGATCAGCAGCTTCAAATTTTTATAAATCTATTTTTAATTTTGGGTATTTATTTGCCAAATATAATTTATTACATTAAGTACATTAAAATGTATGAATTGAACCATGAATTTCATATATTTTTTTTTAATCAAACCCTGCTTTCTAAAATTAACCATCAACATTGCTAGTAACAATAAAATAATCTTTCTTTTCACACCATTTCTTTAATATTCTAAAACCTTCATGAGGAATCGTATTTGTATATAATTCTAATCTATGTCCATAAAAACCCCAAAATAAATATGGATTTGATTTTAAGAATCCAGGGTTTGCACAATCTTAAAATCCATATTTATTTTAGAAAGGTCTATACGCTTTCCAAAATCCTTAATCTCCTCTAAAATCTGGTAAACCTGAATCCACTCCCATACCAGCTCCAGAAGTAATTATCAATGCATCACATTCTTTCAAGAACTTTTACATTTAAACCTGATCTTAACTTAACATATGACTTTCAAGTTATAATATTTTTATACTAATATTCAAATTCACTCATCTGTTTTTAAATGTCTTAAACTGATAAACTCTAATCTAAAATTCTTTTTTAAGATTCTTCAATTAATTCATTAATTTTAAATTGTTACTAAACATTTAAATTTAACATCTTAAATTATTATTTAACTTCATTTATTCTTCTTTCACATTGATATCTTAGATTATGAGTCTTAAAAAATATTAAATTATATATTTTACTATTTAAATATTCTTATCATCTTATTCTAACTGATCTTCAATTTAAATCATCTCAATAAGTCCTACTCTCTAATCTTATATTGCAATCGCAATCTAATTATCTTTAGTCATTTAAATCACTCCAAAATCATCATAATAAAACATAATTATTTAAGTGTTGCTAATTTGATAACAGTTTATCAATGCTTCATATCCAAATGGAGGTGGATCATAAAATATTGTAATTCCATAACATTTAAACTTATCTAAAGATCTTGTTAAACTATGACTATATTTTATACATTCTCCATTAAGAGCAAAATATTCTCTTAAACTTACTTTACTTTAAATCATTTTTTATTAGAATTGTTACTCTGTTAATATATTATTCCCATCTTAACTACTTATTCCTATAAAAATAGAGTATTGTTCATATATATTTAAATAATACTCACTAGGATTTAATTCTTTTTTTAATTATTCCTTTCTCTAAGTTATTAGAGTACTTGAAACAGCACATCCTTGGCAAATTGCTTCAGTTGCATGTATGCTACTTTAGATTTATTTACCCTCAAAAATAGCTTTAATGCATTATTATATAATAGGAATTCTAGAACCTCCTCCCAATGTAACTATTAAATTAAATTAGTAATTTTGTGTCTAATGATAAAGATTAAATAATTAATTTGAAAGCGATTCCAAAACTGGTTACATAATTGTTTCATATTTCTCTCTTTAATTATAATAATATTTAATTACCTTGTTAAATTATATGAAAAATCAACATCTGGTATTAATTACTCAATATCAATATAAGTGTCCTTATTTGCACTTAATCTTCTTCTAATATTTTCACAAGTATCCAACAATCGCAAATAATATTTACTTTACTTATTCATATTTATTTTTGCTTAATTTATAATCCATTCAGCAAGATAATAGTCCATTTATGATGTTCCTAAATTCCTATCAAACACCTCAAATAACACTTATTCTTGTTATAGTAAAAATCCTGTAAATTTTGAATGACCAAAATCAATAATTAACATTTCTTTTTGTAAAACATTATTTTGACAATAATTCACATAAGTACTAATAGCCATATTTTCTGGAATAGCTGCCAAAACATTAATTTTGCTTATCTAAATTGCCCTCCATAGTCTAATTAAATCAAATTAAGTATAAAAATCTGGATAAGAGATAACCACTCTTCTATTATAATTACTTAATAATTTTCTAAGAAAAGCTCCTATCTATTATTCAGGCTCCAATTTTATTGATTTCTCTTTATATTCAAATATATGGGCATTTTGAAAGCCTCTGACTGAATTTAGAATGTGAGATCGATAAGAATGAGCAGCCATGTTTCCAAAGAGTCTTTCATGAGCCAAAAATACTATAACATTTTCTGTTTCTCTTTAACCTTCATTTAATACAACATCAGCTGAAAATAGATTACATTTAGCAAGTAATGTATATCTACCACCCAAATCTACTCCATAACCTTAATATTCTTCTTACATTAATATGATTAATAATAATGATTCAGATTAAGAACTTATGTAACAAATTCTTTCTCTCTATGCTGATCGAGAAGAGAAGATTAATAAAAATTATCACATTCATTCAAAATTTAACTGTGATTGTTCAATATGTCACCATTAACTTATGACCGACAATCAATTAAAAAAGGATTTAGTTTATGATGATTTCTATGATTAACCAAGTGATAGATATTTACCAGATGAATAGACTCATGTAAGATTCATGAAAAAAGATGGAGGATCATAATTATTACCATAAATTAGAGATCCTATTGATTTTTTAGGTCTCTCTATTAAAATGATGCAACCAACAAAAAATGGAAAAACATTAAATTTGAGAGTAATGGATACATTATTCTTCTATTAAAGAGAGCCTTGTGTTTTAATTTATCATGACAAAGATAAAGGTCTCAGAATTATCAGAGACAGACACTTATTGACTAATTTATAAGAACTTGGGCAATTTTTAGTAAAAAGAAGAACAGAATATGATATAGAATTAAGAATAGCAACAGAGAAAAGAGAGAATAAAGATTTCAATAATTTAGAATTTGATTAGAAGAGCGCAGAAATATAATAAGGGATAAAAAAATATGTTTAGAATATAGGAATCTAAAAGGACTTTATATTGGTTAAATTCAAAAATGGAGGAGAATAAATAATGTCTTAATTAGCTGCGATGTAATTATTTGAGAAAAGAAAAATTGATTCAGTATGGGATACAATAGTTATGATCCAAGCATATCCATATGATTTTTATGGAAAATTAATATTCAAAGCTAAAGAGAATATAGAAAAGTTTGAGAACAATAGATTATCAAAATAGTCAATAGGAAAAGATACAAAGAAATAAAAAGAAGAAGAAAAGCCAACAGAAGTTAAACAAAGCAAATCAAAAATAGTAGATGATAGTATAAAGTTAAGTGAAGAGTAGAAGTTATAATTAAATGAATTAAATAAGAATAGATATCAACGTATTACATACATAAAGGATGATATAAAATATTAAGAGTAGTTTGATAAAGCATTAGAATAGATTTGTTAAATAAATAATCCAAATTTTTAGACAGGTAATCATATTAGATAACATGAATTGTATTTAAAAGATTTAAAGAAAAAGAATATGTCATAATATTTATAGTAATAAAATATCATAAATAGTTAGTTATCATATGTATTAGATTGTTCATTTTTTTGAAGCGTATCATTAAAGAAAAATAATGAAATTGAGATTGGATTTTGCTAAGGATGATTTTGATAATTTATATATAATAGATGCAGGATAATTGTAGTTTATAGATGTAAGAAAGATAGAGTGGGATGAAATGATATTGAAGGAGATTTCCTTAATCAATTAGGATTATAAATAATTAGTTTTAAGAGAGATAGAGGAGAAAGAGAAGTTATAAAGGGAGGAGAAAGTAGTTGTAAATCATTAGAGATAAAAGTATTTAAAATAAGCATTTGATGAGGTTGTAGGATATTTTAGAGAGTAGTATAGTAAGGCAATTGATAAATGTGAATCAGATCTATACAATTAACCAGACATAGATAAGACTGATGAAATATTTAAGAAAATAAATCCAAGATCAGATTTAAAATTTTCAGAAATGTTGGCTATTCATAAACCAGATGAGATAATAAAATAGAAAGATTTATTATGTAATTTTCCAATTGACAAAACAAGATTCTTGAGTCAATAGAAATATTATAGATAATCTAAGCAATTGATGGAGAGTAAAGAGAAATATAAAAGACAATTAAGATTGAGTGCTAGCAAATTATCAACAGTTGATTTGAGATAATCTAGATATGGATTCACTACTAAATGAAATATTTAACTTAAAATGTAACATATATATATAGTAATTCAAAATTGAAGCAATTCATGAAGGATATAATTTTGAATTTCTCTTAATTCTCTTTAGATAGTGGATAGATTTGATTAAGTTTCAGTCTTAAACTAAGCAATGACTTGTAGCATTTATAATTTAATTATTCTTATTTTAATGTTTTGCTTCTATTGTTCAGTGATATCAGTTTTCTATAAGGTTTCATAAAGAGAGTTTTCAGTTTCTTGAATTTGGCTAATAGTGTGTGTTAATTTTTATGTGATTGTATTAAGACTGGTTGAATTATGAAGTTGATAGTATTATAAAAATGTCGGTATTTAAATATTGTTATTTTCTTTGTCTTAATCATGAAGGTAATATTTGGTTTCGTAATTTTCTGAAATATGCGAAACCGTACTATTGTTTGAATTCATCTAACAGATAATTAAGATATTCTGAATGTGTATAATTAAAATTAAATGATTCATTTATCTAGAGGATTGAAGAATCAACTTAGAAAAGTGACAATTCAAACATTTGCTAATTCTACAAAAGTGCCTAATCCTTTTGGCCATCATGATGATCATGGAGATCATGGTGATCATGGACATGGAGATCACGGACATGGAGATCATGGACATGGACATGGAGATCATGCAGTAGCTCATGGTAGAAGTAGACCAAAGGTAGAATACAATACAATTACTTAACATTTGGATCATTAGAATTTATATACTTATTTTGAGTGTAATAAATGATTATTTTATCATAGAGGGTCCTGGATATATGTATTACCCAGGTGTTAATTATAATGAAGCTCATGGTAAACCATATGATTGGAGAGATGATCCAAAATACAATCCAGATTATATTATTCCTACTAAACATGTTGGATGTCCAGATCCAAAAACATATGTCTGGCCATTTGAAGGAAAACTTGTTCATTTCAATCCATCTGAAACCTTACCATAAAATCATCTTTATGATCCATCACTTCTTTTGAAACCAGAAAACAAATAAGTAGGACAACCAATCTAACATTTAACTGCAGCCTAATAAGATTAAGATGCTGATGTTAACCATGAATTTGATTATGAATCTGAAGATTGTGATTTCTAAACTGAAAGTTTTAGAACTTAACATTTTAGAAAAAGAGGACCTATGTGGCCATGGGCTTTAATGGCTACTATGCCATTTGTTTATTTCTGTAACTATTTCTATCTTATTCTTTTTAGGGGCTGAATTCCTTTATTAAAGATATCCAGATGAAGATCATTGGAGAATTACTCATCCACCTCCTCTCAATTTCCCTGATAGTGAAGTAAATCTATTATATAATATAATTAGGATACTGATGATACTGATTCATATTAAGATTATCACACACCAGGTGGTAGATTCCTTAGGGATATTGGTATTATTGGAGATTTGTGGTTCGATATTAAAGATGGTAAAAAGGTTATGAACAAATGGTCTGGATGTAATTAACCACTTCCTGATATTTGAATAATACACAAACAAATTATCAAAAAATTATTATGTTAATTTAACATCTCTAACATTTTACTCTGTATTTCTTATATCTCATTCTCTATTTACTTTCTATAATTCTATTTAAATTTCATTTTTTATTCAAATTTAGAATCATCAAATTACTCAAATAATAATAATACTCTCATATTATTAAATAGAAATTTATCATTTTTCATATTTAAAATACTTAATACATTGTAATTTCAATCATCTTCAATTAATATCTATGTTTGATCTCTTAAGAGTCTATTGAACTCCTATATTTAAAATTTAATTTTACCAAAGAGTATGCTTTATCCTCAAATCAACATGTATATTAATGTAAAAACGGTATTTATAATCAATATTATTATTATTGGAAAAGAATGAAAAGTATTTCAGGAATGTTAGTCATTCTCCTTTTGAGTTAGAGTGTATTTTGTAGCCCAAAGAAGATCAATACAGACTTTTTGAATTTACTTAGTTCTAAAACAAATGTCTTAAGTTCATAAGATGCCATCTAATCAGTGCTTATTTTACTTGAAGATCTATAAGGTGCAAATGTTGAAGCTCAAGATAAAGCAGACCTTACCTTCTAACGCTTTGAATCAGCTATTTTATAAGACATCAATGAGTTCTCAGGAATTGTTAATGTTAATTCAAAGAGTGCTGCTGCAGCCCAATAAGACTTAGAAGCTGTTGAGTATTTATTTATCTTAAAAAACCATCAAGTCTTAAAATTCAATAAACAACTGATTACTTAAATTGGAATAACAAGCGATATAAGGCAAATGAAGTTAAACTTGAAAATTTAGCTGAATAAAGATGTGAAGCCAATGCTCTTTTCATAGATACACTTAGAGAATATAAAAATGCTCTTTCTGTACTTGATTGGGTTAGAAGTGATGCTTAAAGCAAATAAAGTACATTTGTTGAAAAAAGTCACATTGGGGATTATGCAGAAAAATTGAGTAAGTATGCTAACTTGTTTGAAGAACAAGCTGTCTAAGATTTTGTTAAATTAGGAGATTAAGAAACTTCATTTGCTTAAACAAGTAATTTCTATATTAAATTAAGGATCACGCGGAAGTGGAGAATAATTAGCTTCTTTATTAGAAAAAGATGTTGTTGGAATCATTTAATCATTAATTGAAAAATTAAGAGAAACTATTAAAGGTTTAGAAGAATAAGAAATCTAATCTGCCAATGATTTTGCTGATTTCAAGACCAACTTACTTGCTGAATAAGAATCTCTTAAATAAGAATATGATGCTAAAGCTAAATTCTTGAACTCTCTTTAAAATGATAAGGAATTAGCTTCAGATATATTAACCAAAAAGAAAGAACTATAAGATTAAAGCATGAGAATCCTAAGTTTAACTTAAGGTAATAATTATTTATCATATTTTAAGAGGAATATAATTATAAAAAGAAATTGTACAATTCTGAAAAAGCCAAGAGACATGAAGAAAATTAATTATTAGAAGAATCCCTTTTAATCTATAGAGAAAAGATTGCAACTGTTAATGAATATTTGAAAAAGAGAGTTAATGAATACGTTGGTGAATCTCTTATTGAAGAACATGCAGTTATCAACCAAGCACCTATTCAAAATAGAAAAGGAAAATAATGAAAAACCAACAAACATTAAAATTATTATTATTTTAAAAGTTCTTTCACAAAAAGCTAATTTTTTTAGAATAAATACATAAATTTTATTCATTTTCTTAAACCATTTCAACAATTTTAGATAAATAAACCATGCAAATTTTATTTTCTTTTCTAAACTTTAAAAATAATTTTAGTAATAATTTTCTAAACTTATTCCATTAAAATAAAATTCAAATAATTCTTTGGAACTTCAATTAAAAATATTATTTAAACATTTTTAAATGTTAAATCTACCTTTTTGTAATAATATAGAAACTGATAAAGGATCACAATTTTTGTTTGATATTTTAACATAATAATAATAAAAAAATTAAGTCTTTATGAATTAATTAATTAATAAAAAGAGTTATCAAGAAATTAATTAGAAATTAATTAAGTTAATGAATGATAAAAGAAAAATCTATAGGTAATAAATTATAATTTAATAGAGAATAAAAGCAAAAATAAATTTATTTTGATGCTAGTAAATGTAGAGAAATACAGAAATTATTATTAATAAATGATAGAAAATAATTAAACATTTTTATAATATAAAATGCATAATATATAAACTTATATCAAATTGCTTAAATAATTACATAAATATATATTGTACTTTGTTTATAATTATATCAATAAAAGAAACCAAGGATTTTACCTCCAATATGTCTTTATCTGGCTTCTTCATGGGTAAGGATGCCAACATTGGTTGTAAGGACGACACAACCAAATTATCTAGCAGGTAGAATGTTGTTAGCCCATCTTTCAAATTCTCCTAATGTAACATCATATCTGGGAGAGATTACACCACATTTATTAATGCGTCCTAAAATTTATCGATTATTGAGTACCCAATAATTCAACAACAATCTTGCCACTTCTATGATCATCAACGATTTCGAATTCACCAATGTAGCCGTGTCTTTGCATAACTTATAAGAACTTCACAACTAATTTGGATGTGGGTCTAATGAGCACTTGCTTTCTTCCTTGTCTTAAAAAGTTAGGACAACAAGTACAACCTTTCAGCGTTCACTATAGAACGGAGGCAATCATTGAGGACATTCATTTTCACCATTGATCAATAAATATTTTTTTTAATTATTTTTAAATCTTATTTAATATGCTAACTTATTATTTTAATATGTTATAAAATGTTCAATCAACCACGGCCCTTCGAAAGACTTGGAATATGGATAAAATAATTACTCTGGGTCTTATTTAAGTATTTTCTTTGCCTATTTCAACGCCTTCAAAGTTTTTTGGAGTTATTATCTTTCTTATAAGATGTAGACAGGCTAAAATATTGTAAATAGGAATCTATATACCTCTTCTAACATTTAGAAAACATTGTCACTCTTATTCATTTGATCATATAAAACCATTTACATTTTATCCAAAGTTTATTTCACCAAGTAATAACCAATATACTAAAAGAATTAAATAATCAACTACTTTTGGAATACTGTCTCTTAGATTTCTGATTAATATTTTATAATAGAGATCTACTCTATTTCTAAGCTCCCTAACTAAAATTTTTTTTGGATCAACGGTTTTAGAGTTTTATTTAAAGACAAGATCAGCCTTTGTTGTTAAATATTCCTCATCATTAGTATAGATGTAATTCATTTCTGATTCAATTTGATTGATCACTACTTATTCAGCTTTGGCTCTTTAAGATTCGATAACTTTACGACTCATTTCTGAGATTTCATCTAGAACTGAAGGGAATCTAGTGAATACCTAATTATTATAAGAATTAAATACTTTTCTTAGAATTTATTAACTGATTTCATCCATATATTAGAATATTTGATCTAGAACATCTTAAGCAGGTTTAATGAGAGCTTAAACTTTGGGAACAATTAAATAGAGAAAACTATCAAAAGAAGGGAATCCAGGTATACTATCACCTTAATGTAATTGATCAGCTAATTCAATATCTTAATCTAGATAACAATCTGTAACATGATATTTTTCATCAGCATACTCAAAATAAAGTTCATTAAAAATTTATTTAATTTTAGCTCCTCCTGTAAGTTCAATTTTCTTTTACTCATCTTGAATAGTAGCTTCATTTTTATCATATTTTCCATCCATAGTATTTTTAAAACCATCTGTATAATCTTGTAGTAAATTGAAAACTAATTAAACTTTGTCTTTTTAATCTCTTGGTAATTCAGTACCAAGTAATTTGAGTTTATCTTCACATTCATCAGCTTTGGAATCAATTTCTTTTATAATATCAGGTAAACACTTTCTAATATGTTGATATAAGACAGTTGTTAATTTTTCAATTAAAGCTCTAGTTCCTAATATATCTTAAGGTATTCCTGAATAACGAGGATCACTTGCGAAATAATCTTCTTCTTATCGAAGAGCTTTCTATACAGGTACTTTATTGATAATATCTTATTAGCTTCTATTTTTGACTCCTATATATCCTAATCTTAATTTAACTTCTTCATTCATTAATACTTTAGATGCATCTGAACCTTCTCCCATAATATCAATTTTAGTAATAACACCAATAGTTCTAATACCATCTGGATCAAGTTGACGAGCTAATTTTAAAGATCTCTATGTAGTAATATCTTAACTTGCAGGCATTACACATAGAATGATAGTACGTTCATCTTCACAATATCTATAATTATAATATATTATTAATACCTTCTGCACATATTTAATGTAATTTCTTCAATATTATCTGGTTAATCCGAATCTTTTAATGGTATTAAAGTTATTCCTGGCAAATCTATAATAGTAAGATCTGGACAATCAGGTGACCAAATTGTCAATTCTATTGGATCAGGTAAGATGTCTATGATCTTATCATATCTTTACTCTTTTTCTATCCTGCTTTTGCATCTGTTAATCTATCAATTTCTTCACGAACCTTTGTAAAATCTGTAAACTTTTTCTCTGGTACTTCTTTAAAGATTGCCCATGGTTATAATCTTTCTTGAATATGAACAAGACGTAATTCTAATGGTCTACGTGTTACTACACCCTTTTTTTTATAGCAATTTATCAATTACATCTCCTCTTGGTAAGAAATCCAATCCACAAATATTTTCCAATAAACTACTCTTTCCTGCACTCTACATACCAACAACACATATTCTCGGTAATTTTATGTAATCTTAAACACCACAATCTCTTAGATCATCTATTAAAGTGACCATTTTTCTCATATTATCCCATAATCCAGATTTCATCGTAATAATGAATTAATTAAAAAAAAAATCAATTTTTCAATTCCTTTTACTCCATCACCGCTTTAAATAAATTCATTTTATATGCATCCCACTTTTTCACTTTCTTCGCTTCTTCACTATCAAATATATGATCAAATTCTGGTTTTCGCTTTATTCCATCTATCAAATGTTGTTTCAAAGGTTGGCTCACCAAATGAAATAAACCTTTATCCAATTTGTACACTTCAGTCTTTGCTGCATCACTTATCACTGTCAATCTACTTTTTTCAGATAAATCATATTTCATTTCCATTATATCTTCATCAAATAATTTATATTCATTCAAAAGAACTCTACCCATAAAAAAATCTCCTCTTACAAATTCCTTATAAAGAAAATGATATTTGAATGCCATATACTCTTTATTTTTGTATATTTCTTAATATTAAAAAGACTGAGGAATTCCTAATCCAGGTACATTTTCTAAATCTAAAGATGTATTCTTGACTCTCATTTTTTTGTCTTCTCTAATTTAAGCATCTTTAATAATTATAATATTTTACAATCAATAAGTCCACATTTCAAAGGTTTCTTTTTATTTGGATCATCAGCTCTCATCACTTTCAAATCTCTTATAAAAACTTCTTCCTTCACACATTTGCATCTACCACTAGCTACAATATAAAAGTATTTTTGAGGCTCTCCTTCTTTCAAAATGACTTAACCTAATCTATAGGTTTCACTCTCCAATAGATTGGCTATAGGTATTAATTCCATTTAAGATAGAAACTATTATAAATATTGATAATAATACATCAAAACAAGGCATAGTTAATAATGTTTTTAATTTATCTTCAAGTTCTGAAGTAATCACATTAAGTATAATGCTTTTAAAGTAATCTCTTGAAATTGCCAACAAATAAGTATCTACTGCACATTCAATAGAAGCACTTCTCTTTGGTTGTATTTTAACTTATTCTTATTTCTCTTCTTCATTGTAGTCCTTTTTCCACCAATTTTTAGCTTTTTCCTTTTGTAATTCTTATCTATCCATCTCATTTCTTATTTAATTCAATGTATATTTGCTATTTGAATGTAATTAATTTTGATCTGGTCTATTAATTTTTGTGTTAGGATCTATCAATGCTAATTCTCCAAATTGTTATCCTGTATAAAGTGTACTTACAATAGGATTGCAATCAGCCACATGAGGATTCTTAATTCTTACATGACAACCTCCATTTAGAATAATATACATTTATTCTCCTACATCACCTTCATAGAAGATATATTCTCCACATTTGTAATAAACCAAAGAACTTAATTTTAATAGTAAAATTCTTGTTTATTTGCTAAATTACCAAAAGAACTTTAGATTCTTGCAAATACCATCCAATACTTAAAATATATATTTTAATTACATTCGTAGTTTCTATCATCTACTGATTTCTTTAACTCTCTTAGTACTAAATTGATTTCATCTAATGAAAAATGATCTCCTACTTTTAAAAATGGAGCAGGTTTATCAATTTTATTTTTCTGTGCATCTTCATATAATTTATTATCTTCTTTAACCATTTATTCAAATTTTTGTTGAGTTTCTTTTAATTATTATTCAAATGAACGATTTATTGGATCAACTTTAGAAAAGAAGTTTTATTATTGAACTAGAGGCTTATCAAATATTTAAATTTCATCATCTAACATTTCAATACTTTCTTCCTTTGCTAAATCTCCATCATCTTCTAATTCACTTAATAATGAATTATGTTAATCGAATTTATCTAGCAAAACTTCCCTTTTAGCTTTTGCTCTTTTTTTTTCTGCCTATGCTTATTTCATTTCTAAATAAGGTCTTAAATCATCTAAAAATTATTTTCTTTTCTTTTTAATATAGTCTTTCTCTTTCTAAGTCAACACATTAGTTTCCAAATCTAAATGAGTTAATGATTTTTCTGATTCATGAACTGATTCTTCTTTACCCTTATTTGCAGTATTTGCCTAAACCACAACTTTTTACGCTAAATCTTTCCAACAATCTCCTAAATGATTTTCTCTCTTATAATTTGTTGTTTTAGGTCTGTTGTCAGGTAATAATTTTCTTTTTTTTATTTATTATGATTAAACTGGTCTATTGGATATGGTTTTTTCAATTAATTCTCTCTATCTTTCTAATTTTGATGACTGATTTCGAGGCAATTATTAATAATTTACTAATCTCGTTGAAGATTTTAATCGTTCCATATGTTTATGAACATGAGGGTTCACTGTAAATTCATCGAAATCTTACTAATTTATTTAATTTTCTATTTTTTACAATATACTCAGGAAATATATTTTAAATTGCAAATTATCCTGCTGTCGGTTCCATCTTTATTACTTAAGGTACACGTTAAATCAATTATCTAAAATCTTAAATTGGTTTAGGCTTCCTTTGAGCACCTTCAGGAGCAGTTGTTGCTCTAATCTCAAATTCAGGTTCTTGAGTTTGCTTTGATTGTTATACATCCTCATCATGAATTGATTACATTTATAGTTATGGATGTTCTTAAAAAAAAGGATATTGTAATTGTGGAACCTTTTTTATTGGTCTAGAAATTGGTTAAGCACTTATTGGAAGCCCTAATCTTATATCCACATCATTATACCTTTTATCAATTTCGCTGAATAATAAGCTGATGTTATTCTATTTTATTATTTCAATTATGGATAAACAAGACTAACAGTGGCTGCAGATTCATGTTTTTATAATTATTTTGTTTGAGTTTCCTATCCAAGTTATTTCTTATTATTTAATAATGTTTTCATTATGAGCAATGTTTTATATTTAATAATTTGTTTTATAAAAATATTTATATATTTCAAAGTTTTAATTATTTTGATTTTTCGAGGATCTGGCGCATTTGAGTAATAATAATTATCAAATCACTTAACTAAGTTTAGTTCTCTTTTAAAATTCCTTTAAGTATTTGAGTCTAAACTGTTCTTATTTCTACAATCATTTTCATATCCTCTAAATCTTCTTTCTACTTTATTTTCAAATCTGAAAATTCCAACTGCTTTTATTTCTCAATCTTCACTTTTTCAATTTGAGTTACCAGTTCTTATATTATTTGATTATATTATTCTATTTTTGATTCTAATAATTTATTTTACTCTTCTAGCACTTTTATATATTGTGCACTTGAAGCACCACTCTAAGATTTCAAATCTCTAAGCTACTTTGATAATCTTTAATTTTCTTTAGTCAATTCTTCATTCAGTTCTGTTAATAGATCAATCTCATCATTTTTTTACTATATTAATTCACTTTTATTCTTATCATCTTTCATTTTTTCTAATTTCATTTACAATTATTGGTTTTATATTTTTAAATCTCTAATCTCATCAACATTATTTTATTATTATAATTAAAATATTTATTTTTAAAGTTGCTTGATTTTATTTTCATAATTTTCTTTCAATTCATCAATTTATGATTGATTTGGTTAATTTTATGATTTTTTTTCTTCAGCCTATTTCTTAAGATTTCTAATTTATTGTTCATACTTCAATTTAAATTAAGAAATTTCTTCTAAATCATTTTCATAATCACTATCAACAGTTTAATTTCTTTGTTTTTTGGTATTAGTTCTAGAATCCTCCTCTGACTATAATTTATACTTAGAAATTTCATTTTTTAACTATTCAATCTAGGATTTCAACTCAGAATTATCAATTCTTAATTCATGTAATTTAATTTTATAAAGTTCTGCATCATTATTTTATTTTTAATTAATAAGTATAGAATTTTCTTTTTGTAATTATTTTATTTTATCTCTTAATTGAATAATTTCATCATTTAAATTTTTCATTTCTTGATCTCTGCGATCAACTTAATCCTAAAGTTTTTGATTTATTTCACTTATTTTTTGGATATCAGGTTTGATCAAAGATTATCTAGTATTTAAATTTAAATTATCAACTTTAATAGAATCAGACCTAGTTGTAATATAAACTTTCTTATAACTTTCAAAATCGCAATTTTATGTTTATTTTTAAAGAACGCTTAATTAATTAGTACGAAGTTATCTGAGCATAAATAATTCTGTTTCTTCATGATTAAATTTATTTTTCTACATTTCTTAATTGGATAAGGAACATAAAATAGCCATTTGAGCCAGTAAATCCATGTAACCATTAGATCCAGATGTTAATACTGAACTAATTATGAAAAAAGTAGTTTCAAATAAAAAGAGATTAATACTTAATGTAAGTAAGTAGGTTTTTAGTTTTTATTATAGAAAACTCTTAATCACAGTCAGATCATTAGAATCAACTTAAAGAGCATCTTTTAATATACCAACAACAATTGCATATTCATTAACTAGATCATATTTTGTGTTTGCCTTTGGATATAATTAAGATGGTAAAATATGAGCATATACAGCAGTTAATAATATATAAGCAGAGGCTTCAGATGCAAAACAAAGGAGAAAATAAGTAATAAGCACTAGTTCATGAGAATATCCTATTTAAGGATACAATAATAAAAGTGTTCCGGCAACTCTTAAAATAGAAGTCTTTACCACTTCTTTTTGACGAAATGATTCCACATTTTTCAAAGAAGCAACTAAAAACTCTTTAATTGAATAATTAACAAATCCATCAATATCATTTATTAATACTTCTAATTTTGCTTTAAATATATCATAAGCATTTGTATCTTTAGATAGTTTAGCATCTTCTAGAGCATTCAAGAAATCCTAAATATAATTTAAGTTATAGTAATTACATTTTGAGCTTTTGTAATATCAGTTCCAAAAGATTGAAGCCATTATTATGAAAATGAATCTTTATTAAAACTTATTTTGTATTGTTCTATGAACCTTTTTTATGAATCGCTTTCCTAAATTCTTAAATAATTATTACATCTTTACAGAAATTGCATAGACGATGAGCTTTTTTAGAAACTCCATCTGCCTTTTATACTTGAGCTTTATTTGGAGCACATTTATCACATACTGCTCTTTTACATCTTATGTTCAACATGTATTAATTACCTCTTGCATTAATGTTCTTTTACTGACATTGTAAATTTGGCTCCACATAATTAACAATTCTTTAATTTTCCCCTATCATCTTTAATGTTAATTCCATATATAAATATTGGTTATGGTTTGCTCATAGTTAATATAATTTTTTTTATTTTACTATTATTTATTTGTTTAAGTATTCAATTAATGATAAAATAAACCTTAAAATATGGTTAAGTAGTCAGAATTCATTTAAATAGCTAAGAAGACAGAAATAATTTAAATAGCAAAGTAGTCAGAATTCATTTAAATAGCGAAGAAGCCAGAAATAATTTAAATAGCGAAGTAGAAAAAAATAATTTAAATGACTAATAGGAAAATGGTATAATTATTGCTAAAGGGTATAATTAATCCCTCAATTTTATTTAGATTCCTTGATCCAAATGCTTATTACATGTAGATTGACGATCTTAGAAAGGCTAATAATTTTAGAGATTCACTTTTTACAATACTTCCTCGAGGTACTTTTGAATTACATGATGAATATTTGAAAGAAAAAAAAATTCAAAATTTATCTGATTTGAAAAGTAGAATATAAAATCTAGATACTTTGGATTTTAAAGTATAAACTCTTGAGGCTTTGGAAAGTAGAGTATAAACTCGAGATGATTTGAAAAGTAGGGTTAAAGCTTTAGACGATAAGAAAAGTAGAGCATAAACTGAAGCTTCATAATATTACACAACAATACAATCACGAATAAATGAGGAAATATTATTTGGAGCAGAAGTGGTCTTTAAGCATTAAGATTCATAAAGATATTTATTTGGATCTTATGTATGTTCTGAAGTTGCTATGGATTCTTTTAAATTGAAATTATCTCCATAATTAAGTTCTCTTACTATTTTCAAATTAGCTCCTTATTAAACATATTAAAAAGAAGGTTAAATCATACAAATTGAAGAACCATTAATTATTGTTCATGAGAAAACACAATGTAAATTAGATTTTAAAAAATGTCCTATGTTTTTGGATGAAATGATAAAAAATGATAAAGATTTAAAAGCTTCTCAAACTGAATCCTTTAATGAAAAAATATTAAAAAAACCAATTAATATTAGAGGTGAAGCAGTAATTTCTTTAAATAGTGATAGATAATGGAAATTTCAATAACATGAACAGAATGGTAAATTTATTCCAAATGAACTGTGTTTTTTCATTTATTCATAAGATGGATCATATTTAACTTCAGATGGTTCAAGATTAATACTTTAAGAATACAAAGATAATGAATATATTCCTCTTGATTGTGTTTGGGAGTTACAATTTTATGAAAATAAATATGTAATTAGATCTTAAATTTCAGGTTCTGTTATCACTTATATTGAATAAAAAGACTCTACCTCTTCAGCTTCTATTTAAGAATATAAAATGCAAGATGAATAACATTTATAAATACAACCTGCTAAATCAGGAAATAATGAAATATCATTCAATATGTTTGTTAAAATTAAATTCAAAGATAAAGAATTACAAAAACTTGATAGTCAAAGAAGCAAAACCAAAAAGTTAACCATTACTGAATCTAAAGTTGAAGAATTTTACAAATAATTAGGCCAAGAAGATTTAGATTATGTTTAATATAATGTAGGTTTCTCATCAAAAAATTCTGTTCATGGATTTTAAATTAAAAGGCTTAATGAAGATTTAAAAAAAGATTTACTTTTAATAACATCATCTCATGAAATACTTAAATAATTTATAGATTCTTTATAATCAGAAAAATGTGAATCTATTATTAATGAAAAGATCTTAACTCAAGTTCTTAAAGTTATTTAAAAATTGATTGCTTATCTATTAAATTGTGAAAAAAACGATATTGATGAGTGTGAAAATTTACCTATTCCTTCTCGATAGTTATTTATGAAGGATTTAAAAATGGTTGAAATAATTTTTTAAATAATATTTTATTTTTGGCATAAACCTAAAAATTTATTCGAACATAAGAATTATGAGAAAGAAAAACTAAGAAAAATTTGGATACACTCTTATAAATTAATTGAAAAAATGGCTCGTAATAATTCACCAGTCAAATTATATATATCATAATGGCTAAAATTTTTCTTAGTACAAGCTATTGAAATAGATGATGAATAAATTTAAGTTACATTAACAGAACTATTAAATGATAATTATTATTCAATCGACAAATTTATCTAAAAAAAAACTTTAAACTAATTGGTTAACACCCTTATAAATACCAAAAATAATAATAATGATGTTTAAAAAAAACATTTAAGAATTTTCAGTTCTATCATTATTTGTGAAGGAAAACCCATTACCAAAAATTAAAATAAACTTCTTAAAAATTTTTTTAAACCTTAAAATTCTGATAAAAAATGTTACTAGTTTAAATTCTTATTCAGATAAAAAGATCAAAAAATTCAAGTTTAACATTTAAATTAATAATGGCTCACCCTAAAAGAATTTTTTGAGAACAGTAAAAATGAGGAGCTTTAAACTTGGAATTACTTTCTTGCATATATTAATCTATTATCAGATATTTGTCAAAATAGAAACATATAAGCAACTGATTATGTTAATGAAAATTATTAATTATCTATTTTATGTTCAATATTAGAAGATCCTGAAACAGAGCAAATTAATGCTATAGATCCTTTTTTAAAATTAATTCATTCTGCTTTTATTGATTGTTCAATATTTGCACCAATTAGACGTATTGCTAGGGTTAGAGAATGGAAAATAATTGAAAAAAAGACAAATATTATTGTAACTAAAGCTAAACTTAGCGAAGATTAAAAAAAAGATTATTAAACAGTTTTAAATTTTATGGAAAAGTTTATTATTATTAAAGATTTTAAAGAAGGGGAAAAAACTAAATAAAGTTAGTACTTTTAAACTTTATATACAGTTCTATAAGTTCTTAAAACTACTATTCGTTAAGGCTAATGGAGTACAATTGAAGATTTAAAAAACAAATTATTGGAACCATTATTTAAAATTATTACTTTTTAATAAATCTAATCTGAATAAAAAGATTAGCCATTGAATAATAATGAAAAAAACTTAATTTAAATTTAACTCTCACAAAATCTTTATTAATAACCTCGTAAAAAGAGATTGATTGAAACAAATACAGAAAATATAATTATTTTAAAATGTAAGTAAATGTCTTGTGAGATTTTGGATATAATCATTGACATGGAAACTAATGTTAGAGTTAGTATCAGTACTAAACATTTGAAGGATATGTTTGAAGGTAAAGGTGAGTTTAAAGATGAATATAAAGGTATATATAAAGATGAAGATTAAATTTAAGATAAAAGTATGTTTACAGATGAAGATTAAAAAAATAATAATTTTGATATAAAATCCACTTAAATATTAAAAGAAGATGAAATACCATAGTAAATGAAAAATAAAATTCCAAGAAAAAATGTAAAAGCTATGAATGATAATACAATTTAAAAATGGAAATCAATATTCAAAAATTTAATAGAGAAAAGAGATTTATTTAAAAATTTTTTGTAAGATATTATTTCAAATTTTGCAGAATTATCTAAATATGATAATGAAATTCTTTAAACTTATTCAATTAAACTTTTAAAGAGAATATATGGGTATAGAACAGAATTAATTGAAAACTTTGATAAAACCCTAATAGTAAATACAGGTTTTACTTATAAACTTTCAGTAATGAGTAGAACAACAAGAAGAAAATTACTTTCTTTTAATGATTTTAATATAGTTAAACTTAATCTTGAAAAATAAAGTGAGTACAATATTTATTTATGGGTTGAAACGAAAGATTTCGAAAAAGCAGGAGTTATATAGGATTTATGTTGGCTTATTGAATGTTTAAAATCAGGAGATGAAGTACCTTAAGATAAAGTTAAAATCTCTTATGATGCATTATATGCTGAAAATAGCTTGTAATAAGTATACACAGAAAAAGAATAAAACTTCAAATTACATTAAAGTTTAATTAAATGTTAAGATTTGCATGAAAATATTTTGGTATTTATTAACATTGCTTCTTCCAAAATGGTCAATGAAAATTCAGAAGTTTAAAAAAATAAACTAATTATGAAAACTTTGTATGTTTGTTTTTAATTCCTTACTATGTTACTTTGGAATCATCATGAAAATAAATAAGATTTAGATTTTATTCGAATAATTCCAAATTTGAATTAATATCTTAAATACAATCTCTATTGCATTTAATTCTTAAGAGAATTATTTTAGAATAACAAAGTATTATTATTCAATGAGTCTAAAATATCTTAGATAATTAATGAAGTTGTTATATAATGTAACGAATTAAACTATGATTAGTATTATAAATCTTAATTAATTGATTTTCTTCGAGTTTTGACAATTTATAATAATAAATCCATTAAAATTAATTAGAATTTAATTATGGCTGCAATGTAAAACAAAAATTATAAAAAAATAATGATTTTATTTGATAGTAATGATTCATTATTTGTTGAAATTGAAAAATTAATTGATGATTATCAAAAATCATATTTTAAAGTTTTAAAAAAAAGTAACAAAAAGGATGAAAATTTATATATTAACATAAATTCAAAATTAACATACCTTTTTAATTATTTTTAAATACTAGTATTACTTATATCCAATAAAAATGAAATAAATTTAGGTAAGTGTAAATAAATGCATTCTCATTTATATTTGATAAAACTCTACTAATAAACAGGTTAATGTTGGCCATTGAAATTATATTTAAGAGCATATATTAATAAGCTATATTATGAGAATAAAAAAGATTTTATTGGAATTCATTAAAATCTTATAGAGATTGATTTAGAAAACATTTTGAATGATTTAAAAGATATACTTGAATTAAGAGAGTCAGGATGTGATTATTAAAAAATAAAACTGAAAAATCCTACTAGGTTTTCTTATTTATGTTCATATTTTTATATGAGTTTGGAGGAAAACTTAAAGTCTTTAAATTCCATTTTTGATACATCATAAATTTGTGAATCATTATTATTTTTTGATGAATTAGAAGATATATTGAAATTAAATTTAGAAGATTCGTTGAAAATAGATTTAGAAGATACATCGAAATAAAATTTAAGAAAATAACCACTAAAATTACATTGTGTATTATTAGAGTTTGGAAATGTTTTATTAAAAATTAAGCAGTCGTGGTAATCTGAAATGATTACAAATTTAATTAAAGTTCCTATGGATGTATTTTGCAAAATTTATCGAACTTTTGATTTACATATATTAATATTAAGAGATGTATTATCAAATCCAAAGCTGTTTACGAACGTATTCATTGAAACCAAATGTATACAGAAAAAGTATTTAAATGGCAATGAAATTATTTAAAAAGATTTTAATTAAACTTCTTAAATCGATTACTAAAATATTTTATCTTAAAAATATTAAGAGTTGTAATAAAAATGGGTTAAGAAATATGGTAAGTAGTAAGACCCATTGAATTCTAATTATATTGATGAATTGAGAGAGATTTTATTAGATGAAGTATATGATTCTGTCAATATCGATAATAATTAAATAAAAAAATATAAAAAGAAAAAATTAGAGAGAGAATATAAAGATGAAACAAAAATAAATATGGAATTAAATTAAAGATTTCGAAATTTAATGGAGATTTTTTTGACAGATAACACAATCAGAGTTTTTTAAGAGGAAGAATTTGATTCTTTTTGTAATGGTTTAGAATAAATAAAATATTCAGATAAATTATCACCCCCTACAATAACTTTAAAAGAATTTATTTAAAATATTATTCATTTAAATCTAAATCATTATGATACTTTAAGTTAAGATATTTAAATTTTTTTTTTAAAAGCATTAGAAAAAATTATAAGAAAAAGTGAAAATAAAGATAATTTAGAACTACATAATAAAATTGTCAAATAATAATAAAACTTTTTATTAGAATGTGGTGCTGCTGAATTGATTTGTAAATTACTTCGCATTCCTAATCTAGAATTAAGATAAGCATTAACAAATTCATTAATATCGTTTGGAAATGCTTTTCTAGAAAGAGGAAATACAAAATGTTAGAATGAAATATATTAGAAATTATTGAATGATTCAAAGAATAAAATTTTGATAAATTATAGATAATTAATTAGAAGAGTAAGTAGAGCTGTTTATAATAATTTTAAATTTCGAAAAAGCAAACCATAGGAAGTTTTTTTGAATATTGGATTATGTGATAATTATGATTTTTATGATGATGAAACTTCAACAATATCTAGGTTAAATCCTACACAAGAAGATGATATAAAAGAAGAGAATATCAAAGAAGAATTTAAAAATTTGTTAAATAAATCCTTTAGATTTTTGTAATTGTTATGTGAAAATAATAATGTTAAAATGAAAAACTTTATAAGACAATAAATAGAAACAGATCTTAATCCTAAAATAGGATCAATAAATTTTATAGAACTTGCAACTTCATAATTAAGAGTATTCTGTAAAGCATTCAATTCAAAAATAAGTGAAATACCAATTTATATATTGGATTTTATATTAGAAGTAGTTCAGGTACCTTGTCTTGAAAATTAAATAACTCTATGCAAGACAACATTTTTTGAAGATGTTTGTTATTTGGTTTAATAATTAAGCATAGAAAAAAATCAGGAATAACGAGGTTTAAAAGATTCAGGAATGCAATCATTATTTAACATTTATAATAAAATCATCATAATTATAATGAGTGTTTTAGAAGGAAATGATGAAAGAATATAAGAAGATTTACAAAAAAAAATTGATCCGAAATTTCTTATTGAAATTTTCAAATAATATCTTTAGAATCATAATCCATAAATATAAAGAAAAGAAGATATGGTAAAAGCACTAGAAGAATAATCATTATCAAAAACTTAAAACTAAGAAGCAAAATAAAGTTATGAGGATAAATAAATTTAAAAGAAAAATGATGATATTACAGAAAAAATTCTTAATGTCTTGATTATTAAAGAAAAAATTAAATTTAAAAATTTCTAATTTGATGAAAGTAGTATTTACATTCAAGATATAATGAAATTTTTAGAAACTAAAATTTTGAAAATAGAAATAATTTATGATAATAAACCTTAAACAATTTTATTTCCATCGCATCCATTATTTACATTTTTATCAGGTGAGACAAGAGATATGATAATGTATAATGTGAATAGAGATACTTAAAGAGATAAAATAAATGGATTGCTAGAATACAGAAATTAAATATATCAAGAACTTTAATATAATTACGAACTAAGCAAAAGAGAATTCTTACCAATCACATCATAAATAATTTAAGTATTAAGATATCTGTCAGCCTTGTTTTCTATCTCAGTTAATATCTTAATGATACTTTTTTATAATATGGAAATATTAAACTTTAAAGTTTTTTTAATGGCAGAATTTCATGAATAGTTGATCATAAATGTGCTTTCATTTTGTTAGTTATTAACTACTTTAATTTACTATATTTGCTATCTAAATTATAGAATACCTATATGTATTGATAAATATAAACCTTTGAACAATAATTCAGATGATTAAATTAATCATGAAGAATCAGATGATTCAGATGATGAATAAAATAACGGACTTGTTGAAGTTTAAGATTTAATCAATTAAAANTATATTGGATTTTATATTAGAAGTAGTTCAGGTACCTTGTCTTGAAAATTAAATAACTCTATGCAAGACAACATTTTTTGAAGATGTTTGTTATTTGGTTTAATAATTAAGCATAGAAAAAAATCAGGAATAACGAGGTTTAAAAGATTCAGGAATGCAATCATTATTTAACATTTATAATAAAATCATCATAATTATAATGAGTGTTTTAGAAGGAAATGATGAAAGAATATAAGAAGATTTACAAAAAAAAATTGATCCGAAATTTCTTATTGAAATTTTCAAATAATATCTTTAGAATCATAATCCATAAATATAAAGAAAAGAAGATATGGTAAAAGCACTAGAAGAATAATCATTATCAAAAACTTAAAACTAAGAAGCAAAATAAAGTTATGAGGATAAATAAATTTAAAAGAAAAATGATGATATTACAGAAAAAATTCTTAATGTCTTGATTATTAAAGAAAAAATTAAATTTAAAAATTTCTAATTTGATGAAAGTAGTATTTACATTCAAGATATAATGAAATTTTTAGAAACTAAAATTTTGAAAATAGAAATAATTTATGATAATAAACCTTAAACAATTTTATTTCCATCGCATCCATTATTTACATTTTTATCAGGTGAGACAAGAGATATGATAATGTATAATGTGAATAGAGATACTTAAAGAGATAAAATAAATGGATTGCTAGAATACAGAAATTAAATATATCAAGAACTTTAATATAATTACGAACTAAGCAAAAGAGAATTCTTACCAATCACATCATAAATAATTTAAGTATTAAGATATCTGTCAGCCTTGTTTTCTATCTCAGTTAATATCTTAATGATACTTTTTTATAATATGGAAATATTAAACTTTAAAGTTTTTTTAATGGCAGAATTTCATGAATAGTTGATCATAAATGTGCTTTCATTTTGTTAGTTATTAACTACTTTAATTTACTATATTTGCTATCTAAATTATAGAATACCTATATGTATTGATAAATATAAACCTTTGAACAATAATTCAGATGATTAAATTAATCATGAAGAATCAGATGATTCAGATGATGAATAAAATAACGGACTTGTTGAAGTTTAAGATTTAATCAATTAAAAAGATCAGAATAAACAAAAGAATGAATCGAAAATTTAATAATTTTCTCATACTTTAAGATATATCTTAGATTCTGCAAAGAAAATTAATTAATAAAATGATGATTTTATATAAATAACTTTTTATTTAGTGTTTTCAATACTTGGAACATTTTATAAAAGTTATTTTTTTTCTTTACATTTGTTTGATTTAATCAGTAGATTAACTTTATTAAATAATGTATTCTAAGCTATATCTCATAATGCTAAGCAATTAATAGTTGTTTCATTATTAGGTGTTTTATTTATTTATGTATTTTCGTTTACATCATTTGATCAGTATGCAGATGATATATATACTGAAAAATAACCTCAAGAACATTGTGAAACATTAATTTCATGCATGATTACATTGATTACAAGTGGAGTTATTGGTACTTCAATGTCAAAATGGGATTTTGTAAAATTTTGTTATGATACTTTGTATTTTGTATTTTTTGCTTTGCTATTTACAAATATCATCTCAGGTATTATGATTGATACTTTTGCAGAATTAAGAGATTAGAGATAAAAGATTGATGATGATAAAAAAAATTGCTGTTTTATTTGTGGAGTTAAAAGGGCACAATTAGAAAAGAATCTTGAAGAATTTGAATAGCATGTTAAAGATAAACATTTCTTATGGAATTATATTTATTATATTTATTGTTTAAAGTTAAAAGAAACCACTGATTATACTGGTTTGGAATATGCTATCAGTGAAATGATCAGAAAAGATAATATATCTTGGTATTGCTGATATTTATGATAGGTTTCCAATTTAAATTGAACAAGATGCTAATCAAGATAAAGAAATAGATGGTAGAATAGCTTAGCTGGAAGGAGAAATGAAAGAAAAAGATTATAGGATTACTTAATTAGAATAAGATGTCAACAATAAATTAAATATAATTAATAATATTCTAACATCATAACTAGAAAAAGAGATCCCCTCTAAACTTGAAAACTTAAATTTTCTAATAAGTTAAATTTAATCATCAGTTAAAGGTAATTGAATTTGTTTGTATGAAATTTAATATTTTTATATATGTAGAAAATGTCTTAATAACCAATATTAAAACAGGTTTCTATGAATCATAATCACACAAATTTTGAATCAGAAACATCAGATGTTGAAAGAACCACAAGCTTCGAATCTAGTTAATTAGGCAGAATTATAGATATTTCATCATATCGTAGAACTTCCACTTCTTCAAAAGGAGACAATAATTAAAGTCCAAGATAATAAAGAAGAAATTCCTTTGTCACTTTTGAATCTAATAACACTTCAACCTCACTCAGTCAAATTAAATTCATTAATGAGTAATTTATTAACCAAACTATTAGTCCTTTTTAATATTTAAAAATGAATGATTTATAAAAAAGGGTTTGGAAAGCTTTATCTAAATGTACAAATACATAATTAGTACATATTTACAATTATTTAGGAATCAGTTTTTTTGATTGACATCATTGTTTTGCATAATGATACAGAATTTGAATTTAAGTTTGACCTTTCCCAATTGTCATGTTTTATGACTATTAAAGAACTGAGAGAATAAATTAATATTATATTTTCTGAATAAAAGAATCAAAGTAACCAATTTTATTTAAAATAAGAAATATAGGACCCATAATTATATATATTGATTGGTGTTATTAAAACTTAAAAATTGGATGGAGACATAAGATTATTTGAATTACTAAATATCTTACTTTATGGAAAAAAAACATTGATTTTGTAATCCTCTTGTCATAATTGCTGAATGAATTTTTTTTTGTATATTTCTTCCAAATCCAAATTTTTATCATTTTTCCTCAATTATTTTTATTATTTTTAATTTAACATCTTAATAATTACTTGATTATTCTTGAATGATTTTTTAAGTTTTTTAATTAGATTTATATTGACAGATGTACTTGATACGATTAAATTATGCTAAATAAGAATCAATTATGGTTAAGATGATATCTAAAAGATAAAAATGTGTAAAATTCATAATAATTAATTTTAATATCATATATATACTTAAATAAATCTAATTTTTTTATTTATTAGGTCAGTCCCTTTTATTATTTTTAATGATACTAAAATAAATGAAATTCATAAGCGATTCATTTAACTCAAATAATTAGAGTACTCTCTTTTAGTATCTATTGAGATTATAAATGATTTTTGTGACTAATTTTCAAAATAGCTTGCTACTTTTAATTTTTTTAATAAATCAAAAGTTTATAAAAACAATATATGAAAAAGTGTAGTCTAGCTTTATAGACATCAATGCTTTTTGATGATTAAGAAGGTTTTTTAATTAATTAATTTAGACTTCTAACCTCATGATTCTGATGGACTTGGTCCATGGTTTAAAATTAAAGAAAAAAAAAAAATTGTTCAGCCTTTACATCCAATGAGAATTCCACAAGTCAGAATAAAAAGCTAATAATAATAAAAACGGGTACAATAAATAAAAACTGAGAGATATAACACTGAAAGAGTTATGCATGTAAACGAGGAGCTAATTTACATAAATAACTTAAAATAAAATTAAGAATACAATAATACTTCATCACCAGTGGATTTAATCATTAAAAAACACTTTTCTAATAAATAATCCGTATTTTTTCCAAAAAGCTAGCAGAGTTCGTTTGTTTAAAAGTCGGATAGATCAAATAGATAAATAAGAGTTAAAAAAATAAAGATTTGTAATTCTGATATACCATTGCTCAACTAATATAATTATTTTTCAAGATTATTATGAAATGTCAAACAATAGATTCTCAACCAAGTGTAAACCTGAGTTGATAACTTTTATTAATATATTATAATAATTATTTATTATTTTTAGTATTCTAAGATATAAATAAACAATTGATAAATATTCAATCTCATCCAAGGTTTGGAGAGGAATTTTTAGTTAAATTAATTTACCTTTTAATAAAAATCTTATAAGATCTTAAGAACAATAATAAATCTTAACTTAAGTGAGAATATAATACAAATACGAGAATAATCTATTTTAAGTATTTAAATTTCTAATTAATAAATAAAACTAAATATATAAATATATCAAATTATTTATAAATTGAATCATAAACAATCAGATTATATATCTTTAATATTTTATTATTTATTTAACATATTATACTAAAGGTGTCATTTTCCTTTTTTGGGTTAGGCAACCTTTTTTGGAGCTTGACCAACTTCTACTTCGATCCAACCTTCATCATCATCATCATTAGTTTGAGGATTTGGTGGTTAAATTTATTATTGTAATTATTAAGGTTGTTACTATTAAACAGGTTCAGGTTTTTTTTGTTTTTAAGCAGGTGGTTTCTTAGCCGAACCTGATGAAACAGTTATTGAATCAGTTTTTATTTCAACTGCAAATCCAGGAATATTGGAATTTTTTTATTAAATTTTTTTATTAACTGGTTTTTTTTTATCTTTATTTGATGCTCCAACAGTTTACCATCCTTCTTCATCCTCGTCATCATCTTCTCCTTTTGATTATTATTATTATTATTGCTATTATTGTTGTTATTATTATTATTATTGCTAATATTGTTGTTATTATTATTATTCTTACTCTTATTTTTTCTAAGTTATTGTTGTTTAGTCAGCTTTCATTGTTGATTTTTATTATTATTATTCTGTTTTTTTTTTTGGATTTTTTTTTGATCCAACAGTTTCCCATTCGTCTTTATCACTATCAAAAGTATCTTATTGTTATTTAGATTGTAATTTTTAATCTTATTTTGGTGGTTCAGTTTTCAATTTTTATTATTTTTGAACTTAAATTTATTGTTGTGGCAATTTTTCAGATTATTATTAAATCTCTTCCTTGACTTTTGCTGGTTTTCTAGCTTCTAATTTTTGTAAATAATCTTAAACTTCTTGATTGAATGTTTAATCTGATTCTTCTTTTGGTTTGACCTCTAAGATTACTTCTTATTATCTAAATGTATAAATTTTTGATTTACTTTTCATATCCTTTTTTTTAATATAAATTTCCTTTATTTCCTTCAACATGCATACTTTTATTATCAGTTCTTTTTCTTTCTATTGCCATATTTGTTTATTTAGATTATTATTTTGATTATTATGGATTATTTACATAAGCCTTAGTAACTTTAACCTGAATAGGTTGTGCTACTAAAGGTTTTGCCCATTAACCCATATCGATATTCTATTTAATTTTTGAATAATCTATTTCAAAATCAATCCCTTATTCTTCTTTTTATTTAGATTATTGGACTTTAGGTTCTTCTTATATTTCTTATTTTTCAATTTTAGTTGGAGAATCAAGTTATTTTTATAAATTTTCTTCTTCTTATTTTAATTTAGATGCTTCTTTTAATTTTGAATCAGCTTCTTTTTTTTTATTAATAGCTTAAACAATCTTTTCAACTCTAACCAATTTATCTAAGGTTTCTAAAGCAACTTTAGTTTGCATATTTATGGTGCCTTTAGTTATCAATTAATCAATTTCTGCAGAAGTGTGAGGTCCTTATGATTTTGAATTTTCATCTAAGTAAAACCATGCTTTTTTATTAGGATCACAAAGTCCACTTTCCACAAAAATTGTAGAAGCAGGTTATTTAGAAATTTTTTACACTTTATTATCTTTTTAGAAGTATTTAGGATGTGTAAATTTTTGATCTGGTTAAACTTCTATAAGAATTTCCTTAGCATCCAATTTTAAAGGATATTAGGCACCAAAAGTAGAGGGTTGTTAATTCTAAATGAGAAACAAGTCTTAATGTTGTGTTAACAATTTTATTATGTTAGGGCTTGGTTATTTACTTGGTTGATAGTCAAGGAGAGTCGAAGGAGAGCTCATTAAAATTTTACACGTATATTTAATAGCAAAATAAAAAATCAATTAAAATTGCACTTAAATAATTTCATTTTATCTTATCTCATTGTTTTAAGCATGTTAAAAGAACTAAATATTTATATGCATTTACTTGACAATGTAAAATGAATGATCAATCTTTTATTCGATAGTTTTTTTAAATGGAACAGGTTATTCTGTAATTTCTTTAATTATGATGGTTTTCTTTTTGGCATTGAGTTAATATTTAGGTTTTTCATCCAATTTTTTTCTTCTTTAAACTGAAAATGGTTGTCTCAAAGCTTGTTCTCTGGTTTTTATGAAAACGAATTTAGCATCCTACTATATAGAAGGACATAAACAATCAATTAAATTTTCTGTAGAATCATAAGTGTCTAATGTTGAATTATTCAAAATAATCATTTTTCTCTATCTAGCTTAAGTTTTTGGTCTTGCTTTCTCTTCTTGCTCATAATAGGAAATATTTATTGAAATAATTAAAATATCAATTAATGATGAGAGGAATTTCAAATCTTAGAAACCGTTGTTTACGGCCTTATTTTTTTAAATGTTAAATTCATAAAATTCAAAATTAATTATATATAGCAAACATATTCTGTATGTTAATTCAAAACTAATTAAAATTACATAGATTTTATTTTCAATATGGCATAACACCTTGACAAATCTTATTCAAACTATCACATTTTAATTATTCAAATTTTTTTAACTTTTCCATTTATTTTTATCTTCTGATAAATTCTTAACTTTCCTTTTGGATGAATTTAGCATTTTAGTCAATTTCTGCCTATTTCTTTTACCCTTGCTTAATGATACTGACAGCCAAAGGGTTTTAATTCTTTAGATTTTATGTTTCTTATTAGTTATCAGCCTTTAGCAAATACTTTTTTGATTTCAATTAATGGAGTAAATGAACAATAGCTATTTTTGGACTTTTTAAACAAACTGGACAATGATAATAAGCCCTTTCATCTAGATTAAGACAATTTAAATGAAAAGTATGACCACAAGCTAAAATGATTATTGGTTGAACTTCTTAATCTTACTCATAATAATTATGACAGGAATAACAACCTGGTAAATAACCTTACCCTCTAAGTGAGAATTAAACTATTCCTCTCATTATTTAAATGCATTTAATAAAATTAATATCTACTAATTTAGTATATACTGTTGTTGAGAAGTTAATGTGTGTATACATAGACAAGAATGTCATCTTAAGCTTAGATGAACTTAATCTCATGTATTTTGTTGTTATTTTATGAAGAAATGCATCTAAATGACTGCATTCTGCCCATTTCTTTAATAATAAAGGAATATATTCCTCTAAATAAGATGTATAGGGTTATGGGGTATATCTGTTTTAAGAGAGTTCTAAAATGCACTAAGTCACCATATCCCATGATTCATCCAACTCATCTAATTTTTTATTTCTAAGACAGATGTTGCAAATCTCCAAAAAATAACAATAAAATTCACTCTAAATATTTTAAATTTATAAATACTTTACTCAAGAATGCTTTCTATTGAATTTTGTGAATAAAATCATCTAATTTAACACAGATTGCTTCTGTTATGGCTCCTGATCTTTCGAGTAAATAAACCAAAGCATCAGGCACTGGATATTATCTTAATACTCCTATTATATCATCTAAGGGATATTCTTATTCTTATAGTTCTTTTAGAACTTTCTCAGGTTTTATTTAACAAAGTAACTTTATATATAATTTTAATAAATCTGTATTTGATTAATATTATTTTCTATCAACTTACATGATTTATTCTAGATATTCTAATTATAATTTAGGCAATTCTCCCATTTTATTAAGGATACTGATATCATTAGCTTGAAAATACTTTGAGATCAATGATCTAGTGTGAATCGCACTAAATGATACCAATGATCCAATATGATTTAAGATTCTATCACGAAAAGATTCAATAGATGGAATGGGAGGATCTTGAGATAAAACTTTAGAAATCCATTTGAAGATTTCAAATTTGACTTAGATATTTAAATTTTATAATTAATTCTTAATTTTAATTCTGAAATCTAGTGCTCTTCCATAGTTTTTAAGTTCTTCATTTAAATACATTTTAACCCAATCAAATTATCCATCAGATGCCATAGAATTTAAAACATCTTCTTTATCAACAGCTGGATATTTCTTAAATAAATTGATTATAAATTAGTTGTAAGCATAAATTAAGCAATATTTAAGAGTTGGTTCATCATTATGTAATATATTAGGCAATGGTAAACACTAAAGAGGTAAAAATATCAAATGTCTATGTTCACTGACTAAATCTAAGAATAATTCAGTTAATTATTTGATTTGTAATTATTCTGTGTAATCTTTACTCAAAATGCTAGCTTAAATAGATCTTCCAACTTAATTAATCATTTTATCCCATGCAATTGCATCAGGTAAGGTTTTAATTTATAATTAAATCAATTGATATTTCAAATCATTTTAATCTTTAATAGTTTTTAACTTTTAAAAAGCTTAAGTCATGTTATTGTAATATTTTTTTAACCTTTCTTTTTCTAAAAACTAATCATAAGGTGATATAAAGAATTTATAACATAATTAAACACATCCACCAAAATCTATACTCATTAATAAAAACAATGTTTGAACTTCAAATAACCATAAGGATATTTAATCAGACTTTTCTTTAACTAATTGTTCAATATGTAAAGTTTATTCTAAATATAGAATAATGCTTTTTCCTTGTTCAATGACAATTTATGGATCCTTCTTTTTAATATCTGATTATATAATTCCCCATAGTTTAGCTAAAGGAGTAAGAAAGTCTCCAGATCTTGTACATACATAACTTAAACTTGTTGTTAGTTTATTGACAAGACAGAGTTAAATCAATTATTCAGTATTAATTTTGGAATAATCAATTTTAGAAATAAAAGAATCTATACATTATTGATCTCCCAAACGAATATAGTATTGCAATATTTCATCTAATCTTATTAATAATAGATATGTTACTTATAGTTTATTCATTTGCATCAATTACTTTAACCTTTCCATTTTTGAGATATAAACTTAATTCATTGCAAATCAAACTAATATCTCCATTTAGAAATTTCTTTATTATAGAATATATTTAATTGAATAAGATATCACTTGAAACTCTAAGAAGGAAATCAACCAACATAGAAAGTAGAGTCTTAACTTTTTCTACATCTTATTAATGTCCATATAAAGAACTAGGTGTATAAATTAGAGTTTTATGTTTATCTAAAGTGGATCTAATTTCATCTAAAACTACTTTGATATAATGTGTGGCTATTTCCAATACTTTTCTTTTTAAAACCTATGTATTAAATTTTATTGGAGTAGATTTCATACTTCCATCCATCAAAGCAAGAATTAAAAGCATACCTTTAGCCCAATCTTTATTTGAAATAAAAATATCAATAGATTATTCTAAATTATTAATACTTCCAATTACAATAGATCCTTCAACTAAAATATGAATTTATCTTGTTTATTTGTTTAATGCATATATCTAATATTATAGAGGATATTATTTAAATCCAACTCCTTCATCTTTGTTTAATACTTCTACTTAATAGAGAGAGGTGAATGGAGAATCAGGCCAATTCTTTTTTTAAATAAAATATGGTATTTATTCTATTCCCTTTGGCACTATTTGCAATTCTAAATGTACTGTATTAAATAAATAAATATTTTGATTCGCAGTGATCACTTCTATAATTGATTACTCAACAAAATAAGCTGCATGTATCTATTATTTAAATATCAATGGTTTTAATGTCATATATCTTGCTTAATCATTACTTCTGATCAAAAAATACATATGACAATTCCAACATAATAAAATTATCAATCTTTTATCTTTCCAATTCTCCTCTTAATCTTAATTTGGTGGTGGTAAAATACCATACCCATGAGAAATATAACAATAAAAAGGTTTCTCTGGAGATGATATATGTGGATTGTCAATCTCTATTATTGACTTCAATTTCTTCTCATCATCCTTATAAACTATTATGAGGTAAAATCTACTCAAAGAACAGAATCCTATTATTCTACTTGATTTTTCATATAAATCACCCATGAATTCCTTTGACTCATTTTTATTAAATACTATTATATTTACCATTGGATATTATTATCGTGGAATTGTTAATTATATTTCATAATCAAATCCAAACATTCCTTTCCGAAAATTCACTATTCTTATTACTCCTGTATCATCAGAAGTTATTACATTATAAAATTTCTTAGATTAAAACATGAACTTCATAACTATTATTTTTGATTTTGTAATATTTTAACAACTACACAAATGCTTCTTTTTTTTCATATCTATTATACTAATCCATCCACTCTCATAACCAACTCCTACTAAATCATTTAATGAATCTAAAGCTGTTACTGCTCCTATTTTCTATTATTAAATAATAATATCTGTCTATTATTAAGAATAATATAAAATATTCCCTAAAGATCCTCCTACCAATAAAAAATCTCCATTATGATGAATTACTTTCGGTTTACCAAAGTTTTTTATTATTTATGGATTAGAAAATATCAACAACTGTTAAAAAGATAGAGTATTATCTAATTTGTTTTTTAAAGTATCTCTAAGGAAATCTAAAGGAGTTTTAAAATTTTTCTAAGCTATAAAATTAAACAAAAAAATACTTTATTTTTCTTATTTTACTTTATTTCGAAATTTTTCTTAAATCTCTAAACCTGCATCCAACAAATCAACAATTGATTTACTTCTGTTTTATGATTCCATATCTTCATCAAATACAGAATAATATTAAACTAATAACTAGAATTCTTTTGAATGATCACAATTATCAAATGTGAAAATTTCCATTATACTAATATTAATTATATAATAAAATCTCTATTGTTTATTTTATTTTATTTTTTTATAGAATTCATCAACCTTGTGTCAATTTCTTCAATTCGCTTTCTGTTGCAAAAAAACCCGCTAATTTTCCCACAAATCCACTTGGTTTTTATTAAGAAATATTTTTTTATTTGAATTCTAGCTATTCTTTAAACTCATCTCTTTGGGCTGTCAATTATAAAATTTTAGAATTTAAACTTGAAATTTCTTGTTCCATCCTCTATAATTTTAAATTTTGCTCAACAATAAATTCTTTTGTATCCTCTATCTTTGAAGATGTCTATTATTATTTTTCAATTTATTGTTATAATTGATTTTTTTCAATCTAAAATTAATTAAAATAATTACATTTAATTCTTGGAACTTAATCTTTAATTTCTAATATTCTTGTTCATTTTAAATATAATTATTTAATTACTGTTCTTAATCTTAAATTTATTTATTCTATTATTCAATTTATTTTAATTTCTAAGTATACAATTATTTTAAATTATTGTTTTCTTCTTATAAAGATTAGTATTGATTATGAGACTACATCAATTAACTAACATCATGTTCCTTTGATCTTAATTATGCTATTATATTTAAAGCTTTTTCGTGTTAACTTTTTAATTCTTCATTCTCTTATTCAATATTACGTAATTCTTCATCTAATTTTTCAATCTACTTTTATAAATCCAAATTATATTATTCTAAAATCTAATATTCTTATTCATCAACTTCATTAGATGCTTATTATTAAATTTATTATTCAGGTTACTTATTCTGAATTTCTTCAATTTATTATGCTAATTATTAATTTTAATTGCTATAAAATTCTACTTATTGATTCAATTAATCAATTTAATTATCTAACATTATTTGTTTCTCCTAATATTATTTTATTTCTAATTTTAATTAGTTATTTTCATTCTCACTTTCTTACTATAATGATTTTATTTAATTTTCGCTTTATTATTGTAAATTCAAAAACTCATCGTTACTTAATTGATTTTAATTTAATAAATTTTGCAAAGAGCTTTCTAATTATGATATAATATCATTTTTTTCATTTATGTCCTTTATATGCTATTACTGCATTTCAGTAATTTCTAATGATGTTTTATTGTTTAACTGTTATAAATTATCAGATAACTCATCAATTTATAGACTTTATTAATTAATCAAATTTATTTTGCTGTTTAATTCTTCCTCTAAAGATTGTTATAAATTTTATTAAAGTTAATTCTTACTTTATTCTTCTATTTGTTCGCTCAATTCAGTTATCTTATTTTCATATTATTATTAAGTCTCTTTTAGCTATTAAATTTAATCTTCCAAATCTGAAATTTAATTATTTGACCATTATATATCTTGTTATAATTTCTTATTTTCATTTGTGAAATTCTCATGGACAATTATTAATTCATCATATTAATATTATACTTTTTCTAATTACACTTCATATTAATAAATTTAATTTTATAATGATTAAATTGTTTAATTTTATTCATCTTATTGCAATTTTATAAATTCATATTCTTATCCTAATTTTATATATTTTTCTATTTATTCATTCAAGTTTTAGTTATCTAATTGCAATTCCTAATTTAAACACATTTATTAAGTTAATTATTCAGTCAATTATTCTATTTAAGTCTATAATTCAAGCATTTTCTATTCACTCTGATATCGTAATTAATCTAATTATTATTTTTCTAATTCAACTAACTTTTCTGAATTTTATAAAGAATGCTGAATCGTTTTTTTTTCTTATTCTAATCTGATACTTTATTCTTGTAATTCTTTTGAATTTAAAGAATATTTTTCTATTTCCTTTTCTTTATCATGAATTTGTTTTTTAAGAAATTCACACTCAATTTTAGATTATTGAAGACTCTTTTCTAAATCTGTTGTTTATTCACTTTATTCAAGTATTTAATTTCTTAATTATGATTAAAATTCTTATTTTTGATTTATTAATTGTAAATTAATTTAAAATAATTAATCTTCACATTATTTTAACTCATTTAATACAATAAACTTCTATTCATTTATTTCAGCTATTTTTTAATCATACTCTTAACATATAAGAGAAATTTCTTTCTTTGATGATAAAACATCATTAATATAGTTATTAATTTGTTTTTCTTATTAAGCTACTATTGATTCTAAAGAGGATTTTTACAAATTTATCTAAAATATTTAAGCTTTGTAATCTTAGAGAATTGATAGATGGCTTTATTCTTTTTAAAGTATTAATTTTTAATATTCTCTTCTATATTAATGACATAATGTTTAGATATCTAATTTAGTTTCAATCTATCTAATTTCTATTGATCCTAAAAATTTGAACCCAAAATGAATTTCTGAACTAATATCATGTAATAATTATTTAAGATTTTAAATTTCAGATTTGGCTAATTCAAAATCAAATTACAATTAATCCTTAATTTATCTTAACTCAATGCATTCTTAGTCATTAATTAATAATTAAGATTACTCTATTTATGAATTCATTATTTAAATATCTTCATCATATTGTCTTCTTAATTCTTCATTATACTTAATATACATATCCTTATCTCTCTAAAGACTTTAAACCTGTCTTTTATAAACTTCTTTCTCTTTTTAAAGATTTTTTATTTATAAATCTTATTACTTTATGTTAAAATCAAGTTATTTAATATGTTATTAATAGTTCTTCTTTTCTTCACTTTAACCTTCCAATTATTTTTTAAAGGCATTTGTAGAATTGACAAATTCTTCTAACTTTCTTAATAAATCATTTATTAATAATTATTATTATTACACATAAAGATCTTTACTTTAAATTTCTTATTATTATTATTCCAGAAGTTCAGTCATATCAGATAATTCTTCATTTTATTCCTAAATAATTTAAGTTAAGTATTCATTACTGCTAATAGGAAAATCTATTATTTAAGGAGGAATGAAAACATGAGTTTAGTTTTTTAATAGATTAAAATTGAATTATTAAATGTCTAAATTGATATTTTAAGGTTAGAACAGTTTAAAATATTTCAAATTTTATTCTAAACTGTCTAAATAATTTTAAGGTAAAAGTGCTTTAGGTAGAGTTTAAATGAAATTATTACATGAATCATAATTAAGTACAAGTTAATTATAACCTTTACACAATTCTTATAATTGTGATTAAAGTTCTTAATTATCTGTTGCTAATTACAAAACTTATTATTGAAGCAATATTAATTATTTATTATGTTGATTTTATTAAGGTATTTCAGATGAATTTGATTCCTAATTTTATATAGATTAAGTGACTGCAATTTATGGATTAGGATTAGTAATTTATTATTATGTTAATTCTTTTTATCCTAGTGATTGCTCTTATCCAATTTATTTTTCTTATTATTTTTATGGCTCTTATTAAATTTATTATTAAGGTTAAGGCTAATTGTTATTGCTTAAAGATGGAATAGCAACTGGAGGAACTTATTTATTTACATGATCCTTTTGTTATCTCTATTACTTTCCTCTTAAGTGAGGATTCTATGGCTTCAAATATTCCTTCATTTCACCTGGAGGAATCTAATCTTCAATTTTAGGTTCAGGTTTTTTTTCTGAATATGTCTCTTTTCCTGGATATTCATAAACTCCTTTTTCTTTATTAAATACAATTTATGTATTTGGAGGTAAAATGACTTTTGTGGCTCCTCCTCCTCCACCTTAAAATACAGATAATAAAGATTTTAAAGGGGACTTTGATTCTCTCTTTTATGAAGACATTGCACGTGTAAACTATTTATTTTCAATAATTAAATATGTATTATTTACTCTCATTCATTAATAATCTATTCTATATATGTAAATTTTCTTTTCATTAGTCCATTCTGCATAGTATTATCCATCTTAAGAAACTGTAAAAGTATGAAAAATATTTTATTTCTTAGGGGAACTTCCGATAATTGCAAATTTCTAATTTGATAATTTTTTAATAAAATAAACACAATTAGCATGTTTTAACATCATAACATCTAGAAAATTATTATATTAAATTGGAGATAATCCAATCATATCTTTTTATTCTTTTTCTTATAATTCTATTTCCAATTCTTTCCTTTATTCAAAAATATTGTCTTTTAACTAATAAACTTTACTAATTCCTTCATTTTAAGGTTAAAAAATCAAATAATCTTCTCCATAAAAACATAATCTAAAACCAAATCCCTTTTCAGGTAACTATATTATTTATTTTAGAATCCATTCATTGTTACTTTATTTTTCGCATATAATAATTGCATCTTTTCGACTACATGCAGCTAATTTATTTTCTGAGTCATTCAAACTTAGAGAAAATAATGATCCTTTATCTGTTGTAATTTATTATTTTTTCTATATCTTATTTTAAGCAATAATCAAACTCCAAATTATTATAGATTAATCCTCACTACATGAGAATAAAAAGTCTTCATTTTTACTTAATATAAGACAAAAAACAGATTTTTTATGACTATATTAAGGAGGTGAACTTTCCCATTCAGAATTTTATAATTTCCAAGTTTTAACGATCCCTAANATGATCCTTTTGTTATCTCTATTACTTTCCTCTTAAGTGAGGATTCTATGGCTTCAAATATTCCTTCATTTCACCTGGAGGAATCTAATCTTCAATTTTAGGTTCAGGTTTTTTTTCTGAATATGTCTCTTTTCCTGGATATTCATAAACTCCTTTTTCTTTATTAAATACAATTTATGTATTTGGAGGTAAAATGACTTTTGTGGCTCCTCCTCCTCCACCTTAAAATACAGATAATAAAGATTTTAAAGGGGACTTTGATTCTCTCTTTTATGAAGACATTGCACGTGTAAACTATTTATTTTCAATAATTAAATATGTATTATTTACTCTCATTCATTAATAATCTATTCTATATATGTAAATTTTCTTTTCATTAGTCCATTCTGCATAGTATTATCCATCTTAAGAAACTGTAAAAGTATGAAAAATATTTTATTTCTTAGGGGAACTTCCGATAATTGCAAATTTCTAATTTGATAATTTTTTAATAAAATAAACACAATTAGCATGTTTTAACATCATAACATCTAGAAAATTATTATATTAAATTGGAGATAATCCAATCATATCTTTTTATTCTTTTTCTTATAATTCTATTTCCAATTCTTTCCTTTATTCAAAAATATTGTCTTTTAACTAATAAACTTTACTAATTCCTTCATTTTAAGGTTAAAAAATCAAATAATCTTCTCCATAAAAACATAATCTAAAACCAAATCCCTTTTCAGGTAACTATATTATTTATTTTAGAATCCATTCATTGTTACTTTATTTTTCGCATATAATAATTGCATCTTTTCGACTACATGCAGCTAATTTATTTTCTGAGTCATTCAAACTTAGAGAAAATAATGATCCTTTATCTGTTGTAATTTATTATTTTTTCTATATCTTATTTTAAGCAATAATCAAACTCCAAATTATTATAGATTAATCCTCACTACATGAGAATAAAAAGTCTTCATTTTTACTTAATATAAGACAAAAAACAGATTTTTTATGACTATATTAAGGAGGTGAACTTTCCCATTCAGAATTTTATAATTTCCAAGTTTTAACGATCCCTAAATCTGTCCCTACTGCTAACCAATTCTGATTTTTACTATATACTACAGAAAAAATAGACTCATTATGTTATAATGTTGATATTTTCTCCTTTATTATTCCATCCTACATTTTCAATATCTAAATTTACTTTTAACCTCCACAAACAACTAATTTAGAGGTTTCATTATCAAAAGCTAATGCAGAACACTCTAAACACTAAATTTCACTTATATAATTTAATTTAATAGCTTTTTCTTTTCCATTATTTATTATTATTTTTATTTTAGATTATCTTACATAATTATTTTCTAATAATTTATTTTCCTCTTCCTAATTTCTACTTTAGTTGTTTTTATACTTTGAAAAAATTTAGCAATTCAATAAATTAAAATTTTATATTTTATTTTCAAATTTAGTATTATAAGAATTTTTTATATTTTAAATATCCTAATTAAAATTTTCTATTATGTCAAGATTTTTTTTATTAGTTTATTCTTTTATATATAATTCTATTTCTTCAATTAAATTGATATGTATTATTCTTTATGTATATTCTAACTCTTTATTTAATTGAAGTATCAAGTTTTCAATTTCAGATAAAGTTGATTGTATTTATGTTTAAAATTCTTTAAAATCTTCTTATAATTACGTCAAGTACTTTTTTTCCTAATTTAATTGTTCTGTTTAATGTTTTTCTAAATCTTAATATTATTATTGAATTGTCTCCAATACTGGAATAATCCCAGTTTTCTTATGCCAACCATTTTGAATTTATATACAAAATTTACATAAGAAACGATCTTCTAATTTTATCCCATCATCTAGTAATAATTCTAAAATTTCTGAATTATTATGTTGCTCTTTTGAACATTTTAGAGATTTTATCTATGAATCTAAATTATACATTTTAATAATTCAAAAACAAAATATAATTTTTTATTTATTTTTTAATTAAAATTATAATATAAAATGTTTCGTTGCTAAATGATAGAAAATATAGAAAGTATTTTATGTTTTCATTAACATTAATAACCAATTTTAGTCTTAAAGAATAAGTAATTAAGAAAAGATTAAAGGTTGGTTTGTTAAATTTGTATTGAAAATGCTAAAGAAGAAGAAACATTAAATATTCAAGCTATTCCATTTCGAAAAGCAATTGAATATGTAAATCAAATTTAAGAAAAATTATAAGAATAGAAAATTAATAAAATTTAACCATATTTATAAGAAATTCATAATTTTGAACTAAAATTAAACGAAATATAATCAAGCATCTCAATAGCAATTTCTAAATTAATTGAAATAACAAAAGATTGGAAAAAATAATTGATCTAAGCTAGAAAAAACTATGATTCTTATAGTTTTATTGAGGAAATTGATATTGTAAGTAAATCTTCTGATTCAATTCTAAAAGAAGAAGAAGAAGAAATAAATAAATATATTGAACAGTTAAATGAAAATTATTCTGGCAAAATTGATGCTGATTTTATAAATTTAACTAATTTAGTAATCAACAGCAAAAATAAGATAAATCTGCTTAATATAAAAAATTAAAAGAAAAAAAATATTGCAGTAATAGAATAAGAAAAAAATGATAATATTCAACCTAATTAAAAAAATATAGAATACCTTAAATTAGTATCTTATGAAGAAATTTGCAATGTTAATTACACTAATTTTTGCAGTTGCTTATCATTTAATTATCTTGGTGATTTATTATTTGTATCATAAGATAAAGAAATAGCTATTTGGGAGATTAATAAATAAAATTAATTGAATTAGTTAAGTATATAATCTTTAAAGGTTTAAAAACATGAAAAAGAAATAAGATGTTTGATAAGTAGTAAATAAATGAATTAATTTTTTACTGGAGGTTATGATTCATAAATAATTTGTTGGAAGGAAATGGAAGATAAATAATGGATGATTTCATCTTATAAAAAGCATTAAGAAATAGTTACTTGTTTGCTGCTTAATTAATAAGAAAATTAATTAATCTCAAGTAGTTTTGATCATTAGATTATAATTTGGAAATTAAATTGTAAAAGTAATAAGCTTGATTATCAATATTCACTCTAAAATCACACAGATTGTGTTTATAGTATAAGTCTAAATCAATCTTAATCTGAATTAGTATCAAGTGGTTCAGATAATTTAATAATAATTTGGTTTTTAGATCAAAATTAAATCTGGTAGATTAAATAAATAATTGAAAATAAAAATAAAACAAAAGGTTAAAGAATCAACTTTTTTGGAGATGAAACACTAATCTAGATAGAGAATTCATATGGAATTTGTTAAGTTTATGAAAAATATAAGGATATTTATGTTGAAAAATCGGAAAAAAATATATAATTAAATTCTCATAAACAATTAGATTTAGATAATGTGGTAGCAATTTATAATAAACATGCATAATTATTAATAGTAAAATATTGTAAATACATTTACTTCATATAAAAATAAGATGATCAAACATTCCGAAAGGTATATAAACCAATAGAGTTTCAAGATGATTTCAATTATTTTGGAATTTCAAATGATGCAAGACTTCTAATAACTTGGGATTCAGTGTCTAAAAAATTAAAATGCTATAAAATAAATTATGAGTGATTATTATTTAAGCTTTCTAATAAGTTGGACTATCAGTTTTTTTTAATATAATTATAAATTTTTTGTAGAAAAGATGCAGAATATTTTTTATTTATTCATAAATACGTATTAATTAATAAATGCAAGAATGGTAAATGAAAGAAGAACCTGAATCTTTAGTTTGTTGTAAACATTAAGCTTAAATTAAATATGTGCTCACTAATAAGGGTTTGATAGGAAAAGATAAACTTAAATGTCAATACTGCTTAGAAGAAAAACATAATCCATAGCAACTCTACACTATAACTTAAGCCATAGTAAAGATTTAGAATAATAAGAATGATGAATATGTTGAATAATAAAGAATAATCAAAGATAATTTGATGACACTTTATGATCATATAGAAGGTATTACAAAATTTAGGTAAGATGCATTATAATTTATTAATGGTATACAGGATGCACTTAATAACTATAAAGAAGAATTAAAATAGGGATTAAATATATCTAAAACTTTTAGCTTTTTTTAAGAATTAGATTTTATTGAAACAAGTCCTTAGATTTTAAAGATTCGGTAAGATGCACATCAAAATATTTAAAATTTAAGACATAAATATTCAGAAAAAATAGTAAAAAATATATATAATTTACAAAATCTAATTAGTAGTAATTATGAATTAAATCAACTAATTTAAATGTTTAATAAAAGGACAGATGTTCAACTATCTCCTATAAAAGTTTAAAATTATATGAACAGTTAGATGAGAAATTTGGAAAAAATTGAATTTAAACAAGGTCTGATACCTGAAATTATATTTAAAGGTAAAAACTCTGAAATAATTGATGCATATAAACCTTTATATCATTAAAAGGAAAAAATCATATCTTCAAAATTGAAGTAAATATGGCCACATTTAGATAAATGTCAGGCAATATCATTTAATTACGATGATTCAATATTTGCTGCTGCTTGTAATAGAGAAATTAATTTATGGAAATTATAAGATGGTACAATTATTAATCTTATTGATACTTTATAAGATCATTCTTAAGAAATTTAGACTTTAATATTTAGTAAATAGAAAAATTGGTTATTTTCAGCTGGGAAAGATCGTTCGATTATTTTATGGAAACCAATTAGAGTTTTCACTTTTAATTTATTCAATTTTTTTAATAAAAAACAGTAATAATTAAATGCCCATCAAGATTCAATTATATAACTAATTTTGGATGAAACAGAAAATTAATTAATTTCTTGTAGTTCAGATAATTAGATTTCAATTTGGAATGTAAATTATTAAAGAAATTCTATTTAATTTGAATATTCTTTGTAACGCCATAAACGCCCTGTTATTTCAATTAGTTTAAGTTAAAATAATAATTTATTGGTATCTAGCGGTTTGGATAAATAAATAATTGTATGGTAGTTGGACAAAAATAAAAAATGGAAATTTAAATAAGTAATAGAACAATCAGAAAAAGATTTTGGTTGTAGATTAAGCTTTATATCTAATGATATTATAATATGGTAATCATTCAAATTAGGAGTAACTAATATTTCTAAGGAAGAAAACGGTTTATTTAAAGAGTTGCCTAATTCTAGATTGGATCTTGCTAAGAATGAAGAGAATGATGGAGATTATTCTTTCCCATCAATTTTTAATTATGAAAAATAACTTTTAATTTAAAAATATCATAAAAGTATTTATTTCATTACTTTAAACTATTAAAATAATTTAAAAGTTTAAGAAGAATAAATTATATTTGATGATGAACAATTTTGTGGGAATTTATCAAATGATGGTAAATATTTTGCTGTTTGGAGTCAATAAAAATTTAATATTTATGAAATTTTTGAATAAGAGTGATGAATATAATTGTTTTATTTAAAAGAATCTTCATAAATTTACAATTATATATTATATATTAAATCTATAAAGAATAAATACATAAAAATTTTGAATTTAAGATTGATTTTTTAATGATTGAAAATGAATTGATATTTAAAATATATGGTTAATTTAAGAAGGCAATATATAAAATGGGTTGATATATTTTAATATAATTGAGCAATTCTTTTATATCGATAGTTAATTTAAGATTTATTAAATAATTAAATGTATATCAATCTCACATAAAATAATAAGTTATGGTGGACTCATACCTCACTTGTACCTACAGAAACTTAAAATAAAGTCATTAATTTAGTGAATGGATAATCTAGTTTCTAGAATAAGGCAACACTACTTACAACCTATTTGAGTTTAGAGGCAGTCAATAGAATAGGTCCAGTAAAGAAGTTAGCAATATACTTTAAAGCTGGAATTGTTGGTGCAGTGTTTTTAGGAACAAGGTATTTAATAATATATTGATTAACAATATAGATTTGCATCTGGAAATTATTATGCAAATAGTATTAAAACAGATATTGGTAAATTACTTGATGGGGCTCCTGTTTGGGAAAATAAATTTGATGTACCAGAATTAGATAAAAAATTCTTTTTTATTGATGATGATAATAATTTTGAACCTTCATTATGGCATCATGGCATGTATATTAATTGAATATATCTAGCAACCAAATTGATAAGCCCAAATAATTTTACAAATTTGAATGAGCATTAAAAACATATATATAAATTAATAAAAATATGAATCCCATAGACTAACACAAATTATAATTTGTACTTAAGGATTGCATTCTCAAATTATAATTCATAGGAGAAATAACTAGAGATAATGATATATCTTCAGAATTAGCAGGTTATGAGTAAAGTAAATTGTTAACTGATCAATAAACATTGGAAGTTAAATATGCAGAATTAGTTGCTAAACGAAGCACTTTAGTAGGAATTTCTAATAGAAAATAACTTACTGAGACTTAAAAGCATATTTAAGAGGTAGCATAAAGACTTAAAGAAAGTACTAAGAAGTTATGTAGGTATAAGTTTCATTTAAAATAAAAGATTATTTAAAGAAAACCCAAATATAGATTAAGATTCATTAAAAGTTTATGAAGAAAGAGCTGGATTAATTTCAGATTTAGAAGTATTCAATTTAATACATTTTTAAGAATCTTAAAACATTCATTTAAAATAATCAATTGAATAAATTTGCTTAAAATGTTACTAATAGTTTAGAAGAATAAGATTCATTAAGAAAATTTGCTGTAAGAGAAAAAGAATTAGCAGCTGAAATAAAAAAATTGTAAAATGATAAAACTTAAGAAATTAAAGAACATGAACATGAGAAAACAGAAAAACAAAAGAATATTTAATCTTTAAAGGAAAAATTATTATACAAAACTAATCGTGCTGATTTAAAAAAAAAATATGATGAAAAAGTTGGTACATCAAAAGAAAATACATAAATGAGAGTTTTTGAATTTGCATTAAAAGATATTGAGACATAAATTGGAAATTTTAGTACAAAAATAAGTACAGAAGAATAGGTTCATAAATAATTAAAAGATTACTTAATAAGAAAAGAAGTATTAAATATAATTTTAAAATTTAGGAAGAATCGAAAAAGAAAACAGATGATTAAAATAAATATATGGATGAAAAGAAATAAGAATTAGATGATAAAATAGAAAAATTAAATGATTAAAAAAATATTATGTATGAGGAATTAGAAAAATTGAACAGAAGATTTGAAAAAGAAGAATTAGAAAAATAAGATCGTGAAAGAAAAGTAATTTAATTTATATATTTAAGGAAATATAAGAATAAGAAGCTAAAAAGCTTAGAGAATTACAATAATTAAGAATGGAAAATGCTATAAAATTAATTTAAAACGAATTAATGGATAGAAAAGAACTTTATGGATTAGGTGCTAAAAAGAAGAAGCCAAAGAAACCAAAGAAATGACTAAACAAATTTAAATAAAATTAAATCTTAAATTAATTAATGGGACGTATGTAAGCTAAGGGAAAAGGAAAGGGTATTTCTGGTTCAGCCCTCCCATATAAAAGAAAAGCACCAAAATGGTTGACCTTATCATCTAAATCAATTGTTGATTAAATTGTTAATTTAGCAAAGAAAGGTTTTGTTTAATATAATTTATAGGTTTGAATGGATCTCAAATTGGTGTTTACTTAAGAGATTAATAAGGCATCCCTTAAACTAGATTCTTAACAGGTTAAAAGATTTTAAGAATCTTAAAGAAAAGAGGTAAATATAGCAATTAATTAAATTTAGGTTGTGCTCCAAAAATCCCTGAAGATTTATATGCTTTAATTAAAAAGGCAGTTTAAATCAGAAAGCATTTAGAGAAGAATAGAGGTGATATTACAAGCAAATTCAGATTAATTTTGGTTGAAAGTAGAATCCATAGACTTAGCAGATATTACAGAAGAACTTAAAAGTTACCTTCAAATTGGAAATAGTATATATTTTTAGTTATCATTAAGTGTCTCAAAGACAGCTTCTGCCTTAATTGGTTAATGAGTTAGAATATAAACACAATAATGCATATATTTTAATATTTTATATCACTTTTTTATTTTTTTCAAGCTGTCACACACTTCCTTAATATTAATACGATCTTCCTCTCTTTTTTAAAGCATTTTCTAATGATTCATTAAAATATTCATACTGTAATAAGTTCTTTCATTTCTTAACTAACTTGATTAGTATTTGGAAATTGAATTTTCTAATTATTTATAGCATTTAATAACAACATAATAGAATTAGTATCCTTCCATGGTAGTACTCCAAATAGCATTTAATATAGAATCACTCCTAATGACCAGACATCACATTTAATACAATAACTAAATCATAACTATTTAATAAATTACTCTTCCCCTGCTAAAATCTATGGAGCCATATAATAAGGTGTACCTACAGAAGTACCATGAGCAGCTATATCTTTTTTATCTTCTTCAATTACTTTAGCAAATCCAAAATCTGCTAATTTAGCTGTACCATTATGTATCAATATATTTTCTGGTTTTAAATCTCGATGAAAAACACTCTTGTCATATAAGTAGGAACAACCCTCTGTAATCTAAAGGAAAATATCAACTGTCTCTTATTCATTTAATTTTCCTTTATCCTTTATGAGCATATCTAAATCTCCACCATTACAGTATTCCAAAAAGAAATAAATATTATTTGGGGTTTCAGAGAAATCAATAAACTTAACAATATTTGGATGATCCATTTACTTCCACAAAGAAACCTAATAAATTTATTTTCAAATCTATACCTCTTTTTTTAATGAGTTAATTATATACTCTTTTCGGCTCTCTGGATTGTTACTCTTTTTAAGCTTTTCGATTATATTTTGTTTTGCAATTAATTTACAAGCAAAAACTATTTTCTCATCTTCTTTCAATGTAGCCAAATGACTGTTTTATATTTTAATATATACGTTTCTGCAAAATTTCCTTTCCCCAATTTTGTTGTTTTAATGAAGTATTTCCCATCAACCATCTTATAATTCGGAATTGTGGCTGCTATTTCTTCCAAATTTTATTTCATTTATTATATTTATATGTATTTAATTCCATTAAAAAGGTATTTAGTTATATATAACTTAATTCGTCATTATTATTAGCTTTTCCATTAAATTCTTATTTTATTTATAAATTTCATATTTAAAACATCCCTCAAACAATTTTAATTTTTTTTAACAAACATAATATATATCCAATTCTTTTTAACCATAATTGCTGAGCATTATTATTAAAATTCAAATTTATGTTTTCCATATAATCGTTAATCAAGTTTTCATTATTCTAATATTTTAAAGTGCTGAAAATAATTTCACCCAAAACAGAAATTAATTAATTTTACAATTTTAATTGATATTTTAAGATCTTACTCTATCTTGAAATTCTTATTAATAGAAAATATTTTAAATGTTCTGGAATTGCTTAATCAATTACCAAAATTTGAGACTATTATTTTTTTATTTTAAAATTAAATTAAAATTAAGAATTCTTTGACTTATTTCATATTAAAATATTGGACTTTTAATATTTGACTTTAAAAATGATTAAAATTTGCAATCAACAAAGAAATTACAAATTTTTTATTAATTTTTTTAATTGCAAAAGCAAAAAATATCGTTACATTTATTTTTGAAATTAATAATAAAATAGATGGTTAATGTTTATTTTATAATTTAAATTATTACATTCTATAATCAATATATAAGTGATTTATATTATTTAAAATAGATTAAAAAATAATTATTAATAATTATTTTATTTTACATATTCAACATCATAAGCAGTTATCTTAAGAAGTTTATTCACTTTTAATAAAATTTAATAAGTATCAAATAAATAATATTAATTTATACAATGTAAATTTGGCTTACATTATTTAATTTAGAATTAAAAAAAAAATTTAAATTAAATTCAAGAGAATCAACAAAATAAATAAAATGAATAGTTAAGAATAAGAATTCTAAAATAAATAATTTTTTTGAGCAAGAGTTAGAGTTTTTTAATCTGTTAATCTATTAATCTGTTAATCTATGTTTTATTTTATGGATTTATAATAATTTTGTTAATAATAACTTAAATAAATTTGCTAAATATTAAGAAAGCTTGATAAAATCTTGGTAATTGTTTAGATAGTCTAAGAAAAAAGAGAAATATATAAAAAAAGTTATTATTAAAAAAAGAAAATAAGAGTGAATAAGGTTAATTTCTACTTTAGATTTAAATACAAAATTAAATTTAATATAATAGTAATTTTTTGTTCAACAAATAAATTAAGAATAGTTGAATTATGTGTATTGATGTAAATTAGATAAGGGCGAAATAAAATGAGTTCACACAAGATGTGAAAGTAAATTTATTAGATTGGAATATTAAAACATATATAATTTTAAAAATAATTTCTCGATATGTCAAGGAGTTAAAATGATGATGAAAAACCTAATATTCCTCTACCTTAGGCAACAGATTAAAAGAAATAAGAGAAGTTAGCATATGAAAGATAGATGGCAAAAATAACTTTGTTGAAATAGACAGAGTAGAAAAACTTACATTTAGTAAAATGTAACTTGATTTAGGCAGACTAAGTTATACGAGATGGCAGCTGATAAAATAGAAAATGGAATCTTAGTAAAGAAATAATTGTAGGAATTAGCAAATGAGGCATAATAAATAAAGGATGAAAAGATGAGAAGAAGAAAATAGTAAATTTAAACAATAAGAAAAAGTGAAGAAGACTTTATTGAAAAAAGAAAGGCAGATTAGAAATTAGGGTATTGTTAGTAATTGATTTAAGAGATTCGATGAAACAATCTTAAGTAAAAGAATACAAAAGTACAATCAAATTAACTTTAAGTAGAACGAGAGATTATATATTGTAAGAGAACCAAAAGATTAGGGAAGCATTGTATTAGGAAGAGAAGGAGAGGAAGAAAAAGAAAGAAGAAACAAAGAAATTGGATGAGATTAAATCATAATAATTTTATAAGGAGAGAGTTTCATATGAGAGATTAATAGAGGAAAAGTTAAAAAAGTCAAGAGAAAAGTTATATAAAGATGAGGAAACATTGAAAATTCGTTTAAAGGTACAATAAGTTATATTAATTAGTAAACTTAAGATATGCTGAGTAAGTCTTAAAATAAATTCATGGAGCTTTAAAGTTGGAGTGGTCAGAAGAGATGAGAAGAAAATAATAATTATTATTAATAAATTATATATATGTCACTGAATTCACGATATGTCAACGACAGCTTATATAAGAGCCATTAAGAACATTTAAATTAGACAATATCACAATATTGTGATTAAGTAAGTGTTAATTCAATAGAGAATGATTCATAATTTTATGATGGGTTCAAGTTTTAGACAGCACATTAATAAATATGTATGGTTTTCTATTTTAATTAGCTGACCTCATATCATAGGTTGAGATTAGTTCTAAGTTAGATGAAGGAAAAAGATAGTTATCAACATAAATATTAGGTTAAACTTAATAGATTCTTTAGAATTATAGTTCATAACAAAACTTAATTAAGGTTAAGATAACTTAGTCATTATTCAATCTTTAAAGAGATACAATAAGAACAATATAAGAAGTCCATGATGCATTTAGTTTAATAGAATCTATTAAATGGCCATGTAAAGGGCCTACTCATAAACAATATGATAAACACCTTCGTGCTTTAGAAAAACAATGCTTTTTTTGGGAATAAGTGTTGTTGTTGGAAAATAGAACTATGAATACATTATCTACAAATGAATTTAAATAACGTTTAAACGAGTGGTTTGAATAGTTCACTAATGAAATACGAACGAAGAATTTAGACATTTCCAAAAAATCTAAAAAAGGATATTTAGATACATAATTGAGAAATGCTCATGAAATGTATGCGGGCTTAGGAATTGAGAAGAATAGAGACAGTGCTTTATAAATATATAAAAGACTAGCAGAAGACAACCATCCAATAGCATAAGCAATTATGGGATAGATATTTATGGATGGTGATATAGGAGAAAAAGATTATGATCAGGTAATGAATTTTAACACCACTTGTGGTAGGCTTTTAACTATTTTAAATTGAGTGCTGACCAAGGACATACATTTAGTGTCTATTGGGCATCTAAATTAATATTAGTAATAATAAATTTTAAATAATCTATTAGGAAGAGAAAGTCTTTGACAAATTTTTTGAAAAAGATGATCAATAAAGTAGAAAATCAAGTGTGACTACTATTAAAACTAAAGATTGTGATTTAGCTATTAAACTATTAAGAAAGGCAGCAGAATTAGAACATGTTCCATCTATGAATTATTTAGGGGATTTGTACACTTCTGGTTTAGAGTTATAAAATTGTAATATTGATATTTATAAATAATAATGTTAGACTCTTTGGAGAAAGATTTCTAAGATGCTGAATACTTTTATAAGTAGGCTCAAAAAAGGAATTCAGTAGAAGCAATATATAAATTATCTTTGTTGTATTAAGAAATGAGTAAATAAAATTTAAATAAAGTAAAAATGAATATATATAAATTAGAATAGAAAGTAATTAATATATCCATTACTTAATTAAGCTAAGAATTAAGACTATTTACCAGCATTTTACGATCTTGGAATGGTGTTGTTAAATGGTTTAGGAGAAGATTTATAAGCTAATCCTATAATGGCTGACTTAATTTTCGAATAAGGTGCATTAAATGGTGATTAAAAATGTGCCAAGAAATTACTTAATCTTCGTTTTCAAATTTTACAGAGAGAGGAAAGTTCGTTAAATGATTTTCTGTTTCTGTTAGATTAGTTGGAGATTATTTTGAAGGATTAATCAATAATAAATTATATGAGAGGAAAGATCTATTTAAAGGGGATATAATGTGAGAAGAATTTATAAAAGGCAGTTGAATAATTTAGGTATTATTATCAAATGAAAATAGGATAGGATAATGGAGGGGATGTCTAAAATGTAGAGTTTAATTAGAAAAGATATTAAAAGATAGAGAGGAATTACCAACAAGTTCATAATAATCATCATTATAAAAGTTAAATATTTAAGGAGGATTTATTGATTAAGTGAAGTAGAGTGATTAAAGAAAAGCATATTAAATTTAGAAAGGAAAGATTTCATAAAATAATAGATCCATTCCATTAGAATAAGAGAATCAATCTACTAGATAAGATAGACATACAATAATGACAATAAGTATTGTTAAACCAAATGAAGTGAATGATTAAGATAGAAAAAGAGGAGGTTCTGAATACAATAGTTTTAAAAGAGGAGAAAGCAGTGTAATGCTATCCTAATTAAAATTATAAATTCAATCACCTTAATAATAATAATCATCAACAAGATTTGATCAATAATAATAATCTTAATATAGTTCCCCTAAGCCACCATCATTAATTAATATATCTTCAAATTCTTCTAAGAAGGATCGTTTTAATTTTACTAAATTACCAAGTCATAGATCTATTAATTCTTCAAAATATCTATTCAACCAACCTTGAATTTAGTATATTAACTCAAACTTTTGTTATATTTATATATTTATAAATGGAATAATCGAAATAAATATAGGAAAATGATGAACATTAAAATATAGTGCAATAACCATAGACTCATCTAATTGAATTAGATGTAGAAGATCCTCATTAAGTACCAGTAAAGAGACCAGCGCCAAAAACATTTGGGGATTTAACAATCATATTTATATTTGAGACAATCGGAACTGGATTATTTGCATATGGAATAGTAGCATCAAATGGATCAGATATATTGATTGCTGCTTATTTATATGCTGCAATATTTTTAACTTGTAAATTTACAGGTGGTCATGTTAATCCAGCTGTATCATTTAGTTTTTATTGTGATGACACAATAAGTTCATGGACATTAAGAATATATTGGACAGCCTAATTATTAGGTGCAGTTGGAGGTGCATGGATAGCTTATCTAATACTTGGAGTGGTAACATCTCCAAGTATAAAAAGCACAAATATTGAATGGATGTTAGCAGATTTATGTGGAGAAGTATGACCAACCTTATTTTAGGCTTTTGGAACCTTTATGTTTGTTCTTTTTATACATATTTAAGTTCATGAATAAACGCGTTAGACTAATAATGATATTGCAGGAATTGCTTGGATTGCCTTAGCTTTATTCTTTTCTAGATAATTATCATCACATTCAGGAGGTATTATATTCATCCTCTATTTCAGGTTGTTTAAATCCAGCTATGGGGGTAGGATTAGAATTATTTGAAGCCTTCTGGTTAAATGACACAACCAAATTAGCCAATTTTTGGGTATTCTTATTTGCTCCTTTATTTGGAGCTTATATGGCTTCCATTTTTTACAATTCCATTTATTTGCCTTTATTAAAAAAATGAGACATATATATAAATTTAATTATGGAGTAATATATTGATCAAGAACTTACCATACAATAATTCTTCAAGTTGCATCAAATTACATTACCATTACTCTCACAACTCAAAAGAGAGTTTGCTACCATTAAACATCCAACTTTTATTATGAATAATTTACTATAAGTATATTTAATAGTAATTATTAGATCATTCAACACAAAAAACACTTAACATGTATTGAAGCTCCTAAATAAAGTGGAAGAACTACTTCCTGTCTATTAATTATATTGGATTAATTTTTAAAATCTCTAGATCATTTTACTCCAGATGAAGATGTAAAAAATAATCAAACTATTTTAGAATGGATATTATCTACTTATCACTTCTGCTAGCAGAGAACAATCAACATAATGCAAAAATTTCATTCAAAAATTACTCTAAAATTCTACCTATGAGATTGCTTTACTTGATATTAATTCATAATTTCCTCTCAATGCAAAAAGTACTATATTTATCTATAATATATTAGATGATTAATATAATATTGTCTTACCTCCTGTTACTTAACCATCCATCTTGTTTGCCACATATTATTCTGTTTGTAAATTAAAAGCAAGTGGAAAAGTTGATAATAGATGTTTCTAATTTGCCTTATTTGATGATTGCAATCTAGCTACACTCTATGGAGGATAAAACTAATTAGAAATAGTTTCTAAATGGATTGCTAAAAATTAATTTACTATCTATGTTGGAGATGAAAAATTAATTGAACTTATTCTTGGAAAAGCTATTACTGTAGCCAAAATCGAAGAAGATTAAGAAGAATAAGAATAATAAGATTAAACCATTCAACAAACTAAATGTGAATTACCTAATCTTTTTTATTATTTCTATTCAGACCTAACTTAATAACAAATTGTTTTATATATTACTTTGAAATTAAACCTCATCTAAGGTAAAACACTTATTATATGTTAAAATCTATTTGAAATTTATTATCTATAATTACTCTTTTAAAGATGTAATATCGAAAGATTTCAAATTTATAATCATGAAAACCCAAAAACTCTTAAATATTATACTTTATCAACTTTCAATACTGGTGTAATTTAAATACTTATAGCTACTGCAAATGTGTTTTTAGATCTTGAAAATGAATTCTTTGAAAGAACTAAATAGGCAGAGAAAAAATCGAAATAACCTTACACATTAAAAAAATTAGATAATATTATTTTATATAATTTATTACCAAACGAATTACCAGATCAAATCTTAAAATCTGTAGCAAATACAGTTTGTATTGCATCTAATAATGAGTAAAATGTTGAAACAGTAATGCAATTTGTAAATAAAGAATACAATAATATTAATTGTAAAGAATATCCAATAAGATAAAATGAGATAGAAGCATTTCGATATCGTATAGAGGATACAACAAAGAATATATCAAAATATTAAGTTAAGATGGCAGAATAGATAGATTTTAAAAAGAAGATGCTAAAATCCCCAGATTTAGGGGAGTATTTTTAATAAAATTAAAAAGAGAAAGAATTATTATAAGATTAAATAGTATAATTAAAGAAAAAGTTAAATAGATCCTCAATATAATTACCTTAAGGTATAAAAATATAAAAATGATCTAGGACCTGTGCCTGAATATTTGTTACCAGAATTTATAAAGAAATAGAGGAAGATGTAAGGAGATTAATCTAAAGTAAGAGTTTTGGTGAGAGTTCATGATTAAGATCATGATAAATTAATAAAGAAAAGAAGATTATTGAATGAGGAAATGAACAATAATATGTTACCTGAATAGGAAGAGAAAGAAAAGGCAAAGAAACCTGAGAACTAATATGTTACAATAAATTAAGATGAAGAAGATCCAGAATTAATAGATTCATCTAGATTAAGACCTATAAGTGGTAAGAAGGTATGGAAATTAAAACATGGATTTAAATTGAAAAAGAGAAATAAGAGATTGGAAAAGAAAGGAGTTTTCACTACATGAGTGTATATAAATCTATTTATTTAACAATTTTATAGAATGTTGTATGATATATATAAATGTTCATGAATAATTCATTAATCTTTAGGCTAGTTAGTTAGAACTTCCTTGAATGAAAATGGCATAAACTTTATGCCATCAGCTTTATAGAATTTGCTTTAGAATTCCACCCATTGCAATCTTAAAGCATGTAAGAAACATTCCATTAGATCCATACACATTAAAACTAAAATAAGTATTAAAAATACCTCCAATAGTACAATGTAAAAATATGGGCCAGCCAATTACTAAAATGATGACATTTCCATCAATAATTCCTGCACCAATACATTTTTCAAAAAATACTTTGGCCAATTAACCATGAGCTAATGATAAGGCCCATAAACGTAAGTAAGATGCAGTATTACTAATAGATCCAAGAACAAATTCTATTGTTTCAATAATTTAATGAACTGCAAGTTCTCCAATATCAAATTCTTCATGACCGTGTCCATGTCCACCACTTTATTCTTATTATTTTGGTAATAATTATTATGGTTAATCTTATGGTTTAACATCTTCTCCTACTTATTCTTTCAGTCTTTATTCTTCTAATTATTTTCTTCTTAATTCCTTCTCTTTTTCTTTTTATATCAATTATAATCTCAGTTCTTCAGCTAATGCACTTTAATTAATAGATTTTGAACTCTATTGCATTGGTAATAAAGCTTCCTTACTTTCATCCTTGGGTTCAAGGGCCTTTGATGGTTTTTTTTCATGCTTTTTTCCAGAATAATGTTGAATAACTTCAATTATTGGTTTTGGAATCAACATCCATGGAATGCATAAAAATGACCAAAATAATATTGATTATTAAAGTGATTCTTATGTTTCTAAATGAAATAGAGGTTTTCCATCTGTAGATCCTCCTTATAATGGAATGTTGATCATTGAATTAATAATTGATGGAGCTTAATCTGTTCTTCCTTCCCAACTCTATCCCCATTTTAATATAATCATTATTGCCATATAACCAAATGTAATACACATAAATATCATTTATGGCAAGAACTCACATATAAATGATAAATAATCTTTGAAATAAATTGTATTCACTCCTTTTAATAAAATACCAAATATCATTTAAGATACTCCATAAATTATTGCAAATTTCATCTTAAAAGAATTAAAGAAATTCAATTCATTACTTGCTATAAACCATTTTGGATCAAATCCAATTGGATAAGTACAACCTTTTATATATACAGTCTCTTCTGAATTTTCTACATTTTCAAAACAACTTCCAAATATATTCCAAGTTAAAGACATGAAATCATTATAAATTAAACCACAATACAAAGCACATAAACCCATTAATAAAAATAAGTATCTAACTTATATTAAACCAGCAAAATCAGGTAATTTTCTTAAGCTATCAGCATTTTTTACTAATAAAAATGATAGCACAAATAAAACACCACCATGAGCAATATCTCCAAACATTATACCAAACATGAATGGGAAAAACATTACCGCAAACATTCCAGGATTAACTTCCTTATATCTTGGAATTCCATAAGTATTAACAATTTCTTAAAACACATAGTTGAATTCATTTATTTTAAAATATGTTGGTGTAAGCACCTTTTCAGGTGGTTCCAACTCAATTATTTATCCCACAGAAACATTACTCTATTAAACACTCAATTGGTGTAACATATGATGTAATTCCCCTTCGAAATGTTTAGGTGCCCAAAAGAATCCAATATATATTCTCTCCTTTTGATATAGATAATTTAAATTTGTATATAGTGCCTTTTCTTTGACCATCAACAGCTTACTCATTTCTAACAATGATATTTTCAACTATGGTTATATCTAAGCATATTCCAATAACAATTCTTTAATTTTACCTGCAGTCAATCTTAGTAACTAACAATTAAATTGTATAATACATTATCACATTCATCTAATGAACGATCTAATTCTAATGTCTTTTAAACCAAAAGTTAAGGGTCATCTGGAAGTACAAATTTGGCACAATTAAATGAATCACAAATTTTATTTAGTTTAGTCCTTAAGAAGTCTTATCCACCTCCTGTGTAAACAATCAAAAACACTGTTCTTTGTTTTTCCAAATTCTTAGCTGCTGATTTATCAGAATCCAAGTTGCCTGATTCTAATGAAGCATCCATTCTTGAATATTCTATATCAGACAATACAATCCATGCATTTCCTTTTGAAGCTCTGAATACCATTCTTTTGAAACGATTGGCTTCTAATCTATCAACTACACCCACCAAATAATTTAAATTGTACACTATTGTCATTATAACATACAATAATACATGGTTGTGCTACTTTTTGTTAATCTGGGATTCCACCTATTTATGGATTAATAGCCACATTTCTTCCCTTCGTATAATAAGTTGGACCTAAAACTTCCTTTGATTTTATCAAAACTGCTTTATGTTCAAATAAAGTGTTTTTACGAACCGAGATTTACTCTAAATTTTGAATCTGTTCAATCAATTGGGCTTAAGTGAATTACAATAAATTACTATGTTTTTCATCCAAAGTACTCTCAATAAGATCAAACCATTTATCCTCACTTTAGTTTATATCCTTTGTATATTAGGACATTCTTTCTAAGAATTATTAATAATCAGAGCATTTCAGATTCTTTATTCTGTACTTCAACATTTCAGCTTCCAGTACGTTTAATTTACTGATCACTTCATCAGCTCTCCTTATGTATTGATAAAAAGGTCGATTCACATGAGGCTCATCTGGTGACATATCCACAACTTAGACCTTAAATAAATATTCCATTCTCTACCATACTCAATTTTCCCATTTAATTAAACACCTCCCATGCGCTCTCTTTAGGTACTATTATCTAATAGTATGCCATTGTCTCTGATCTAAAGAAACTCATCAATAAGATATAAATAATATTTATGTTAAATCAAGAAGCATAAATAATTTTTTAGCAAACAATGAACATTAAAATCTTTATATTAAAATAGCTGCAACTGTATCTTTCATTGTAATTCTTAAAAGTTTAGTTTCTACTTAAGGATCTTGCCATAAATAAAAGGATTATCTGGAATGTTAAAATTCTTTCTTTTTAATATTTTAACTCATTTCTTATATCTAGAATTTAACATAATTTATACTTAGATATTAAGGCTATTTGTCCAATAAATAATATTAATCCTAAGATATTTCTCATTGCTTAGAATTTTTTACGTGATTTTAGTTATATTTGTAGTAACTTATATGAGTCTCTCATATCATCTTACATAGATCTCATAATTTAATAATAAAAAGACCTAAAGATGATTAAATGAAAGATTGTAAGTAAAAAAATGCATATATTTTAATATTACAAAATTAGTTGCAGTTCTCCAGTTTTGAAGAAATACATAATTTTTGAATTAATTTCTTGTAAAAATATAGTCTTCAGGATATTTATGGACTTTAAAGTGAACTTTAAGTTTTTTAGCTTATTTTATTGACATTATCAAAATTTATTGATAGTCACAATCAATTTATGATATTTTAAGATGAGTGCTGAAAAAGCAAAAGAAGCAAAATATCTTCATGATTGAATGTTTAAAAAAGCAACTATTAATTGCTTAAAATGAGATTATGAATTGATAGAGAAGTAAAGTGATGAATAGGATAATGTATAAAAAAGAATAAGTTGTTGGTGATGTTGAGTAGAAATGAATCGAAACATAAAAAATATAAATTAATAAGGAAATATAAATTAATTAAAGAATTTAATTAATGGAGGAATCAAAGTTAAGAATTGCTATCATAAATAAAGATAGATGTAAACCATAGCGTTGTGCATTGGAATGCAAGAAGAATTGTCCAATAAATAAGAGTGAGAAATTGTGTATTGAGGTTACAAAGTAAAGTAAATTATGTACAATAAATGAACCATTATGTATTGGATGTGCAATATGTGTTAAGAAATGTCCATTTAAAGCAATTATGATTATAAACTTACCAAAAGATTTATCAAGAGAATTGACTCATTAATATGGAGCAAATTCTTTCAAATTACATAGATTACCTACACCTAGACCAGGTTAAGTATTAGGATTGGTTGGAACAAATGGTATAGGGAAATCAACAGCATTATAAATTCTAAGTGGTAAGGTGCAACCAAATTTGGGTTTATACAAAGAGCCTCCTTCAGTTGAATAGATTTTAAAATACTTTAGAGGAAGTGAATTATAAAGTTATTTATAAAAAGTATTTGAAGGAAAGGTTAAAGCAGTGATTAAACCTTAATATGTAGATTCAATTGGTAAGGCAGTAAAAGGAAAAGTTGGTGAAGTAATAAAGAATAAAGATAAATTGAATAGAGCAGATTAATTATTAAAAGACTTGGAATTAAATCATTTATTAGATAGAGAAATAGGAATGTTGTCTGGAGGTGAATTATAAAGATTTGCTATATTGATGGCATGTATATCAGAAAGTGATTGTTTAATGCTTGATGAACCAACATCTTATTTAGATATAAAGTAGAGAGTAGTAGCATCAAGAATTATTAGAAATTAAGTGAGAGATAATAATTATTTAATTGTAGTGGAACATGATTTATCTATTTTAGATTATCTATCAGATTTTATATGTTGTTTATATGGTGAACAAACAGCTTATGGAATAGTTACTATGCCTTTTTCAGTAAGAGAAGGTATTAATATCTTTTTAGCTGGATTTGTACCAACAGAGAATATGAGATTTAGAGATTACGAATTAAATTTTAAGATTTCAGATAATTTGGATATGTTAGAAAATCAAAAATAAAAGAAAAATTATTAATATCCTGATATGAAAAAAGTGTAAGGGGAATTCTCATTGTAAATAAAAGCTGGAGGTTTTAATAATTCAGAAATAGTTGTATTATTAGGAGAAAATGGAACAGGAAAAACTACATTTATAAAGATGTTAGCAGGAAAAGATAAAGATGCTGTTGATATTCCAAAATTAAGTGTAAGTTATAAACCATAAATGATTGCACCTACATTTGATGGAACTGTTTAAGAATTATTTAGAACTAAATTATAGGATAGTCATAGAAATCCATAGTTTTAAACTGATGTTTATAAACCATTAAGGATTGAAGATTTAGAAGATAATGAAGTTAAGAAATTATCAGGAGGAGAATTATAAAGAGTTGCATTAATTCTTGCTTTAGGAAAAGCAGCTGAAGTCTATTTATTAGATGAACCATCAGCTTATTTAGATGCAGAATAAAGAGTTGCTACATCTAAATTAATTAAAAGATATATCATGAATACTAAAAGAGCAGGATTTGTTGTTGAACATGATTTTATTATGGCTACTTATTTAGCAGATAAGTAATCATTATAAATATTTTTCAAGAGTTGTTGTTTATGATGGAGTCCCAGGAAAAGCCTGTGTTGCTAATGCTCCAGAAGATTTATTATCAGGAATGAATAAATTCTTAAATGTACTAAATATCACATTTAGAAGAGGTATATATATATATTTTATATATTCTTTTAAGATCCTACAAACTTTAGACCTAGAATCAATAAAATGGATTCTCTTTTAGATAGAGAATAGAAATAAAGTGGTCACTATTTCTGTTTAGATGAGTGAAAATTCTTATTAAATTTAAATCAATTATAATTATATTCTTATATGTAAGTTGGACTAAATAAATTTGGATTCTCTTTTGATAAAAAAATTGGAAGTGGTTCTTTTGGTTAGATATTTTTAGGTACTATGATATTATTAATAACAATAAAGGAACTAATAAATAAACTGGACAAGATGTTGCCATTAAGTTAGTATGAGAATTTTTATTCATCTAGGAAGCTGTGGCCAATAAACATCCATAATTAATTTTCGAAGGCAAAATCTATAAAGTATTGTAGGGAGGAAGTAAATTTAATACAAATATTATTAGTGGGAATACCTTCAGCTTATTGGGTTGGAAGTGAAGGAGAATACAACATTTTAGTGATGGAACTACTTGGTCCTAATTTAGAAGATCTATTTAATTAATGCAAAAGACATTTTTCACTTAAAACAGTTCTTATGATTGCTTAATAGATGCTTTCAAGAATTGAATTCATTCATAGCAAAAATTTAATTCATAGAGATATTAAACCTGACAATTTTTTAATTGGATTAGCTTAAAAGAGTGATATCATTTATATTATAGACTTTGGTCTATCTAAGAAGTATAGAGATTAAAGAACTAGTATATTTTATATTTTTAAATTCAAGATCTTCACATTCCTTATAGAGAGGGTAAAAGTTTGACTGGTACAGCTAGATATGCTAGTGTTAATACACATTTAGGAGTTGAGTAAAGTAGAAGAGATGATTTAGAAGCTATTGGATATGTTTTAGTTTATTTTCTAAACGGATAACTACCTTGGCAAGGTTTGAAAACAGATAACAAAAAAGATAAATATGAAAAAATTGCAGAATCTAAAATTGCTACATCTATTGAAAGATTATGTGAAGGATTGCCTGAAGAATTTTCAATCTATTTCAATTATTGTAAAAGTCTAAAATTTGAAGAAAGACCTGATTATGTTTGGTTAAAAAAATTATTGAAAGATCTTTATACAAGAATGAAATATCCAAATGATAACGTATTTGATTGGACTAAATTATGATCATTCATTATATTTCTTAGAGCCATTTATATAATTACTTTTGTTTTAGTTTATCTTAAAATTATATTTTCTGTTTAATTGATCAAATAGTTAAATTTAAAAAAACCTTATAAGAGTGCTTAAGTTAAAAAACTATTAATCTATTCTAACTATTTTTTATATTAAATTAATTCATCTAAAAGGAATTAGGATTTATTTTAAAGAGATTCAAAAAAATAAGTATATACCAGGTTTTATAAATATATCACTTTTCCATTTCTTTAGACTTATTGATAAGAAAATTTCCTAGAAATTATACTTCATCTTTTGGTCTAAAGTTATCATATTAATATTACTTTTAAATTTTAATTTAACTGAGTCCTTCAATTAAAGCCTCATATAGATCATTATTATCTTTCAAGAGATAAGCGAAAAGAGAGAAATATTGATCTTATTATTGCTACTTCTACTAGTTATTCATATTTTAATTATAATATTTATAATTTACTCTTCATTAAATATGACTCATAATAAACCACTTTATAATGTTTACTTTAGTGTTAATAATGAATTAATTTACTCTTATTTTTATTTTAATTAAGCTTAGAGTGTTTGATGCTATGAAAATAAGTTGATTTATTACCTCTTTTGCTTATTCAACTATATAAATATCTGACTTTTCACATTTCCTTTAACAAGCTTAAGATTTCTATTCGAATGTTCTACATTATTATGCAAGCTAAATAAAAAATGGAAATTACTTTTTCTGTTTCATTTTTGTATAAATTAAATTATGAATTTGTCTTTTCAATAATTTATTAGAATTCTTCTGCTTTTTATAGATGTGGATTCAAATGAGCATCTACTAAAGCTTCTTCTTCTTTTATTTTCTATAATTGATCCTCTGCATTCTCACTTGTACCTAGAGATTAACTGATATTTGTGATTTATTCAAATATTTTGGTTTCTCTTTCTTTTCTTTATGACTCTTTAGGGAAATATTATTTTTATTTTACCAAGTTTATTTAATTCATCATCAAAGATTTTATCTCTCTTTTCAACATGTTCTTTAATTTCTTTCATTTTTTCATTTAATGCTTCATTCTCAACCTAACCTTTATGTTTAGCATTAGAAACTTCTTCCATTTTAGTTTAGATATCTTTAATTTCCTATTAGAATCCTTCTACTAATTCTGTTTTCTTTTATTTTTCTTCCTCAACTACTTTATTGTATTAGTCTTGATATTCAGCTAATTTATTTGTTTATGTATTTCTAAAATTATCTAATGTTTTAATTTGATTTTTCAATTTTTAATTTTCATTTAAAACTTTTGATTAGATTTTTACAATTACCTTTTTCTTTTTCTTAAGAAGCCATTTAGAATTTCTTTGAAGCTAATAATGCATCTTTATGTGCTGTTTTAGTCTCATTAATTATTTTTTTTAATTTAGTGATTAAAGCAACTTTGTCTTCTTAATTATCTAGCTAACTCTTTGAAATTTTATTTTGTTTGACAATTTTTTTAAATTCTTCATCACCTTTAAATCTTTGATGAAATTCTTCTTAATTTTACTCTACAATAGATTATTTATTTACAGGGATACAATGCTTTAATTTAAGCAAAGAGATCTAAAACAGTGGAATTCATTTATTATTTTTTTGAAATTTTATTATCTATAATTAAAGAATATATTCAAAAACAAAAAATAATATATATTTTGATCAGAACTGGCGAAGATTGTCGACATCTATTAATTACGAAGTCGGAATACTTGATCATCATAAACATAAGGATATGATTTCCTTTTTATAGAATTAAGAATTTAATACCGAAATTGTGGGTTTTAATTAATTTAAATAAATAAAGTGAACATGGTATTCTATGTATCTAATAATAGCAAATTGGTGATGATCAATAAGATGTCTAACATTCAATTCCAGATTTAGACAATGTGAACATAAAATTAGGAGATGATGAAAAGAAAGTTAATCAAATGTCTTCAAATACTGTCTCTTAAGTTCAATAACCTCAACAAGTAGCAATACCAATAGTTGAAATGCCACCAAAAACTGCAGATCCATAATTCCTTTCATAATTGTTTCATTGTTTATTTAAGGGTCTAGCAATGTTTGCGTAAGATAAGCATAAAGAATAGATTTTTCATTCCAGAAGGGTTACTAAATCTAACATATTGTTTCATCATAGTAGTGATTTTATCAGCAATTGATTTTTGGACAGTCAAGAATATAACAGGAAGGTAGAACAATAAAATTATTTTAGAAAATTGGTTGGATTAAGATGGTGGTCTGAAGTAAAGGATGATGGATCTGAAGAATGGATATATGAATCTTAAGTAGCTAATTTTGTTCCTAATCCATTCAATTCAAATATCTTTTGGTTTGCCTAATTTGGAGTTGTAATAACTTGGGGAATTTTGATCTTATTAGATTTAATCGGTTTAAGATGGTTTAATGTAAAATTTAAACTTTAATCTAGGCTGTCTTAGCAATGACCGCCTTTTGTTTAACAGGCATTAATTTTTTATAGTTCTATAAATGTAGAGGAGAACACTAAAAGAAAGCCAAAGAATATATGACTAAAATTGGCTTAAAAGCTATATAATAATGGTGATATAATTATCATAATGAATACTAATCATTCAGCATATTAGATTTCTGTCTTTTTTACTTAAATTCCTAATGCTGATTCATTTGCTATCTTTTTAAGTATCTTCTTATTTTATAATAATTCCTATTCACCCATCCTTTCAAAAGATTATCCTTTTAATTTCAAAGGTGATCCATTTTGTACATTTCCTATCTATTTTTTTAATTCCTCTGCATTCTTTAAATACATTTATCTGATATACTATTATTATCTATTATTTTATACATTTCTTCTTTCTTCCTCTTTTCTTTATACATCTTTTTACTCTTGTAATTCACTTTCAAAAACTATTTTTTTTTCTGATTTTTCTTAAGTCTATTTTCTTTTTTTCTCTAAAATCTACTTATCAAGTACACTATAAAGTTATATTTATTTTTCTCTTTTGTTTAAGTTATTTCTCAAATTTAATAAATTTCATACTCATCTCTTTTATTAAGCCAATAATCATCTAATGATTCATTCATATCCTTATTATTTTGTTTTTACCTTATTGTCTACTAACTATAATTATTTTAGTTAGAATTCATTAAGTCTATTTTTTCCCTTCTTAATCTCTCAAGTCTTTTATTTTACAAATCTTCATTTAAAATAAATAATTCTTATTATTTTCTTTCTTGCTCATTATTTCTTATAATCTCTTCTTTTGCCTATATTCTATCAAAAATTTTACTTTTAATCTTAAATATTCATTTTATTTAATTGAATATTATAATTTTTCTACTTATTCCATTTTCTTTCTTTTATTTAATTCATCCTCTGCTTTTATCTCTTTCTTAATTCTTTAAAGCATCTCATCATCTTATTATTTAATATAAACATTTTATTCTTTCCTACTTCAATTTTAATTTTTACTTTTGTTTTTTATTTAAATGAACTTATTGATCCCTTATATTCTTTTCAAATATTTCTTACTACTTTTTTTATTCATTTATCTGTTCTTATTATCTTTCATAGTCTTTTTATTGTTATAAACTTATTGTATAATATAATAAGTCATCTTATTTATCCTTTTATTTATTTTTTTCTTTCTCAGCTATTTATTTATCTAAATCTTCTTTTATCCTTTGTCTATGTACAATTTTTTTCTTTTTTTCTTCCTCTATTTCCTTTTAAAATTACAAAGTATTGTATCTTATTATTGCACCCCATTCATCAATTTAACCATCAACTTTATATATTGATTTTCTCTTTTGATCATCAATTACATTATCATTCTTTAAATATTTTTAAGTTTCTTAATTTTTTTATTATTATATTTCTTCTTTTCTTTCCATAATTTAGTTTTCTTGCTTTAAGATTTCCTTGCCCTTTAACTCCTATTCTTTTTATCTCTCTAAGAATCTTAAATATAATACTTTAAATTCTTTAATTTAATTTCTAAATCAACATTATTTTTTCCTCTTTTGATTTGACAACAGCTTATTTCACTTCTTCCCTCAAAATTCTAATTGCATCTTTTGTATTGAATTATTAAAAAAAATCTTCTATATATGCTGTAATAAGCTATATATCATTTATAACTATACATTTGCATTTAGTTAATCATTCTGAGCATATTGAACAATTAAGTTATCATATATTAATTGTTATATTCTATCTTAATTTTTATTGTTGTCACAAACCAAATGCATTGTTCTATATAACTTTTTTTGTTGCATTAAAAATATAGTATTAAATAGTTGCTCTAACTAAATATTATTTTTAATTTTAAATCAATCTTTAATTTCTAAAATGGATTCCATAATAAGAAATAACTAAAATTTATTTAAAATTTAACATTTATAATATATGCAAATCTCATTAATCCTTCAAATTTATATATCATAAACATATTTATAAGTAAGAGAAAGTTAATGATGTTTAGAATATTATGTAGAATAATTCATAAGTAATTTAAAAATAAATTTTAATAAAAAATCATATTCTGTTCATCATTTATAATGGGTATAAATACATTAAATTTTATGTGAATAAGACTTTTTTTAATCAATGATGTCTAAATATATAAAGAGATGAGCATATGAATCCAATTAAAAATAAACTGAATTTCCTTATTTCAAAGAAGGAGAGCAATTTATAGCTAAATTATCTAAAGTAAATGTTAGCTTTTCTTCATATATATTTTATGTATTATTTAAATACAGAATGATTACACCTTTAAAATAAGTATTATATAATACCTTTTTAATGTTGATAAATATACATTTACACATCTATAGGATTATTATTCCAAATTCTGGTTGCTTATTTAGCATGTTCCTTCATAAAAGTAATTAATTCTAAAGAGGGATTATTTCCTGTGCTTTCAAAGATTGATTATTTATTATGAATTTTACTATAATTCATTGATTAAGTCATTAATGTTTTTTTAGTTGAATGTACTAATGATTTAATGTTACATGAATATTAAAAGACAGGTGAATCTTCATTGAAAATGACAATAGGGTCATAAACATATAATTTGAGATAATCATTATGAGGAGGTACAATAACATTAAATTTAGTTTGAGTCTTCATAGTTTCATAATCAATAATATTGTCACATTTATCAAAAATGACTTCTTCTTCTATTTTAGTTGTTCCCAAATTTCTATAATAAAAATATAACATTCCTAAATTCATTTAGGTTGTAACTTATATTTCTGGTTATTCTAATTATTCATAGGTTCTTGTATTTTCTACATTTACATTAGCTTAAGCTAAACTCGCCAACATTAATTTGCTTGCTTCCAAAATTTCACTATTATTTTTTATTAAGTTATCAGGGACTGAAGATCCAAAATATTAAACCAATAATCTTTATTATTCAAGTTATAATTATGGATTATTTTCGATCTAATTATAAAAGTAAGCTTAACAAAAAATAGTATATTAACCCTATTCTAATGATTATATTTCTAAGCAAACATTTTATTTAATATTATAATCTCCAGTTATGAATTCATATTAATCATCATTCTTTTTAGAAATTAAAATACGAATCAAACCATATTTAATAGGAGATACTAATTTATTTGAATTGAAATTTTAATCTCTCTAACAAATTGATATATAAAGATGAGACTCTTAAACCACATCAAAATCATAACAATATATATTTTCAACATATTATTATTATTCTTTCTTCTCTTAAACAATTAATTCTTTTGAATTCCATTAATAATTAGGATGATGTTTAATTATACATAATTCTGGAAATATCTCTGAGAATTACTTAAATGTTAAGAAAAATATGCATTTATCATTTTAGATTTACTATTCTAAATAAATTAAAATGTAATACATCCTTAAATAATTGAATTTCTATTTGCTGCTCTCATTTGAATTAATTCTTATTCTTTAATATTGCCTTTAACTATTGCTTAAATTACATAACCACATTCTAAACCATTCTACTTTTATACTGCAAATAACAATGAGTGACATTACATTTAAGTGAGAATTACATTTCTTAAATTATTTATATCTTCTGTACTCACTTTCATTATTGGTTAACCAATCAACATCTAATTTCAATTATTATAATTACAAACATAAAAGATTCTATTGATTCTTCTATTAATCTATTCAAAATATCATAATTCTTTCCAAGTACTTTTACTATTGCTTTCTCTATCATAATAGGCCATTCACATTCACATTATAAGGTAGCTAACTTTTAAATATTTCCAGTTAAATAACAGGGAATCTTTTCATCAATTTTTATTAAATGCCATTCCCCTTACAAATTTAACCAAACTCCATATAATGAATTTAAATTCAAATATATATTCTTTACAAATTGGATATCCTTCTATAATATATTAAATGCATTAATTAAGGAATTATCCTGATAATATTATGATCTTTTGAATTCTGAACATGCTTAAATGTTCTTATTTAATTGAAGAGACCCTATTCTTAAGAATTGAATATGACTATTTTAATCACTGTAATCAAATTCACTATCAATAAATGTTTATCTTTCATTTCCAATTTGATTGAATTTATTGAATTCTTCTTTATATTTATTAGGTAATCGTTGCAACATAGAATTTAATTATTTTAATAAAAATTTTAATTTATGATAACACTCTTAGGACACCTTCAGAGGCAATATTGTCAATGAGATACCTATTTGATATATTTAATTTTATAAATATAATTTATAATCAATCATTGAAATTATCAATGAAATTGTAGTTAAGCTTTTCAATTTACCTATTCAATTTATTTTCAAATTAAGGTTAACCTATATGATCAATACTTTCTATAATCTCAAATATTATTTCACTAAAATCCAAAATACACTCTTTCCATTATTTGTACATCTTATATATTATTATATGGTTTTTGTATTTCTTCATCTCTTTTTCAATTGATTATGTATCTTTTTAAACTATTTCCATATATTTTTAAGCAATCTAATTAAGAACTTAAATAAGAATTGATTTTCCATATGGTATTGCATATTCACATTTCAATTCTTTTTCAATAATATTTAACAAATCATTCTTCAAACATTCCAATTAATCCAAATAATCTAATATTCCAACATTATGTCTAATTGATTTAAGAGTCGAAAAATCTTTTTCAAATCCCTATAAACTCTTATTATCTCTTGTCACTAAAAAAGTTACTAATAATTTTGATAAAATATCACTATTTAAATATTATATCTTACTGTTAAGAATCTGTTAGCATTGTAACAAGATCAATCAATATATTGGTCTTTTAAACTACACTATCAGGTTATGATTTTAATGGAGTCAGTAACTTGAATATTAATAATTATTACAGAACATGATTCCAAAAATTTATCAATTTATGATTCTATTAATTATGTAGTAGGTTATTATGTTTCAATAAAACTATTTTTATTTTTCATTTTATTATTTTATTCTAATTCAAATTTTTAAATTGTTTCAGTTTATTACTCTAATTATGTTATTGCTTTATCAAGCATTTTAACAGTTTCTTCATGTTCTTTTGAAAGCTCGTTCAATTATTCAATTAGTTATAAATTTTCCTTTTCCAATAATTCCATCTTATTTTAATTGTTATTGCTTTTAACTGATTTTTTAGGATTCTACAATAAAGAAACTAATTATTGCGATTATTAAGAATTTTGCATTTATTATTATTATTAAGATTAAATTTAATCTAGTTTCTATTATAACTTTTAATTTTAACGTTCTAAAGAGATTCTCTCTTCATCTTTAGCTAACAATATAGATTAATGACTTTATAATATTTTTTGCATATATTCATTAATTGGATTAAGAATTTTAAAATCTAATTACTAAATATTATTAATTTCCTCAATATCAAGATTGTTTTAACTATTTTAGTAATTTTTAATTATTATTACAAGTTGTTCAATATATGATTACTAAGTTTTAGATTATTACACTAAATTCTGATAAGCCTGAGATTAAAAATAAATATCTTACTTGATAAATAATATTTCTTTCAGTGTTGATTTCTTAAATTTAATCTTAAATGATTTCATAATATTATCTCATATAATTTACTTGAACAATAAATTCTGAAAGTTATTCATTTGAAATAGTATTTTATAACTTTGCATATATTTCATTTATATAATTACTTTATCTCAAAATAATATCATAAATAAGTAATTCATCTTTTTATTCCTCTTTATATTGCTAAGCAATTTGATTAGTCTAATTAATATCTTTTTATGATGAGCCATTCCTTTAATTTTTATTTTTATTAATTTGCATAACTATATTTTTATCTGACTAAATAAATAAGTTTTCTGTGAATTTCTTTAGATTTTCTATGTCTTATTTATACTAAGAACTAAAATAATCTTAATTTTCTTTTTGATTATTAAGATATTAATTTAATTACTATAATTCTTGTTCCTTTTATTCTAAAATTTCCATTACTTAATTTATTGCTAATTATTGTTATTATCCTTGTTTGTAAAGTAATTCTAGATCATTTGATTTTTCTTCATTTTGCAATTATAACTATTTAATATTTTCATTTAATTCTATGATAGTATTGTTATAATTCAACTCCTATTATGCCCATAAGTTTTGGAATTTCTCAATTTTTTCTTTTTAATTCACATTAATCTGCTTTTGTCTAATTTCACATTTTTTAATGGTATCAATATTATTGCTCTCTTTTAAAAGTGTAAGCTTTTCCTTTTCAAGTATTTTATTTTATGAATTCAAATATTCATTTTCATATTTCAATCTTATAATCTCTTTTTATTGGTTTTCAATCTTGTATTAGGGAGCATTCTTACTTCTGCTGTAAGTGTTTCAATAACTTTAGTGGCCTTCTCGATCTATTCATCCTAGTCTTCAATTTATTAATATAAGTAATTGATATTCATATATTATTATATAAACTAATCAAAACCTGACACCTAATTGCTAAAGTTTTGATGAAAATGTCTATATTTTATCATCTTTTAGTTTAATTAAGTCCTAAAGTTTGTTAATTTTAAGTTCTAAAATGGCTATGATATCTTTTTAATCTTCTATTTTTTGTTCTAAATCTTATATTGTGGATTGATTATTATTAATAGAAGTGTTGGTGGCAGATGATTTTAATGGTTCTACAGTTTGATTATCTTAATAATTAATAATCTTTTCTTTTATGATCTTTAAAACTCGTTCAATAGCACCGGTTTGTGCAGAGATAACTTATTGAATATCATTTTATGTCAATTGAAAACCTAGGTTCTAAAAGACCTATTCTAAATGGAATGAGTAGTTATTACTTTTGTATTAAGAGTATTCCAATTTGATAATTTAGATTAAAAAGAATTGGCTTAAGAATAATTCTATAAATCGACTTGTTTTGGTAGATAATGATGAACAACTTCTGCCATTAAAATTCCATCTGCAAAATCAGTAGCAATATTTTTTTTTGGTCTTGAAAATGGAACAGCATCAACCCAAGTATAGAGTTGATAGAGTTCATCTTGAATATTTGAGAGATTATGTATATTAATCATATTAATAAATAAATAATAATGAATTAAGAAAAAACAGTTGAAGAACCATTACTTAGTTAAGCTAAGATGAATGAATATAAAGAAAGAGAATTTAGAGAATACTTAGTAAATCAAGATGTCACTCTTGCTATTGTTAAATGTATATTATATATATATTGTTTAATAATTTTATAGTTCTTCTTGCTTTAAGAAATGCACCCAATAAACCTGATTCTCCAAGTTAAGCACTTATTGATTACTTTAGTGTACATTAAGATACGAAAGCCCATGAAGAATTTGAGAAATTGAAATTAGATGTTGAATAATTAGAATAAGGTTAATGAATGTTATTATAACTGTATAGAAAATAATCAATTAGCAAAAGAAATAGATTCAATTAAAGAACAAATAGTTTAATAAAAACTTGAAAAATAACGTAAAGAAGAAGAAGATAGATTACGTTAAGAAGAAGAGGCAAAAAAGAATACAAAGAAACCTGCAAAGAAATGATTAATATATTATTGTAATATATATATTTATATTTTTTGAATTCAAATTAATGCACGATAATAAAGGACCTAGAGTATTTGGAAAAAACCTTGAAAATCAAGTAGATAAGGCATCAAAGATTCTAAAAAGTAAAAAAGATGCAACACTTGATGAATTGGGAGGGAAGGAAAATCTAATAAATGATGCAATTTGGAACAAGGAAGGTTTGAATAGATTAGATTCTCCTTAATTTGTTTCATTGTATTAATAAGAAATCTATGAATTTTTATATGAGAAAGAAAAAAGTATGGGAGAACCAAATTTTCAAATGTCTTAAACTAAAATTAATGATAATGTGAGAGCTACTACCGTATATTATAATATTAAAAATAGGTTAGATACATTGTCAAATTAGTTAGATGCTTTAATTTAAAGGCTGAAACCCTTTTTTAAACTGTTGATTTAATGGATTAAAGTATTTAGCTCATAAATCCTGAAATTAGAGATTTGGAGCTTATTTCATTAACATGTCTATTTATTGCATCGAAATATGAAGAAATCTATCCACCTCCATTAGCAGCTTTATTAAGATCTACTGATCTATAGATTAAAGATGTTATTGAAATGGAAAAAGAAATACTAAATAAATTAAATTTTAATGTCATTAGTGATAATACTTTGGTGTGGTTATAATTAATTGGAGAATTAATAGGTTACAATAGTAAATACTCTGATTAAATTAAACAAAGATGTATGTAAGTTAAAATCTCATCTTAATTAGGAATTTTGCTGAGTCAAGCTTAACTTCTTCATTGTTTTTGAATCACAAAAAATCTGTAATTGCTTTGAATATATTCATGGCTGTGGAAATCAATTTAGGTTGTCAAAAAACATAATTTAAATGGGAAAGACTAACTTAACATTAGAAACCAAGCAATGAATCAAAAACACTTAAATTGCTGACTTATATTTTGAAACCCAAATGAATTATACTTCATTAACTCTTAATAAATCGAATTTTATATAATCAATATCATTACTTTTTCTTCTTTTGTGTTTGTTTCACTGATTAAGTCTTATTTAGGAAAAAGATATAAAATATGGATAATACAAAGCTAATAAAATAATAATTGAAAAGAATAAACTCTATAAATGTATAAATAAAAGATTTTGTAAAGATGCCATATTTTGTAATCCTTTTCATAATTATTTTTGATGGATCTTATCCAACTAAAATAGTAATTATTAATATTTTTACCATCTTCAATAGGATCATCCTTATCTTCAAATAAATAATCCATCATTATAATTTATTCTTTTACACAATACATTTCATTTAATTCATAATTTGCAGGTAAATAATTATATCTTATATTAGTTTCTGGAATTTAAGAATTCTTCAATAACAAAATCATAAATAATAGAATTGGAATAGCTATTTTTGATAATAATTAGTAAGCAACAATAACAAATCCTCTTAATAACCCTTCAACTCTTCTCTTTACATAATCCTATTATTCTGGTTAATCTTTCAATATCAAAATCCAATCATATCCTTTAACCATATGTTTATCCATTTCTAAAGTATAAGTCATTATTTGTAATAATCCAATTATCATTATTGCAATAAATTGAAAATGAAAGACGTAATTCAAATTTTATATTAGTGGTTTAATGTATAAAGCTACATAAATTATATGTGCTATTAATTAACCAGCTATTAAATAAAAAAACTTTGATTATGCTTTTTCTGTTGTTGTTAGATTATTTTTTAATTCTGTAAAACAATTTCCAAATCTTATTAAAATTGGCAAAATACAAAATATTATAATAGAAACCATTAAAGCTAAAACAATTACAAATAAATCTCCAAATTATCCCAAAAATGACCATACTCCTGGTTGAATAAGTGTTCTAAATACAATTTCAAGATGAACAGCTAATCTTTAAAATTCATGTCTCATGTTAATATTTAAGAAATCTTTAAATCCCAAATTAATAAAGATTGTTATTAGTATAGAAATAATACAAATTACAATAGACATTTTTGTTTATTAAGAATCATATCCTCCAATAGTTGCTGCTTTAAAAATATTTCCTATTGTAAAAAATATATCATTACTTATAATCATAATGACAATGATGCCATCAAAATAAAATAACATTCCACTATCAATAACATAATATCCTAGAGTTGAGCCAATCATTTTCATTATCTCAACTATCACAAATTATGAAAATAACATATAGATAAATAACATTGTAATTTCTAAGTCATTTGCAAAAGGGACTTATTAAAAATGTTAAGCTTAACTTGATATTGTCTTAATTTAAACCAATGTCTTTATTTTCTTATCTTTACTTTCTTTAAGATCTTCACCATCAGGAGATAAATATATGGTTACCCCTTAACATGGAAACAATAAATTTGGAAATTTCTTCTTTAATTTGAATATCCCAAAAGCTAAAGCACAAAATACTACAATCTCAATTGGAAAGAGAAGCAAATCCAATTATTCACTCATTCAAGTAAATTAAAATTAAAACAATGAATGAGGTAAAATCTACTCTCTATGATTCTAGAGTTTAGTTTTAACCAAAATGTTAAATACCAATCCAAAATAAGAGAACAATCTCCAAGCCATTCTTATGAAACTTTAAGAGCTTAAATTCTTTAACTATTTTATAGAAAGATTTTTGAAGGGCACCCAAAAAGAGAGTCTACTCAATGTATCTCTTTATTATAAATAATATTTAGTTATGTGGAAGATTCAAAATGGAACATCACAAAGGACCATCGTTGTTATTTTAAGAAGGAGATAAATCAAATGATAAACTATATATAATTTTCAGAGGTTCTGTTGGTCTATTTAGAGCAAAGAAATTTGACACTTTTTAATAGTAGTAATAACAACCAATTTAATAAACATAACCAATTTAACAACTTTTAGAGAAAGTTTCAACCAATCTTAAAGAACTTAATAAATAAACAATTTCAAAACCTAACTTCATGAAAAGCTTAGCAAATTCAAAAAGATTTGCCAATAAATTAATGAGTACCTTGACATAATATACAACAAAGGAAGACTTATTAATATCTTAATAGGAGATGTCAATTTTAAATGAAAAATATGGAGATACTGTACGAATTTTAGGTTAAGGAGATGGTTTTGGAGAAGTGGCTATAATTGAAGGGACACCAAGAGGACTTACTGCATGTGCAGTTTCTCAAGATTGCTTTTTATTAATATTAAAAAAAGAAGATTTTGATATTGTGAAACAATAATTTATTTAATCTATTAAAGAGAAAAAGAATTTAATCTATACTAAATTTGAAGTTAAAGATGTATATTCTACTGCTCTATCTAATTCATTAGCATATAGTTTTGATGTATCTTGATTTAATTTATATTTAGGTTGAATCATTTTAACATAATGCTATTTTAGCAGTTGAAGGAATGTAACAAAAAGTATTTTATTTGATTGCTTCTGGTGATATTTTATTAGAAAAATTTATTGGAAATAAAAATATTAAAATTTGTATTTTAACTAAAGGATAATTTGTTGCTGAAGAAATTGTGATAAATTAAGATAGTGTTTGTGAATATAGCGCAAGAGTTTTATCTAATTAAGCAACTCTTATGATTATGAATAAAAATGAGTTTTTCTAAAAATTTCCAGAAGAATGCAAATAATAGATAAAAAGGGAATATTTTAGAAAAAAACAATTTAGAATTTCTTTTCCTGAATAAACACTTGATAAAATTGCAGATATTCAAAGTCCTAAAACATCCCCAAAGTAAACAATAAAACTAAAAATTAATCCTTTATCAGTTAGAAGTTAATAATCTTCTCGTAATTAATCTTGTCAATTAGATATTAAGGAGATTCTAGAAAAAAAGAGATCAATATATTTTCAGAAATATTAAGATAATAATAAAAAATGTGAAGATATTATTTTATTTACAGAAATGTGTTACTCACCAAAAATATGTCATACTCCTAGCTATAAGAAATTAAATAATGTATTGTAGAAGTCATTTCATTAACATCAATTAAAAAAAATAATGAGAAAAAAATTTAAATATAATTCTAGCACAGATATTCCTATTTCATAGTTATCAATATATGAAAGAAGTTTTAAATACTAATAAACACCATCTACTAATCTAGCTAGTCAAGAATTAGAATAGTGAGTCTTTTCAATTAGAATTTGAATTTCTTATATTTATATATATCTATATATTTATAATATTATTTCATGACTATTATGAAGGCTGTTATTAGGCTGCCTAAGTCCTTGGCTATTATGGTGGAACTTATTATGGTTAATGTGTTTGTTATTATTGTGGTTATGATGGTCTTGCTACTGGTGCAGGAATATATTATTATGGTTATGCAAATTAAGGAACAACTCTAGATGCTATCATTGGTTGTTAAACATATTAGACTGGTTATTAAACATATTGGACTGGTTATTAAACATATTAAGCGGGTTATTAAACGTATTGAACTGATTATTGGATCACAGGTTATTGAACAACTGATACAGCTTATTATACATATTAAGTTGGCTGTTAATGAACAACTTATCTTTCTACTGGATAATATTCAACTCTTTCTTAATATCTATCAACTGGTACATATTCTGAAATATATATTTTCATTTATTACCTGTGTATTTCTCTTAAAATACTTAGGGAATATATTCAGTTTAATATTCAACAGCATAATAATCTGTGACTTTAGTTTCTCTTGGAACATAGGACACAATTTCTTATTCTTCATATTCAACAACAGCTTTTTAATATGGAATGTATTCTATTCTAGATTCACCTTTTATTGATTGGTGCTAAAATGAAATTCAAATTTACTTAAGCAACTGGAGCTACAGGGGCAACTGCAATTGGCTAAACTTAAACAGGTGCGAATTATTAAACAGGAACAGAAGCTATAGGTGCAACAGGCATTTGAGCCACTGGTGCATATTAAACTGGAGCAACTGGAGCCACATAAGATTATCTAATCGGAGAAGCTGGATAATAAGTAGGTGGTAAATAAGTATTTGGATAAACTGGACCTGTAGGTCTTTATTATGTCTAAGGAGCTGGAGCTTATTATGGTTATTAAGCAGCTTATGGATGATTTGACATTATCGTTTAATATTTTATTAATTCAAAAATAATATTAAGACCTTTACCTTATTTATTTAAAATATATCTCAGCATATAATACATATTAATATAAAATAATACTTCATTATATTTCTGTTTTCAATATTTAAAATTACATTTACTTTTTATCATTTATCATTTATTCATCAAACCTTTTTTCTAAATTTTCAATTCTGCCTTCTTAGCACTCAATAACCAAGCCAAACTAATTTAAAAGACAATTCTATATATATTATATGTGATTATTCTTGTTTAATTTTTAAATTTTTTTATTAATTAACAGATAACAAAAAATTTAAAATAAATTTTATTCTTTCATGGATATTATATATTGTAAATTTAGTGGAATCATTCCAGATTACTAAATATTTTCCATCATCAGATAGAGTTTCATAATTATCACTACTTTAACTGTCAATATGTTCTCCAACAGAATTTAATTCATTGTTTTCTCCTAATTCAAAAAGAGAAACATATTTANGGTTATTGAACAACTGATACAGCTTATTATACATATTAAGTTGGCTGTTAATGAACAACTTATCTTTCTACTGGATAATATTCAACTCTTTCTTAATATCTATCAACTGGTACATATTCTGAAATATATATTTTCATTTATTACCTGTGTATTTCTCTTAAAATACTTAGGGAATATATTCAGTTTAATATTCAACAGCATAATAATCTGTGACTTTAGTTTCTCTTGGAACATAGGACACAATTTCTTATTCTTCATATTCAACAACAGCTTTTTAATATGGAATGTATTCTATTCTAGATTCACCTTTTATTGATTGGTGCTAAAATGAAATTCAAATTTACTTAAGCAACTGGAGCTACAGGGGCAACTGCAATTGGCTAAACTTAAACAGGTGCGAATTATTAAACAGGAACAGAAGCTATAGGTGCAACAGGCATTTGAGCCACTGGTGCATATTAAACTGGAGCAACTGGAGCCACATAAGATTATCTAATCGGAGAAGCTGGATAATAAGTAGGTGGTAAATAAGTATTTGGATAAACTGGACCTGTAGGTCTTTATTATGTCTAAGGAGCTGGAGCTTATTATGGTTATTAAGCAGCTTATGGATGATTTGACATTATCGTTTAATATTTTATTAATTCAAAAATAATATTAAGACCTTTACCTTATTTATTTAAAATATATCTCAGCATATAATACATATTAATATAAAATAATACTTCATTATATTTCTGTTTTCAATATTTAAAATTACATTTACTTTTTATCATTTATCATTTATTCATCAAACCTTTTTTCTAAATTTTCAATTCTGCCTTCTTAGCACTCAATAACCAAGCCAAACTAATTTAAAAGACAATTCTATATATATTATATGTGATTATTCTTGTTTAATTTTTAAATTTTTTTATTAATTAACAGATAACAAAAAATTTAAAATAAATTTTATTCTTTCATGGATATTATATATTGTAAATTTAGTGGAATCATTCCAGATTACTAAATATTTTCCATCATCAGATAGAGTTTCATAATTATCACTACTTTAACTGTCAATATGTTCTCCAACAGAATTTAATTCATTGTTTTCTCCTAATTCAAAAAGAGAAACATATTTATTATGCCTAACTACCAACAACTTTTTTAGTTTATTTTATATTAAAGGAAATAAAACATATATATCTGAAGAATTTTGTGATTTAAGAGTAATCTACATTTTAGGTATTTATAAAAAATTACCACTTTTATTATTTAAAAATATGTAAATATCCTTATGAATATTATGTCCAAGCTAGAAGATCATCAGAAAGAAATGTAACTCTAAAACCATAATCATCAATTGATTTATCAATTTAAGTTTTAAATTTCTAGTAATTATTTTGATCTTTTTCCCATATGATAATTTATTTATCCATACTACAAGATGCTAATTATGTTTCATTGTAATTTAAACTAATTTAATAAACGTAATTCTAATGTTTTTCAAGTGAATAACAAAATTCTATTGTATTATCAAATGAATTAGCTTTCCAAACCTTTATTGAATAGTCAGCTCCACAAGAAATTAGTTAATCTTCATTTTAATTTAAAATTAAGTTATCTATAATTTTTGTGAATTTTAAATGGATTTGAACTTTTCCAACTTTTAATGCCATAGCCTAATTCATTTTCTTTCCAACAACGAATTTCTTAATCATCAGCACCAGAAATCAACCAATTTAATTTACGACTAAACACTAAACATCTTATTAATTATGTATGTCCTTTCAAAATAATATTCTAATCAATTAATTTTCCTTAATCTACTATCCATATCTTAATATCTGATTTAATTGTTGTTGCCAAAAGTGTTCCTTATTTATTAAAAGACAGAGCTTAACAAACTTGTATTTATTAAACTTCATCAAATTAACAATAATTAATTTTACTCACTGGCAATTGAATATCGGGTTGTTTTTATTGATTTTCTGTATTTTGTTTATTAATGGAGTTGTTTCCCATTTTAAATAAATATATTAATTACATTTTTAAGATTTCACATATTACAAGTTAGATAGATAATGCATAAATAATGTAAGATAAATACCTTTAATAATTATTTTTTTTATATATCAATTTTGCTCCATTCAAATAACTAAATAAGAACTCATGGTTCAAACTTTATAAAAATTCAAATATTTTAATTGACATTATCTTAATAAAGAGGTTTGAATCATTCACTATTATAGATATTATTTTTTTAGCCTTTATATTATTAATCTATTTTCTTCTTGAATAGTATTTTTTTTTCTAATTTTTATAAATTAAAAATGTAAAATAATGCACAAGATGTCAATCAGCCATCATAAAATAACAATTCAGAATATAAGGATTAATTTAATGAATTCCTTAATAAAGCTTAGAAATCATATTTTTAAGGAAGTTCATAAGTAATCTTTAATAATTAATATTTAAGAAATTAGAATAAAGTAGTAAAATAGAGTTTGATATAAAAAAAAAAGATCAACATTGTACTGCTATTGCATTTCATCCTTAAAAAAATTATTTTGTAGCAGCAGTAGGATTAAAATTATATTTCTATCATATATTATATGGTTAAAGTTCTGATTATACAGAAGAAATGTCAATGAATTTAGATTTACCAAAATTGACTAATAATTCGAAATTATTAATTGAATAAGAGGAAATGGTTGGTTAAAATAAAATTTCTACAAAAATTTCTACAATTTAATTTACCCCTTCTCATTAAGATCAACATTATTTATTAGTTGGTACTTAAAATGGATGTTTAATTATTATAATTTATAATTATAATCGTTTAAAAAGAATACAATATGAAGAGAAATTGAAAGATTTAGAAACAAATCCTGATTTAAATAGAGAAACGTTGAGATAAAAAGTTTTGGAAGATATTAATAAAATTTAAATTCAAGCAGAAAATCTTTAGGGTCTTGGAGCAAAAGTTTAACTTAAAAAATTACATAAAAAATAAATAAGTTGTATTCAATCTTATACAATTAAAAATAATTTAGTCGAAGTATTAATAAGTAGCTATGATCACACAATTTCTTGTTTTCCAAATTAAAACATTGTAGAGGAAGAAGATTTAAAAGATTTGTATATTTTATAAGATCCTAAAGAAGCAGTTTTTTGGATTTCTGTTTCTGAAATAGATCCTAATGAAAAAGGTTATTAGACATAAAACTTGGTATCATCAGGATTTGATAATTTCATTTATGTTTGGTTAAGGAAAGCAGATGATAAGTGGCATTTTAGATCAAAATATAAGAGAAATGAATTAGGTTCAAGAATTAGCTATTTTGGATCTTAATTTGTTGTTTAATAGGTCTTTTAGAAAGATTATATTAATATCTTAATGAATTTAGGAAAGGAATCTTCTAATAAAGACGTAGGAGAGAATATAAATACAGATAACGTAAGAAGAATTTAATTTCATGATGAATACAAACCTAATTAAGTAATTTTTGATAATGACAAATTTCCATTATTATTTAACTAGAATAAATATTTAATGTTAATCAAATATGGAGAAAAGATTTATGCTTTGAAATGTAAATCCAATACTACTGGAAGAAATCAAAATTGGTCTGATATCTTTAAGAAAAAATATGTTGATTAATACTAATTTAGTCTTATAGAGAAGTTTAATATAAGATGTAGTTTAAAGTGCACATTAGGAGCACTATCAGCAGATGGAGAATATTTAGTCATTTACGATATCTTTGATAAAAAGTTAAAAGTATTCAAAGTAGAATGATGATTAATAATAATACATATGAAATGTAGAAATTAAATCTTCAATAGTATATTCATAATATTGTATTGTAAAATTTATATTATTTATTTTCGAATTTAAGTAATTTCATTAAATGATTATCGGAAAAAGAAGGTTGAAACAAATAAAACTTATTCTTGTATCTCCTACTTTAGAGAAGATTACAGTTTTATCATATTTAGTTTTAATACCATTAATGGTAGGTAACTTAATAATCTGAAAATTAGATGATGTATGAAACTTATGGATTAGGTAATGGATATTTAAATTTGTATTAAATCAAATCATAATTCTAAGTATATACTTGGCGTAATAGTACAACAGTTTAAGAGGCATTCAATTATTTGATGAATGTTTTTACACCTAAATATTATGCTAATCAATTTAAGTCTTCACATATTCCACTTTCTAATTTAATTATTGCTTAAACAAGATCTACAATATATTAATGTAATACAAATGTTATAGATTGTGAATATGGATCAGATTAATATTAGGAAGTATAATTCTAGGCTTTGGATACAAATAATTGTGTTTCTGAAAATTGTAGTGAATTTATTTAAAGTTAAAAAGCTTTTGGAGGAATTAAAATAAGTGTAGATGGACATTATTAAACATATTATGACTTTAATTATTACAGTGTTTTAAAAATAGCAGATAATTATACTAATTTTTATAGAAAATTAATTGAAAATAATTGGATTGATAATCATACTGAATCTATAGGAATATTTGGATCAATATATGATTTGAATAGCAAATAATAAGTTTAAGTTAATTTTTTATTAGAATAATAATTTGCTAAATATCCTTTATATTTATCTGAAACTTTTTTTTAAATGCCATTCTATGATTTTTAGGATACTTTACATATTTTGTTGTTTTCTTATTTAATATTTATTGGTCTTTTAAAGATATTTAGAACAATGTTAGAATTAACCTATATTTTTTCAAGATTTAATTTTGTTTTTTAATTGTATAACTTTACCTCACTTATTGTATATGTTATAGTTCACTTTTAAATTCTAATAGTTAGAGATTAAGCATAAGATGAGAATTTATTATTTTCTAAAACAGTGTTAGAAAATAATTTTAATGGGAAGATTCTTTCAGTTGGTCCAGCATTATTAATAAATGAGTATTAGACAACTGAAGATGTAGGAAAAGTATTACTTTTATTAAGTTATCCATATTCATTTGTATAATTTATACTCTTTTTTAATACTGAATGGATTTAAAATTATCATACATTATAGATGAGAACAATGCCTGGACTTCTAATTTGTACAATTTTATCAATTTCTTTTTATATATTAACATTTTTGCCACAAAGTTATTTAGATAAATAATATAGAACGGGACATCATTCTATTAATTATATTGCATATATATTTGCTTAATTGTTTTTAGATAATTATTAAGATAATGAAGTATTTTTATAAAAGTATGATTTAGGATTAAAAAAGATTATTAAGTTTAATAATTGAAATTTTACATTTTATATTTTAGAGTCTAATAGTTTTATATGTAATAGGTTTATCAATAGAAGGATTTAGAAAAGCTTCAATTTATGAAATGCCCTATTAAACAAAGTATGATAAAGAATTTATTTAAAATTTCGATAATTTGAATATAAAAATTAATAAGTAATAAATAAAAATATTAATTATAAATTAGGGTTTTGAAATAAGTTTAAAAATTATTTATTAAAGAGAAATAATCTTAAGGCAAGAAAATAAGTAGAAGAGAAGAAGATAAATAATCATAAATTTTAGATGATGAAGAGACTTTGAGTGATATGTCTGAAAATAAATCTGATAAAATTTTAATAGTTTTTGAAATAAATAATGGATTTTTAGAAGATATAAATAGATTTAAAGCAAGAAGAGATGCTAATTAATATGCATAAAAAAGAATTAAATATTCAAAATCCAATAAAGAATAAGCATCTTCTTAAAAAATTAGAATTATTTAATCTTTACTATAAAAGGATAAGGTTAATTAAAGATTGCAAGTAATGTTAAGCAAACATTGTAATAAAAATATTAATATATTATAATAGAAACTAATGAAGCTTAATATACTTAACTTTAGGAAGATTAAGTAGAGTAAAATAATGACTTCTTTTAGAGTTTTAAAGAATAAATAAGTGATTAAGGAGTTAAGATAAGAGAGTTTACTATTATAGATTAAGTCATAAAATTTTTAGAAATGTTATTAAGATTGAGACCTGAATTTTTGAGTTTGAATGCAGAATAAAGAATTAGAATAATGTTTTATATAAATTCAGATTAAGTTGAAGAAGATGATGTTTACAAATTATTAAGTTTTTTAATTGTCAATCTAGCCAAATAACATTTAAATTATCCAATCCTTGTATTTTCTTGTCATAAAGAATGGTATATTGAGAAAGCATAATATTTAAAATTGAAAAAGTTTTATAGAAATATTTTTTCTACTTTGGAGAAAGAATGTGCATTAGAATTTAGTCTGATGCAAACATCTTTCTTTGATTTTTAATTGAAATTTTCGAAAGATTAATAGTTCTATGAAAAGGATAATTAAGAAGAGATATCAAATTCAATGATTGAAGAAGGAGAAGATAAATCAGAATTACTTTGAAAGATAATTAATTTAATATTTTAATATCAAAAATGGTTTATATATTCATTTCAGTTAATTAATTATAAATATAATAAGTTTTTGTATTAAGATAATTCTTATGTAACTATAAGCATATTTTTGAAAATATAAATTTTAGTGATTGATTCAATTAAATATAATAGTTGCATCAAAATAGCCAGTGATCTACATAGCAATCATCATTAAGGAAATAAGAATTAAAAAAATGATAGGAACCATAAATGGGTTAGTAATGAATTTACTTCTTATAGTTAATGAGGTTTGATCTGTTTCAATGAAAGATTTATGCAGTTGTAGCAATTCAATGTAACCTTAAGTTTCTTCTTATTTATCAATAAATGGCAAATTTTCATCATTCATATTTTATTTAATGGAATTACAAAATTAATTAAGATCTTACTTGAGTTCATATGAAACATACCCTTATGTCAGAGATATAAAATTAAGAGTGCTTTATGGTGATAAGTAAGAATTGATAGTAAAAAAAGATAACATATCAAACTAGTTCAATAATGTTTGGCAAGTTTCTTAGTTGATAAAGAAGAATCACCTATATTAAGACTATTAACATTAAAAGTATAAATACATGATAATTTTTATAATAGTTCAACAAAGAATTAGCTGAAACATTTAATGAAGATTACATTCATTTGATGTAAAAAATTGTTCTCCCAAAAATGGAATAGATTGCTTTATTTGAAATTGATTCTAAAGATAATGATAGAGGCAAACTGTATTTTTTAGGAAATCAAAAACCCCACTAAGGTATGTAGAGTACAAAAGTAGTTCAGGTAACAAAGAGTTGCAGACATTAGGAGATCAATTTTTGAGAGTAACTTTAGAATGTATTAGGATTTGGGGAAGATGGTTTCCTTTAGATAAGATTCATCATAGATTAAGTTTATATCGTGTAGCATATGAGAGATTATACAATTTAGGTGTTTTATTTCCAGAAATTTAATATTTTGACCTTAATTAAGTTCATACAAATTTACCTTCTACTTTTCCTCCTTTATCAATGATGATGCAATTAAAAAGTGTTTTAAGTGAGCATTCTAAATCTACTACAAAAGAAATATGTAGATATTTAGAATCTCATCTTCCTGAAGAATATCATCAGACATAATATTCATCATTTGCTGAATTATTTTAGATTATTGTCAAAAAACATATTATTAAAAAAAATAAATAAGCTAGATTAGCTAATTTATTTCTTGAACGTGATCCAAAATATCAAGAAGTTAAAAAAATGGAAGAACATGAAGAATGGACTTAATTGTAAAGATTATAAATTGAAAATTAATAACTTTCATATCTTAATAATATGCATCAATAAAAAATGTAAGATTTATAAAAATAAATTATTGAAACTCAAAACTAAAATTTATTATTATCATAATATCTTAAAGAAAAATCATTATTAATAGAACGTTATGATACTAATTTCAAAGTCTTAGAAAAGAAATATGATAAACTATTTGAAGATTATAAAAAAAATCATAATTCATAAAATCCATATATTCTTGCTTCTTATGAAAAGAATGTAATTATAAAATCTCATTCTTTTTTAGATTGCTGAATTTCGTATAGAATATGGACTATCCTTTTCTGAAATTGAATGTCATAAACTAAGAGCTGAAAATGAGTATTTACATAAACAATTAGATGAATCTGATAGTATGTATGATAAAATTAAACATGATAAAGATGTATTATTAACTGAAAATAAATTATTATCAGCAAGAATATCTTAATTATCTTAAAAAATTGCTAAAGGTACAAAAGTAGAAAAAGACAACACTTAAACTTAAGAAGATTTTACATTATATAAATAAAAATCAAATTTAGTTTAATATGAATAAGTCATGATTTGTTAAAAAAGATAAATTACTTAATTAAAAGAATAATTAATAAAAATGAATGATAAAAAATATAGTGTATCAAGTTAAACATGGGGAGTGAGTACTAATACAAATTCAAGAAGAAATATTAATGAATTATAGGCATACAATCTATCATCATAAAAATAGTCTGATAATAAGAGAGCTACTTAAAGATAATCTAAAATAATTATGCCTCCTATTCTTGAATATGACCCAACCATCTTTTCAGTTAATCCTAATATATTTAATACCAGATTTAGATAAGCCTGTTTCACTTCTAAAGCTATCATACATTAAGATGAATAAATTTAAATTACAACTCTCACTTAATTGAAATACAATAAATTATTCATTACTTTATTCATTGAGAACAAATCAAATAATAAACTTTCTAATTTCAAATTGCAATTATAAGAAGTAGAATAATTAATGGTTTACATATTAGATGAAATTAAAAATGATTTAAATCCAGGAGAAATCTAATAGTTTAAATTAGAAATTTCTATTAAAGAAATACCATATATTTTACTGGAAGCTTAACTATCTTTCTTTAATAAAAATGTATCATTTGGAATCCCATGTACAATCAATAAATATTTAACTCTTAAATCATGTGAACAGATACCACAATCATTTTTTTATTAATGTAAACCTTTTTTAACTGGATTCTAAAATTCTATACCTAACTTATTACCTGAATTTGAAGTAATTAGCTAATCTGATACTGAAATTAGTGTTTTGGCTTAAGCTGAATTTAATGAAGAATTATTTGAAATTATGATATCCTGTAGAAAAAGTATGATGCAAATTAAAATGAATGGTGTTTACAATGATAAACTTGTAAAAACTATCATTTCCACTTACTAAGGTTTATTTTTGAAAAGATGATTTATATTTAGAAATAATTTTATTTCGTTTTTTGTTTTTATTTAATAAAACTAAAAAATTAATTTAAATTTATTATATTATCATAATTAATACTTCTTTTTAACTAGCTCAATCTTAGTGAATAAAATAGTTTCAATTGTTTTTATGTGTAATTATTTATTTTTTTTTTGTATAAATTGAAATTAAAATTTTTTCATTTTTTAATAACCATTTATTATTTATATTAAATTTATCGTTCACAGTATTTTAAAATCATATAATATAATTAATTTAAAAAGAAACATGTTTAGCTCTAAATTTTTTTGTGGGTAATTATTCCCAAATTGGAATGATAAAATTCGGAGCTTAAATATAAATAAATTTATTTATTGAAAATTTATTATTTTTATGTCATCAGATATAAAGAATTTAAATAATATTATTTCTTTATTCTTTGAAAATTAATGTTAACTTTAAGTATCTTTTTAAAAAATACTCTATAATTTTTTTACCTTTGAAAATCACTTATTTAATTAGTTTTTTTGAAAATGTTAAATTTACGATATCATCAAAATATTTATATTTTGAACATATTTTGTGACTTAAATGTAAAAAAATAAAATTCTTTCTCTAAAATAGTTAGAGATTAATATTATTTAAATCATGAAAATAAAAAAATTATTTTTATTCGAACTAACTTCACAGCAATTAGAATTTATAATTTCCTATCAATGGGTGAGATTAATTCATTCATTTTAATTAAATATATCATCCTATAATTGAATTTTCATTGTTTAAATAATATTGAGGGTTGAAAGTAACATCTTGATTAATAGAGATATTTTCATCAAGTAATGCCTCTGGTTCATATGGATCGGTATAAAGGATTTCTTCAATGAAAAAACATTCATTTTCATTTAGGCACATTTTCTTTTGAAGTTGGCATTCAAGATCTTTTAAATCTTCTTCTTAGGATTCTATTCTCATTACAATTTCATCATGACATCCATTTTAAGGTTTCCTGTTTCCTACCTTTAAATACTTTCTTGCATTAATGCTATCCATATGTATACTCAGTTAAAATAATTTAATATAAATTTATTGATCAATTCGGTTCTTTATAATCTAAGAATATTCATAATTAGTATAAAATATGATCATAAAATAAAAAGTTTATAATAATAAATATCTTCTTGATGCCTTCTTCAATTATATTTTTCAAATTTTGATTTAGCATATAAATAATTGATGTGAAAGTTATATAAAATAATTCTATATTTTTGTAATCATAAGCAATTGATTCAAATTCTGTTAATGACAATAACATTTCTTGTTTAGGTTTAAGTAATTATATATAAAAAAATAAAATAATAATTATTATTAATTGTTAAATAATTGAAAGTTTCACAAAGTAATGTATTAAGTTAAATACAACTTAAAATGGAATATTAAAAGATCCTGTAGACTTGTATGTGAGTATACATAAACCAATAAAAAATGCATAAAAATGGATGCCCATATAGATCATTTTCTTTACTTGAGAATGCAAAATTTATTAGCTAATAATAGGAATTTGATAAATGAAACATCCCTTTCTTCCTTAGTTTGATAATGTGCTTAAAGAATCTGCATCAAGGGAGTTATTTAAAGTTTATCATATGAAATGAAGATTTTGATTAAAACTAAAAATTTGATCCTTTAAGAGCTTAACTTTTTAAAAGATAATTAGATCTTATAGAATTTCATTAAATTAGGAAAATATTCAAATTTAGTTATTGAAAAGTAGCTGAGATTAAGGTGATGATGTGAAATTCCTAGGAACAATAATAATAATTATAAAATAAAAAATAAGAAAATAATGATGTCAAAATAATAAGAGGAAGAAGAATTATCTTAATATAATTATTTGAAAAAATTTGATATTTGAATAAAAGATTTAAGAAAGAAAAGAATAAGCAAATTTTATACCAAATGGTTGGTCTTTTTATACTAAAGAATTATGGGCTGAAATTAAAAATGCTTCTAATATGTCTATTTGAAAGATCAAAAAAAGATATAATGAAATTTAAACTTATATTTTCACATTAATCCAATGTTTAAATAGGATTTAGAAAGAGAATAAAAATATTTGTTAAATTATTTTGAAAATAGAAAAAAGATGAAATACTTAAATTTTAAAAAGCATAAATTAATTAGAAATTTGAATGATATGATTTATATATATAAATAAATGGAAAACAATATTAACTATTTCAATCTAATTAAAATTTTAATTTTTTTTAAGGTGTCTTACTTTTACTTTTTATTATACTTGAATTTGTTGATTATTTAGTTGTCTAACCAAATATTTATGGAGGAAGTGGTTTCTTTATCATTTGAGATTCATGAGTGCTCATTGCTTTTGTTTATCTAGTTAGATTTTCATCAGGCAATAATAAATCATCATCTTCAATTTGTTTTACTATTTTATTCAATTCATCATATAGTTCTTAATCAAAATCAACATAATGTGCATATTAAACATCCATAATTTAACTCCAACATGAATATATTCTAATAAATATATAATCTGATTAATAAGGAATAAATGTATGTTATTTATTAATTAATTCATTAGTTCCACAATAATAAATTTTATTAGCTTTTAATAAAGTTGAAGATTCAGTTCCAGCAGCTATATCTTAAACATTAGTCATTACAAGTTAAGGCCACTATTATTACTTTAAACTACCATTTCCTATTTATCCAGATTTCCCCTCTCCCCAAATATATAATTAACCATCTTATGATAAACACATAACATGTTATAAACCACAAGATATTTTCAATGCTTTTATATCAAAATTTTATTGAAAAGGAAACTTACCTGCTATTGTTATATTTATTTTTGTTTAAATTACTAAAAATTCATTACTAATTTAAACATCTTCTATATTTTATTTGAGTTTATTTTATCTCTCATCTAATAATTGATTATCACTTGTCAGTAGTATTAATGCATTTTGAAAGTTTCTTATTGCTTTAATATTTGAAAATAGAATTTATTTATCATTTGGTTTATAAACTTTTTTATCTTTATCTAAAATGAAGCATCTTGAATCTATTGTAATTGTATCTAAAACATCAGATTTCTCTTATTTAAAAGTGAATGATTTGTCAACAACTCCCCAAGAATATATATTTTTACCTTTTATTATTGATACTTTTTCATTAGAAACAGCTATATGAGATTTCAATTTATCTGCATGAATAATTTCTGAAAATTTTTGACACCATTCATATTTGTCAAAATTTATATTAGGGTTATGTTAAATCAATTTAATTGACAACAATTCAGTCTAAATTTCAACTTTGGGTACTCGACTTGTACTATTTCTTTTCATCATGATAGAATCAGTTATTATTTAAATTAAATAAATGTTAAATTTTATATGAAGTTGTATTAAACAAAAATCAAAATTGTTGAAACAAATAAAACTTTACACTATAAACACTTTCATCCTATTATATTTATAATGTGGAATAGGGGCTGATTAATTTTAAAATTTTATTTATAACCAAATGTCCCATTCTTAATTGTTTATTTTCATTATTATATTTAAGATGATTTTAATCAATAGAATTAAGAAACTTAATCTCCATAATATGATATTGAACATTTTTATCATATTGTGAATTAATTTCAATTTTTATTTTATCTTTGGCAAATTATATAGCATTTTCAATAATATTATAAAGTAATTATCTAAGAAGAATTTCATTTTCTAAAACCATTAAATTTTATTTTGCTTTAAGAGTTACTGATAATTACTTAGATGCTAAAGAATGTTTAAAATGAAATACTATTTATTGAATTAGGACAACTAAATTTTGTGATATTTTAGTCTAAAAGTGAAAATGGTTTGAATTAAATAAGATTTTGCAATTAGCAAAATATATATTTAATTATAAGAGTTCTTAAGCTAATTTATTTGTCATTTCAATTAAATTATTTTACTTTAAATTTTTATATAAAAGTTAAAGGCATTGTTATTAAGTATTAATCTTCTCAAAGTTTTCTTTAACACACCGTTTTAACAATTAATTTAATAGAATCATTTTTTCATTAGTTTTGATAATCAAATCATCATATGTTTTTTAAAGGTAGATGACACATAATGGTTAATCTTCATGCAACAATATAAGTTAACATAAATATTCTTAAGTTAAATGTTTAACTCTACATCTATAAGCTTAAAATGTTTTATGAAGTATAGAATCCTCTCCTACCTATTTTTTAAAAAATCTATGAATTAATTGTTCAAGATTCTACTTCCCTTAAAATTGTAATATAGAAGATTATTTCGTTAATATTGAAGTAGTTTTACCTTCTGAAACTATTACATCTCGAGTAAATCTTATAAAACTGCTCTAATCAATGATATTAAGTGTGTTCTAAGCACACTTATTTGCTTCAGAATAAATTAATTTGATATCCTTTTCATTACTGAAACATTTAACAATGGGGATTTCAATTTGATTTATTAAATTCTCTTTAATCTTCTGAGCATTTTGATGTAGTGTATACTTTTACCTTTTTTCCAATTCTTAATAATATGTCACTTGAAAAGCAAATAAAAGGGAGAAGAATGCGAATCCAATCCAAACAAGACTTACAGTTTCAATAAGTAGGCTAAGTACTAATTAAATTATGGTTGAATAAAGGCTCACTAAAAGTTTTAAAGTGCATTTCGTACCTATGGATAAGCTATCGATTTTATTTATAAATTTTACCACACTGACATTTGAAATGCAGAAGTAGTTATCATCATAATTGTTCCTCGATGCAAGGAGTTGTCTAATAAAGTAATAAGGGTAGCAAGTAATGTTTAAATTTCAATCTGATACACTAATGCTACTATATTAAGATATTTAATGGATTTTTTGGAAAGTAAAATTGCAATTATTGTTTAAACAAACATGTAGCTCCCCAAAATAATGTATAAATAATTTCCAATGACTAAAAAATAGATAGAGCCTGAAAAAGATCCTATTAACATGCTATAGAGAAGCCTTTTAAATAAATTAAAGTCTATTTTATGAGAATAAAGTCCATAATTCAATTCTTCTTATGAATCTTTAAAATTCAATGTGATATCCATTTCTTATTGATTTATTTATTTAATATTATTTCCTCATGAATAATATATATGATTGATTGATAAAATTTATAATATTATAGCTTTAATTTAATGAATCTATTTGAATGAAGTTGACTAGGAAATATTTCATTTATGAAAATTAAGCCTATAATTATTGAATTATTATAATATGCAGAAATATAAATCAATAAAGACTTGGGAAAGACTAAATAAGGTAAAGACACCAAATCCAAAATATGAATATGATAATTTGAAAGAAATAGATGATAAATTCAAGTAATTTGAGGAAAATAATGATCCTGAGTTTAATAGTCCAACATCTTTATTTGGAACAATTTTGATATAAACAGCAGTACAAGGACTATAAATGACAAATCTATTACAACATTAAAGTTAACCATTAAATAGAGTGAGTTAAAGGTTTTATTATTTTTTTATTTTTTAGTATTTTGAAGGCATTTGACATTAATCCTACTAACTTAAATTAGTTAAAAACTATGCAAGAGAGACAGTAATTAATCCTAATTAAGCAAGCGAATACATAAAGAACCAAATGAATAGTACAATTGATACTTTATTGAAAAATTGGTCAGATAAGATTTTTATGAAAGAACAAAAGTGTAAAGAAATCGATTTATAAATGAAAAAAGAGAAATAAAATAACTAAACCAAAAGACATTTCAAATGGTTGTAATTAAAAACAAAATATGAAGAATTGAAAAATAAGTTACGATAAATTGTAGTAGATAAATTAAATGATTATGAGAATTAATAATTAGCACTAAAATCTTAAAATAAGCCTTTAATGCTTAAAAATGTCTAAGTTATTACAACTCGAAATATATTTGAGAATATGGAAAAGTATGGTCATTCTAATGAGTTTCACTTTTTAAAATCTTTAGGTTAAGATAGATTAAAATAAATAAAAGAGAAACAGAATAAATAATTAAACTAATAATAAGATGAAACTAATTAGGAAGATAATACAAAACATTCTCAATATGAAGTTTTATGGAATAATTAATAAGAGTAGATCTTTACAAAATAAAGAAGCTAAACAAAATAATTATTTACGTATTATTTCTTTTTTATATAGAAATGAAATTGCATGTTCTAATTGGAATGATTTAGGATTTCTACCAATTTTACAATAAATGACTTTAACAGAAAAAAAGAAATAATAAAGAGAACATATTCTGAATAAATATACAGATGGTGAATTCTTAACAGCCTAAGAATTATAATTTTTGGCTAATACAAGTGAATTATTGAATGCTTGTTTAGATAGAGATTTCTTTTAAAAAGCTGCTAATTAAGTAAATCCAGATTTACTTTTTAATATGGAATTATCTTTAGCTGAATAAATATTAAAAGATTATGAAGAAATGAAAACAGCAACAATGAAAGCTAGATTATAGTACATAAGAGTAAAGATTTAAAAGACTAAAGAGAAATTGGCCAAAAGAGAATAAATTTTATTAAAACAATCAATAGATGCATATAATATGGAATTGAATAGAAAATACATAAAAGTATGTAAAACTGTAGTAAAACATATGGAAAGAACTGGTAAATTTGAAGAGAAAATACCAAGTGAAATTCCAGGAGCAACTCAACTTAAAGATTATTTAATGGGAAAGATTACTGAAAAGTAGTTCATTAATAAATTATATGATTATGTTGTTGAAAAGGAAAGAAGGAAATAATATATAGATTTAAATGATGATGATAATTAATTCAATTTTTCTTCTCAATAGTAATTTACAAGTTAAAAATAAATTTAACCTTAAAGTCCAAGAGTATCTTCGGTTAAAAATAAAAGGTAAGAGTATTTAAAAGTTATGGCTCGACCTAAAAGTACAATAGGTGTTTAATTTACTCAGAATATTAAAAGACATTTATTTCATCCTTCTACCAAATTATTAATTGATAAAAAGTTAGAAGCTGAAGAAAATGAATTAGCTTATATAAATCCTATATCTGCTTAATATAATAAATATGAATAAGAAAAGTTTAAACTTGGATTGAAAAGTCATCCTGCTTTAAGATAGAGAAAGAATTTTAAAAAGTTTTATTCAGGAGGTCCTCCTACTTAACCAGAATTAGAACATTGGAAAAGTCCTAATTATTAACCTACTTAAAAAGAAATAAGGGCTGCAATAGTCATTTAAAGAAAATTAAGATCTTTATTTAGAGAGAAGAAACTCAGATAAAAATTAGAAGAAAGAAGAAAACAAATTTATTATTTATTTAAAGATAATTGTGAAAATATGGTACATCAAATAGAAATGGGATAGGATTAGTAAGTGTCCTTTTTTTATCTTAATAAATAGTTAGAAAGATGTAAAGTAATTGCTAAAGATTAAATAAACTTTGGAAATATTAGAACAGATGAAAATAGTCGTAAAAACATTGAAAAAAGAAGTTTTAATTTAAGCACAGGAACTTCAACTCCAACTCCTAAAACATTTAAAAGTTTAAGATTACCTTTGCCTTAAAATAAAGTTAAAGTTGATTTGCTTTTTGAAGCAGTTCATAAAAATAGAATTATGATGATGAAACAATCTCATTTTGTATATTCTGCAAATGATGTAAATTCTTAAAATTATGATGGTATTACTCCATTACATATAGCAGTTTTAAAAGGAAATTAAGATTTTGTAGAATGGTTAAATTTTATTTAATTTTATTAGGTTACTTATTAATGGAGCTGATCCTTATATAATGGATTAACAAAATATCACTCCACTTGATATGGCAAGACATTATAATAAAACTAAGGTAATATAAAATTTAATTAATTATATAGATTATCAGACTTTTTGAATAATATAAAAAAATTTGAGATGATGTTTGATTAATAAATGTATTTAAATCATATTTTCTTCAAAGGAACTTTCTTTCCAGCTTTAAGTGATTCAAAATCATTTCTTAATTCTTCTAATTCATCATCAATCTTAAAGATTTAAGTTTCAAGATTTTTCTCCTTTTCTCTCTCATTATTTGATTAAGCCCAGTAATAATGTTGCTAAATTTATAATAATTTATTACTAGCATTTCTCTTCTTTGTTTTCTAAGTGATTCATATTTATCTTCAATTTTATTAAGTGATGATCTTTTTCCAAAATATGAAGTAGTCTTCTCTATAGTTGTCATTAACATATATATGACAACTAAAATAAGAGTGATTCCTAATAGCGCATAATTCTGCATTTTTATTTAATTATTAAATATTTATATATGAATCGAATTAGAGTCCTTAGAAATTTGACAATCCCTAAATTATTTACTAGAATCACCTGTTTAACTCTACCTTATTTTATTTATCATAACTATCATAATAATCATATCCATTGTTTTAATTAAGGTAAAACATATCTCCATTACATTTTCCAGTTCTACAAATGAATTAAAAAATCTATGAACAAAATATACTTGGAAATAATAATGATTATTTCTTCTTAGTTATATATAAGGAAGAAATAGATGGAGGATATGGTGAAAAAGAAGCTATTGAAGCTGCCAAATAATTATAATAAATTATTGATAAACTATAAATTAATTGTATCTCATTTCTATATCTAGGTCATATTTATACTGTATCTAAAACTTAATTAAAAACTATCACCTAAGCAATTCAAAAAAAATAAAATGTTTAGATTTATGAACCTGAGGATTTTAATTAAATTGAAATCTTTTTTAAAACTCCTCATTCCAAAGATTATGTTTACATTCCTTTTAAAAAACACAACTTTTATCAAGAATTTAAATAAGATAAAATATTGTAATACCTATAAATCACAATAGAACATAAGTTTCAAGATTCTTTGATTTGTGCTAAACAGTTACAACTAAAGAATAGTTCCAATCAATAATTTTAGAAAACTTATATTTATTAGACTCTCCTGTTTTCATTAAGTCTAATAGTAATGATTCTTAACTTCAATAATTTAAAAATATATCCTTTCAGTTTTTAGACAAAAAAACTGTAAACTTAAATTCAAAATTCATTATTATTGATAATAAAGAACTATGCTAATCTTTAAAATTAAAAGATGATGATATTTTATTGTTGAGAAATGATATCTTACAAAAATATTACAATTGTATTATCAATCAATAAAATGAAATAATACCCCAATTAATAAATAAGTCTTAACTTGACAATTTAAAATATGAATCCTTTAATGAATGGAGATAAAAACATAATACTCTTAAATCAGATACAATGACTGATTAATAGAATTTATTAGAACAATTCACTTTTGATCTTTAGCAATTTAGTTTACCTAGAGTTTTCTATTTGAAGAACAGGAAAAAATCTAAAATAGCAGCATTTGTCAGAAAAGTCAAAAACCCTTAAAATCCAGAAGGTAAATTAGTTGTAAGTTTGCAATTAGATCCTAAAGATTAAAATAGACTAGATGTATACTAACTTTTATTATCTTTATTAGAATCATCAAAGAATATCTTTATTCTTTAAACTTTATGAATAATATAAGGATAAATTAGAATTTGTAATTTCAGCAACTAATTAATTAGAAGAATTGATGCCTCACTTAAATAAATTTTAAAGCAAGTTTGTTCTTTTTAATATTTTTAAATAAATTCCTTATTCTAAACAACCATTTCCATAAACTGCCAAACTTTATGAAAAATATTTCCTTAAAGACACAAAATTTGTTGAGCGATTTGAAGTATTAGATTAATAATTGAATAATTTACTCTCTTAAAGTCCTGAAAGTAGAATAATTAATATTGATTATCTATCTTAAGATCTTGATAAGATTTAGGAAATTAATTTAGATTATTTTAATTTTCTTTAAAGCAGCAGAAATAACAAAAAGCAAATTATTTTATATTATTAGAATGATGCAATGACAGAAGCATTACTTACTATTTTGAAAGATTTTAAAACAAAGTACATATAATCTAATATTTTAAGTTTAAATATATATACATTATCTAGTTTAAATTAGATACCAGCACTTTATTCATCTTTTCCGAATTAGAATGTTTTGATAGTAAATAATTAAGCTATAGGATTTCCAGAATTGATTGATGCAGATTTAAATGAGTTAAGAGAAAAAGTAGAAAGTTTAGTAAAGCAATATATATGATTATAAATAAAATTGATCTTTTGTTTAAAATAAATAAAGATAGAATTAAATATTGAGATAAACAATCTTTTTTTTATATAAAATTAAATTGAAATTATTTCATAAAAATAATTTATCAGTTTTTAATTTTTAGATAATTGATAATCCTGTTTACATAATTTAAGTAATGGTAGTTTTCCTATGTTTATTGGAATTTTTTTAACTCCTATAAAATAATATATAAAATAAAATACAACAAAATCAAAATTAGCGAATAGCTAACTCATTTTTTTGCTGAATTATAAATAGAAAGAAAGTATTTTTTTTTCTCCTATTCTCAAAATTAGGCAATTTCTTTGATTAATTGTTAATTCACAAATTTTGAGTATTTCATTATCTTACTTAAAATAAATAATAATATATACTTCTAAAGTAGTTGGATATTTATTTAATGCATGAACACAAATATTTTCAATAAGATTCCACATATCTAATTCATTTTAAATTCCAACAAAGGAAATTTTGGTAGGTTTAAAATAAGAGTTTTTTCCAAGTAGATTGAGTAATTCATTTTCATCTTTAATTAAGAGGAATCTAATATAACTCATGAAATCCAAAATATTTACATCTATAAATAAAAAAGATAGAATACCTTCTGGATCAATAACTAATCGAAAGGATTTTGGTAATTACAAGGTTTCTTTAATTAAAGCTTCTTTAAATGAAATGAGTGTAAAAGGTCCATCTGGATCAACTTACACATTCACTTCATTAGCATTATTATCTTCAACAACGAAACCATAATTTAGTAAGAATCTTGAATTACATTTACTCCCATAACTATCAAAAATCATTTAACCTTTTTCAATATTTTCATCAGTTTCAATAATAAATCCTTATTTTTCATCAGAATAACACCAAGATGTTAATTTAGGACGTTTATGATTAAGCATATCTGCAAGTGGAACAAAAGCATCAGTTTTAACTCCTTTTATATTAATTCCAAAAATTCTACTGCTTGCAGTCATTCTAGCCCAACAAAATTCATCAAATGAATATTAAAGGAATTCAGGAGCTATTTAACAAATATCAGAATAATCTTTTTTTAAATCTATAATTTTATCTTTAACTTATTCTAAAATATTTAAAATATATAGTACTTAAAAAAGGAGAGCCTTTTAACCATTGTAAATCATTATCATTAAAAAAGATTGGAAAAGAAGAATATTATTTTGGAAGTACATCTAAGTAAGGTTTCCAAAACGAATCTTGTTTACTTTTTTCTTACAATAAAAAAGTTGAAAGAAAAGAGTGTTTTGGAGATAGTAAGTCAAGTCTATATTGAATTATTTTTTTAGCTACAGGTGTTTCTTTAGCCATTTCTAAAGTTATCATATGAGATTTAGGAACGAAAAGGATGACTTCTTTTGAATTTATAGGTTTTCTTGCATTGACACCTCTATAATCTTCAGCATAACATTCAATCTTAATTTTAGGGAAATGTGCTTATCCACTCTTAAGCCATTCTAAAAGTCTTTTTTATCTATCTAACTCACCTGAATCAATTTAAGACTTATTTTAAAATCACTATTACTTAGAGAGCTAATGATTTATAATAATTCAATTATTTCTCAATTTCTGTACTTTAATTATCTGTCTATTACAAACATTAAATAGCATCCTAATTAAGATCATATATAGATACTTAAATATAACCCATTTCATAAAGAATCTAGGCTTTATTTATTAAGGCTTTAATATAATTTGGATTTAAATATAAAGCTCTATTACAATCTTAAAGTGCTAACTCTAAATCATCCATATAAAAATATGCTTAAGAACGATTATTATAGTAAATTGGATTTTCTTCCATCTCTATTAACTATTAAAGGTTATACTTACAAATCCCTTTTGTTTATATAGCTAATGTTTAATCTTATTCATTATTCAAAAAAGCTTTGTTTCCTTCTTCCTATTAATTTATTTATTAGAAATTACTTTGAGCTCATTAGAATCAAACTCATTTCGTTTAGTTTTTGGTGGCATTAAATAATTATAATTAAAATTACTCTTAATAATTTTCATTCATCACTTATGTTGTTTCTTTTTATTTAATTATTCCCATTCTTTTTTCAGATCTAAATCTTCTAATTATTACTCTATCTCATCTTCTTCAATCTCTAAAAGTTCTTCATAATGAAAGTTAGGAACGAATCTATGAAAATTTTCCAAGAATCTTTATATAAACATTATTGCCTTATTCATCTTTTCCAATGGATTTTCACATTCATTAGAAAATTTCACTAATGAAGGTGTAATTAATATCCCTAATGATTTTAAATTCATTTTATTTTATCCTTCAAATTTAGCTACTTCTTATAAAAATGAACAAATCATATAAAATATTCTAGCATTTATCTCTGATAAATTATTGATAACATTAAATGCATTTAATTCTTTTTAAAATACCTAATCACAGTTTATTAAAGAAATCTCTAATTGACTCAAATACTATTTTAATGTACAGGCTACTAAATGAGGATTTGCATCCTTTATTCTTGTAAAATTATAGCCTTTAACTTCATTTAATAGTTCATGAATTTCACTATTTATAGCACATTTTCTAAAAAGCCCTTCATGCTACATATTATTTTTATAATATTTCAATAATTCTTATAAAATTATTGGCACTCCATATTTGTTTAGTTTTTCATTCAAAAAACTATTCTTTTTCTCTAAACCTATTAAGATATTACCTATTTCTTTTAATGATTCTATTCTAAAAATGTTTTTCTCTTTATATTCATCAACTTAATTGTCTCCTAAAATAAAAATAGAATGCAATTTTGGAGCCTTTCTAATTATATCTAATATCAAATTTTCTTTAATAAATTCAAATAAAGATACATATTTAATTATTATAACTACTCTTAAATAATAATTAGTACATACTTATTGACTGAAATATTGAGACAATCTAATAAATACTCAACTGCAAATTATTAGTAGGATTCTTCATTAAGATATATTTTAAGATAGTTTTATTCTATTACAGTTTCTATATTGTAAGACTTTGTAATTATATTTTCTTATCTAATATCATTCATTAATATAATTATATAATAAATTTAATTTAAATATTTTATTATTTCATAATCTACATATAATTTATACAAAATATAGAACTTTAAAGAATTTAGATTACATAGAACAATAATAAAATTAATTGTACTATAAAAGAGAGAATAATTAATTTGAAGTTAAACTTATAATTTATTATACTACTTAATTTCTGCTCATTTTTATTCAAGTATTTGAGTTTATTGCCCTTATAAATTAATAGATTCATCAGTTCTTAATTAATAACAAAGAACATAGGCTGATTTTGTTACTACCTAAGATTCACTTATTTCTCCAACATGAGAGTCATCAAAATTATACCATTTTTTTGTAAACTATCATATTTCGATATTAATACTTTATTTTTAGCACAAGCTGTGTAATGACCTCCTCCTAATCCACCAAAATGATTAGAAACAGCATATAAATCATAAATAGCTTTCTGTTTGTTATTTTCACCATTTTCATCTTCTGTTTCATTTTCATAATCTTGAGGTGTTTTTGAGTTAATTAGATAATCAGTCATATCAAGTCCATTTATTGGAAAGTCTACAAAGGTTTCAAGTTTTTATTTAAACATTCTATTTGAAGCTTTAAATCTTTTCAAAGTGAATATTAATATTTAAGGGGCCTATTTTGATATTTAATAAATTAAAAACCTTATATATTTGCATACTTTTATAAGCTTAGACATGCTCTTGACATTCTTTGCAATACCAAGTATTTTCTGCATTCAATTATTCTGGTTATTATGAGAATTATAAACAATCAGCCAAACTCACACTACCAGAATGTTGATTTGAATGACCATGATTCTAAAATGGAAATTTTTATTATTATGGTTGTTCAACTAAAAATATTTGATTTTACATATTACTTTCTATTTTATTGATAGTACTAATATAATGATCAAAAACATCAGCTAATTTAACAGTTTTAAATGGAGATTATTTCCATAAAATTATTATTTCAAAAGTGTTTTGGAAATCTGAAGTATGAAGCTTATTTTTAATTTCATCAAGTTTTTCATCATCAAATTACACTTCACAATCATTACAATTTTTATTTGAGCAAAATGAACAAGGATTCCAATAATTACTATTAGATTTGTTATAAAGACTATAATACTAATAATTAATTTAAATATTACTTTATTCATGACATCTTTTTCATAGTTTAAATTATCGTAATCAGCAAAAAATACCTTTAAAAATTAAAATATTTTAATATGTAATTATTTCCTTGTCATTGATCCATCAAATATAAAGAATCCATTTGAAAAATATGATTTTTTTAAAGAATCTAAATATTTATTTGTAAACTAAATTGGAAATTTATTAACTATTTAAGCTTCTTCATCTAAAAGATTTCTGAAGCACAATTAGGATCTTTTGGCAATTTTTCGTATTTCAACAATTGATCTACTTTCCCTTAATAATTCTAAAGGTGAATATTGATTAGTAATATAAGCAATAAAATTTGATGGTTAAACCTTCAGTTCTTCTCCTAAAAATTGAAAATAATCTTTTAAAGATTAACTCTTATTTTTATCAAATGGTATAATTTTACTAGTTGAAGTAAAAAATGTATCATAAAATTTAAAAGAAATAGTTCTTTTTTTCTAACTTGGTATTCCCAATTGTACCATCAAATATGGATCGAAAGTGATGGATAGCCTTTCGCATTTTGGACATTTTAATGTAGATTTGTATTATCCATACATAAGATCAACTACTATAGATTGATTTCTTGCCAAGTGATTTAACCAACTTTCTTTTGCAACAACAAAATCAGTTCTTCCATCACTATCTTTGGTTTCAACATATGGTTTTTTCTTGACTCTATTCAAATCCTCATGAATTCCATCTAAAACAAAAGTAATTAATTCAGAAGAATCATGTTAATGATATCCTTTAAACATTGGTTAAAATTAACCAATAGCTTTTTTATAATTTGTTGGTGTTACAACAGCTTTCTCTCCATACCATAATTTTTTTAATAAGGATCCAACTCTTTTAACTAAATAACCCTTTGTTCCTATAGGATTATCCATATTGATTTCATCAAAGTATTAGTTCCTTAAAAAATACTCTGTTAATGGAAATGTGTTAGATATACATTAAGTACCACTATTCATAAAACATGTATTTCCTAAATTACTTAGACCAGCTAGACCTCCAATTGAGTTTGGTTGTTAACTCAAACCTTTTACAGTATCATCATCAGATCCAAACTTATCACATCTCATGCTGTGATAGTTATAATCTTTAGTTCTACATTCTTATGAACAATATGCAACTTTTCTACATAAACATGGATGATTAAGTATTTTCACTATTTAACAGTTCTCACACTTACCTTCTACTTAGACAGCTTTATTACGAATACACCAAGGCTTTTAATCATCTTTAAACTATTTAATTATTATTAAATTTTTACTTCTATAATAATCAAATGATGATCTAAAATACCTACATCTTCAATTGTATCATAGATCGAATAATGAATAAAATCACCAATGAAATCAAAACTCATTTCGTCAAAATTCTCTAATTCTCCAACTTACTTTTAAATATCTGCAAATAATGCTTTAAAAATATCCTTTTAATCTGATTTATATCTCCAAATTCTAATATTGTTATCTTTTGCAAAATTTCCAGAGAATGTGTGAACAGTCCTTGAAAGTAAACTATAATAATCTTTCAATTTCATATTTCTATCAACTTATAAATATTCTTAGTCAAAAGTTTATTTTTGAAACCTATCCAATGCAATCTACTTTATTACATTTGGATAAAGCAATGTACTTTTAAACTCGAAAAATATCATCAAATAAATACTTTCAATAAATTTATTGCTACTTATTTATCCTTCCCTAATCCATTTGACATTCTTACTATTGGAGTACCATGATAATATGTTGTAAAGAATTTCCAAATTTCTTTATCAATAATTATGTAGTCTATATTTTCTTATAGATTTTCTTTCATGAATGTATTCCAAGGATGATCCTTTAGAGGAGAATATTTGAAGCATTTTTCAACTCTATCCTCTAAATCTATGTTTATGTGTTCCATATTTAGTTTTCCAAAGTTTTTACCTGGATGTTTGTTAGCCAATATTTCTTCATATGAAACATATTCCTTCCATTAATTAAGCCACCTAAATAATTCATTTAAATACTTCATGCTCAAAATATAAAATTAATCATTTTGATCCTATTTAAATCTCTCTGGAAATGAATCTATTAACTTCTTGTAATCCATCACATGTCTTTTAAGTTTATCAGCAACTTGTTAAGACACTTTTATATCGTCCTATTTATCATCACCTATTGATTAGTACATTTTAATTAATTAATTATGTAATTTATTGGACTTTCCTGATAAATACTGAAAAATATATACATTCATCCCAATGTAAAATTTTTCATAAAATAGTATTATTTTTAATCTCATTTATTTTTGCTTCTAGAAATCTTTTTTAGATAATATCTAAACAAAAATCCTTTCATTTTGATTGATTATAATTTTCTATTTTACAACATTTTTATTCATAAATTTAAATAAAAAAAAAAAGTTTATTTTTTTTTTTAATTGAGTCATAAATTTAGAATTTTATAAATGTCTAGAAATAAAAAATATTGATCATTTAATTCAGAAAATTATTGTTGATAATATTATTTATATTCATAAATTATACTGATCTATTTTTCATGTAAAAAAATTAAAATTAGAATCTCTTATACTTCCCTCTAAACCAAAATTATTAGTCATTTCACATCAAAGAATTGTATATATTTATAATTTAATTCAAAACTTCTCTCTAATAATTATAATGATTATCAATAATGATACTTTTGAGATGTTTACCATAATTAAAGAAATTTACTAAAATGAAAACCAAAGAGTGTATATATCTAATAAGAAAGATCAATTCAAAATAATTGTACTAAAAGTCGATATAGGTAATCAAAAATATCTGTATAATGAATACATAATACTTGACTAATTGAAATATGTAGAGGGAGTGCCAAAAGTACTGAACTGTGGTTTTGCTGCAAATGAAAAGTATATATCATTATTATATGAGGTTTTATTATTCTATAGACTATTATGAAAAATCAGTTTCTGATATTTTGAAGAAAAATGGAACTTTAAGCCTACAATCAGTATTATCAATTGGATTATCTTTACTTCGAATTTTAAGTGGCATGCATAAACACGAAATTATTTATAGCAATATATGTCCAGAAAATATTGTTTTTTCAAAAGAAGGAGCAGATCATGATTCTAAACTGCATTTAATTGGTTTTGGCTAAGCACATCTGAAATATGACAAACCAAAAAAAATTTAAAATAAAAATTTTTTGCCATATCAATCCTGTAAATCACATAATGACTGTTTAAATTCTAAGACAGGTGATTTAGAAAGTTTGGGATTTCTAATTATAAAATTAAGAAAAGGTATAGTTTATAAATATTCAAAGGAATATTACCATGGGAAAATTTGTCTCAATAATTGATGGCAGAGAAGAAAGTAGAATGCTTGAGATCAAATGAATTCTTTTAAGGATTACCATAAGAATTTAAACTGTACTTTCAATAAATCAAATCATATAATGATGAACCAAAACATTAATATTTAATTAAATTACTCAATGCTATTATGCTAAAGTATTGCAAGACAACACGACATTGTATACAAGAACTAAATTAATTAACTCCAATAATTGAAGCTTCGTATGAAACAGATTCATCAATGGAAAGTTTTTATCTCTCTCGACGTACAATAATGCTTTCAAATGCAAGTAGTGTAAATGTGTTGACAAATACAGAATTAGATTCATCTATCGAAGAAAAGCTAAAGAAATTAAAATTGATATCTAAATAATATAAACTAATCAGTAACTTATGAATATGTATATATAAATAACTTTCTTATTAATTTAGTACCAAATTATTATACTTTTTTTGGATACGAAAATCATAAGAATATAAATTCTAAATTTACAGCAAACAGTTGATTCCTTATAATAGTAATAAATTATAATTAATAATTGAAAAGCACGAGAGAAATATTTTTTTTATTTAAATGGATATTGACAAATAATTAGATATTTTAAGAAATGGTAGATGTTTAAGTGAGCGAGATACTCATATGATTTGTGAATATGTAAAAGAAATTCTAGTAGAAGAAGCAAATGTTATTTTTGTGCAAACTCCAATTTAAGTATGTGGTGATATTCATGGATAATTTTTCGATTTATTAGAACTCTTTAAGGAAGGAGGTGAATTACCAGAAAAGAGATATTTGTTTAATGGAGATTATGTAAATAGAGGGTAAATTGTATAGATTATAAAAGTTATCATTCAGTTGAGACAATGCAATACTTACTATGTTTAAAGATAAAATATCCAAAAGAGATTATATTATTAAGAGGAAATCATGAGTCTAGATAATAAACTCAAGTTTATGGGCTGTATGATGAAGTATATAGAAAATTCGGTAATGCTTATCCTTGGTAATACTTTTGTGAAATATTTGATTATTTGCCTTTATGTGCTTTAATAGATTAAAAGGTATTTAGCGTTCATGGAGGATTATCACCAAAAATAAAGAGAATAGATTAAATTAGAACAATAGGTAAAAAGAATGAGAAATTGAATAGATAGAAGAAATGCAAAGGAACATGAAGGTCCTATGTGTGATATATTATGGTCTGATCCAGAAGATATAGATGGATGGGCAGCAAATAATCGTGGAGCAGGGTATTAATTTGGTAAAAGTGTTGTTAATGAATTTAATCATATAAATGATTTAATATTGATTGCAAGATCTCACTAATTGGTAATGGAAGGATATAAATATGAATTTTTAGTAATGATATATTATATGATAGAAAAAATTAGTGACTGTATGGTCAGCTCCAAATTATTGTTATAGATGTGGTAATAAAGGATGTATAATGGTATTAGATGAAAATTTAGAATAAAGTTTCTAATTTTTCGAGGAATCATGTGATTCAAAATTATAGGTTTATGGAATAAAAACTCTACCTTATTTTTTATGAAATTTTATTTGTAATATAATTTAATTGAATAATTAATTATAAATAGATAATTGGTATAATAAATTTATTTAATGAAAAAGATAGCAGGAAATTTGTTTGATTATTAATCTGCAGGTCAAGGATATTTGCTGAAATATATTCAAACATTGTAAGAAACTGAGTAGAACAACATTATACATAAATTACAGAAATACGATATTAAATAATTGTATCAAGTAAAGAGTGTTTAGAAGTTAGGTTTATCAATAATTCAAAGCAAAGATGGTATAGATGACACCATATGAGCCAATAAGATGTTTGGAGTTTGTAGAAAAAGACGAAGAGATAGGATATACAACAATAGCAGAGGGCAAACGTATACGGCAATCCTCACTATTTAGTGGCAATCGTATTGAGTGCTTAGCAAAACATTAATTTGTTAGACATCCAGTTACCTTCACATAAGAGTTTGCTTCAATTGTATTGTGAACGAATTTGGAGTCTTTAGAATGTTGTCAAACAACATTGTGGAAAATGTTTACCAATACTGATATTCATTATGACCGCCGATTTTAATCATGATATGATTACTACCTTTTTTTAAGACAATAATCATTTTGGTCTTTAATAAGATCAAATCTTTTTTATTTAATAAGATAAATTACCTTTATTTAATTTAGAAGGATAAATTCTTTTTACCAATTAATATTAAATTTTTGATGAATCTTTTGGCAGTGGATACATCTATTTAAATCAATCAGCTTTAGATACTATGAAATTTTTGGGTATTACCATTCTTCATTTATGTACAATGGAAAATGTACTATGTAAATTTGGTGATCCTATTTGGATTGGTGCATTTATTCGAAATTAATTATATTTGAGTTCCAAATGTGTATAAAAACGCGGTGTTGATGAAAATCTTGGAATAATTGTTAATCAAAATAATTAAGGATTATAATATAAAGGTATATTATTTATATATATTCAAAAGAGTTTGATGAAATCTCTTATAATGATTTGGTAAAAAAAGATAAAAATGGAAGCTTAGCTAATCCTGATGGAGTCATTGGTTAAATTATGTGTTCCTTAGATTATGCCCTTGAAATTTGTTGCAAATTTAAAAAACATATTTTGTCTAAGTAGAGATTTACAATCAAACTAGTTTCCATATTCGATAAAAGAAATGTACATATTTTGATTACATAACGTCCAAATTAATCTAACCTTTATCAAAACCTAATGCTCTTAAATTTGAATTAACATACTTTGAAGCTGTTCCTTATTGTCCAATTAAATAATTTGCATTATTTAGAATCAAAAGAGAAGATGAATATGCTCCTATTCTCAATCCTTCAAATGAAATCTAAGATACTATACACACAGCACGTTAAGCTTATATGAGTAGAGATTCAAAATGGCTCACTTAATTAGGCTATTAAATTAATTCAGAAATTGAGATCTCTCCTAAATTAACTTATTTTGGAGAAGGATTAGAAGAAGTAACTAAAAAATAGATTAAAAATAAATCATAAATCCCTCTTATTCTTCATAGTGATAAATAAATAAGAACTGTTAGAGTTAATAGTGTTCATAATTAACAACCTTAAACTTCACCTAATAAATATAATTCTTAAACTGTAAATACTTAAAATTTTTTTTAACAAAAAATGAGCATTCATTAAAGTTTGAATCATCTTAAATAACCAATCACCAATTCATTAGTTACTCCTCCATCTAGTAATTAAAGTTTTCAACTTTCTGGTCGAAAAAGCATTGATTAGAAACCAAATCGATAGACTGATTATTAACATAGACCTAATCTAAATTAATTAAACAAACCTTTATATTATGTACCTAACACATATTATTAACCAAAAAAATGATTTGATAAAATAATTTTATTATAATATTTATTTATCATAATAAATTATAATTTTATTACACTCTCTCCCAAAACTCTTCTGATGCCTAGCTCAACTGAATCTCATACTTAATCAAACTCTAAGCCAATCTATAATAGTTTTACTACTTTTCCAACTAGAACTAAATTGAATTCTTACCTTAAATTTATCAATTTCTATATATCCTAACAATACAGTAAGTATATCACAAATAAATTACATGTTTTCAATATCCTTACACACTTAATCAATCTAAAATTATAATTTTGCTATTTAATCTTCCTTCTTTGTTGTACTAAATATATTTTTTATGGATGCCTTCCCTGCTAATACTTCTTATAATTAAATTTAAAGTTCCTTCTATTTCTATTCATAAAACACCTTTTGTTATTCATATTTCTCTCTCTATGTCATAGTTTCCAAAAATGCTCTAACTTATTTTGACTCTTTCTTTATTTCCTAATATAACGATTGGAATTCATTTAATTATAACAGATTTATGTAATTATTTAACAATTAAGATGGGTACTCATCATTTTTGATACTCTATATTACTAATTTATCTTAACTTTCACTAAATTCTAATAAGACATGCTATTCATAGTCAGGCAAATAGTTTTAAAGGAAATTAGTTAATTATTCCTAAAAAGTTTATCTAGCCTATGCTATATTTCTACAATATTGTTATATTTTACTTTGCAATTTATTTAAAATTTTCAACCATTGGATTTACTCTTTTTAGAAATTAATGAAAATCTGTTATCTTTTGAATTAATTCTCTATTGATTTCTCTCTATTCCTATAAGAATAAAATTTACTCCAGATAGATCTGTAAAAGTGTCCTAATATTTGTTTATAATTTCGTCATAAGTCAATTTTGGTACTTATGTAAGAGCCTAGATTTAGTATTGAATTACTTTTTCAATATCTCCATTGGTCTTTATAAACAATTAAAATTCTTCAGAATACCAAAAGTATTTGGATTAAGCCATAATTCTCATCCAATCTTATAAAGAACGCATTCTATCATCTATGAATTTTTAATCCATATTTCCCTAAAACTGTTATTATTTAAAATACAATAGCTTTTCTAGGTGGAAGTGGTGGTATATAACATCCAGGCCATTTAATTATAAGAAATTAACGAATTAGTCGGAAATCACTAAACCTTCTTATCACATCAAATTATCCGTTCTTATCCATTCCTCGAACTGAATACGTAGTGTATTTATTAAGTCCAGATTAAACTTTTGGATCGCTTACTTCAACTGAGATCTTTTATAATCTCTAAATCGAAATATTATACCTCGAAATCATCTTAGTTCATGTATAATATTATATAAATTCATTTTCTATGTGTAACTGAGTGATATAATTGTGAATAAAACATGGTTGCCAAAATTGCTGCTCCGATTGGTCCTCCTACATATATCCACATATTAATCATTTAATCCCAACTTTTAGCTAAACAATCAAATACTGTCAAACTTAATGCTGCAGCTGGATTTAGAAGACTATTACTAGATGTAATTGTATATCTATCAAATAATCTAGAATTTTACTCTCTGCAAGCATAATATATACAGGATAAAATTACTAATGTTGCAATCCTATTTTAAGTTAATGATGTTTCTTTAACAAAGCATATTAGAGTAAAAATCAAAAATATTGTGGATCCTATCATTTCTCCAAATAATGATGCTGCTAATTCATTTATTGGTTCACTAACTTAATTCTAATTTATTACTCCTCTATATATGGGGCTTTGTCCATATTCAATAATAAAAATGATAATGCAGCTCCACAAAATGCTCCTAAAAATTGAGGAAGAAAGTAAAAAAACATTGTACTATAAGGAATTCCTCCACCCAAAGCCATTGCTAATGTTATTGCAGGATTGAAATGACCTCCACTTAATCTACCAAATACAAGCATACATCCAAATAATCCTAATGCTACTTGATATGCTTCATTCCTATATTTTTTTAATTTACTTACTAGCTGCAAACACTTATATATACTAAAAAGAATGTTCCTATAAGTTCAAAAATGAAGATGTTCTTTTTAGAAATTGATTGTTTTTGTTCTTCTGTAATTTGTTCCATAAAAATATTAAAAAAATTTTTAATTAAGATTTTAATACATGGGTGTAAGAGTCACATATCGTAGAAGAACCAGCTATAACACAAGATCAAATAAGATCAGAAAAGTCAAGACTCCAGGTATTTAAATCCATCTACTCTAGGTGGTAACGTTGTGGTCTAATATCCAAATAAAAAGACAAGTGCATCAACGTGTGCAGATTCTAATTTGAGTGTTGTCTTAAATGGTCTTAAAAGAATTAGACCAACAAAACTCAAATAACTTTCTAGAAGACAAAGAACAGTCTCAAGACCATATGGAGGTGTATTAAGTGCTTCAGCCTTAAAAAATCGCATCATAAGAGCATTCCTTGTTGAAGAGGTCAAAATAGTAAAGTAAATCAAAAAATGATTCATCATACATTAAAAATTTATCTATGAGATAATTTAGCTGCTTAAAACAAATTAATTTCAATAATCTCATCTTATATTATCCTTTTATTTATATCAATAAATCCAATTTAAAAGAGAATATATCAATATTTCATAATAATTAATCATGTTTTTTTTTATTTGACAAAAAGTATTGTATTTATTCCATTTTTCAAATGAGTAATTAATGATAAATGGTGATCTTGTAAAAATTACTATTATTAATAATATAAAAATTCTTTTGAATTTGGAAAAAAAAAAATAGAATAACAGTATTGATTAAATTTCCTATTATTTATTTTTATTAACGATTATATGATTAGCAAAATGATAATGGATCGCTAGAAGAAAACGTAAAACATTGATGAAAACGAATTGGATTCTTTCAATCGATATTTATAGAGAGATAATCAACCTTTAAATTTGGGCACTTAACTCTCATATTCTAAAATTAAAGTAAATGTAGGAATGCCAGTCATAACTGAGTAACAAAATGAAACTCTTGGAAATACTCATCAATCAACAGTGTAACAAAGCAAAAATTAATCCCCTTAAAAGAAAACTATTGGAATGGAAGACATAAGGTTGAATATTAGAATAGTTTTCAAATTTTATGCAAGTTTTGGAAATAGAAACAATACTAGGTTTCTAAAATCAAATAAATTTATAAAAATGTTATCTGATGCATAAATTATGCCATAATTATTGTCGAATCGAGATTGTGATATTTTATATGCCTAACAAACAAAACATAATGAAAGTCTCACACTAGAATAATTTTAGAACTTGATACCAAAATTAGCAATGATTGTTTATCCTTAACATAAAGTTCATTAAGCCTTTCAAAAATTATATTAAGAATACTTATCATAGTTATCTTAAAAAATTCTTAATTTTACTGAGTTTGGCCAATAAATTTAGTTTGTACTTCAATCAATAAGCCCTGAAATTAAAGATTTTATAGAACCTATTTAATAATAATTATCTAATTTGCATAAATTTGTTTTTGAAGATTAAAGCACTAATATTAGCAAAGTTTAGTGGCAATTTATGTAATTTTTAACATAATGTGAAATATTACCTAATTATATTAATTAATCTTAAGCTTAATTGATCTTTGATAACATATAAATAAGGCAGTAAATCCTTAATTTACAAGAAAATGGAAATTATTTATTTGGTTTAAATAGTTTTGTTGAAAGTTTAATCATAATTTCAAAAACAGTTCCAAATTTGGATGAATTTACTTAATTTAGATTATTGTTGGATAAAATTGAACAATCAGAAGGTTTTAGTTAATATTTAAGAAAATTAAATAGAACATAAAGTGATAAAGTCAGATTATTTTATAATATAGAAAAAAGTAGAGTTTATAAATAAGAAAATCTGATTTAATAAAGTTAAATGATTTCAAACAATATAAANTATTGATTAAATTTCCTATTATTTATTTTTATTAACGATTATATGATTAGCAAAATGATAATGGATCGCTAGAAGAAAACGTAAAACATTGATGAAAACGAATTGGATTCTTTCAATCGATATTTATAGAGAGATAATCAACCTTTAAATTTGGGCACTTAACTCTCATATTCTAAAATTAAAGTAAATGTAGGAATGCCAGTCATAACTGAGTAACAAAATGAAACTCTTGGAAATACTCATCAATCAACAGTGTAACAAAGCAAAAATTAATCCCCTTAAAAGAAAACTATTGGAATGGAAGACATAAGGTTGAATATTAGAATAGTTTTCAAATTTTATGCAAGTTTTGGAAATAGAAACAATACTAGGTTTCTAAAATCAAATAAATTTATAAAAATGTTATCTGATGCATAAATTATGCCATAATTATTGTCGAATCGAGATTGTGATATTTTATATGCCTAACAAACAAAACATAATGAAAGTCTCACACTAGAATAATTTTAGAACTTGATACCAAAATTAGCAATGATTGTTTATCCTTAACATAAAGTTCATTAAGCCTTTCAAAAATTATATTAAGAATACTTATCATAGTTATCTTAAAAAATTCTTAATTTTACTGAGTTTGGCCAATAAATTTAGTTTGTACTTCAATCAATAAGCCCTGAAATTAAAGATTTTATAGAACCTATTTAATAATAATTATCTAATTTGCATAAATTTGTTTTTGAAGATTAAAGCACTAATATTAGCAAAGTTTAGTGGCAATTTATGTAATTTTTAACATAATGTGAAATATTACCTAATTATATTAATTAATCTTAAGCTTAATTGATCTTTGATAACATATAAATAAGGCAGTAAATCCTTAATTTACAAGAAAATGGAAATTATTTATTTGGTTTAAATAGTTTTGTTGAAAGTTTAATCATAATTTCAAAAACAGTTCCAAATTTGGATGAATTTACTTAATTTAGATTATTGTTGGATAAAATTGAACAATCAGAAGGTTTTAGTTAATATTTAAGAAAATTAAATAGAACATAAAGTGATAAAGTCAGATTATTTTATAATATAGAAAAAAGTAGAGTTTATAAATAAGAAAATCTGATTTAATAAAGTTAAATGATTTCAAACAATATAAACAATGTAAGTCATACAAATATTTTAATTGGTAATACAAATAAAAAAGTTGATGAAAGCAAGGTTAATGTTTCTATGATGAAATAATCTAAATATTTATCAGATATTGATTAATCTTTTATTTCTTCTTTAAAAAAATTATTTGAGTTATTTGCTTAAAGTGGAGAACCTAGCAATATTTAATCTTTAAAAAATACAAAATTCAATAAGTTATTATTACACTCTGGAATTCTTAATAATTTAATTAGTATAACTGATTCTGATATGATCTATTCAAAATTATGTGGTGTTTCATCTATTAAAACTTAATAGAAAAATAAATAATAGACAAATGGTAAAATGACTTTTGGATAATTTTAAATTAGTTTGGGATTAATAGCTGAAAAATGTGGAATGGATATAAATGAATTAATTTAACAAAATATTTTGCCATTAGAGAAATAAATGTCTGATGATAATAAAGAATAAATCCTTTAAGTTTTAGTTGATCTTTTACAAGATGAATAAATTGTATAAAAAATAAATTATAATATTAGATTTAACTCTATGAGATGATTTAACCAGTTTTTGATTGGTATTTTTAAGAATATACAAAATAGCAAAATTAAATATTGTATCTATCAGAGTTTTTGAAATTTTGTCAAGACTTTGAGCTTTCCAATATTTTAATATCTTAGACTTAATTGACTTCAATATTTTATTCTGTAGCTTCTCTTAATTAAGAAGGGTAAGAGTATTAAGACTAAATTTTCCTTGATAAATCTTAATTTGTTGAAGCCATCAGTATAATAGCCATTCAAATATATGCTACAATTCCAAACAACATTTAAAGAGTATATACTAATATCTGATTATTAGATTGTATATCTTCTAGAAAGAATATTTCAGTCTCAAAATGCTTCTAAAATATATGTAAAGCAAAATAAGTATTATATTAATAAATAAAATTTTAGATTATAAGCAAGATTTTAGAATGTAATTGAGGAAATTAAATATAGATTTTTACAAAAAGACAAAGTAAATTAAGGGGAAGAATAATATAATTTTGATGATTTAGTAAATGGAACTATTTAATAATTTTAATGATTTTATTTTCAGAATAATTCATTAATTAAGTCTTTTAATTCTAAAATTGTACTTTCTTATTATTTTTCTTTAACAGGAAATTCTAAATTAAATGATTCTTCTGGTTAATCTGGTTCTTTAACTTCATTATAAACATCTTTTAGATTGATTTTTCTATACTTACCAGAAATAATCATTCTACTAACTTTTTATCTCTCTTTCTGTTCTTGTAATGAGTGTCCATATTAAGTAAAAGAATATTTTGGTAAAATAGTATTACTTTAAGCAGCAGATCTTGGAGGATTTGAAAGATTTCGAGAACATTAGCTACAAAATATATCAGTTTTTTAAGCTTAAGGACTAAGTACTATATATATAGGAGTTTAACAACATTTACTACAAGGAATCCATTCAGAATCTAAAATTATAAATTATTTATGAACCTGAAAAATAAATGTAAAACTTTTCAGAAACTGCATGTTAACATATAAGCAAATTTATTTCTTAAATTGTAAGTTCTTTAAATTTATCTTACACAAGATTAAGAACAGACAATCTTCTTCTATCTCCTGGAGGTAAAGCTTTGAGTTTGTTATTCATGACATTATGAAGAATAGTACGATAATTTGCTAATTTATTTTATTAAGTGTATTACTTTTGAGAAAGTATATTTTCATATATCGTTTACTTTGTTTGGTCTCCATCTCATTATTATTTATCTACTCAGAAAATAGCATATTTGGTTATCTTTAAGTTTGAGAAGTTGCTGCTCTTGGAACATGACGAATAGACTATTTAATAATTTATTTTTATTACCTGAGCTGTTGAAGGCTTTTTGACAGGCTGAGTTTGTGAAGTAAATGGACGAACTTACATGTTCGAATTATAACCTTATACAGGATTAAAAGGGTAATTTTGAAAGACAATCCCCTTCTTTAATTTGCCAACTGATTATGAGTTTTAGTGAATAACATTCTAATTATCGAATTGTGTACGATAATAATTATAATTCATATTAAATAAATAACTTAAATTAGTTTTATTTATTTTCTTCTTAATTTTTCTATAAATGACTTCAATCATTTTTATTGTACATAATCAAGCACTTTCGCATCAAAAATTATTCAATCTTTTTAATAATAAATAATAATTTTAAAAACTCTTTCTTAACAATCAAGAAAAAACTATTCCTCCATCATTACTAAATTAAAAAATATTTTGAAAGTAAATTAAAAAATGAAGCACATAATTTTTGAAGAAAATCAATTCTATGAGAAGATTAAGTTTAATGAAAAAAAATTAATATATGATTCTATTAATATTAAATTACCATTATTTCTGTTTTAATATTTATAATCATTGTAAAAGCTTATATAAAATTCATTCTAGTGATGTCAATGCCTATTCTTTCATTTTATATATAATTTTGTGCAAATTTAAAAATAAAAAATAAAGTCTAAATTAATTCTAAAATCATGCTATTTTTCTGGAAATCTAGTAAATTAAAAAATCAAGATGAGAAATTTTGTATCTCTACTCTTATAATGAATTATGAATAGATTGGAAAACCACTAAATTATTATTCTTAGTTAAAGATTGAGTAGCAATAATAATAATAATTTACAACTTTTCTTTAAAGACATTTTTATTTACTAAGAAACTGTGATAATAATGAACTTAAAGATGTAATAAAATTAGGGATTCTATAGTGTTATTTTTAATAAAGATTTACAAATAAGTGTAAATATATTATTATAAATAAGAAAGAATTACTTTTACAAACCAATAGCCTAAAGAAGAACAGCACTTTCAAATTCTATTGTGAATTTTAGAGATGCAACATGAAATTAAGATTGTTGTTAATTTATGATGAATGAAAATTTTCTTTTTCATTTTATCAGCATCTAATGAATTTGATGATGAGCTAGAGAAGCAACTCAACCATCCCTGTTTGTTGTTGAACTGACTTAATAAAATTATATATATAAAATTTCCATCAAACATGGATTTCCTTTTCAAGGCATTGAAAATAACAAGATATCAAGTATACTTTCGGGAGCAGATAAAGATGTAGACGGCTGCTCAATAAATTTACTAAGGAGATATTAATTTGTATTATGAGGAGAATGATTGGTTTTATATTGCTATATTTTCTCATATTTATTATATTTATATTTGTTATTACCATCAACCCTCTTCTTCTACTAACTCCCCTGGTCAGATTTTTTGTGAATTTCTAAAAAATTATTTAACTCATAATATACATTTTCTAATAATATCTGATTTCGTTAAAAGAACCATTTAATAAGATTTGTAAATAATTTGTTATTTTTTAATTTTATTATTAAGAATTTAAATTATTTTTTTAGCATTTAAAGCTCATCTCGAAAGACATATCTCAATTCAATATAATGTTTTTTGTATCTAATGTCTATTTTTAGTTTCAAATAGAAAGATTATGAAACATAAAAAACGTATAGTTAATTACTATAATTCTAGAAATATGTATAACTATAAATCAATAAATAATATTATTGCAATTAATATGTCCATTAGCTCTGCAAACAAAGCATTGAATTTCATCTTTTAATTTATTTAATAATTGGGTGATAATTCCACATTCTGATTCTTTATGACTATTTTTGCCACAATTAAGGCATTATTATAATTTATTTGAAATCTAAGTACATATAAATTAGATTAACCTTGCAATCATTTTTTCTATGTCCAATTTAATTACATCTAAAACAAGAAACATTAGAACAAGAATCTCCTGCATGTTTTTAACTCAAACAATAATTACATTATATGTTTTATAGCTCAACACATTGTCTTTCTTAATGTCCAGTCTATTTACATCTATAGCAGTATTCAAATGGATTAAATTAGAAGTATCGATTTAGTCCTAATTCTAATAAATCTTTTAAGTCTTATCTAAAATAATAGTATATATATAAACTTTAAATCATCATCTTTTTGATCATATTTTTCTTCATCATTTTATTTTTAAGTTGACTAAATATTTAGTTTAGATATTTTTTCATTTAAATTTTTCATACAAGTCATTTTTTTACAACCATTAAGTTCATATTCAATTAAATAATCTCTTTTAGGGGGATTAATATCAATCATAAAATCTAAGATTTTGGACTAATTTTTTTGATGTTTTTTTTATGATTTAGAATTGGAAGGTAAAGATGGTAAACTATCAGACGAATTAGAACTAGAAATTGATGATTGACTTGAACTAGTAGATGATGATGAACTACTGCTTCTTTTTTTCTTTTTCTTAAATTGATTCCTTTTTCTATTATCATATTTTAAATTTTATTTAGAAATCTTCTTTTCATATTTTTGGTATTCCAGATATAGTTCTTCTAATGCTTCTAATTTTATTTGTTACTTCATTAAATATTTTATACTTATTTGTGATGATCAAGTGTGTTTTTATCTTGCCAAATAGACATTTTACGATAAATTTTAATATATTTAAAATAAAATTAAATCAATTGTTAGCTGCACGATGAAATTTGATATAATTAGTATTATCTTCTTCTTCTTCTTCTTCTTAATCTTATACTTATTGTTCTAAAGGTTTAAGATCATAAATTTAGTGTTATATTTATTCACTTTTTTCAAAATCTCTAGTTAAAGCAAGATTAAGTCTACAAATTTATTATTCATTATTGGAAACTCTTTATTCCAGTGCTTATAATGTTCTAAAATAAATAGAATAGAAACCTTGTAATTAATTCTAATTATCCACTAATATTATCTAATTATGTAATAACTTCAGTTGGGACATCTTCTTTTTATAATTATAAACTTTAATTAAATTCACTTTTCTTATGTAGACTATTATCTGCATTAGAATATAGTACAGTTTCTTTTTATTTAGGTAATTAATTATTAGTCTATTAAATATTTTCTTTTTATTATTATTATTATTATTATTATGATTATTATTATTATGTTTATTAAATAGGTTTAGTTTTAATAGGTTTAGGTTTTTCATCTAAAGATTCTTAACCACTACAAACCCAATTAGTATTCCAAACTAAAATCATACTATCTGATCCTCCAGTTGCAAAATAATCACCATAATTAGAAAATGCGCAAGTAGTAGCTTATCCATTATGACCATAAAGAGTATAAGCCAATTTTCCCATTCTTAAATCCCAAACTTTAACTTTACTATCAGCTCCAGATGTCATAGCAAATTATCCAGATGGATGAAATTTTAAATCTAATACAGAATCTGCATGTGCATCATAATGTTAGATAACTCTTTTTGATCTTACGTCAAATAATTTTAACTTTTTATCATGTGAACATGATCCTAAGATTGTTGAATCAGGTGAAAATTAGACTTTGTATACTACTCCTATATGTTCATTATATCTTTAAGCTTCTTTTTTTGAATCACAATCCCATATTATAACTGCTCTATCATCACCTCCAGATGCTATTAATCTTACATCTTATGAAAATACAGCACTTCTAACCCAATTTGTATGCTGAAATCCATATTAAAATTTACGATCACTTACACTCCATACTTTTACAGATTTATCATCACTAGAACTTACTAATAATTAACCATCACATGAAAATTAAACACTTCTAACTGGTGCTGAATGTGCCTTTATTGATACTGAACTTCCTTCTACTGTATTATTCCAAAGTCTAATTGTCTCATCTTTTCCACAAGATGCTATCAATAAACCATTTGGAGAAAATTAAACATCACTTACTTATCCTTTATGGCCCATAAATCTATATATCTTTCTTGACTATTTCAATTACCACACTGATACTACACCATCATTTGCACTTGAAGCTATTGATTTTCTATTTTATTATTATTATTCTTATACAATCCAGGATGAAATGACAATGCTGTTACAGTATCTTTATGTCCTTTTAGAGTTGTAAATAATGTTGGATCGTCTTACATTTCGTTTAATTTTTAAATTCAAATTATATTATTAAAATATTTCATTTTTACTAACATTAAAAATACTTATTATTATATTCAATTTTTACATCTTTAGATATTCATACCTTTTATACTCTAACATTTAACTATATATATTTAATATATTTTATTAATTAATTTATAAGTTTAAAAATCATAAATACAATCTTATTACTAATTATTCATCTCAAATCTAATATAACCTGATAAACAAAACAATGATTTTATTATTATATATTAATAATAGTATAATATTATCTAAAATTAATAATTATATGTCACAGAAGAAGAACGACTGTGAATTAATTTTAATTGATCCTTCAGATGAAAATGAAATTACACCTATGAAAATATTAAAAAAAATTGTTTCAAATTCAGGTACTGTTAGATATCTAGTAGAATACAGTAATGGCGAATAAAAACAAGAAATTGAAAAATATATGAAGGAAAATTATTAAGAATTAATTGAAGATTATAATTATTTCACTGTTTGTGGTAGTAGATTCGATTAATTAACTTTATAAAAAATGAGAGAAAATAATAACAAGATTCAAAATTTCGAAAATCATCCTAAATTACTTTCAATATCTTCTGAAGAAAACCATCCTATTTATAAAAGGTAAAAAAAAATAGATAAATAAACAGAAAAAAATAATAAATCAAACACTAATTAAATTTTACCATTGCCATAATCGTTGCAGTAATAATTTTAATAATCAATACAAATTTAATAATAATAGCAATGTTTATAATAATAAATCTAGTAACAAAATTATTTTAATTAAAATGAAAAAAGTTTAATTAAATAATAATTAATTCTAAATTAATCCTTACTTTAACTAAAATCAGAAATAACAGATAAGATTTAATCTATATCTTTAGAAAATGGATTATTTTTAATTTAATGGTAACCTAGATCTGATGGAAATGTGCCATATCAAGAATATTATAATTATGACTTTTTAAAAGCAACTGCACCTACTATTTTACTATCATTCCTAGAATAAGAATTTTTAAATAATGACTTTAAATTTTAAAATCTAAAAAAACATTCTTTTGATGTCAATCGAGAAAATATTGAATTTGAGAATAAATAATAAAATAAAGATGTTTCAATGGTTGTTTCTTAAGTAAATAAAATTTCAGAAATAATAGAAGTTTAAAAAAAAATTTCAAAGGAGAATATAGTTCATAAAAAAGATATGTAATTTGAAGAAGTAAAAGAATAAAATAAAGATATTCTAATAGATGATTTTTCAGAAGATAACACTTAAGAAGTTATTGTTGATGAAAAATAAACTGCTGAAAAGGAAAAGAAATAGTTATTATAAAAAAAGGGTATAATTCCAACTTCTAAGCCTCATGTATCAAATTAAAAATAAAGAAAAAATATAGTAGAAAAGGGATAAGATTTATTTACAGTCGATAAATCACAAACAAAACTTGATGAAAAAATAACTTAGATAGAAAAATCAATACCAAAAAAGTAAGTAACAGAAAATCAAACAAAATTTATGAATTAATCATTTTAAACACCAAATGATTTGGTCTAAGTTGAAGATGAATTTGAAGTTCTTGGTTCTTTAGAGAGACCAGATGATAAATAGAATTTTAATTATGAGAAAGAACTTGAAGAATGTTATTCTGATGTTGAGTTGCCTCATTTTTAATTTAACTAAAGTGAATATTGATAATTATATTGATTTATGTGGTTAAGTTCTTTATCAAAACCTATATAAATTAATAATAAATAATATTACATAAAAAGAACATCATTTGTAGAATTGATATAAAAAATAAATAGTTATTTAAATAATATGATAAAGGAAAAAAGCTTATCTTAAATTTACAAATAATTTTAATTTATAAAATTCAGATAAAAAACTCATCGAATAAGTAAATAAACATCTTAACGAACAGTAAGTTATCAATGAATTCGATATGGGCAGCTCTACCAATTAGTTTATCCAGTTTTCTTAAATATAATAAAAAATTTTTTACTTTTTTGTTATTAGAAAGTTGATATCAAATCTATCTATTTTTTTGCATCTAGATAATATATTTGTAACCATTTAATTGTAAATTAAGATTTTTTGATCATTAGTTTCTTCTGTTTTTTGAATTAAAGCAGATTGAAAAGGTACATAATGATCTTAATGAGAGGCTAGAAGAACAACATTATTAAACCATTCTAATCCCTCAAATGTACTTAATTAATAAAGATATGTTAAATCAATATTCTTATTATCTTTTTAACTCAATTCTTACAATGTTTTACATTTATTCCATTTTTAAATTACCATTAATCCAGTATCAATTAAAAAGCTTTTAGAAGGTGCATATCCACAATGTGGAGTAGCTAAACTAATGTATGTATGCATATAGATTTAAAATGAATTTAAAAGAGGAAGAGCTGCTCTAATTATTATTCCTCCTAATGAGTGTCCTACAAAAGATAATTTGAAATCATAAACTTTTTCATGAGTTATATAATCAATTATTTCATAAGCTAATTCTTAAGCTTATTACTTAATTGATATGTTATTAATAAATTCATTGCATGTTGGTAATATTAATTTTAATTAATCTTAAAAACGAATATTTAGAATTGCTTTCCAATATCTCATATCGTAAGATGTTCCCTAATAACCATGAAGTAAAACTATATAATGAGGAATATCATTAGAATTTTATTGTAATCCTTCTTTTTTGTAAGTTGTTCTATAAAAAAAGGGATGAGAATGCAATGGAATTATAGCTTCTTTATAAATAATTCTATGAAATTCTGTATTCTTTAAATTTTGTCTTTTAAGTTTAGCTAATTCATGATTTATGTGAGATTATAAATAGATATTCTAAGAAGTATTAATTAAAATGCAATTCATCCATCTTAATTTAATTTGTTCACAATAATCTTATTATAAAAGTAATAAAAGATTTCGATAATTCTCTTTTAAAATGGAAATAAGTTCGCACCATAAGACATAGAGATCGTGATGTAACTCATAAAAACTCTAATAAGTCAGAATAGTATACCTAAGTAATCAAATTAATTAAGTCAGGATTGTTTATATGATATTCTAATGGTTTATAGGATAATTAAATGATTTTTTTATCTGATTATATGTTTAAAATTTAGTCGAGTAGGATATTTCTATCCTAAATGAGTACATGTATAGTTTGGTAAATAAAAGTGTTTAATTAAGGTTTAATTTATTGTTCAAGATATTATTTAGTGATGGATATGTTAAGGGGAATAGTAAATATTTAAGTTTAGACAGAACAAAAATGATTAGTATCAAAATCAACAGGATAATACATTTAATTATAATGATGAGGATTAGATATTAAGAATGAGGCATGTGAAACAGGTTTCATTTTGGAATGTAAATGCATAACCCTTTCAGCAAAGTTTTCAGAATGTATATCAGGGATTGATTTAATATCTAAGAATAGCAAATCCATAATGATTTGAATATTTGAATTAAATTAAATTTCTTCTAATCGAAATGCACAACCAACATTAGCAAGCATTTCTTCATCTTCATATATAATTAAAAATCCTTATGAATAAAAATATTAACGATGTATATTTTCTGGATAACAGATGTATTTTTCGTCAACTTCATTTACTGACATTGGTTCTTGTCGAGTTGAATTAATAATAAGATAAGGTTATGCACCAGGCTAAACATACTAAGATTGAATATGATACCACAGAAACTCTAAGTTGATAGATTCCCTAAGTGGAGAGATCTATATTAATGAATTTGTGGAGATGAATTAAAACTCCAATCTATGTTTTCATGTAATATATTTAATATTTAATATTCACTTGTCTTGAACAGTCTTAATTAACCATTCCATTCCTTCTTATAATCCTTCTTATGTTTTTGCTGAACATGCAACAATTGACCATTATCTATCGTTGATTTTATTTAATTTCAAACTATCAGAGATCTTAATTTAATAAATATAATATACCTCATCAGCAGGAAGTGCTTATACCAAATCTTATTTATTTGCAAATACCAAAAGAGGTACTTTTTTTAATTCAGCTTCTCCAATTAGTTTATCTAACTCTTTGCCTCCCTCTTCTAAACGCATTTAATCAGATGAATCTATCACAAATACTAAAGCATCTGTATTTTCATAGAAATTACTCCAATATTCTCGAAGTTTCTATAAAGTAGTTTTGGAATTACCTCCTAACCTCCTACATCCCATACATTAAGTTTAAATCCTTCGTGTTACAAATTTTTTATATTAAACCCATGAGTAGGAGCTATTTGGTTAATGTCTTCATTTGACAATGCTTTTAATATAGTTGTTTTTCCTGCATTGTCTAAACCTAAAACAAGTATTCTTAATTCTTTCTCTGATTTCTTTATCTTTCGAATGATATTAAGCAACCCCTAAATAATCATTATACTCATACCATCCTAAAGATTTATTTTATTATAATTATTATTTAATATTTTCCGTTGCATATATTAATAAATCATGGATATAGAGGTTTATCTTCGCTCTGATGAGAACTCGATAGATCTGGATGATGTACTCCATAAACTGTTTCTTTTACTCTAGATAACTCAATCTTATAATTATACCTTCCAGTTGCTTTATCCCTTGCAGCTACACGTTTTTTAGCTTCATTTATTTCATTTTAAGTAATATTTGTATATCTTTCATCAGCCCACATTGTATCAGGTCTAAGTTTCTCTCTATGTCCATCAGCCCAAGTCTTATCTGATACATCTTTTAATGTTCTTCCCTTTTATTTAATTATCTTTATATATACATACTTTATTATATGAAGAAACTTCTAAAACAGAACGATATTACTGAGTTTAGATAGCCTCAATCTTATCCATTTACTTTTTCTTCTCTTTCAATCCTTCCAAAGCCCATTTAGGACAAATTGATATAATATTATCTGCTTCTTCTTAACATTTAGTTCCTCCATTCACACTCTAACATCTTTTGAATTGCTCAATTTATCTAACACAACCTCTTGGTAATGCTTAAGCTCTTATTGACAATGCTGTAAACATTGGAGCATCTCTATAATTCATCTAAAATTTCATTTTACTTTCTTGTTTACCATCCATGATTTCCAAAGTGTTATTCACTCAATGGATCATAATGGGTTGGAAAAAATACACTCCAATTAACTCTATTAGGATAAGGATCAGGAAAGTAAAATCCATTTCCATTTCTTATTCCCATACCCATTCTCTTCTAATTTGGAATCTGTTGCATTGCAAATGGATTATATGGAGCGATAGCCCTTCTCCACTTTGACAATGTATTGTTCAAAAGATTCTTCTTTACATTCAAGTATGGATAATTTGTCTCATAATACTCGAAATCTAATGGTTAACCATCTGGGTTATCGTTCGACATATATAAAGATTTAATTAATTATTATACTATTTTAAATTTAAAAAAGAAAATGTGTAAACATATACTCAATGTTTAAGTTGCTATTAGAGCTCCATGTTGTAAAAAGTATAAATCAATTTTAACAAGATGGTTCGATTGTGCTTAATGTCATGAAGAACTTGAAAATCATCCTTTATTAAAATCTATTGAAATGATTTTTGCTTGTAAAAAATGTAAAAAGGTTTTCAGAAAAGATATCACAGATTATGATGAATCTGATGAATATTGCCCACAGTAATATCAAATCTTTATTCTAGTTGCGATAATCATTATGTTATCAAAGCAGTCACCTAAGAATCAAAAGAAATTGTTAAATTTGAGAACTTAGTTAAAGAAGTCTAATAATGAATTCAATATACCCTTTTTTTATTATCTTTATTATTTTTTATTTATTTCTTTTATAAAATTTTTTATTATATTAAAACTTAATACTTTTTTTTTCAATTCTTTTAACATTTAATTTGTTTTTATTTATTTTACATAGGCTCAATTGAATTGAATTTTTAATTCATGTAATTAATTAAATTTTTTGTATCTATTTAAGAGTATCTAGTAAACTTTGGATTTATAAAATGTTTATGGAATAAAGTATAATTTGATATATAGAAAATAAATAATATAGATTTCATATTGTTATATGTATAATTATATAATTGTAGAATGTTGGGAAATGTTTTGAATAAATTTGAATATTATTATTAATGTCTTATCACTATTTGTTTAAGTTTATCATAATAGGAGATACAGGTATATATTATATGATAAAGTGAAGCCGTTGGAAAATCTTGCATATTGTACTAATTTTTGGAATAGAGGTTTCGAGTGAGACATGAAATGACTGTGGGAGTTGAATTTGGAGCTAAAATTCTAGATTTAGAGAACAAATAAATAAAATTACAAATTTGGGATACAGCAGGATAGGAAACTTTTAAATCTATTACAAGATAATATTATAGATCAGCAGCAGGGGCAATTTTAGTATATGATATCACAAGAAGAGAGTCATTTGAAAATGTTAGAGAATGGATTAAAGAATGTAGAACTCATGGAACATAAGAAATGGTGATAGTATTAGTAGGAAATAAACTTGATTTAGAAAAATAGTATTATATTCATTCTATAATTGGCGTAAAGTTTCGAAATCTGAAGGGTAGCAGTTAGCTAATGATAACAATTTACTATTTATAGAAACAAGCGCAAAAGATAATTTAAACATTATTGAAGTAATCTTATACTTATTAGACAGACATTTTCATAGGCAGCATAACAAGTATTGAGAGTTGTATAGAGAAGTTAATAACAGAATGAAATACCAGGAGTAAGGATTGGATATGCTGTAGAAACAACTAGGGGTTAATAAAATAGCTAAAATTCGAATAAATGTTGCTGATATTATTATTGAATTTATATCGTTATTACAATAAAAATTAAATAATTCACATGTGTAATAGTGCCATCTTTCTTTTCTTATTCAAGTTTAATAGATTGATATTAAATAAATAAATATGCAAATTAACCATCTTATACTTAAATAATTTTTATATTTTTACAAAGATGCTTTATTTTTTCTGTTTAATTGCTATTATATCAGCCTAAAAAAATAATCAAAATAATGATTAAAAGGAGAGCAAAGAAGGTTAGCAATAATATTTATTAAGTAGAATATGAATTAAGGATGAGTACAAATATTTTTAATTCTTGCATTATTGTTTCTTATAATTATTTAACTCAAGAGAATGAATAAATTGCAAAAGATTTAAATATAATTATGGAGGCTTATGAGGATATTTAGGACTTTGAAGAAAAAATTAAATAATAATATATTGCTTCAAAAAGAATCAAACTTGAATCCTGTAAACACTGTGTTAAAAGGCAGACAATTTAAGGAGCGTATTAAGTTTGAATAAATTATTAATAAAATAGATTTTAGAAGAATTAAAAAGTAAAAAATTTAATGCAGAAAAATATTATTATTTGATGGATGGATTTTAATTAAAAAATTTCTATGATAGATAAATATAACATAAATTCGATAGATAAGATGATACTCTTTATCAAATAATTGAAGTATCATTTATTATATATCATAAAGGATTTTTTATCAAAATCAAGAGAAGCTTAAGGAATTCCAGAATTAGGATTTAATGATTTATATCCTTAACTAAACTAAAATAATGAATTGAAAACTGCTTTATTTGGGATAGACATTGATTCATCTTGGTTTTCATATATGATTTTAATTTCAGTTGTTCTTGTAGTGATTGTTATTATGAGATATGGTATTTATTAATATTAATTAATAGCTTATACCACTCTTTAAGATTCTTTTAAAACCAAATCAAAGAAATAAAAGAAATAAAAATGAAAATATATTAAATTTGAGAGTATTTTTACATTTATGAATTAAATATTATTCAAATTAGAATTTGAGTATTTTAACCCTAGAGAATAATGCTAAAATTTTGGTTTATTTATTGTTCTCTCTAATTTTAATTATTTATTAAACGTAGGTTTAATCTAAAATAATTTTTTTAATTTTTACTTTAATTAGAGAAAAAATAATACTTTAAAAGAATATTATCATAAAATATTAAATTTGTCTCGATTATTCAGAAAAGTTTATAAAATACATATAATTAAGATCTAAAATAAAATAAAAAAAATTTTTATATATATAAATTTTGGATTTCTTCAAATTTTGACATTCTTTTATTAAGTTATGAAAGACTAACAAAAAGAATGTTATAATTTAAATTGGACAACTGTAATTTTAGTTTTTTATATTTATTATTGAGATAAAGAGTAGGATGAAAAGAATAAGTTTATTTTGTTTGGTATTTGATAATGTTTTTTAAAGAATTAAGAATCTGGGTTAAAATATTTATATTAAGTAGAAAACAAATGGTTATTAATAATTGTTAAGATTTTAAAATTATATGAGTCTCAAAATACAATGCAGCAACATCCTTTTTATTTTTGGATCATCACAAATCTCATTGGAATATCTGGTCCTAACAATAACTCATGTACTTTGGATTTATTAACTAATTTGGAATTATTTTATTCTTGAATTAAATCAAAGTCATCTGGACCCAAATCGATATATCTTAAAGTAATTAAAACCTTCCCCTTTGAATGTATTTGGTACCTTGAGATCCTCGATTGAAATGGTAGATTCAACATCTAACTGAAAAGTGTCCTTGTCGACTGATGGATGAGAAAAGTCTTTATGGATTATAATGTAGACTAACATATTTTAATATATATATTATATAATTATATTTATTCAAATGGAAACCAATTCAATCCAATAAAGATTAGGTTCAACCTACCATTTATATCCTTTGCTTTAATAAATTTATCCATTTTGATTATTTAAGTATTCAGTCACTTTATTGAGCTATACTTTCTCTAAGTCCATAAATTAGGGTTCTAAACTCCAAGTTTTAGCAACAACGATTAAAGTAAGCACTTAATAATATTAACAAATACATGCAGCTAAACATAAAATAGCTACTGCAACATAAAGCAATGCTAATTTATCTCTATTTCCATAAATTAAAACTAAAAGAAATACAAAAGCCAAGAGAATCAAGAAAACAGAAACATATAAAAGTGGTTAATAAGCCTTAGTAGGATCTTTATGTTCTTCTCTTTGTTTTTCTCTCCATAAATTTCTACAAATACGTGTAGCTTCAGCCACAGTATTATCAAAAGTCCCTTTATCTATGTTTCTTCCTAATAATTTTTCATCATAAGTTTTCCATTAGAATCCAACTCCCTAAAATTGAAGTGTAATTATAAATACATCTTTATTAGCTTTTACAATGAAACGTTCTTCAGTAGATTATGGAAACTCTAGTTTCTCTATCTTTTAAGCTCTTGAAGCAAAATTAAAGTCACCTCCTTTAGCTTTCTTCATTAATTTAAATTATATACTTTAATATGTATCAAATACTAAAATGTGTTTCACATTTTCAGAATGAATGCATTCTCACATATTCTAAAGAGAAGTTAATAATATACACCAAAGAAATATTGTAACATATGCAAGTACAAACATCATGAGATTTTCCTTAGACTTTTAGGAATTATATGAGTGACATCGTAGCTGTAGCAACATCAAGCAAAGGAGTATTTGTCGTGTTCTGTGAGAGAGAATTGATAGCGTATAAACCTTTACTTAATGGTTGGGAATAGAGTTATAACAAAAATTGCACAAATCCTATTAGAGATGCATTTTTTTCTTTTGATGGTATATATATATCATTCTATAAAAATAGATGAACATATTATTGGTTGTTCATAAAATAAACTTCATATTTGGAAAGCAACTCATAAGTAAAATAGGTTACTTGGTTAATTAGATTAATATGAATTAATAGATCTGACAGAAATCTACACATTAGAATTAGAATACTAAATAGCAAATGTTAAATTCTCTCCAGATGTTCGTTATTTTACAACTCTTTATGAAAATATAGTTATTGTATGGGATTTCAATTCAATCAAAGAAGTTTAAGAAGGAGTTCTATCACAATAATAAAGAGTAAAATTAGAACATTAGGATGAAGTAATTTCATACAAATTTAGAGGTACTCTTAGAATTGCTCCATCTCCTTTTCCTACTCCTAATACTATTATTACATTAACTAAGACCAACTAATTAACTATTTGGCAAGAAATGATTTAATGCAAAAATTTCTGTAAATTACATACTATGCATTTTGATTAAATCTCTTCATTTTGTTTCATTTACCTTAAGGGTTAAACACCTTATCCTTGGAAAAATATTTATTTAGAAGCTGATTAATTTGGAGTTTAGGATACAGAATAATCTACTGTTGATTATCTACTTTTACATTAAGAATCAGAGTTAAGTGTTGTTAAAGTAGATTTTCTTAGAAATTATTCTTTAGAAGAATCTGTTAAGATTATAAAGAAAACTAAAAGTGATATTTTCAAGTAAATCAAGAAAATTCTTTTAGTAGATTAAATTGAAGGGTAAAAAATTGAAATTATTGGATTTGATAATTTATGGAACTTAGTTAAAATTTGTGTTAACCTTAAAGATGATTCTAAATAAATATTTTAATGTGATAAATTTCTATTTTAAAATATTGTACATTTTTCTATATGTAAAAACTAAGTTGCAATTATAAATGATTGGAATTATTTATGTTTACAATCATTAAAATTGAATGGTGTTATTAGTTAGGAATATTATATTTCTGATGGACCATCAAAGATTTGGAAAATTAATTCGAATCTATAAAAATGTAAAATCAATTGTATATAGTAGATTAGTTTATGTTTATTACAAAAGATAAAGTTAAAGAAAATGATGTTATTCTACTCACATCATCTAATGTTTAATAATGTTTAGCATTCATCATTTAATAAAATGAACTAGTAGAAGTTCATCTTAACTTATATAATCATTTATCAAATGATTACAGAGATAAAATTACTGAGTTGAGAAAAATTAATTATGAAATTGATGAATTATAATTACTAGTAATAGCAGCATAAAAAATTGCATTAATTTAAATATAATTTGAAATATATGGCTATGGACAAATGGATTTCTAAGTCTAAGAATTAAAAACATGGAAATTAGATTTTATTTTTGAAAGATTATAGGTATTACAATCTCCAGAACTTTCTTTTATTTCTATTAGTGGAAAATCATTAAAAGTTTTTAATGAATAAATGTAATAAATTGTTTAGATTTCTAAAAATTACAATATTAAAGATGTAGGATAATTGAGAGGAAATTAACCTATCTATTTTGTGATGAGTCATTAAAATGAAATTGATTTTCATTCTTCATCTGGTGAATTTTTAGTTAGATTCAATCTCTAATCATTTCTTGTTAGAGTAGATAAGGCACTCTATGATGTTTCTAAAGTTATTGTGTAAGTTGTACCATTAACTAACTTTGCTTTCATATTACAAACAGATAATTATTTGACAGCATTTGCTATTCAATTTGATAAAAATGATTAAACCTATAAATTATCATCAATCAAATAGTAATTTAATTTTACTTATTATTGTTAGAAAATATTTGAATAATAGGGAAGGAATTTATTGTAAAAGATTATCTAAATGCTCTAAACCATAAAATTACAAATTTTTTACAGTCAAGGATTGTCTAATAGTAAAGACTGGACGAAAAGTTAAAGTATTAGGAAATTCATTAATTCGTTGTTTAGCGGATAAGTTTTGGATGCCTAGTACTTTAAGCTATAAATTAATTAATTAATAAAGTATTAATTTATATATTATTAAGACAATGTTTAATTATAGGATTACGATTTTTTGAGCGAATTAATACAACTTGGAAAATTATAATTAGTGTAATTTATATTAAGACTTATATGTCTGAAATTTAAGCATCATGGTGCTTTGGGCAATCATTTTATGGTTCCTTATAAAAATTTATTAGATTTATATTAAATGATGTCTGAACCAGAACCTTTGTGGGTAGATGCAATAAAAATATATGAAACAAAGAAATTATAAGATAAAGATTAATTTGATTTTAATTTGCCTCCAGTAGATATTCTTAAAAAGATTGCTTAAGAATATCCATTAAAAATTAATATAATACTTGAATACTTAAGATATTATGAAGATAATTAACGATCATTAGACTTTTATGCTGCTATGTTTATGTTCCATGTGCATATCTTTAGGAATTAACCAAAACAAAAGAGAAATCGAGTTTTAAGTAGTAAAGAAGTAGTTTGGGCATTGCATTCACTTTAAAAAGAAACCCTTTGGTAAGAATGTATAGCTAGCTCAGATGATTTATCTTGGAACTTAATTAAGAGATATGCAGCAGTTTTATGGATGGATTTGTCATTTATTAGATAAAGATTAGAAGAAATAGCATTGAATATATATAAATAGTCAAAGGATCCATTTTAATCATTGCTATATTTTATAGTTTTGGGTAAAAAGAGTGTAATAACAACACTTTTCAAAAAAGAAATAAATTCTGGTAAGGAATATAAATCCACTTATGAATTTTTACAACAAGATTTCAGTTTACCTAGATGGAAATCAGCAGCTTCAAAAAATGCATATGCTTTAGTGTCTAAAAAAAGATATTAAGATGCAGCTGCTTTTTTTTTAATAGGAGGACATTTAAATGATGCAGTAAATGTTATGGCTAGATACATGGAGGATATATAATTAGCTTATTTAACAACAAAAATATATGAACCTTAAGGAGGACCTGTAGGAGAATAATTAATTTAAGATTATTTTATTAAAAGTGGTGAAGAGATGAATGATATTTGGTTATTGCATATTGGTTGTTATCTTTTAGGAAAATATGTTGAAAGTGTTAATGTTTTATTAAGAGAACCTGAACATCATATTTTAGAATATGATAATTTTGGAAAAGCTGTCTGTATTAGTTGGCCTTCAACATTTACACCTTAATTATCATACTTTCATCCTTCAGCAATACTATTGGTAGAAAAACTTAAAGATAATATAAATGTAAAAAGAGAAATACAATAAAGTATTGATGCAAATAAAAGGAAAAGTAAAAAAGCAGAGGATGATATCTTTTCTTAATTTTATGAAAGTGAAGAATCAGAAGAAGAAGAAGTTATTGAATAAGTTCCAATTAAAAAAATAAATGATAATTAAGAATTTATAAAATAATAGGCAGTAGAATATTATTATAATATTTAAATGCCTTAATTAGGAATGATATTTGCTTAAGATTTAAATCAAGAAACAGAACAATCTGAATAATTAATTGAATTATAGGTTGAAATGTATATAGTGTAAGCGATTGAAGATTAAGAACACTTCACAAATTATGTACAGTTAATGTAAAAACTAGATGATTTAGCTAATTTTACAAATCACAATAAAGCTAAACTTTATGATATTGCATTAAAGAAATTAAGATAATTAAAATCTCCTTCTCGTTTACTAACATTTGCTATTCATTATGATTAAACAGGATTAGAGGAATTCATTTCTTTTTGTTAAGAAACTTAAAGTTTATTATATAGAATTTGTTTTGATTATCCTTTGTCTGAAAAAAGTTAAGAATATTATTTAACATTTGTACAAAGTCTTTATGAAATTGATGTTGGATTAAAACTATTTTAATAATCTTAATATTATCAAAAGAAATTTGATAACAAAAGAAAATTGAATATAATTAAGTTATTGGCATTGTTTATGACATTAATTTTAGCGTTAGAATTAAAATTATGGGAAAACGCATTTGAATAATTGAGAAAATTAGAGACTTTCTGCAATACTGTAAATAAACAAAATGTTTAAGATTGTGGTTATGAAAATTTGAGAGATGATTTCTGTGAATTAGTAAAATCAGTAATTAAAAATAAAAGACTCTACTCAAATAAAGGATTCAAAGCATATAGAAATATTGATGTTTTATAAGATGCTTATCCTGAAGATTTATATAATGTTAGTGAATAGGATTATTTGTTGAAACATAAACCATTAATACAAGAATAAGAATAATTAAATTAATAATAAAGATCAGAAAGTCTTGAAGATTCATAAAATTTAGAAATTAGTTAAGAAAAGACAATAGAAGAAGAGAATATTTAGAATTAATTTATATATTTCACATTTCAATCTTTGATTGTCAAATATTTTTTGGGAATATCTAAGAGTTATTTTAAATAAGAAAAGCTGAATATTTCAACAACAACATATAGTAATATATTTACTATGGCTGAATAATATGTAATGACCAGAAATGATATGGTTATCACTTTATTAAAAAATTTGTTAGATTTTTCATAAGAATAAAATTTTATTGAAGATTTAAGAATGGTATTAAAAGAGTCATCATTTGCTAAAAGTTAATACTTTAAGTAGCTTGAAAAAATTTTCAATCAAAATCATTTCTTTTCAATATGTACAAAAATTGGATTGGATTAATATTTGGAAGAAATATCTATAGGTAGAGTAAAATAAGCATTTAAATATCCGATAAGTAATTATGATGAGTAATCAATAATTACTTTTAAAAATAAAATTTTTAAGTAAGGAGTTGAAGTGTTTAAAATTAAGACTGATCAAATTAAAAGCATGTGTATTAATAATGCTAATCCGATAGAAGGATTTGTATTATATGGTAAATTCTTAAAACATATGAAATTTTATAATACTCTTTAACATAAGAATAGATCACTTGATGGTTATAATTTGGTAGAAGAAGAGACAATTGATGAAGCTATAAGAACAGAGCCTTCATAAATAAACAAACCTTATATAGTAAAATTATGTTCTTCAGCTTTGAGTATTCAAAATGGAGAAAAAGAATAATATTTAAAATAAAGGGCAAATTCATATGAAGAATATAAAGATTTTACTGAAAAAGATTTCATGGAAAAATTTTAAAATTGTTCCAGTAAATAAATTCCAGAGGAGGATTTATAATGTTTGACATCTCATCCTCATCTACCATTATTTTTATAAAGTGGAAAAGGAATGGTTAATGTAATGACATTTAAATCATCATCCTAAGTAGTCGCTGAATTCAATACATAATCAAGAGATTATATTGATTCTCTTAAATTTAATAATTCTGGGGAATTATTTATTGGACATGATGTTAATAATAGTGCTTATATTTGGAAATTAAATAGAATAAATAAACTAAATACACCACTTTTTTTACTTAACAGTAAAGTAAGACCTACTACTGATCTTACATTTATTAATGAAGGAACTGTGTTTGCTTCAATTTATAGTTCAACTAGTAAACCTCATTTTGGACTTTATGATATGTTATTGCCATCTAATAGAAATATTGTAACATAAGAGAATTTTAATGGAACAGATATTTTATTTTCTACTCCTCTTAATTCCATTTTGATAGGAAATTAAAAGAAAGGTACTGTTAATTTTTTAGATATCAGAAAAAATTAAATCTATAAGACTCTAGAAGTAACATAATAAATTTATATTAAGCTTCCATTTACAGAAATAAAGTTTATGAAACTAAATCAATATTAAACTTCCTTGATTTGTGCTTGCAATGATGGACAAATTAAAATCGTTAATTTAGAAACTTTATCAACAATTGTAGATTATAAACCATTTAGATAAGGTATAAAATATTTAAAGTTTATAAGATAAAAAATAATAAATCATGGCTTTGACATAGACTGAAAATGCTACATATGCAGCATCATCTGATGGAGTTGTATCATTAGTATATTTGAATGCATGAATTTATTAAATGAAAATTTAATTAGATAAAGACACATACATTCTTTAGAAAAAAATAGGTGAAGGCAATTTTGCTACTGTTTATGCTACTTAGCATCAAAATCTTGTAGCTAAAGTGTGCTATAAATCCAACCCAAAAGCATTTAAAGCATTTTAGATAGAGATGGATATATTGAATAAAGTTTAAGGAGAAGGGATTGTTAAATTAGAAAAGTCTGGTATTACTTAATTGTAAGGACAAACAAGTGGAGTTTTAATTTTAGAAAATTGTTCTAAAGGAAGTTTGATTGATTTAATGGCAACATATGTATAATCTAAAATATTATCAAGATCAACAGAAGACCTCCTGAACAATTAGTATTAATGATTGCAAGAGATATTGTTAAAGGAATAATATAAATTCATTAAGTATTTTTTAAATACATTTTTAGATTGGTTATATTCATAGGGATGTGAAAATGGAGAATGTACTTTTAAATTCTTTAGGTTATTTTAAACTCTGCGATTTTGGTAGTGTTACTAAAACTAAGCACTTTAAAATTGATAATAATAATAGAGATACAATTAAAGATGATATCGAAGAAAATACAACACCCTTCTACCGTGCACCAGAATATATTGATTTCTATTCAAATTATCCTATCACAGAAAGTGCTGATATATTTGCTCTAGGTGTTTTATTATTTATGTTTTGCTTTTAAAAACCTCCATTTGAAAGTGGATTAGCAGCAGTCAATAATCATTATTTCATACCTGATTCTCATGAATATTCATAAAAGTAATCAATAATTACATGAATCTAGACTTATCTAACTTATTCAATCTCTTTTTAATGTTAATCCAAAAAATAGACCCACTGCATAAGATATTTTCTAAAAAATATAAAATAATTGGTAATTGCCCTAGAGATTCATAGAAACAACTAATTAACCAATCCCTGTTCCTAATTTAAATAAACATTTTGCATCTATAGACAATGTTTATATTGAAAAAAAAGCTGCTCCTCTTGGCTTTTTTGATTAAGTCAAACGTTATCTATTTACATTAAGTAAGAAAACAGAAGCATGGGTCATTTAAAGCACTAGTAATGATGATAATCCACCAAGATTAGAAGATATAAGATCTTTGGTTATTAAGGCATGGTTAAAAAGAGAAAAAATACCAAAATTTTATTTGGCAATCTAACAAAAAATATTATTACCATAACCTGAAAATCATAGAGTAATAATGAAATTGTCCATTCTTTTACATTAATATATCAAAAAAGGTCCACCTGATGTTTTATAAGAGTAAAAATAAAAAAATCTACCAAATATTTGGAGCATTATAAAAATTTTAACTGATTTATATAAACAAAGAATAAAGATGAATCCTCAGAATGAAGTAAAAGTTCTTGCTAATTATTTTACTATCATAAACAAAAAATTAATAATATGTTATGCTAATAAAAAACTATTAGAAGGAAGTTATTCATTATCTCCTCTCTTTTTATCCTTAGAGAGAGGAGAATTTTGGAAACCACTTGAATCTAAATTGATAGATGACTTATTAAAATATTGGTCTGATTGTTTATAGTTTCTCTCAGAAATATTTTAACCAAATCCATTATGGAGAATTTAGACATTAATTATCATGTAAATGGTAGATGAAACATATTCATTACTGTCTATGTTACTTCATTTATGGATTGCTGTAAAAGAAACTTTGAATACTAGTGAAAATTTAGATACAATTAAATTAACAGAATGGATCTTAAATGTTGATTAAAGATATGAAGAAAATTATTACAAAACCAAAAAATTATTTGAAAAATGCACAACTTTGTCTGAATTTACAGAAATTAAAAGATTTATGCCAAATTTATAACCTGAAGTTATTAATTATCTCTAATAAGTTGAATATTTTAAAGGAAAAACTAAAATTGAGCTTAGTCCCTAAAGATCTATCTATGGAATTAAAATGCCTTTAAGTTATTAAGTTACGGTCTAAAAATTATAATAAGTTCTTTTATCTATGACTGATTTCGACAAATCTTAAAATTTAATATAGTCTAGCAATGTTAATCATGACTTTTTTGCAGATTTTGGATTTTTACATAATTAATAATAATCATAACCCTAATAATAAGAATATGATTAACCTTGGGTTGATTTTTCATCAACATTTTAGTAATAATAATAATAATAATAATAATAATAATAATAATAATAATAATAATAATAATAATAATAATAATAATAATAATAAAATTTGTCTGAATCATATTTTGATAATTAATTTATGTAAGAAGCTGGAAGAGAATCAATTCAAACTGAAATTGATTCTAAATTGCTATCATAAATTGTTTTTAAAATAAATTATGATAAAGGTTAAGATATTAATATTCAAGATTCTTAAAAAAATTAATAATTCTAGTAGGCCTAATCTTAAATTTTAGGTTTAAAATAATAAGAAAAATCAAAAATAATTGAAGTAAATGATTTACTAGATGTTCATGAAAATATTGTTTCTTAGAAAAACAACAATGAACCATTTGATTTAATAAATTATGATGACAAACCTTTTTAGTCATAATAAAATGCTTTTTTCTTACCTACAGATATTAATTTTTCCTAATTTTCAAACTAAGATTAAAAATAAGGAAGTGAAAAGACTGAAAGCATGAATATATAACATTATTAAAACTAGATTATTTAGTAATAAATTCCTTTATAATAATTTCACTAATAAAATGTTTATCAACAGTAAATACCATAGATGAATCAATAAAACTCTTAACAATAAAAAATGGTAATTAAAGATGATAATTAAGACCATATACCAATGAGCTGCAATAATTATCCATCATAACAAACAGAAAGGAAATAACAGATACCAAACGACTTAATTTAATCAATAAACCCAACCATAAACTTAACGCCAGTGAGATAAAAAATACATTCATTAATTTTAGAGCATGCAAACCAAATAATTGATGGTCAATTAGATATTAGTGATTTTATAATTTAATACAATGAGTTAGTGTTTTATGAGTAAATAGCATAAGGAGGATCAGGAGTGGTGTATCGTGGAAAATACAAGAATGATATAGTAGCAATAAAGGATATAGATATAAATGAAAAGGATGAATAAAAGATGAAAGAATATAAGAGAGAAATTGTGACCCTGGTGAAAGTAAGACACCATCAAAATTTAGTTTGTTTAGTAGGGATTACTTTTAATTAAAATAAATTGTATATAATAACAGAGTTTTGTTCAGGGGGATCACTTTTTGATTTGATACATAGAAATAGAGAGACGTGCATTGACTAATTAACAAAGTTGAAATTAAGCTTATTTATAGCAGAAGGAATGGCTTATATTCATAAATTAGGTTTTATGCATAGAGATTTGAAATCATTAAAGTAATATAAAATTTATATTAATAGTATATTATTAGATTAGCCATTTAGTGCTGACTCAAACATAAAGATCGCAGATTTTGGTTTAGCTAGAACAGCATTAGAAAAAACTGAGTGGATGACAGCGGTTGTGGGAACATTTGTAAATTAATGATTATAAATTAGCATTGGATGGCTCCAGAGGTATTTAGAGGAGAAATGTATACAAATAAAGCTGATGTATATTCTTATGGAGTATTTATTTATATTAATCTTAGATTGTGTTATATGAATTATTTTCTAGATAGATTCCTTATTTAAATATTGCAAATCCTATGCAAATTATGAATGCTGTGACAGAATAAAATTAAAGACCTGATCTCTCTTTTGAATGTTAACAAGAGATTAAAGCATTAATGGCTAAATGTTGGCATCCTAATCCTGATTAAAGACCAACATTCGAATAAATTATTAATAGTTTACAAAGTTTATGAAAGAATTCCAATTCATGATAAGTGATTTAAATTTAATATCTTTTATTAAAATATGTCACTCAAGTTATTCGGGCCATCAATTAATCCTAGACTCTGTCAAGTTCATCTTGTTGCAGACCTTCTTGAGATCCCAGTTGAAGTGGTTGAAGTTGGATACGATCAATGTGAATCAAAGGAACATTTGGCAAGAAACCCATTTGCTAAAGTTCCTGTCATTTAAACAACTGATGGATACCTTTATGAAAGCAATGCTATCTGTAGATATATTGCTAGATCTAAATTAGAATCAGGGTTATATGGGTAAGATATTTATAAGTATTTTAAAGAGCTAATGCCTTCTAATAATCTTTAGTTGATTAATGGATTGATTGGACTGTAAATGAATTAGACCCAAATTTCATGACAACATTCCCTTAATTATGGGGATATGTTCCAACAGATGAGGATTCATTCAAAAGTGCTAAGAACATTATCAACAATAAATTAAAATAATTAGAAGCCCATTTCAAGAATTCCGCATATTTGGTTGGAGACAAATTGACTATTGCAGATGTAATACTTATTGTAAGAATTGCTCCATTTTTCATCTTATTAATTGACGAGAAAACTAGAAAATCATATCCCTCACTTATGAAATGGTTCACTGCTGTAACTGAACTTCCTCAATTTAAAAAAGTATATCTAATATTTATACTAGAATTTCGGAAGAGTCAGATTATGTAAAGAAGCCTTCCCATTACCTAAATAAGTTGCATAATAAAATGAATAAAAACCAAAGGATGAAAAACCAAAAGAATAAAAACCAAAAGAATAAAAACCAAAAGATGAAAAGCCTAAAGAATAAAAGCCAAAAGAACAAAAACCAAAAGAATAAAAACCAAAGGAAGAAAAACCTAAAGAATAAAAGCCAAAAGAAGCATAAAAATAATAAGCATAGGAAGATGAAGAACCTGTTGCAGAGAAGAAAAAGAATCCTTTAGATTTACTTCCTCCATCTCCATTCAATATTGATGATTACAAAAGAGCCTTCTTTGCTGAAAAAGATATTGCCAAAAATATTGAACAACTTTTCACCACAGTTGATACTCAAGGATGGTCTTTATGGATTATTTCCTATAATAAATCTGAAAATGAAGGCAAATAACTCATTTTAACTAATAATTTAATGAAAGGATTTATCAATTAAAGATTAGATTAAAATTTCAGAAAATACTCCTTTGCTATGCATGGTGTTTATGGTGATGAACCTAATTTGGAAATTAGAGGAGCATGGGTTTGGAGAGGAACTGAAGTTCCATAAGAATGGGTAATCATTCATTCTATTAAAATTTTAGAAAGATCATGTTGCATATGACTATCATGTATTCAGAAGAATTGACATTTAAAATGAATAAGATAAGAAAGATTTTGCTGAATATTGGGTGAATCAAGAAGAAGATGTATCTAAAGTTGCCGGTCTTACAGCCAGAAGCTTGATGTATTTCAGATGATGAATAATTATCATAGGAATAATAATATTTAATTGTAAAATAGATATCTTAATTATCATTTCTCTATTATATTAATAATTTTCGAAAGATTCTATACTTATTTATTTATAACCTTAAAAAGACCATTATCTCTTTTTAAAAATCTAAAAAAATATTAATTAATGCTTCAAAATTAAGATTATCTACCTACTAATAATTCGCTTAATTAAAATTTTCTATTATTAGACTTTTTTATGATAAAAAAAATAGCTGAATTTTTTAACAAAAAGTTTATTTATTGTTAAATTAGGTAAAATTAATCTCCTTCAGAATTTTTTATACTTTTCCAAGTAACTACACATTTTTCATACAACTTGGGATAAATTTATATTTAGTGTTATTTAAGAGTAAGAATAGACTCTATTTTATGAAATAGACAGCCAAGTTGCTTATTAATTTTCGATAAATTTGAAACAAATTATCTACCGTTCTCATCCGTTAGAAGAAATTCAATTTGTTTTAGATGCAAATATAAAGTAGAATTCTCTTATTATTTAAATTCAATTTTATTTTCTCATTTAGTTTATACATATCATTTGTTTAAAAGATTAAAGGATTTAATTTTTAGATAAAAATACATCTTTAAAATATACATAACAGATGAAAAAAAGTTGAGTTATTATTTTCAATCACCATTTCATATTTGAATGAAAATAAAGAAATAAATAATTAATAAGAAAAAAACCAAATTTATCTAATTTTCCCTCTAAGCATAAATAAATAAATTAATTAATTACGTTTTATATTTTCAACATGATGAGTATTTTAAATTTTGAATTATTTGATTTATGTTTGATGTTTGATATTTCTTGAATACAATTTGTAAATATGAAAAATGGAGTCACAAAAACTAATACTTTTATTACTAGGTATTATCTTTGATTACTGGAAGTATATTTTAGAAATTGAAAAAAAATTTTAATAGCCAACTAGCTTTTTAAAATTTGCATTAATTTTTATTATTTTAATGAGAAAATCAATAAGTACTTCTTCTTATAGCGGCTATAAATTGAATAATGATTCAACAAGAATTGAATCGTTTTAGGACTCAACAAGAGTTTTATAAATGAATATAAGTCAATATGAAGATACATTGTCACAAGAAGTATTTATTTCTTCAGCTTACGAACATATACGAGAAGTTAGAGTATACTGATTAGTTTATTACAGGATCTTATTTTTAACTCGAGGTAAAGTATGAAACCTTTGAGAGAATCAATAAGCCAATTAAGATATTAGATTCAGAGCATAGAATATTAATAAAGGAAGGATTAGATTAACTTAGAGTATGATATCAGCTTAAGCATACATAAATTAAAATAAGTAAGCCTTTAATGGTCTTATTCAAGAAAATAAATTAATTTGAAGTTGTTTAAACTGGAGAATTTGTCTTGTTACAAGATTAAATATAGAAACTGCAACATGAAGATTAAGAAATTATTTAGAATATTGATACCTTAGAAATAAGAATAATAGATTTAGCACCATAAATTGGGCAGTACACATATTAGCATTATTAATAATGAGGATTGTGATAATAACAAAAAGCAATTTTGTTTATACTATACTATATTTTTGTAAATACATTATTTTTATCTTTATTTAATAATTTTTATAGATGTTTATCCATATTTTTCATATTTTTATCAATCATAGATTATAAGATGATATTATAGTCTCCACATTATATGAAATAAATATGATAGAAATAAATATATATAATCACTTTTAATATATATTAAGATTTCAATTAGAAATTTTTATGGTTAGAAAGAAAATATAATTCAAATTAAATTAATATTAAAATACAGTCGTTATGCGATCGCCATCTCTATTTTCACCTGTATTAATCTTTGAGATTATAAAAGTCTAAACAATAAAGATACGAAAAACAGAACGGGTCTTTTTAAACATTTTCAACAACGAATTAAGTGAACAAAGCTTAATTAGCAGATTTTCGAAAAGAAATACGAAACAATATAAGTTAAAGAGAACCTTTTGTTCCTTCGTAGGAAAAGAAACCAATTTTATTAACAAGTTGGAAGAAACATGAAAAAAAAAATACGTAGTTTTTTCAAATTATTTCTAGAGAAGGCAATGTGGCAAAATATATGGCTAGATCTTCTCCAAAAAAAAGTTTACTTGGAGGATTAAATATGGAAGAAATCTTGTAAACAATGTTTTTATTGTTAGCTGTAGTTAAAAGAAATTTATCGATAAAAGTTAGTCATAAAATAATTTTTATTATTAACAAAGAAAAGTGGATCAATTATTCAAAATGGATCAAAATGATTCCATTAATAAATAAGATAACTCCTTTTCAAGTTTATTCAAACCAAAAAGATAATCCTAAGCACTTTTATCAAGATAGTCAGGAAGAGATTAATCTCCTATTAATTTAGAAAGATTTAGAAGTTGGGATACAAAATTAGATCTTCAATTAAAGCAATTAAATAATTCTAAAGACCTTAACTTTTATAAATATTCTTAGTAGCCTTAAAAAGAGAATATTTATGAGACTAGTAAGCCACTTCAAACTAAAGACATCTTTAATATGAACAAAAACGCAAATAATTTTAATAAATTTTTAAAGAATTCATCACCACCTAAATTCATTGAAAAAATACCTTTGACCGAAATAGTTAAAATGCAATCATATTTCTCATAATTGCCAACTGCAGAAATTGTTACAATCCCTAGAGGGTATATATTTATTTTTTATTTTAAGATATATTTAAGAATTATAAAATTTATAGCAAACTCTAGCTAGAGTTGTCAAATAGTCGTCCTAAATTATTTGAACTATATATTTAATCAATTTAATAAAAAAATAAGTCAAAATGTTTTTCATTGTTCCTTTTAGATTTAACTTTAAATAAAATAACATTATAAATTTCTAAATTTTGGAGCTACAATAATCAATAAGTTCCTTTATCTAATTTTTACTATTACTATTTTATAAAATTGATATCTTTTTTTTATATTATTAATTACAAATATAGCAACAATATATTTCACATTTGCAAAACTAATTATAAGTCTTTTTTGATATATAAATTTATAACTTTTCTATAAATCTTATATATTCACATTAAACTAAATTTTTAAGTGGAAAATGTAATGTTAGTTTATTTAAATCTATTTATGATACATTTTCAATAAGAAAAATTAGATATTATTTAGATAAAATTAAATTACAAATATATTCTTTCAATATATGACATCTCTAAATAAAATTAATAAAAAATATATTTTGATAAGTGAAAAGGCTCAGATTTTCTTTCAAAATTATGAATTATTCATTGAATGAGGAAAAGACTCTTATCTAAACATGTAAGGAAATTGACGAAAATTCATATTTGACAGTGAAAGTTACATCAGCGAAGATTAATTAGTTTCTTAACTAGAAACATTTGATAAGATTGGAGGGCTCTCTTTAAGTAATTATGATTATGATAGGCTTTAACTTTTAATTAAATTTGCAATGCCTTCATAATATTTATAATACATAGCAGCAAAGTCTATTTTAATAAAAATATTTACATTATTATTATTATTAGAGCTATTATTATTATGAGGGTTAATTTTGCAAGACTTAAGAATTGTATAGGGATATTAATGGTTCATTAAATAATTGTTGAGAATTTAATGTATAATTAATTTAATTGATATTGTTGTTTAAGCTTTAACTTAAAACACTCTATGCAATCTTATTAACTTGAAATTCGTTATCATCCTCTTCTTTTACATGAACTTCGCAACTTTCTGCTGAAATAATTCCATTCAAAACTTCTTCATGTTCAATAAGAATATTATTATTAATTTTTTTTTCTTGTTCTTTTCTTCTTTTAATAGAGTTTTATTTTTTCATTTTTCTCTTTTAAATTTTAGATTATTTCTTTTTTTTTAGAGCAACGCTTTAAAATGATAAATTATTTTAATTTTAATCATCCTTAATTAATTCATTTGATTATTGGATTAATTTTAATTGTTCAGCATCAGTTTTTTATTAAGAATTTGGTATTACATAATAAGGATTTTAAATATTCATGTATTCTTTTCTAATAAAAGAATAAAATCTATTTTTAATCATATTTTCCTAATAAATTTTAGTAAATAAATTATACAGGTCTCCCTTTTAATAATTTGGATATTTCTGTCCATCTAGATCCATATTATTAATATGCTTCCATGACAATAAGATCTTCTTCTTTTGACCATGGTTCAGCTCTAATCTCTGGATTTAATTTATTTATATATCGTTCTCTAATTTATTTTCCTGTTCTCCAATTCATAATACTGGCAATCATACCCCAATTTCGTTTATGTATTTTAACTAATTCTAATAGTTATTCATCTTCAATTGCGCTCCAAGAATGTCGAGAGCGTTACTGGGCTTATTTAAAATTAAATATACTGAAGCAGGCTTAATTCTCTTCCACCTTTAAGCACATTAAGAAGGATTTCTGTTTTGTAAATGTTTTGCTACTTCCTTCCAATTAGTTCCAAGTTCATGAATTGCTCTTTCTAATAATTTGTCTTCTTTTTAGGACCATATTTTTCTATTTTGTATTTTTTTTGTTGTTGCTTTGATAGATTATTTATCATCTTCTATTCCAAAACTTTCTAATTAACTAAAATTAAGAAATAATTTACTTCTCTTTAGGCACCATTCAAAATTTAATTTAATTATTTATATTTCCCAATCAGATTTGTCATGTTTATATGTGATAAAAATCTATAAAAAAGATTTGCAACAACCTATTTATAAATACTTATATTAAAGTCTATATAAAATATACTTTAGAGTTTATAGAAATCCTTCAAATCTTTTTACAAATCTATTAACATTATATCTATTAACATTATAAAGTAAAGCTTATCAAAAAGATTTTAATTTTACAATTCTCTAATCAATATGTTTGAGTTTGCAACAAATTTTCATTTTTTTGCTTCTATGTAATTATTTGATTTTTACTACAAATTCATTGATTCTATTTGTATTAGTTTTAATTTAGTATAATTTTACTTTTTACTCTTTCTTCTATTAAAATACCTATAAATGAATATGCTAATTGAAGACACTTTTAATAATAATCCATTTTTTTTTTTTTAATTCATTTTAGAATGGCCATATTGATGGTAACAAAAAAAGTGAAATAAAGCAAAATAGCTGTAGTTGAAATATGTTTAAGTGAAAATATTGTAAGATTAATTCTTAAAAATCATATAATACACCCTTGGAAATAAAAATAATTCTCAGTTAAGTTAAGTTAGGTAAATCAAATATTATCATAGCTTTCGCAAAAAGACTTTAGAAAGTGTTGAGTTTATGAAGGGATTAGAATGTAATTAGAAATCAAAGATTTTTAAGAATTTCGATTATTTTTGGACGAGCTTATAGTTTATGTAAAATTGTTAAAAAAAAGTTTTTCAATTTGATTTCTCATATATTAAAAAAATCTTAATTATCCGCAATTAGTATAAAAACACAGAAAAATTTAATGTTAAATTATTGAGAACAAAATTTTGATGTAGATGTTTTTAACAGATCATGGTTTGAGATTTATTTTTAAATATGTTTTGTACAATTTGAAAAAATTAAAGCAGTCAGTCGGTTATATTATTTTCAATTATTTTAATTTACATTGAAAACTCAATTTATGTCTTAGGTATTATGATATTGAAAATAATATTTTTTCTTTTACAAATTATATTAATATAAGTAGTTTTCAAATTAATCATTCAATTTTTATATATTTTTGTTTCTTTTCTAAAATATAATATTTTGCAATATCAATTTTAAGAGTTTTTATAACAAATTAGAATATGATCTTTATTAATAATGACCAATGACAGTAATTATACTAAATAAATATGGAGTAAAGTAGAATATTATAATTTTTGAAATTATCATAGCAGCAATAAAACAATTTAATTTTCTAATTGATCTGATCAAAAAGTTATCTTTAACATCTTCATTTTCTCATATAAGTATCTTGATTGAATCAAAATATTACATATCAAAAGCTGAAAAGTTAATTTTTGTTGTTTTGAATTCCTCTATTAGTTTATCAAAACCTAGAATTAAGTCTTTAATTTTAGATGCTCCATAAAAAATAATCATTACCATGGCTTCTCCATATTCATTTATGATATATCATTAGGTTGAAAAATTCTTAATCTTTTTAAAAGCAATATTTCTAAATAAAAATAGTTTTGATTTTTTAACTGGATAATGAAGATAAGTGAGATTAATAGTGAGATTTTTTTATTTTATTTGAATATTATTATTTTTTTAATTTTCTTAATCAAAGATTTATAAAATAGATCCTTTGTAAACCAATCTTGATTTTTAATATCAATTCTAAAAATTTCATAAATAATGTCAATTAATAATTAAAAAATATATGATTATATATAACTTTTCTAAAATCTTCAAATAAGTTGCTTTTTAGAAAATTTAGTGAGTTTTTTCTTAAAAAAGTAGATTAATTTAATAAGATCAAATAAATAATAGAAATTCTTTTAAATATCGGAGTAGAAAAATGAAATAAAAATATTTAGATAAAATCAATATGAACTAAGTGAAAAATAAAAATACTTTTCCGATTAGAATAATTAATTCTTAAATTTGAAACAATAAAATATGGTCTAGAAATAAGAATAAATAAAAAATATTAAAGATTATATTAATTAAATATGATTAGTATAGCAATTAACAGAATTTGAGAATCTTTTAATTGAATAAGCTTACAGATAGTAACACATCATAAAGATAAGGATTAATTAATATATATCCTATAAATCATAATATTGAAAATGAGGAAACTTCAAAACAATTAGAAATAGTTCTATAAACTAATTAATAGAAATTCTTAGAGATAAATAAATTATAGCATGCTCTAGAGAAGGTTCAATAATAAAATTAAGATTAATAAAATGAATAAGATTTAAATAAACTATTCTTTAAACTAAGTAAAATATGAATTATCAAAATTAATACAATAAAATTTATAGAATTAATATTATAAGACTAAATATCAACAGAAACAAAAGAATTACAATAGTAAATAGATACAAAGAAAGCTAAGGTATATCTATTAAATTTAAAAATAAATTGGAACATTATAGAGTCAATTAAAAGCTAAGAATATGTTATTATATAAAGCTTAAGTAAGAGATGAGAGCTATTTAAAATAAAATAAGGAAAAGTTTTTGGTGGAGGATTTTTGGAATAGATCAATTTTTAGATTTATAAAACAATAAACTTAAAGTATTTTAGAAATTTTTATTGTATGATGAGAAATAAAATCGAAAATAAAAGAGAATGTTGCCTTTTAAAGCATTTTTGTTAATTAATGCAATTCACAAGATTATTAAATAGAGTCATCAGAGATCTTGCTAAGAGATTAAGTAAAAGTTTAATGATTGCCTTCTGATATAGTAATTAAAATGAATTTGAAGTGTTCAATTATAATACGAGGTAATTTTAATAGGGAAAACAACATGATTTGGTTCATAGATGTCATGATCTTTTTTTAATAAAGAAAGTAGTACTAAAGTGTCTAAAAGTATGGCAGCGATTGTTGTTCTTGATTTATATAGTAAATTGTTTATTTTATATCTATTGAGTAAATAAAAATGAGTATTTTTTATAATAAAAATGAAAGTATTTGAATAACTGGAAAGTGCAATAAAATCAAATGACACCATAATCAAATTAATTCCAACATTAAAGTTAATAACTAATTCCTTGCCATTTCCAGATCGTCATACTTATATCAAAGATCCTAGATTAGTAAAACTTCTGTTAATTGNGCAATTAACAGAATTTGAGAATCTTTTAATTGAATAAGCTTACAGATAGTAACACATCATAAAGATAAGGATTAATTAATATATATCCTATAAATCATAATATTGAAAATGAGGAAACTTCAAAACAATTAGAAATAGTTCTATAAACTAATTAATAGAAATTCTTAGAGATAAATAAATTATAGCATGCTCTAGAGAAGGTTCAATAATAAAATTAAGATTAATAAAATGAATAAGATTTAAATAAACTATTCTTTAAACTAAGTAAAATATGAATTATCAAAATTAATACAATAAAATTTATAGAATTAATATTATAAGACTAAATATCAACAGAAACAAAAGAATTACAATAGTAAATAGATACAAAGAAAGCTAAGGTATATCTATTAAATTTAAAAATAAATTGGAACATTATAGAGTCAATTAAAAGCTAAGAATATGTTATTATATAAAGCTTAAGTAAGAGATGAGAGCTATTTAAAATAAAATAAGGAAAAGTTTTTGGTGGAGGATTTTTGGAATAGATCAATTTTTAGATTTATAAAACAATAAACTTAAAGTATTTTAGAAATTTTTATTGTATGATGAGAAATAAAATCGAAAATAAAAGAGAATGTTGCCTTTTAAAGCATTTTTGTTAATTAATGCAATTCACAAGATTATTAAATAGAGTCATCAGAGATCTTGCTAAGAGATTAAGTAAAAGTTTAATGATTGCCTTCTGATATAGTAATTAAAATGAATTTGAAGTGTTCAATTATAATACGAGGTAATTTTAATAGGGAAAACAACATGATTTGGTTCATAGATGTCATGATCTTTTTTTAATAAAGAAAGTAGTACTAAAGTGTCTAAAAGTATGGCAGCGATTGTTGTTCTTGATTTATATAGTAAATTGTTTATTTTATATCTATTGAGTAAATAAAAATGAGTATTTTTTATAATAAAAATGAAAGTATTTGAATAACTGGAAAGTGCAATAAAATCAAATGACACCATAATCAAATTAATTCCAACATTAAAGTTAATAACTAATTCCTTGCCATTTCCAGATCGTCATACTTATATCAAAGATCCTAGATTAGTAAAACTTCTGTTAATTGTTTATCCATTACTACCAGAAGCAATTGACATGATTTTAGGACAATTTCTAAATGTATTTAAAGACTAAGTAGAATGGATTAAAGGGTGTTGCAAAGCTATAGAAGAGTATGCAGTTTATAAATCAAATACTATAGGAACATCGAAATTTTATTGTCTTGAATTTTTTTAACAAGTTCTTCATATTGCAGCATAAGCAGGGTAAGTATAAAATAATAATTTTATAGATTAGAATTAGATGATATTTGTTATGGTTTTATAATATTTTTGAAACATGCAGAATCAGAGAAGATGGTTTTATATATAATGAATAAAATTGAAGCAGTTAAAGAAGAATATGGATATGGAATCAGGTCTCTTAATTAATTTAGTGAATTAGTTGAATCAAGTAATCATTAATATATTCTTAGCTGTACTCTAACTTTATTAAGAAGAAAGTAATAAAAATACTGAAGATTAACATTTCAGATCTGTAGCAATTGGATTGTAGGAGAGTCAAAGTAAAAGAGTATTACATCATTAAAATACTCTTTCATCTCCTTCCATGAGATCTCCTGCTGTTTCAAGATAAAGATCTGAATCATTTGGGTCTTTAAATGATGAAATAGTTGATAATATCAATATTGAAGAAATTCTAATCTAAGAAAAACCTAGAATTCTTGATTCAGATTAAGCAGAATATTTTAAATCTAATGAAAGACTCTAAAATCTAATTTATTTTATTACAGATCCATATCTCTCATAACCAAGTCTTATTTTTGATACTGATGTACTTGCAGAAAACTCTATTGAATTTGATTCAAACAATTACAAAAAATTCAAAAATATTAAAATAGACAAATTATTTACTATTAGATCTTTTAAGACTTTACTGTTTCTAACAGATATCCATAATCATAAATTATTAAATGAAGTCAATGCTCATCTAACTTAACTTGTCTGTAAAATTTAATTAAAATATTCTAGTTAGATCAATCTCTGGATTTCTACAAAATACTTAATCAATTGGCAATATCACACATATTGTGGCACTTATATAATTTTATTTAAAAAATGATACTAAAGATACAATATATTACTTTCTATATTGCAATCTACATTTTTAATTCTTAGATTATATATGTATTACTTTATAAATAATTAGACAATTCTCATGTTCTTGATATCTTAATCAGATTCATTGATCCAAATTTTATTAAAATTCCTTAGTAGATAAGGGATGAAATTTGGATCTTTTTGAATAGTCAAGGATTTATTTCATACATAATTGGAAGAATCATAAATAAAGATTATTTAGGTGTAAATAGAAAGGAATTTCACGTATCAAAAGATGGATATAATATTTTAAAACGTATTTATGAATAAAAAGTTATTAATGGTAAATAATTATCTAATTATTTTAGATGAAAATACTTCAGAATAACATACTTATAATTTGAGTTCTAATCTTGATCAATATTTAGGTCCATTAATGCCTGGTAAAACTATTTAATAAAATTTAATTAAAAAAAAAAGAGTTTTACATGCAGCTTAAACTTAAATTTATACTAGAAGATATTCTGGAGCTGGAATGACTGGGAAATTTAATAAGATAATTTTAGTTGAAAATATATAATTATCAGAATTAAATGGAATTTCATAAGATATTGATAGATTTAAGGATGTCATTTAATATTATTAGAATAATCAATTTGATAATGAAGAATCGATTCCAACTAATTAAGGGATTAATAAATTAGGAAGTGAGAAAATCATTCCTAAATCTACCCATAAAAGTGTAATGAGTGATTAATTCTTGAAATCAGATTTCTTAATTAATTAAATTGATACAAAACCTATTGATATTAAATCATTTTTAGGTGAAAATAAATCTGTTGATACAAAATTACCATCTTTAAAATCAAGTACAAAATTTAGTGGAGGAAGTATGCATTCTAGTAGAATTCTAAGATAATCTTCAAAATAAGGATAAGAAATTAATTTTAAAAAGAAGAAGTCTTTAAAAATAGATAATATTGAAGAAATTTCAAACAATTTTAAAAAACTTAACAATCCTATTTCATCTCCAACTTCTGCATTTAGATGCCATAGATTTTATCCAAATAGTGATATTAGTGTAATTGATCATATCATGAGAGAAGAATACTAAGAGTATAATTAATTTAATAATGAATACTTTGCTCTTTAACATTCTCAATTATTAAATATTATTGTTAATTTATTTTAAGGTAAGAATTATAAATTTTAAGCACAAACTGATTGTTTTACATAATTGATTGATGAAAAATTGGTTAATTTTGAAAGACTAATGAAACACTATACATTAAAAATATTAGAACCTGAAAATGGTAGTGCTTATGAATTAGGATTTTTAATTGTCAACATATTAAAAAAATTATCAAACTGTGATAGTATTTAGGAATAGTGCAATAAAATTTATAGAAATCAAATTCCAAGATTATGTAGAAATATTGCTTTATTAAATAAACAATAGTAATTTCCTTAGTAATTAAACTTATAATCATATTCTGTAAATATTATAGGATCTCAGAAATTAATTATGTATGAGATTCTGTAAATTATGATTTGTAACGTAAAAATAAAATATTCTAATATCTTTATTAAACTAAATGATACTGCTCTACATATATTAATTATATAATTCCATTCTAGCTTTCATAATGGAATTTATTAAAATATTTTTATGAATTTAGTAAGACATTTATTTGTTTATGCTTCTGAAAAACAGTTGCTAAGTTTAGTTTTCAAAGTAAATCTTATAGAGTCGATTCATGCTGCTTATAAGAATACTGTGATTAATAGAGTTGTGATTAAAGAGTGGAATACAGAATAATATATTCTCTATTTACAATAATTAAGTTAATTAATAATTAATGCTTTTGATTTAAGAGAAGATTTAAGATAACTTAGATAGTCTTTAATTAGATTATAATCTTATTAAAAATTAAAGGAATTATCCTAAATATCTTAATTTTAATTTGATGTCAATCGATATACTAAAGAATTAATAGCTGCTGAATAATAATTAGTTAAAATTAAATTATGATTATAATTTATGATTTTTATTTATTTATTGATATCAATTTTTTATTTTATCAGCCATTTCTTATTGTGATTTACTCAAAGTAATACCTTTGACTCTTTCATGCTTTTAAGCAGCAGGTTCAGGAACTTTTATTGGTTTCAATTGCCAAATTTCTTCAGCATACTCTTAGATGGTTCTATCACTGCTAAATTTAAAAGATCTAATGGCATTGTAAATACTTTTTTTAGCCCATTCATTTGGTTAACGATATAATTCATCAACCTAAAATATTATAATTTATTACTTATTGTTATGCTTTAATATAGTCTTTGAAATCTTAACCAACCAAATAATTATCATTCTTATGTCTTATACTATCTATAATCCATCTCAATTCTTCATTATGTCCAAATCTTCCATTATCAATTTCTTAAAACACTTTCAATAATTCTTATGGGAAATATTCATGAGGATCTGTGTTTCTCATTTTTTCTTTCATATTATCAACATCTTCAACTTAAGTTCCAAAAATGAAAATATTTTCTCTTCCAACTGCTTCATCAATTTCTACATTTGCTCCATCCAAGGTACCTAATATTAAACATCCATTCATAATAAATTTCATATTTGATGTACCTGATGCTTCTGTTCCAGCAGTTGATATATGTTAAGATAATTCTGCAGCAGGAATAATAATTTAAGCATTACTGACATTATAATTAGGCATAAAAACTACTTTTAATAGATCTCCAATTTAATGATCATTATTAACAACATCAGCAACTGAATTAATTAATTTAATAACTCTTTTTGCATTTGCATAACCAGGAGCTGCTTTACCACCAAAACATACACTTCTAGGTACAATTCTTTTTCTTTCTTCAGGTGAAGATTCCTTAATAACCAAGTATCTATAAATAACATATAAAATGTTCATTAATTATCTTTTGTACTCATGAATTCTTTTGGCTTAAATATCAAATAACGAATCAATATTTAAATCAACTTAACAGGTCTTTCTAATCCAATGAACAAATCTTTCTTTATTTTCCATTTTAATCATTTAGAAATCTCTAACAAATTAAGGATCTGTAGCATTAGGTTCCAATTATTTCAATTATTCCATATCTTAAACCCATTTATCACTACCTAACACTCGATCATATAATGCAGCTAAAGCAGGATTTGCACATCTAACCCATCTTCTAGGAGTAACTCCATTTGTTTTATTTTAAAATTTATTTGGATGCATTTCAAAGAATTCTTTAAATATAGTTGTTTTTAATAATTCTGTATGAATCTTAGCTACTCCATTAACAAATTTTGAACCAACAATAGATAAATTAGACATTCTTACTTTTTTTGTTCCTTCTTCTTCAACGATTGAAAGAGCACTTAATTTACCCCAATTATTTGGATATTTCTATTGTACTTTTTCTAAAAATAGGAAATTAATTAAATATATAATTTCTAAATGTCTTGGAAGCAATTTTTCAATTAAAGGTACACCCCATTTTTCAAGGGCTTCTGGTAATACTGTATGATTTGTATAATTAAAAGATTTAGTAACAATTTACCAAGCACTCATGTTATCCAATTATTCAATATCTATTAAAATACGAAGTAATTCAACAATAGCTAATGCAGGATGCGTATCATTTAATTATACAGCAACTTTAGATGGAAATGCATTCCAATCTAAAACTTTTCTTCTCTTAAATCTTCTTACAATATCTTACATACTGGCAGAAACCAAAAGATATTATTATTTTAATCTTAATTCTTTTCCAGCATCAGTTGAATCATTTGGATATAAAACAGATGTTATATATTCTGCTTTTTATCTTTATTCTAATGCTTTAAAGTAATCTCCTGTATTAAAACTACTAAAATCGAATTCTGATGCAGGATGTGATTTCCATAATCTTAATGCTATTGTATTTTATGTATTATATCCAGGAATTGGAGTATCATATGCTCTAGCCATAATAGTTTCACCTCCTTCCCAAACACTTCTTTCAACTCCATGATCCCATACTTTTTTTACAAAACCATAAAATCTAATTTAATATTAAACATCTAATCTTTCTATTTCCCATGGATTTCCTTAATTCAACCAAAAATCTGGTGATTCTACTTAATAACCATCTTTAATTAATTATTTAAATATTCCATAAGTATATCTTATTCCATATCCAAATGATGGATAATTTAATGTAGCTAATGAATCCAAAAAACAAGCTGCTAATCTTCCTAAACCTCCATTACCTAAAGCAGGATCTACTTCTTCATCGTATAATTCTTCTAATTTATATCCAAGTTCTAATAATGCTTCTCTATAATCATCTTCTAAATCTAAATTGACTAATGCATTTTATAAACATCTCCCTATCAAAAATTCCAAACTCAAATAGTATATACGTTTGGCATCCATTTAATGAAAATGTAAATTTGTATCATTAAATGCTTCAATCAATCTATCTCTTACAGAATGAGACAAAGCTTAATAACTATGAAATTTTGAGAAATCAAAGCGTGTTCTTGCCAATGTGTATTCAACATGATGAACAATTGATTATTACAATGCTACTTTGTCACTTCCCTAGTACGAATCCATCAACTCCCATATTTTAGAAGTATCTCTAGGACTGGCTTATAATCCAAATTATTCAACCTCTATTAACATTACATTTTTATATTACAATATTCTGGTCTATACATATTTGAAGGGCTTCCACCAACTTACACTGTTGCTCTACGAACACTTGTCCTATATGTAGATTTCTAATCCATTTTTATTTTATATATATAAATAATATATATCTAATATAATTTATTTGAATATATACATTTTTTTTAAATAAAATTTTATAATTAAAGTAAACTAACCTAAGTTAAGTTATTAAATTTAATACTAAATTTTTATTATTCAGACTTCTTATTATTATCTTGGATTATCTTATAATCCCCTTATAACAATTAATGAGCTATTATCAAATATTTAGCAGATTAAATTCAAAAAAAAAAGTTCTTTCTCCTTAATTAAAATGATAAGGCTTATTTAATAATAGCTATAAAATAGTGATTTATAAGAATTACGATATTTGTTTTAAATGTATACTAAGTGTAGTAGATCTAATAGTATCAATCTATTAATAAGGTAGCAAAGACTTTATTAACCTTAATCTTAAATTTTTATATACCCCTTTATAAATTTTTTCAATAATGTGAATTAGAGTTTTAATCTAAAAAGATTCAAAGAAACTAATTGAAATTGCTGTTAATCATTTAATTAAATTAGATTTCTTATGACTTTTAATAATAGATCGAGAAAATAATTGAATCATCGTATTTATTATTCAATTTTCAAATAACCTTTTAGTTTCATAAACTTATTCTACTTGATATTTCATAAAATAATTCTACTTGAGACATTATGATTATAATTTAATCTTTTTTGAAAATGAGAATTGTTAAGATTTTTTATATAGTTTTATTTTTTTAGTTTTGTAAATATAAAAAAAGTAATTTTTTAGATTGAATGAGAAAAAAAATGATCTAAAATTTAATTTGATTATGGTGATTTATAATGTGTTAATTATCAATTCACTCATGCTTTTACTTTTTTAAATAATGAATAGAAATATTAACACTAATTTATGATAAAGTTATTATGCATAAATTGTAGGCTAGATGTAAATGTTAGAAAAATGTAGCTTATGCTATCATATAAGCAATAGAAAAATTTTGCATACAAAAGTAAACTCCATAGATAGATAGTGGGTCTTTATATTATTCAGATATGGTAATGGCTGATGTAAATTATCCAGTCATGTCAGCAAATCCTCTAAAATTAATATAATAGTACAAAAAGAATCCCAGAGTTTTTGTTAAGGTGAAATCATAAACAAAAGAATCTACTAAGGATATGAAGGTAATAACACAGAGTATATTAGCATAGAGGATAATATTAGAATTTGATTTGAATAACTTTTTAATGAATCCGTTTAATACTGCTGCAAAAATCTAAGCAATACCAACAATAAGATAAACGGAAGCAGTCATTTCATTAATAGTTTAAGGATCTTAATGTTATAAGGATAATGATTTATTTATATATTAATAGAGTAAGCCGTATTCAAATCCAATTATAATTCCACTGGTCCAAAATAAAGGATAATATATAATAGAAGACTTAGCAAACATAGTTTTAAATATATCTAAGATATTTTGACCAAAAGTATTTTATTATGTTTCAATTTTATATTCATGAGTATTTTTACAGTCAGATACCAAAGTGTCTTCTTTAGATGGAGTTTTAATAAAAAAGAAAAGTAAAGATAAAATGAGTTCAATAAAACCTGAGACCCAAAAAAATAATGATCTTGAGACTAATTTTAACATAATTTAAGCATAAAATCCACTTAACATTGAGGAGAATCCTAAAAAAATATAAGTTGTGCTAAACATAATTTCTTATGATTCATGAGAGACACATTGACTTACATAAAAATTTTAAAGAACAAAGTAACCAGCAAGTCCAACTCCTAAGAGAAATGTAAATGATAAACAAAGTGGACTCATAACGGAAGGTTTACAAATCCAAGAAGTATCGTTACCGTTTCTGCAATTCGCTAAGTAGCTATTTCTTTGAATGAAAGTTACTCAGAAACAAAAAAGCATGGAACAACTAATATAGCTTAAAATAGGAATGCTTAGTTGAATTTTCTATTTTTAAGGTATGCTGGTGCAATAATATTGAATAAGAACTCGGTTAAGTAGACATTCATAATGGAATATTTGCCAAGATCAGTATAGCCGTTTTGTTCTGCAATTTATGGCAATAATGCTATCAGGGCTAAACAAAGACTTAAATGCATTGTCAAAATGAGATTCATATAGAATAATTTCCAAAAGTTAGGAGGAATATTGAAACATGAAGTCATATTAAAATTAATTTATGGCATAATAAGATAATTATCTATTCTCAGAAACATAGTGGCGATTAATTTCAGGAGCAATATCTGGGGCAGTTTCTCGATCTTTTGTTGCTCCAATAGAAAGAACTATAATTCTTAAATAAACTAATGCATCAAATTACTAAAGAAAATCATTGATCAGATGTCTTTACATTATGTATACTGAAGAAGGAGTAAAAAGTATGTTTAAAGGTAATGGAGCTAATTGCTTAAGAATTGCTCCTTTTTAAGCTATTGAGTTTTATTTATTTGACATGCTTAAAAATACATTTTAATTTCAGAACTAAAATGCATAAAACATGTCTATGCTTGCTTTTGGAGCTTTTTCAGGAGCTTTAGCTACTATGACTGTTTATCCTTTTGATTTAGTTAAAACTATATTAGCTGTTTAAACAAGTAATCAAACAATATTAAATAGACTAGGAATACAAAGGAATAACTGATTGTTTAATTAAAATAGTCTAAAGAAAAGGTCTTTTATCTTTATTTAAAGGATTATCTGCAACATTAATTGGTATATCACCTTATTCAAGTTTCAAATTAACATTTTTCTAAATTTTAAGATAAAAATTATCATCTCTTCTTGGATTTTTTAATAAAGACACATAAAATCTTATATTCGGTGGTTTGGCAGGATGTATGGCATTAAGTATTACTTATCCCACAGATGTCATAAGAAGACGACTATAGGTTTAAATTTTATAAGGTAATAATTATTACCTAATATAATATAGGAAATAATCATTATGGTTATCTAGAGACCATGAAATTAATGTATAAAGAATAAGGGATGATTGTATTTTATAGAGGATTATTTTGCACTTATGCTAAAGTAATACCAGCTACAGCTATTGCATTTACAATCAATGAAAAATTAAAAAGAGTTAGAGATCTTCATTGAAATAGTTTCATATATATTATTTAATTAATGTATCTAATCCTTTATAACATAATAAATATTTCCATTGCTATTTAGACTTTAAGATAAGTGCAGGATTAAAACGCATTATGTTTGGATGGTACAAGAGCCGTAAAAACATTTTGTATTATAGAGTTACTATTTTGAATAAGGATATGGAGATGGGGCAGATAAATATTTAATATTTTTTGAAGGTGGAGGATGGATTTAAGGATTTGATGAAGCAGAAATGTTATAATAGGCTTATGATCGTTCAAATACAAATATGGGTAGTTCAAAGTTTTAAACAGCAACAACTTAAATGGATGGATTATTTAATAGAAATTAAAATGTGAATGTGTATTTTTATAATTGGAATACAATATTTGTAAATTATTGCGATGGAACAGGACATTAAGGTTATAGAACTGAGCCTTTATAAATAAAAGATAAGACAATATATATAAGGGGAGAATTAATATTTAAATCAATATTTTAAGAGCATATGATTAAATTGTCCTAGGCAAGGAAAATAGTTGTTTCTGGTTGTTCAGCAGGAGGATTAGCTGTATTTAGTTGGGTTCAATATATAAGAGATCATTTGCCTTTGAATGTTTAAATTTTGGCAGCTCCTGATTCAGGTATTTTTCTAGATTTGTAACCTTATGATGGAGCCTAAGCTGCAAGTGATAGAAGATAAAAACAATATCATAAATTAGCTAATGAAGAGGTGGATCCTTTAAATGAATAATGTGTCAAAACTTATTCAAATGAAAAATGGAAATGTCATTTTGCATAATATTTACTATAATTCATCAATGTACCTGTTTTTATTATTCAATCCTTGTATGATACATCATGCATTCCAAATGTATTACATATATATAGTGCTAATGATTACACTCTAAGAAGATGTGATTAGAAAGAAAGAACTTGTATAGAAGCTATGAGAAAATAAATCATAAATCTTATTAATGATAGAAAGCTTTCAGATGCTTAAACAGGTGCGTTTGGTGTTGCTTGTCTTGAACATTGGTATTAAATTTATTATTAAATAGCTTTACATAAAAAGAAATATTTTACACTACAAATTGGGCAATACCATATGATTCTTAATGGACTATAGCTAATTCTTTGGGATATTGGATGTAGAATTTAGAGTAGAATAATATCCATATTGATAATGTATATTGGCCAAACAATAAGGGATGTTCGAATATTTGATTATTTAAATTAATGTCCTAACAGAAAAATCAAAAGAATGTTGTAGTATACAATTATGAACCTCATCCAAAGACCTTGACTGAATAAGGTAACAATATTCAGTAATCTCAAATACAACCTGATGATTCACCCTTTAATGTTTCTAAAATTTTGAAAGCTAAACAATAACAAAGCAACATTTTTCATCTGCCTTAACAGGATCTAGTAGATTATAGTAAAGTAACACCAAATTAACATGCTGAAAGTAAAATAATAAAATATATAGTAGAAATATTGCCATATGATATGTTCTGGTGGAATAGTTAGAATTTGAAAGAAAATAAGAAAACTGATGTAAATTCTCCTATAATTACTAATGTTCACATGATTTAAAGCAGACCTTAGACTTCCACATAATAGAGAGTTAATACAGAGTCAGTTTCCAATAATTAATAATTAACTGAATAATAATTCCTTCAAATTTAATAATAACAATATTAGTAATTTTTACTATAACAGCAACAAATCAAAAATTAATTATAGTTGTAACAAAATGAAAAATAAAAACAATAGTTGAATCAATAATAAGAAAATCCATATAATGTAATTAAAGAACATAACCAAATGATTGAGACTGCTTCATTTGCTGGATAAGATAATCATTAAGGAGTGTTTTCATAACAACCGAATTCATAATAATAGCCAAACTAATCATAATTATCTAATTAGTTATAAAATCCAGCAAAGGTATATGATAAAGTCAATAATCCAAATTCTGAGTTGAAATAAAAAAACCCTAATTTCTCAGATGTATTTGGAAATGGTTTAGAAAAATATTATTAATAAAAGCCATAGTAAAATAGCGGAAAAAAATAATAGGTTGATTATATGTAAGAGAGTGAATTATATGGTGTTAAATATCATTAAAGATAAATGTTGAAAGGTATGAGTTCATAAATGGACACTCATTAATATTATGGTTAAATGTTAGATAAATAATCACAAGATTAAATTAAATCAAAGCAACCAAAAAGTAAATCATAGTCTCCATAGGCTTCTCCAGGCAAAAACCTTGAATAAGATGAAAAACTGTTTCCCAAGCCTTTCTATACAGAATTAAGCATAAGAGGTATGGGAAAGGATGTTAATTGGGATAAATTAAGTGGATAATTAAATGGCGTTTAAATATCATTAGTAGATATTACAGTTGTAAAGGATAAATAAGGAAAAATTAAAAATCATAAAATAATAATTAAACATTTTGATTAAGGAAATTTATAATTGGTTAAATAATGGGTTATTACACAGGGTGGTAGAATAGTAGATGAAAGATTATTGGAATCAGAAGAGGAATTCAAAAAAATGATCAAATTAAAAGAAGGTCCTAAACAAAGACCTATGAGAATTGCTGAGGAAAAAGAAAAATTGAAGCAGTAAAAAAAAAGACCACAAAGTGCAATACCCGTTTAAAAATAAAAGAAATGATAAATTTAATTTTATAATCGATAATAATGATTTTTTAGACATATTTCTTATTTGTGATATTCATACAGTTGTTTATTTTTTGAGTTTATAAATGATATCTAAATTTAAAAGAAATGATGTAAAACATTAATTAATGTAGTAAATTTAGTAGCATTATTCATAATAGCATATGATTCCTGCATATTAATAATAATAAAGGAATGTATCCAGTTCACCAATGTAAAGATAGTTCTCAATGTAAACCTTTACTCCAACATAACATTTGGGAGGATAGAATGAAGGAATAAAAGCATATTAGACAGATATAAGAGAGAGAAATAGATAATTTTAAGATACACCTTAATATTATGGATAATCAATGGAAAGTATGGCTTTAAGAATTCAGACGCTTGAAAAAGAGAATTAAAATCTTAAGAGATAGTTAGAAAATTCTAATCAATAGATTCAGATATTGAATCAGAAGATGAATTAAAACCCTACTCAGAGTCTTCTTAAAACTACAACTTTTGAACTAGTTGTTTTATAAAAGGCTGTAGAATAATTAGAAGGACTAAAGAATGGGCTTTAGAAAAAAAAAATATAGGGAAGCAACAATCAAACTACATTACTTGATTCCTAAAAAGAAGCTTATAGTGAATTCAAAAGTAAAGTTACAGTCTTGGAAGAGAAGTAGTAATAGTTAGAATAATAATAATCTTAAGTACACACTTATATTTAAATTAGACTGTGCTTTTATTTCCTAAAGAATAATAAGTTTAAAATTTACAATCAAATGGTCCTATATAAACAGAAATTAAAGAAGAACCAAGATAAGGGAGGAGATTTAATGTTAATTCTTAATCTGATTCAGTTGACAACTTTACTAAAGGAAGTCCTATTAAATATTTGAATATAAAAGCTGGAACAAATTAAAATGCTTTAAGAGTATCCCCTAGAAGAAAACCAGACTTTTAGTAAAATTGAATAAGTAAATAAAGATGAAGTGATTTTTGCTAATTTAATGATAAATCATTCAATCACAATGCTCAGAATAATCGCTATCATCCATACTTTATCAAATGATTTATGTACTCTCATTGTTTAAATTGTTCTAGTTGGTTATCTATTCATATCCTAATATCTAAATAAATATCATAATATTATGTTAACTTTAAGCAATTTATTATTTTAAAATAATAATATGATTTATCTCAAGTTTTGGTTGATCAGGTGCTGTGTTTTTGCTAACAGGTTTTAATCAGGCTAAAGGATTATAAGTATTTAAATTATCTAGCACCCTAGTGGGTGAAGGTGGTAATTATTCAAGAGGAAGAGAAGAGGTGGAGGTAAACTAAGAGGAGGAGAACCTTTTGTAAGAGGAGGCGGTAGAGCTCTGTTCTATTATTATTAAGGTAGAGATTATTGTGTTTATTATTATTATTATTATTGTTATTATTGTTATTATTATTATTATTATTATTATTATTATTATTATTATTATTATTATTATTATTATTATTATTATTATTATTATTATTATTGTTATTATTATTGTTATTATTATTATTGTTATTATTATTGTTATTATTATTATTGTTATTGTTAAGTTACTTGGGTAGTTATGTAGGAATAATTCTATGAGCTACAGATTACTTATTCCTCTATTAAGTTGATGGATTAAAAAATGCATATCATCATTGTCTGTAATCAACAATTCCTGCCAAATTAAGTTTTACATCCACTTTTGATTATACAATGATTTTATTTTATGAAAAATAAGAATAAGATTGATCTTCATACACTGTAATTGTTTCTCATATTGTATTTGATGCATCTGTCATTGTTACTTATTCTTCTCCTTTTAATATTTTCTCTTTTTATTCTATGGTTTCTAATTTATTATTATTATTTTCTACTGCTGAATCTAAATTAAGTAATCATGGGCATGGCTCTTAAAAGGCGAATATAAAATAAAAATAATTTATAAATGTATTCACATATTCTTTTTAATATTACCTTTAAAAAGCTTCTAATTTCAAAAAGTTTTATGGAAAATTAATAAGAAAAATTTGAATATGAATTAAAATGTTATTTAATATTATTTTTCTTCTCTGTTCTTTTTTCTCTTAAACTTAATTCTGATGTAAGATATTTATAAAGATATTTAACTTAATAGAAAATTTATAATTTAAATTAAAAAAAAATATTCTTTATTTTATTATGTTCGCTAACCCATCTGAAATTTTATTTTTGGAAGAATGCTGTAAGTTTACTCTTGATCCAGCAAAGTACTTTGAAGCTTTTATAATAGAGCCGATAAAATAATATTCTTGGCTGATACCTTTAGATAATATTTTTATGAAAAATCCAATATTTCCATATCAAAAACTTCAGATATTTTGGACTCATGTATTTTAGAGAGACTAAAATATCCGTAAAATAAAATATATAAGTAGCAAAACTAATCCATTCGTTTTCTTAGTTTAAATTAAAAAAAATATTGAATAATTAAGAGAAAAACCTTGGTATAATACTAAATCAATTGGAATACTTATTGAATCATTTAGAATCATAGTTTAAAATTATATAATGACCATATTACAATATCCTGATTAATTTTCACCTTAAAGATCTATTTCAGATAGAGAGAAGGAATAAAATTCAGGTATCTGCTATTTATATGAAGAAATATAAAAGTTGATTGCCAGGCTTTTTGATATGTTTGATTCGATAGGATTTGACTCAGAAATACACAGTTTATTCATCTAAAATTTAGGAGAATATTTTGATAGAAATTAGCTTCATTCTCTGATAATTTAATATTCTAGAAATTGCATTTCAAGGGTGTCAATATAATAATTAAATTTAGTTTAATATCTATAATGATCAAGTAAATATCTATTTTAGAATATTCTAACACTATTTAAAAGATACAAAAACAAGGGAGTTGATTATGTTTGATTAAATTGCTAAATGGTAAGCAAAGTTTTAAATGAATTTAGGAATGTTAAAACATAAAAAGGTGATATTCTGGAAAAAGAATTTGTTTTAGGTCCTTTTTTTACAATCTCATTATTATAAGATAACTAAGAGGTGAGAGAAAGGGCTCATCAAAATTTAAAAAGAAAAATGACAAAGAGATAATTTGAGAATCTTCTTAAATAATATTAATAAACATGTTGTAATTATGTTGAAAATTTAACATCTCTAATTAGATTATGTCTTTCTAAAAATACATTTTAACAAACAATCCAATTTTTTAATGCTGTATGTTATTGCAATCGAGACAAAACAAAAGAAGCCTATTAGCATAATAGATCATTAAGAATTAAGTAAAAAGTTTCATCTGATGGGTTTATGCTCAATTTATATGATATTTTACTTAATTTATCAAATAAAATATCATTAAGAGCAGATGATACATATACCAAAATAGACAAGAATTTTTGGTTAACAATTCCATTTGAGAATGATTAAATGCTTTTAGGTATTTGATTCCAAGTATTATTAGCCCCTTAAAAACCTTAAAGTAAATAAAATTTATAAATTGGTAATGTAAGTTATTTGTTTTTCTATACTTTAAAATTTGTTTAAATTGGAATTATACCAGTTATTGATAGAATGAAGGATTAGATAAAAGATATTGAAGATTAAAAAGAATTACTTGAACTATTCAAAGATCTACCATAAGAAAAAAGTCTTTAAGCAGAAATAGAATTTTTAGAAGAAGAATTACATCAATTAGAATTAGTGATCTTTAATCCAGGAAGGATCAAAGATACAATTTAATTGTTTGATACTTTCATTTATTTATTTAAAAATTGGTTAAACATTCCAAATTTTATTAATGGTTAAGCTTTATGGCAGAAAACAGAAATTTTGAATTATATTCCAGAATTTATAATAGATGATATTCTTGATTATTTAGTTTTTTACATGCAACATTTAGAAGGATTTACTGAAAATTATTTTCATTATTAATAAGTACATCTTAAAATTAGAATTAGTTCATTAGCTTTGTAGAAATTGCGATATATTTTATTCATATCCCAATTGCTACTAATAAATATTTACCAGGCAAATTTATAGAAGCTTTATTTTATTATGCCAGAGTGACTAAAAAATAAAATTATTTTAATTATATCTTTGTTTAGAATGATTTAATTAGAGAAAATTTACTTATAGGTCTAATTAATCAATATTCAGCAGTTGGAGAAACTGGAGCAAATAATCAATTTTATGTAAAATTCCAATATAGATTTTATATTAATGATTTTCTCTTATAATTATTATCGATACCTATTTATTAATAACAATTTAAAAAATATATAGGTATTGAATAAGGTTAAAGGTTAATAAAATTTATGATAAGTGATATGAATTATGGTTTTGAAGAAATTTGGACAAATTATATAGAAACTTATTAAAAAAAGGAGAAAGAAATCGCAAATAATATTGATTAAAAACACAGAAAAAAAAAAGAACTTGATTAGCTTAAAGGATCCATTTAATCAAATTTAAGAAATATGAAATCTAATTTGAAGTTACTAGTAGAACTTAGCTATCATATTCCATAAGTTCTAATGCAAGAAAGTAAAATATTTAAAATAATTATTAGTTTTTCAAGAAATGATTTTGAAAATGCTAAATTATTACCTTAATAATTTTTTGAATGAAAAAACTAAAGTAAAATTAGAAGCATTGAAATAAATAGCTGAAAAATAATTTAAATTAGCAAATTTCTTGTAAGAAATTGGAACATTTTTTACAAATATATGTGATTAGAAAAAAGTTGTAAGTATCATAGTAAAGGATGAAAGATCTTATGATATTAAGAATTTTTTGAAATTAGAGTAAATGTTTAGAAACAATATTGCTGGATAGTAAGATAAGGTTGAAAGATTACATAAATTTATAAAAAATTTAAAGTTAAAAGCAGAAAAAAAATAATTTTTAGAGTCAATTTTAGAGTAGACCTAGATCCCAGAGGAATACTAAGATCCAATATATGGAGAAGTATATTAAATAATTAGATTAGTTAATAAAAGATCCAGTTATGTTGCCTTAATCTAAAACAATAATGGATAGAAAAGTGATAAAAGCAGCTTTATTAGAAAAAAAGGTAGATCCATATACATTAACTCCTTTAGATGAAAAGGACTTAATTCCTTAACCAGAATTAAAAAAGAAAATTGAAGAATGGTTGAATAATCTAAAGAAACAAAGAGATATTAAAGTGGAAGAAGCTGATAAGAATAGAATGCAAACAGAAATTCCCTTCAAATAAACATAAAGTTTTAATATATAGGAGGAAGAAGAAGAAAATGTATTTAAAGGAAAAAGATATGAAGAAGGTGATTGAGTCGATATAAACTATATTTATATTTAGGAAGAAAGAATATTAAAAAAAAATATTTTTTTACTATTATTTTTATGATTAACTCAAATTTTTCATAATTTGCTAACTTTAGCCATATGAAGAGCTAAGTCCAAAACTCTGTTGGAATATCCCCATTCATTATCATACCATGAGACTAATTTGTGGAAATTCTTTGTCAATCCAATACCAGCTTTAGCATCAACAATAGATGATCTAAAATTAAGAGATTATATNAAAAAAAAAGAACTTGATTAGCTTAAAGGATCCATTTAATCAAATTTAAGAAATATGAAATCTAATTTGAAGTTACTAGTAGAACTTAGCTATCATATTCCATAAGTTCTAATGCAAGAAAGTAAAATATTTAAAATAATTATTAGTTTTTCAAGAAATGATTTTGAAAATGCTAAATTATTACCTTAATAATTTTTTGAATGAAAAAACTAAAGTAAAATTAGAAGCATTGAAATAAATAGCTGAAAAATAATTTAAATTAGCAAATTTCTTGTAAGAAATTGGAACATTTTTTACAAATATATGTGATTAGAAAAAAGTTGTAAGTATCATAGTAAAGGATGAAAGATCTTATGATATTAAGAATTTTTTGAAATTAGAGTAAATGTTTAGAAACAATATTGCTGGATAGTAAGATAAGGTTGAAAGATTACATAAATTTATAAAAAATTTAAAGTTAAAAGCAGAAAAAAAATAATTTTTAGAGTCAATTTTAGAGTAGACCTAGATCCCAGAGGAATACTAAGATCCAATATATGGAGAAGTATATTAAATAATTAGATTAGTTAATAAAAGATCCAGTTATGTTGCCTTAATCTAAAACAATAATGGATAGAAAAGTGATAAAAGCAGCTTTATTAGAAAAAAAGGTAGATCCATATACATTAACTCCTTTAGATGAAAAGGACTTAATTCCTTAACCAGAATTAAAAAAGAAAATTGAAGAATGGTTGAATAATCTAAAGAAACAAAGAGATATTAAAGTGGAAGAAGCTGATAAGAATAGAATGCAAACAGAAATTCCCTTCAAATAAACATAAAGTTTTAATATATAGGAGGAAGAAGAAGAAAATGTATTTAAAGGAAAAAGATATGAAGAAGGTGATTGAGTCGATATAAACTATATTTATATTTAGGAAGAAAGAATATTAAAAAAAAATATTTTTTTACTATTATTTTTATGATTAACTCAAATTTTTCATAATTTGCTAACTTTAGCCATATGAAGAGCTAAGTCCAAAACTCTGTTGGAATATCCCCATTCATTATCATACCATGAGACTAATTTGTGGAAATTCTTTGTCAATCCAATACCAGCTTTAGCATCAACAATAGATGATCTAAAATTAAGAGATTATATATACCTAGCATCATGAAGGAAATCTTATGAGACAACTTAATCACTAGTGAATCCTAAGACACCTTTTAATGGTCCTGCTTATGAAGCCTTAGAGAGTGCTTCCATAACTTCATCATAAGAAGCTTCTTTTTGAATTCTAACAGTTAAATCAACAACTGAAACATTAATAGTTGGAACTCTGAAAGCCATACCTGTTAATTTTCCTTTAATTTCTGGAATGACTAATCCTACAGCTTTAGCAGCACCTGTAGATGATGGAATAATATTGGCTGCAGCAGCTCTTCCAGCTCTCCAATCTTTTCCTCCTTTAGCTGGTCCATCAACAACTAATTATGTAGCTGTAGAAGCATGAACTGTTGTCATAAGACCTATTAAAATATTTACTGATTTTTTTACCTTCAACAATTCCAAAATTATCATTGATAACTTTAGCTAATGGAGCTAAACAGTTTGTTGTGCATGAAGCATTTGATACAATGTTTTAGTCTGCTTTATAGTTTTCATGGTTAACTCCATAAACAAATGTTGGTGTGCCCTTGTCTTTTGATGGAGCAGACATTATAACTTTCTTAGCTCCTCCCTTTAAATGGAATCCAGCTTTTTCGTCTGTCAAAAATGCACCTGTTGATTCACAAACTGTATTAACCTATATATAATGTATAAATAATTATTACTCCTGCATCTCCCCATGGAATTTAACTTGGATCTTTTTGAGCAAATACTCTAATCTTTTATCCATTGACTACAATTCCTTAATCGTATTTCTCAATTGTGAATGGTGATCTCAAATGAGCAGAATCATATCTAAGATTATATACTAAATAATCTAGATCCATGAATGGGTCATTGATAGCTTTAACAGTAACCTAGCATTATTTTATATATATACTGGTCTGTTGTTTTCAATTGCGGCTCTCAAGACCAATCTACCAATTCTTCCGAATCCATTAATACCAAGGTTCACGGACATTTATAAATGATAAAAGATATTTATACTTTTGATAACCTAAACACGTAAAATTTATTTTCTCTATTAATGCGTCATTTCATTTGTATAACCATTATAATACCAATGTTTATCATGAAATAACAGACGTATGTTTAAATACTGTGATATTTTCACAAATAATCATTTAGATAAATTTTACTTTCTCATAATAATAATAACTAGAAGTAAATATTTTAAATTTAAAGCCTTTCTTAATCAATATTAATTGAAATTGATGAACTTATTCTAGAAATATTAAGTTTGAGTTTTGATTTTTTTTGAATTTCATTCTTAATAATATTTTAAATTTTCTATTCTTTCATATTCCATAATCCTAGAATTATTTTATATATTGAATCTCTTATTCAAAAAGGAATTGAGAGATAGTATATATTTAAGAAACAAAATATATATATTTAATCATTATTCTTCTTATTTTAAGTTTTCTGATTGATTTTTTACATTCGATATTTCAGATGTATTACTTTTTGGTATTAATCTAATCACAGGTACAGGAATCCAAATAATTTTCTTTGGTTCTCCTGGAGTTAAATCAAACATTTATTCAAATTAAAATAAGAAGTTTCTTGGACATAAATATCGAATGTTTTTATCTCTTTGTTATTCTTATTATTTTGTATCAATTTTTTTATTAATTTATGGTTCCAATTATTCAATCTCTTACTTGCAAGATGATTCAGTTTTAATAGTGCTGATTTCTGGATCTTCTTACTTTTCATATTCTTAATCTGAAACCTAAAGTTTCTATAAAATTATTTTTAAATATTACTAATCCTAATTTATGACTTTGATCTTTATGTTTAGTATAAAACCTATTCTTAACCATTATTTCCTAAATTAGAATACTAATAATTACAGATCTATCTTTCATGAGTTTTGCTATTTAAGTCCATTTAGCCCCATACTATTTATGTAAAAGTACTAATTATTCGTCTTCCTCTTATGTCCATGGTCTAGCAGGTGGTGCAATAATTTAATTAATATATCTATTTCGAATTTAGTTTCCTGTTCTGTTTTTCATAATTTAAGCAATTTCATTCCAATTTTCCCCATATTTTTATACTAACTCTTTTAACATATCATCTTCTTCCTTTGTCCAAGGAGTCTTCTTTCCACTCTTACTATATATATTAAATGTTTTACCTTTAATTAAGTCCATCTTTGAACACATTCTTAATCTGTTTTACCGCATAAATATTCTGCTATTTTCTTCCATTATGGTCCATATTACTTAAAAGCTTCTTCCAATCGTCTATCATCATCATAATTCCATTTATTATTGTTTTCCAATTCAGCATCACTCCAAGCAAATTACATCAAATTAAAATAAATAAAAAAGATTTGTAAATTAACTCTTTCCCCCTTCAAATTTCAATCCAAGACACATAATTTTAACTATATTTGTTAAAAAAGCAAACTTCCTTCATCTTTCTTAACTTTATTCTTAACTTTGAATCATTAATAAATCAATAATTGATTTTAAGGATGCCAAAATATCATTAAAAAAGTTAAAATTTTAAATTTCTTCAACTTACTTCTTTTCTTTTTAATCTATACTAAAAGACTCCTTGTAACATTAAATTTGATTTCTTCTTACTTTTCAAATAAAATAAAGCTCTAATAAGAAATACTTTTTATTATATATCTAATAATTAAAATATGTTTCATAAAATTTAATGATCCTATTTATTTTCTTATGTATTATTTTAGTCATTTTTTCAACTTAAAAGGGAAAAGAATTATTTCTAAAAATATTAATATATTTATAATAATGAATATTGAAACATAATCTGGACAATCGGAAATTAGGAGATCTAAGCGAGAAAGGTATGTTTGGGAAGCTTTAAATGCAGTTTAGAAATGGAGAGATTTATTTGAAAATGGTTATCAAGATGAGGTTGGAAATTATATAAAACCTACTTTAAAAGAAGCATCTGATTTAGTTGGACTTCCTAAAAGAACCCTTGAATAATATCACAGTGTTTTCAAGTAAATATTTCTTTTTATAAAAAGAAAATTACCTCAATCTTTTGACATAATGAGAATTTTGGATAAAAAAATGGGTTATCTCAATCAACTAATAAAAGAATTTAAAATTGAACCAGCAGTAACCTAAGAATAACAAGAGGAAATTTAATAAGAATAGAGTTCTTGGGATAATATGATTATAGAAGCAGATGATTAATTAGCAGTATAAAGAGACAATGATGAAGATTTAGAAATGAATTAGGTTGTTTAATAATAACAAATATTTGAGAATGAAGAAGATTATGTAAAATATCTTTAATTCGAAGAAGACGAAAATTATTGTCAAGAGTATTACTAATTCAATGCAGAAGAGGATTTCTTATGGGATTAAGAATAAGCAAATCCTGCAGTGCCTGATTGTTGATTTAATTAGTCAAACACTTAAAAAATCATATAATTTAATCACTATTAGTATTTCATTTTCTGTATCATCCTATTATCTATAGAAACCTAATTAATTATAAAGATCTAAAGTCTTATTGATATTTGAATAGCCTCCTTCTTGAAATGTTTTATTTTTAAATTTCTATGATTTTTTTTTAGATCTGTTTAAAAGTCTGCCTCCTCCTCTTCTTAGCATATTTAAACAAATGATCATTTGAATACCTTTGAAAATTATCTAATCTCATTTAATATTACTTATTCATTATTCATGATCAGTTTTTTATCAAAATATTGTAACAAGATTGATTATATAAAAGGATACTCTTTTTATTGTTTATTTCAGATATTACATGATATTCTGCAATAATCCTGACTAGGGTATTGTTAATTAAAAGCGAATTTTATTTAGAGTTTAGTTTTAAATCTGTTTAACTTATTATTTAAATTATATGATACTTTATCTTATTTTATGATTAATTCTATTAAAATATTATCATCAATCTTATTTTAGTTATCGCTGATCTTAACTAAATAATTAAAAACTTAATTAAACAGTTTTTCTTATTGCCTTTTTACATATTAATTATAATACTTTGAGATTAAATAAGGCAACCCTCTACTAAAAATGAGCTTTCATTATTTATTCTTTCAATTAATTTAGAATAGTTGCTGAATATTAATGTTTACTTTTCTCTATTTCAAATAATTCCTATTTCTTTTTTTAAAATATTAGATTACAGCTTAACATTAAAGATAAGTGTATGATGATAATTAAATATCAGAAAATTTAGAAAGCAAATATGAATTATATTTTATTCATGAGTCTTTAAATTAATAATTAAATTTTAATGATGTTTATTATAAAATATGTGCAACAATATAATAATGAACAAATATAACTCATCATCACTATTATTTATCTTTCGATTTCTCTTTTGATTCCTTGGTTTTATTTTTTTTATCCCCTGTATCACTTTTTTCTTTTGTTTATTTTTCTTATTTAGGTTTAGTTTCAGGAACCTCTTTTTCGTATCCTTTAATTTTAGCCTAATAAAATTCAAATGAAAATTACTTGTGAAATTTTAGATATAATTTTATTAAAGATAGACATTCCAAAAAAAAATGAAATGAATAAACCAGCAGTACCTAAAGGACTAGTGATGAGAGTTCTTAAACCAACTCTTTGAGTTTAAGGTGCAATTGTAACTTATGATTAGTCATCAACTTCAAATTCATTCTCTAATTCATTTAAATGATCATTTCTAAATTTGACTTTCTCCTTTCTTTTAACTTTAGCTTCAGATTTTTTTTATCTCTCTAATTCTTCCTTAATCTTTTCTTCACTAAGAATCTTTTCCCAATTATCTTTCATATACTGATATTCTTCATAATCTGTCTCACTTATTCCACCTGCATATAAAACTATTCCATGAATATATGGGTTATCAAATTTTGTTTTTTCAAGATTTACTAATAATTTACCCTCTTAAACTGCCTCAACACATAAAGTATTCTATTAAAATTAAGGAAATATTACATTCTAGAACACTTGACCAGCTACATATTCAAATTCTATATATTCGTCATTAGAAGCAAACTTTCCTACTTTAGCCACAATATCAAGTTTATCAATTACTCTTTATTCTCCAAATTTAACATGAAAAACTCTTTTTCCTTTCGTATCAAAGTACATCTTTCATTTAAAAATAAATTAATACTTCTGCAAATTTAAGAATCAAAGTATAAGTGCCTTCTTTTTACAAAGGTATCTGATATGAAAATGATTTATATGCATGTCTTTCTGTTAAATAGATTTAAGGCTCTCTTGTATATTTTATTTATTGACTAGACACTTCTGAATTCAAACTGTAATCTGCTACCACTGTTTCAGGATCTGTTTATATATCCTTAGAAATAATCTTAAAAGCTTTTTTACTTTTTCGTATTAAATTCCTGAAGGACTTTTATAATTTGATGGAGCACCACAATTTATAGCATATAACACTTTCTTAGGATTTAAAGGCTTAGAAAAAGCAATTGCTAGAATGATAAATATTTATATCATTAAGAATAATAAATTATATATTCATATATTCACAAAGTATGTATTTAATAATACACAATCATTCAGCTAAACTTAGAGCGATTAAATAACTAGGAATGTGCTCTTTAAATTTAACATTGTCCTGAGATATATTATTAGTATTATTGACTGTGTGATTTGTAGTAAGAGTTTAGTGCTTTTAAACACGATAAACACTATTATTAAAGCAAGGGGTATTCGAATTCTAAAGTTGAGTAATTTGTTTTTTAAGAGTTGAATTCTCACTCTTAGATATATTAAGCGCTTCTTATAATTGATATATGATTAAATCTTGATTATTTTATTATTTTAATAATTAGTTTTCTTTTTTCAATTTAGTAGCTAATTCAGTTAGTTTAGATGATTCCTTTTCTAAAGCTGCAATTCTCATAAGATATTTGATTTCTCTCTGTTTGTTTTCATCAAATTTATTCTTATTTGTGATATCCTACATCTAAATTCTTTGAAGATTTTCTTTTTTTTCCTGAAAAGCATTGACTAAATATACAGAAAGAATGTTAGAATTTTCATTTTAAGAATTACTTGTATTGTCATAAAAGGAATTATTCACTTATCTTTTACTTCTATTCACTAAGGATAGTATATTGATTACAATCCCCAATTGAAGTATTTTATTTAACTTTGACTTTGTCTCTACTTAACATTCTGGCACTTTTAATTGCTTCAGCTTAGACAATCTCTCTAATAGTCTTATTAATTTCCCTTGAAGAATTGCGATAGTAAGGTATTGAAGTATTTATGGACATCAAACTTTAACTGCTATATAATATAATAATTATTAAATATATATCAAGTAAATAAAAATATAATAAGATTTCCATTTGATTTTGTTATTTAACATCATTATATATCTTCTTAAAAGAATAGTAAATTAGGTTTTGAACTCTCTAAATTTTAGTTATTTTAGTTAATAATTAAAAATTTTGATTATGACAAAAGAAATTAATTTTTAATAAATTGTTAATAAATAAATAAATAATTATGAACACAACATAAGAATAAAATAAGGATAATTAGATTGAATAAATAGAAAAGAAAGTGAAGATTGAAAAGCCAAAAAAAGCAGATTTTAGAATGCATGCTCATGTAAATCCATTAAATGAAACATTATTTCCTTATCCACTAAATTATAATTAAGTAGATTGGTCATTACACTATCCAAAAAGATTTGGAAAAGATCCTTTAAAGTTATATTTAAATACATTAGAATATCCTATTAGTTATGATGATTAAGTGAATCCTGAAAATTCAAAATCCATTGTAGATTTTCTTGACATGTATTTATATATATAAAATGATAAAGTGGTTGTGGATTTGGTGGATTATGTTTTGCATTAAGTGAGAATTATCCAGATAAACATACTTTTGGAATGGAAATAAGAGGTAAGGTGGTTAATTATGTGGGTGAAAAAATAAGAGCTTTAAGAAATGAAGGTTAAGCTCATAATGTTTCAGTGATTCGTACCAATACAATGAGACATTTACCTCAGTATTTTAGAAAAAACAGTTTAGAAAAAATCTTCATTTGTTTTCCAGATCCACATTTTAAAAAGAAAAATTATAGAAGAAGAATAGTAAATCCAGGACTGCTTTCAGAATATGCTTATTTATTGAAACCAAGTGGAAGAATATATTGTATTACTGATGTAGAAGAATTACATAATTGGCATGTTTTACATCTTGAAAAGCATAAGATGGTATTAATGAAAGAATTATTTACAGTTTAAACGAATTTAAGATGTAGAATAGGATTCTGCTGCAAAATTGATTTGGAATTCAACTGAAGAGGGACAGAAAGTTGAAAGAAACAAAGGATCTAAATTTATAATAGTTTGTGAAAAAGTGTGACATACAGATTAATAAAAATACATTAATGTAACTTAAATTAATATTAAAAATAATATATTTATTAAATGCCTCCTAAATAATAATAAGTTGTGAATGTTATTAAAGATGAAGAATAATTTCTAAATCTAATAAGTTCTGAAAATAAAAAGTTGGTATTGCTAGATGTTCATCCTGATTGGTGTGGTCCATGTGAAATGATGCATCCAACATATAAAACATTATAGACAAGCATAGATGATTTTGAAAAAAGAGTAGACATATACACTCTTGGTTATAGTAAAATCGTTACTTATAAACATGATAAATTTAGTAACATATTATTCAAATCTCAATTAGATAGAGAGCCTAGCAGTAAACCTAGATTTGTCTTTTATTAGGAAGGCAGATTGGTAGATGAAGTATAAGGAGCTGATATTCCTGCAATTATTGAAAGAGTTTACAAATATTTACCAATGGTTTATTGATTATTAGTAAATCAAACAATAAATTATTTATTATGTGCTTATTCATTTTCTATCTCGAATCATTTTATCTCTTTTGTTTATTTATAAATTATTTATAAAATCTTTTCTGTCTCATTACTTTCCCATTTTATTATCTTATATGATAGTATAAAATAATTAATAATAAATAAATATCGTTAATGATTAAATTTCAAAATCAGCCAGTCGATTATGGTGTTAATGGATATCCTTAACCTAAATATCAATAGATGCCTCCTAAATAACAAAAATAAATGCCTAATTAAGGTTGCTTCCAAGAAACATTTGGATAACAATAATATTATGGTAGGTAAATGATACCATAATAACAAGACTCAAAAAACTATCAATAACCTCAATAACATTCATAATAATAAGCACAAAATTATTAAAACTACCCTTAAAAATAATAATATCCTAATATGCAATAATAATAATAATATTAACAGACTTAATAATAATAACCTTAATAAAAGGTAGATCCAAGATATTAGAATGTTTAATTCACAGCTAAAGAATTTAATCAATTATTTTATAAACAATAGTAACAGTAATAATAATAACAATAATAACAATAATAACATTAATAATAATAATAATAATAATAATAAACAAATTAAAATAAGGGAATTGAAAATTAAGAAGAAAACAAATATCCTTAAACTCAAAAAGCAGTAGGAAATGAAAGATAAATTTCTACTTACTCATAAAATCAACAATAATTACTCTAATAAAAATAAGCCGCTGCTCCTGGAAGAATGTAATCTGCAGATCCTGCTTTTGCTTAAAATAGAAATGCTGCTCCATTAACTAATATTTAGTAATAAATATATTTATAATCTTTAAGAAATTAATAAGCAACTAAAACTAGTTAATATATCAGTAATGGTGGTATGAATAAAATTTAAAATGATTACTCTTAGAGATAGGCAACACCAATGAAAGATTAAATGAAATTCATGAGTATTAAATTCTTATAATCTTAGATTAAAAGCAAGTTCCAGAATAAATTAATTAATAATTAATGTATTCTCCTATGCCTAAAAGCTAATTGCTAAATGAAACCACAAACTTAGCTAAATTATAACAATAATAATTGCAATAAAATAAATCTCCTTAAATTTAGAAAGTTGGAGGTTCAGGAATGGGGCCAGCAATTTCATAACCTACAAATGCCTAGTAAATTGTTGAAGAATTAGCCAAAGAAAAAGAAAGACACTAATTATTAACTGCCAAATTAAAAAAATTAGAATAAGAAAAAAAAACCTATAACACTTAATTTCTAAATGAAATGGAAGGCAAAATTAAAACATTAATTTAATAAAATGATTAATTACAAAATTTGAACATGGAGTATTTATTTTATTTATTCTTAGATTATTGTAAAAGGCTTAGGATTAACCTTAAGGAGAAATCCAAGAACTTAACAAGCAGATTTCATATAATAGTCAACAATTAGATTTCTTGCAAAAATAAATAAATGAGGCTTAAAAACAATTGTCAGAATAGATGAAAAAATACAAAGAATTAGAATAATAATATTCGGAAAAAAATTAAGCTGAAGAATAGCAAATTTAATTTTTAGTTACTGATTTGGAAGAGAAAGTTCATGGATTAATATCAGAAAATGAAAGATTAAATTCATTAATAGCTTAATAAGACAGTAATCCAAAAAAAGAATAATTATAATAATTGACAAATGAGAAAAATAAGCTTATTTCTATGGTATTTTTTATTAATATATCAAGACTTAATAAAGTTAAAAAGAAGTTCATAATTGGAAAACCAAATATGAATAGTTATAATAGAAGCTTCAATAAGCAGATAAATTCTAAGAACCTTAAGGAGAATAGGTCGAAGCACTTGAAGAGAAGATTAAATCATTAATTGAAGAAAACGATTACTTAAATACAGTCGTTTAATAATAAATTGAAAGAGAGAATCAAATAGCATTATTGGAAGAAGAGTAAACTATTGTAATAATTGTAGAATGCAAAATTTAGTTGAATAAAATGATAATCTTGAAATGTTACTTCAAAACAGCACTAAAAAATAATGATAAATATACATAAATATTATTTCTACAACACTTTTTTAAGATTTTCATTGATTCCTTAATTTTTTTGAGCTACTTTTAATAATCCGAGTTCCAAAACTACTCTAATTTTAGTAATCAGAGTATTATCTTTGTATTTTTGAATGAAAAGTATTTAAACTTTAAGAAATTACTAATTATATAGGAATTCTAGAATGAATGCTATAATAAAAATTTAATCTATTAAAATTAATGTTCGTGAATGAAATTTGTTAATTGATAATTAGACCACCAAAAAGCACATATTCAACACGGCTTTTAGGTATTATATTAAGCTTAATTAGGTCCTGAATTGTCGATTATTTAAGGAGTTCCAGTTACTAGAGAGGATTTTGAATTTACATCTAGATAATTAAAACTTTAAGCTAGCTATTTTATAACATAATAGATACATCATCGATGTTTAATTTATCTACATGGGAATTCAAGTTGTAGATTTGAAGGAATGCAGTAACTTGAGAGAATTTTAAGTATTGGAGTTAATCTATGTGTATTTGATTTTGCAGGATGTGGTTTATCAGAAGGATAATATGTTACCATGGGTTTTTATGAAAAAGAAGATGTTAAAGAATTAATGAACTATATTGAATGGCGTTTTGGAAAAGTTGATGAATTTATTTTATGGGGAAGAAGCATGGGAGCTGTGACTGCACTTATGTTATCTTAAGAACCTCGAATTACAACTTATATTGCTGATAGTGCTTTTACAAATTTAATAACTGTTATAGAAGGATTAGCAAAATAATTTTTAGGATACTTCTCATTCCTTTTCTAAGCTTCAATTTCTTAGATAAGAAAAAAAATAATTGATGAGGCATAATTTGATATTAACCATGTATCTCCTATTAATCATGTTAGTATTTAAAGCTATAGCAAGCGATTTTATTTTATTCATGGAATAAATGATAACTTAATTGATTCAGGACATTCACAGCGACTCTATGAAAGATGTAAATCTTATAAAATACTTGAGTTTTGTGATGGAGGCCATAATTCTAAAAGAAATAAAGACATTTTAGATAATATTACTTAATTCATAAATCTCTCAAGATTCGATTTATAATTAAATGTTGATTATACCAAAAAGTGTTCAAAATACTTCAAAGTATCTCAAAGTTTCTTAAACAATTATAAAATAGAGTAATTAGAATAAACAGAAAAAATAAAAAATTATCTAAAATAAAAAGAAATAAAAAAGCTTTAATAATAATAATAATAATAATAATTAACAAACTTTTAAAATTTAGAACGACGATATTTTCAATGAAAACTTTAAGGTTTATTTGATTATTTTATTTATATTCTTGATCCAAAAATCAATTCTATTATTATAAATTATCAAATTCAATATCACTTAGATTTAGATGTATTAATCTTCTAAAATTATAATTGCCTAAATAAATGATCATTGTCAAATTTATTTATCAAGATTGTAAAAAGCTTGAGATTTAGTTAAGAATGAAATGACTCCTCTTTATAAAAGAATAAAAAAGAAAATATAAAATACTAGTATTAAATAATTTAATTTTTATGCAATATAACTAAGCAAACAACTAACAGGGCTAATATCCTAATAATTATATAAGCTAGCAATACCCAGAATAATATCCTTAATACCCTTAATAATATCCTGCCTAATCGCAATAATTTCCATAATATCCTAATCAACCAAATTAGCCTTATATGGATAATAATATTCCTAATGGCTAACCAGTTAATTAAGGTTATTAAACAAGCCAATAATATTAATAAGTGTAACTATTTGTTTGTTCTAATTTAGTTAATAACCTTATATAACTAATGTGGCTATTTTAGTTCCAACCCCAATATAAATTAGTGCTGAGGGAATGAGATTTCCTGTCTAGATTAAGTGTTAATTTTGTCAATAAGTTGGAATCACAATAGTTGAAAATAGAATAGGCAATGGAACTATTTGTGCATCAATTTTAGTTTTACTTTTATGTTGGCCTCTATTTTGGTTACCTTGTTGTTTAGAAGATTGTAAGGATAAGATTCATTTATGTTAAAATTGCGGCAAAATAGTGGGATAGAAAGAATATGAATTATGTTGACTCTTCCGATTTTATAATTTAAAAACAAAAATCTAAAACTAATAGTATTATAAAACTTCTTGCTAAGGTTCTAGTTAATAGTATAGTAAAATTAAATATAATTAAAAATCATATGAACTTTTAAAACAATTCTAATCATCATAAAAAAATACATCTTTGCAAAATTTTTAATCACTCAACAAATTCCTTCCTTATTGTTTATGTCTGGGTATACATTCTATAAAATTATATAGAATTCAGTCTTTATAACTATTATTGATAAGGTTTGAATATTATTTAGTTTAAAAAAATGGAGCCGGCTACTGAAGCTTATAATTACCCAGTTTAAAAGGAGACACCAAATTAACCAATAGGATAATAAACTTATTAACAATAACAACAGATAAATTAAGGTTAAGGAGTTCCTCTTGGATATCCAGTTAATCAGTAATACAATCCAATATAATAACCATATATAAGTATCAAGTAAGTTAATTTAGATGGTCCTGTTATAATTTAGCCTGTCATTGTATTAAAAGCATTTAAATATAAATATAATCAAATTATATAATAAATAATATAAAAGATCATAATACAATAAATTAGAAGAGTAAATGTGGATGAATGCTCATATCCTGCAGATATAATTTGCTCCTAATGTGGAAAACCTGGTCAAACTTTTATAAAATATAGAAGTGGGTGTCATACATGGCTTGCTTGCTGGTTATTATTTCTATTTTTTTTACCTCTTTTCTTTTTGCCATTTTGTTTTGAAGAATGTTAAGATAAAATACATTATTGTAGAAATTGTGGTAAAAAAGTGGGAAAGAAAAAATACAAAATTTGTGGATGATAAATTGTTTATGCTTTCATGATTTTATATAAGTTTTATATATAGTAATGATATTATTTTTGCTTATTAATTGAATTTAGGAGTGGATGTTAATTTCTTGTTGAAATAGATAAACTAATAAAAAGTTGATTTTGTCTAAAATGAATACATATACAAATTTATTGTTTAGTGATGAATAAAAATTAGATAGCGAAGCGAGGAGAAGAGAGAAATAAAAAGAAATAGGAAAATGTATTGCAATAAGAGTTGTATATAAAATATTTTGATTGTATATTTGATTATGATATCATTAATCAGATAGTTGAATTCACTTTATTGGATTGAGCAACCAATTGTCCAAGTACTTATTCTAATTCTGATTCATTAAGATTTCCAATCAAAGCCTTCTTTTCAACACCATATTCTAGATATGAGACATAATTGTACTATATCTAATAAGGACATAGGGATCAATAGATTCACATTCTCTGACAACAAATGGGAATTGAGGATTGGCATCCTTCCATTACCAATAATTTTTAGTAACAAGATTTCTAGATATAAATATGTAATGTATACCTAATGCCTTCAGATCTGCCACATGTTTAGCAGAAGACAAATCTTAATTCTTTTACTGAGTTTCCTAATTATTTGTACCAAGACATATTATTATAATAAAAATAATAATGGGAGGTGTATGTGGACATCATGATCATCAACATCATAATTTACATCAATTTGCTAAGTCACCTGGACCTAATAGAACTGGTTGTTCATTTATGAATCCTGAACCGATGAAGTTTAATATTATATTTGAAAATCTTCGTCTTCAATATCCTACTAAGTCTTGTCATTTCAATATAAAATTAGCAGGAAATATTCTTATTGAAACACCAAATCACATAGATCTGGATGGTAAACATGCTGTAAATAATTAACTAACCTTAGTGGAAAAAAGTTATTGAAACACAAATTCAAGCCAATATAATTGAGTTACATGAGAAGAAACTAGAATTTTATCTTTTTGAAGAGAAGAATATTATTGCAAATTTAGAGATTCCAATATTTGATATTATCAGTGGACCTATTCATTTTGATTATTCAATTGGTAAAGGTAGGTTGTCTTTTGATATGTAAATGGCTTAAATATTATAAATTGACATAAATCCTATTGAGGTTGATTGTAGTTATATTTAAAGTATAAAAGACAAAGCTTATGTCTTTAATTTAAGACTAGTAACAAGAAAAATGAATTTTACATCTCCAAATTCTGAAAGTTTTTACAATCCTGCTTATTTAAGAGGTTTTAATTTATCTTTGAATAATTTTCTATAAGAAATGATGTTTAGAACAACTTGGAATAGTTCTTTCGATTTACCTATTCTTAGTATAGAGTTACCATCAAATGAAATGTATAATAGTTCATTGTAGATTTGTATTTGGAGTATTAATAAAGTAAATGAATTTTAATCTCCTGGAATTTGTTCTATAAAATCATTAAAAGAGAAGTAAGGGGGAGACTTAATTATTGACTAAAATTTATTTGCAGAAACCTTTATTGCTTTACATAAATTAATTTAAGAAGATGGTGAAGAAGATTTTAAATTGTATTAATAATTCAAAACTACTATTAATAAAAGTTTATGGTGTAAAGGTAATAAAGTTGGTACAATTTAGTGTAAGTTCAATGTTAAACTTCCTAGATTTCTTAAATAGAAACTAGTAGGTATAAGAACTGAGAATGGATGCACATTAGGTGTTAATATTTGTAGTTCCAAATCAGTTGCTTAGATTGCTGAAATTATTAATATCTTTTAAAAGTTATATGAATCTATGTTTAAGATGCAATCATTAAGTCATAATGATCCAAATAGAACTATTCTTTAACATTAAGCCTTGACAATTAGCTAGTAATTATTAGAGGAAGTTCAAAGGACTGACAAAGATACAAATTCAAAATAATTCTTTTATAAGAACTAAGAAGACTTATTTAAAGCTCAAGAATATTTTATTAAGATTGCTGAACAAATAACAAAATATATAGATAAATTGGATGACAATTTAAGAGAAGTTTGTTATGAAATTTTATTTGTAATTATTGATAGAGGAGAGTTTCGATTACATTCTTTAGGATATTTCGAAGAATGTAAATAATTGTCAAAAAAACAATTGGAACTCAAAAATTCAGTTAATATACATTATTCAGAGTTCATGTAACAAACCTTAAATTGGGTACTTCTTAAAGTTCCAATAAAATCCTAATAATAGAATGAGAGAAAATTTATGATTAGATTCCTTGTGCTAGCTTTCATTAGAATCTATTATTTCAAAGACTAATTTTTAAAATGTATAAATAAACCCAATGATCCATAACTAATAGAATGGAGGGGGAATGAGTTTTAACTGGAAGAATAAGATGTATTTGTAAATGAATAGGTGGCAATGATATTTGATTGGTAAACATACTATTACAATTATCTGTCTTAAAACCAGCATTATTAATCAAATCAATGTATGAGTGAAGACTAATGGAAATTGACATTAGGGAAAAGGAGTTTAGTTTATCAATATTTTATCATTGATTTTTGCACATATATCCAATAAATTTTACAGAAAAACAATATCTAATGGTAGCATGTGCCTGGATATAAGCGATTGTTAAAATCATTACTATGTGAATTAAAGTTAAAAGAAAAATACACAGCATTCTTTTTTGATTGTGTGATGGCAATATCTACTAATGTCAACATAATAAATATTATTGTGATGATATTATTTAACAAAACAAAGTAAGATCTGTTTTAATAATTAGCTTGTATTAATCTGATTAAGTCATATAGGTATTTGATTTATTAAGCTTAATAATAAATTAATGCCCCCAAACATTAACAATTTTTGATTACCCATTCTTTTTAAATGGAATAAGAATTGTATTAACATAATCAGAACATGCAATAGCAATAGCAACTGTCTTGAAATTAATTTATACTAACTTTTTGAAATTCCCCATAGAATTTAGAAAAGCTTTGATAGATCTATTATTTGAGCCAATATGTTTTGAATTTTTTCTTCATTGGTCTAAGACAGTTAGAACAGTATTCATGAGTTTTCTCTTGTATAGGATATGCCACCAATATAGAAATAATAAAATTTCAGTGATGGATGAGTAGTTGTTTGAATAGTAATATTTGATAGCATCAAAGCCAAGAAAGAATTTCAGTTTTTATGAGAATAGAAAAGAGGAGAAATAATTAATAGTATAAATATGATTAAATAACTAGGCAGATTATATATATTTGAAATATACTAGATTCATGATGAATATAGAATAAGTTAAGATTCAATTGAAAGAGTTTCCAATCCATAAAGACTTAAGCATTTTATAGAATCTAAAAGAGAAACTGGCTTAGAAGAATGAGTAACATCAAGAAAACTAGAACATTATTATCTAGGTGTAGAGATAAGATGATAAGGAAGAAATTCCATCAGATAAATAGATAGTGTTTGAGAGAAGGAATGAATATAGGAATCCAAGTAAAAAGAGAACAATCATCTTGTCAGACAATAAATATAAATATTTAAAGGTAGCTTTGAATGAGTTTTCTGAAATAACGAAGTAATATACAAAATGGAGATGTTAATCAATGAATATGAGTGGAGATGAATTGAGTCCAGAAGAAAAGAGTTAAGCTTATTTGAACTTTTAAGTTCCATAGATAAAGATATTGGTACATTATGATTAGAAAGAAGGAAAGCAAGATTGATATATTAACTATTTATGTTCTTAATTTGAAGATTTAATTTAAATAAATTAATTATGATACGAGGGTACACATCTGTATTGAGGAAATCACTTTGGTATTTACCATCAATGGGATTCTCAAAGAAATTGGGTATCGGAGAGGCTTCAAGTGTATTAGAAGACAAAATTAAAAATATCTCTTAATTGGTAAAAGAATATAGTGATAATTTAGAACGACATAAAAGAATATGGTACAGTCATATCGATTGGTGATGGTATTGCTAGAGTTTTTGGATTGACATAAGTATAAGCAGGAGAAATGGTTGAATTTAGTTCAGGAGTTAGAGGTATGGCCTTGAATTTGGAAACAGATAATGTTGGTATTGTCGTGTTGGGTAACGACAGGTATTTAATTTAAATATAATTATTCTAGAGAAATCTAAGAAGGAGATATTGTTAAAAGAACAGGAGCTATTGTTGATGTCCCTATAGGTATGGAAATGTTGGGAAGAGTATTTGATGCTCTTGGTAATCCAATTGATGGACATGGTCCAATTAAAACTAATACAAGAAGAAGAGTTGAATTAAAAGCACCAGGAATTATTCCAAGGAAGAGTGTTCATGAACCTATGTAAACTGGATTAAAAGCAGTTGATTGTTTAGTACCAATTGGTAGAGGATAAAGAGAATTGATTATTGGTGATAGATAAACAGGAAAGACAGCTATTGCTATTGATACAATCATTAATTAAAAACCAAACTTTGATTCTGGTGATAAGAATAAATAATTATATTGCATTTACGTTGCTATTGGTTAAAAGAGATCAACTGTTGC